GTGGAGAGGCGAGAGCCTTTTTTGCGGCTCTTTTCGTCCGAGATAACGCAGCTTTTGCATCGCTGCAAAACTGCAGAGCAATTTCTGGATCATTGGCTTTGCGCGCATTTTCCAATTGGGTATTAGCAACCTCTAGCTCCTTTTGTGGTGAGCGAGTGCTTCCTGATGATGAAAAAGAATAGCCAAACATGTCGCTTCTCTATGGTATTACAGAGTAGATGGTGACGATGTTAGTGACCTTCACTTCCATTAATATACCTGTGCTAGTAATTTGCGTACGCACCTTTAACAGCTGGGACGAAATAGGACACAATGGGCTGGGAAAATTGTAGATGTGGTGGCAGTAGGCCGGTCTATCCTCAAATAAATCGATTAGTATCCATAACAGCTGTCTGAACTTTATCATATGTAGCTACTCTGCGCAAGTAATAGTGCATCACCTTGGAAGTGTTTACTCGACTCTTGTATCCTTTGACTGGATGCCGACGTAGTCCAGAAGGTTTGTTCTCTTTGTGTCCTGTAGCAACGATACCAAATGCCTTTAATGAATCATGACGGATTAATAACCATTACACACGCCTGTAGCCTACCCTTGAGTGACAAGAAACAATGCCTCACCTCAATACGAGTCTGCTTCTGGCTTCCTTTCGCTGGCTGAGGAGATGGTCCGTCCTTGTGCAGTGTTTTCTGCTCCAATTCTTTGTTCAAGAATGTCCGCGCACGAATGAGGTGGTCGAGTGAAGCGATATGTGTCCTCTTGTCACTTCTAGCAGAGGTGCCTGTTATGATGCAAGAAGGGGTTAATATCCATTGCACATTCATGGCTGTTCTTTCGACATTCGCACACCCTTGTCCCAGCTATTCTAGCATTAGCATTCCTGGGTCGACTCTAATGGTTCAGGCACAGACAGGAAAGGGGCCTTCGCAGATAAACAGTGTTTTTGTTACCAATAAGTTGCCGTCAACCGTGCTTGTTGAGATTGAGGAGAGACGTACGAGAGACAGAGGAGAGTGAGGAAAGATGAGATAGATAAAAGAGAGAGGAAAGATGAAAGAGAAAAAGGAAAGACAGTTCCTGATGGATTGAGGGAAGGTAGAAAACGGAAAGGCGAAAAGAGGGGAAAAGAGAGCGCAGACATAGATAGTGAGCGCTTCAAGACACATCCATCGTTGTTGTATTAGCAAAACAGATTCATGCTTTCATGCCCCAGCCCTCGTGTAACGCAGAATAGGCTCTCATCAAGCGAGAATGCTGCGATGGTATGGCGGGGAAGAGCAAGAGAGCAAGAGGCAAAGTGTATCTCCATTTGTCCAAAAGAATGCACTGTGGTCACACAGCTCTAGCCCATAAACGACCCGATGTCGAACGTTCTGGCCCTGACATCTCGGCTTCCAAATCACACAAATCCCAAACGAAATATACGCTTCACGATAAGATGCAGCTCATCACAAAATATCACGCAGGGGGAGAACGCAATCTAGATGCCTCCCATGTCGTTCTCTCAAAAACGTTGAATATGCATCTCAGGACAGCTACCGATATGCTTGAAAAGGAAGACAGGATCCGTCAAGCAATGGCGATGCTGCCGCTTGTGGCAACAAGAACGATTGTATGCAACAGGCCAAGACCAATGGCGGTTGTGGAAGAGGCTGTTCACACCTGCTGTGGTGATGTGAAAGATTCTTTTCGTCCTGAGCATAAGCCAGAGCCGATTGCCTTTTCAAATGGTTGGGTCCAAAAGTTCAAAAGACAGAGAGCGCTCAAGAAATACATCGGCCATGGTGAAAGCGGATCGGCCAACATGGATCTCTACAGGACTCAAGTTGGACAGATCCAAATGTCGCTCGAGGGCTTTGACCCTGATAATATCTATAATTGCGATGAGACGGGTCTCTTTCTGAAGGCTGTGCTCAACAACTCTTGCTACTGGCCTAATTCGTGGCAAGGAGACCCACTCGGGTTGCACTGTATCAGCGTTGTTGTGCAGTAATGCCACGGGTGCAGACAAACGCAACCTTTATGTCCTTTGTAAGTAATGCAGTATTGTTTGAGCAGTGTGATAGTGCAAACTCAAAGGATTTTTTGCTCACAAAGGTTTATAGGTTTACAGCCGAGCGGTTTGACTCAAGTAACATTGAAGGCTATCGTTGCCGAGGTCCTTTGCAGTTATCGCATTCGGAAAGGATCATCCACGGCTACAGTTTGAAATGGGAAACTCTGGACTCCTGATTGCATCCGCAATTGCTTTGTCCAAGTTCATATCCTCTCCGAGTACCAGAAAACTCGATCGTTAGGTCTAGGAGTTGAGACAAAGGCAGATCAAGTCATTCATCTTCAAGAAGAGCTCAGGGAACGATATGTAGGGAATGAAGAAACTATCGCCGATCAGAAGAGCTTCTCCGTCCTGAACTATCTCAGCATGATCAATAGGGAAGGGCCTTTACCAGGGATTGTCGAGGTCGCCCACGAGATAATGGGTCGCGAGCAATACAAGGGAACATTTCAGCAACTGAAGGAGAATGGCTTCGTGGATGATGACAACTCTGAAGACTCTGATAACGATACTTGGGCGACGACGACGAATCTGACCTGGATTAAGAAGACCCAAAGCCAGTTGTTAGTGACCAAGAGATCCAGGTAGTCGAAATCGCTCTCCACAACCGCACGGTTGAGAAGGGGGTTCCCATCGAGAGGCTTTCGTCAACACCTTCAATCCTCTACGCAGAAGAGGTCTGTTCTCAAGAATATATCTTCAAGACGCTGTAAACGAGTTTATATCTGGTGCTGTTGATGTGCAGGAAGCCCATTACAATGCTCTGTCGAAGACTCGCCATCAGGTCGCTCTGGACGAGATGGATATGTTCGTTGATTGCCATAGGCTTGGGTTATAACGTACGTGAAACATCAGTTTCAATTGGGATTAAATATGGGATTGGCTCCTCCTTAACGTACAAGAAATTTGTGTGTAAAGGAGAGTCGACTGTAAGTGCATTACAGAGATGCATGGAGCAACAGGAACTGAGACTGCGGACGCACAGCCCTGAATTTCAGAGGATTGGATGATTGCAATTTCCTGAGAAACCATGGGCTGCATGCACCTCCCCTCCAAGGAGCCCTATCTTTCATTCTTTTCTCATCAAGATGCATTATTACTGTTACGATCGGACCCATGGGCCATGGACCATGCATTTGTGCGAGGATCCAATTTCGAATACATTATCACCATCCATCCCTCCGTCCCTTGTGTGCAATGTGCCCTGAGTAACAGTTCATTCGATCGAGGGTTCCTCTTTTTCTTCTTTCTAGTTTTAGATCGAGTTTGTGTGTAGATAGACATCCATCCTCTCGCTCTCAATTTCTCTCTTTTATTTTTTTGTTGTTGCTGGTTCAAGAAAGCCCTTGTGCCTTTTTTTTTTTTTGCTGGAAGAGGATCTCTATTTTTCGCGTAATAGTTCGGGTGTGAGGTCGTTCATACTCTGACCAATTCCTTTTTCTTTTTTTTTTTTATGAATGAACACAGAGCCAATGAAGAGCAGCTCTCGAAGTCGATTCCTCTCCAGAGGGAAGATGAGCTTGTTCTTGGGTTCGTATTATGAAATGAAAGCAATGCAAAAGGTGAAGCCGTTCTGTGAGTGGCCGCTGAGAATCTCTTGGGGAGATGAAAGAGGGAAAAAAAAGAAGAAATGAGACGATAGAAATAAAAAAGAAGAGCGGAAGAGAGCAGCAAGACGGGGCGCTATGAAAGACGAAGCGTTGAGCGAGAGGTACGGACGTGGAAGTTATATGGTTGGATCAGGGGTTGTGACAGTCTACCGTTAGTGGATATCGCAATCTGTTGTAGACTATCGTCATGAGGGAATGAGGGGAGGGGGAGTGAGAGTGAGAGTGAGAGGGAAGACGAGGCCGGTTTCAAAGTAATAAAACTGAGATCGAAGGAAAAGGTGGGTCCCCTCTCCCCCCTGCAACTCCTCCCCCCTCCCTCTTCTCGTTTTGGAAGTGGAGGTGGTATGTATGCAATTGGTGGCGAGAGAACTGCTTCCGAAGGACAATAAAATAAAATTTGGGTTTAGATATGTCGCGCTCAGGGCCGAGTGTTTCGATGGCGAGAGAGAGAGAGATTGAGAGAGATTGAGAGACTGAGTGAGTGTATGGGGGGGGGGGAAGAGAGTTTGGATACAGGCAGACTTGATGGCTATATGGGCTGCACATGAAAGCAGAGTAAAGTTAAAGGATAAAGAAATACGCCCCAGTCGAGGGTGGAGGGCAGAACACCGTGAGATGTGAAGGTGTGCTGTCTTTTTGTTGTGCACTAACACAAAAACCATCGTCGCTTTATGTAGTTTATTACCACTCTCCTGTCTTTCTTCCCTCATACTCCACTCTTTCTTCCCATCCTTTTCCTTTTCCTTCTTCTTTCCTCTCCCTTCCTCTACTTTTGCTCCCCACCCCACCCCACCCCGCTCACGCCCCCCTTCCCGCATCCTACAGAGACTCACCTACTGAAACTTCGCGGTCAGGCACAGGAACCATCTCTTCTTCTCCTCGCTGCCCTACCCTCGGTCCCTCTCAATCATTCCCTTAAATCACAGGGATAATTCCGCGGGTTTATCAGTCTGAACATTCGTTATCTAAGCTATATACTGACGGACCAACCTGGGCGATTCCTTCCCCTCCCCCCTCCATCCAATCGAATCTGAACCATGGCAGAGACTATCTACGCCCAGCAACAGCCCTACAAGGCCGCACAAGGTATGGATCGTCATCTTTGTTTCCTCTCTCGCTTGTCATTCACCCTCTACTATAAGCACACACGTCCACGCACACAGACACATACACAGACACATACACATACACATACACATCCACTTTTTGCTTCTTTATCATCCGAATGACTTTCTATTGTTCTGGTCAGGGCTACCTTGGGCTCTAAATTATCGGTTCCCTTCTTAATTGAATTGAGACCAAGTTTCTCCCTTGAACAAAGAGGATGGAGACAGATTTGGGGTATCTGAGGGGGAAGGAAAGGAATCAATTGTTCTCGGCGAGGCTAAGATGTGAGATATGCGATGTACGGTGTACGATGTGCGATGTGGATTGTAACAGGGGTTAAAAAAGATTAGACTGGATCTTGTGAGAGAGGTAGGTAAGCAGTAGGCGTGGGCATGGGCATGGGCGATGAAGACACAGAATGACAAAGACAAAACGCAAAAAGAATAGAGACAAGGGAGAGAAGAAAACTGTGATGGACGGGTACACAAGGTTAGGTGCTGTACACGCAACTTGATCATGCAGCCATCCCTTTATTTTTATTTTGTCTTTATTATACCCGTTATGTTCCTCGCTATCAAGAGACAGGCGGAAAAGACAAACAGAAAAGGGTTGGCGAAGGAGAGATGCGTGAAAACAAAAAGGAAGGAAGGAAGGATTGAGATCATGTTGAACATCCATCATGCCTGCGTACTGAAGCGAGAAGAAAACAAGAGAGGGGAAAAAAAGATGCAAGACGTGATAAAAGTCAAGACAGATAAAAGATAGTAGATGTAGTTCTGTTTGTGGGGAATCGAATCGCTCGTTGTGCGACCATGGAGACGGAGGTGAGAGAGAAAGGTAGAGGGAGAGAAAAGGGGAGCATGGACCTTGTTGGGTGAACAATGCCGGTGATGATGGGCCGTAGAGCCAGCGAGGCCTAGGCGTAAAAAAAAAAAAAACCAGTATCTGCATGTATCAACGTTTACACATACACACACATTCACACTTCACACATCCACACAGGCAACGTGCTGTTTATTGTTGCCAACTAGCCCAAGCCTAGCCTAGCCTAGTGCTTTATGCTTTATGCTTTGTGCCTTGTGCCTGTCAATCAATCTTTTGTTTGTATGTGTGTCTGCGATAGTCTCGGTGGTGGTGGCGAGTAGATTGGTTGGTTAATTGCTATGGGGCTAATTTATCCCCGCCGAAGGAGCAGGCTACAGTACACGGGGTGTGTGTGTATGTGTGTGCGCATGGATGGGGTATGGATGGGTATGGGTATTTATGGTTCATTATCACTTTCTGACAAGCAAGAGCAAGCAGGTGTGGATATATACAAGAGTGAGATTGAGATTGAACATTGGATTGAGGGGAAACTACCCGCATGTCAACCCATGTCATCAAGCATTGTCCGCACAGTTGTGTATGGTTCCTGTAGGGAAAAAAAAAAAAAGAAAGAATTAGCAATACACACTGACATGTACAATTCGGGTACATGTTTGTGTGTGTACATGTACGCGTTAGTGGTTGACACAAAAAAGAGATCTATCGCGCGAAAGAGAAGAAAAGAACGAGCACGAGACAGCCCCGTCTTGATCGTGATCACGATCTTGTTCGTCTTGCTCTTCTTAGTCTTGTTCTTCGTTCTTCATAGTGCCTCCTCCCCTATCTTCGTCGTTCGTCCGTTGTCTTTGTGTTCTTGTCTCTTGTCTTTGCTCTTGAAGACATCATCAGGCACGATCATGATAATCATAAGTATGATTGTCATCATATCAGTATGCAAACAGGAGCACAACCACGACAGGGACAGGAAGACATGGAGGGGAGTTTTGATTAGAAAGAAGCCCGGTATCCCCTGGGACGACACTAAATGCGATAAAGAAATGGCTATGCTTACCAAGGGAGGAGGAACGGGGGGTTTTCTGGGGAGGGACATGCAGTGTGCATGCGCATGGTCGAAAATACCCTCCGCTCGAGTCGTCCGTGCAGCGGAAGGAGGTCTCGGATGTGAATTATCGGGCTCCTTGCGCGCTCTGCACCCACCAGAGTGAGATCCATCTCGGTGTCTTGTTTAGTGTGCATTGCATTCGTGGGCGTGGGCGTGTACGTGTGTGTGTGTGTAAATGGTGCCCCCTGTTAATTCGAATGGTCTGTCTGAGTGAAGAGTGGTGTTGGGTTTTACATATCACTCTCTTCCTCTGTCTTTCACCCCTCCAACCCCACCATCACCATCCACACCCACCTCGCTTTTCTTTTTCCTTTTCTCTTCTCTTTTCTTTTCTTTCTTTCTGCGACCGTACATTTCTTTCCTTCGTGCACCGTCCACGTTGTCTGTGGCCACCCACCCTTTCCTTTCCTTCCTTTCCTTCCTTCCTTCCTTCCCTCATCCCATCCCATCCCATCCTACCTTCATCCTACCTTCATCCTCAACCCCATCCCTCCCCTCCCCTCTCTCTCTGTCTGTCTTTCTTCATCTTATACATTCTTACGTCTCATCAGTTTGACTCATCCCTTGTTTTCTTCTTTGTCCTCACTTTTTGCTGCATCCATGTCCTCAGATCACAACCAGAACCAGGGGGGCGTCGAGGCCAGTCCCCATACACAGCAGCAGCAGTACACCCAGCAGCAGCAATACCATCACCCGGAGGCACAACAACAACAGCAACAGCAACAACAACAGAGCAATAACAGCCCCTCCAACAACACTGCGAGTAACTCCACCAACAATGCCACTAGCAACAGTCCGAGTCAGAACCAGAACCAGAACCAGCAGCAGCCAGTGGCAGAGCAGCCAAAGAAGGCCAAGCGAAAGCGTATCACGCCCGAGCAGCTGGAGGACCTTGTCGGGCTGTTTGAAAAGACAGACACTCCCTCGTTCGAGATTCGAGAGAGTCTGGCCAAGAAGCTGGGCATGACCAATCGAGAGATTCAGGTAACAGGCTCATCTGGATGACACCCGTTTGTCATTGGCCATGTCCTCTTTCCAAAGGCCTTTTTTTATTTATTTTTTTACGCTTTTGCTCACTTTTTGAATTGATGCTTGATATACTTACCTTATTAACTCGAAACCTTGCCTCTCATACACATCACACACATACATTCTGTGGTCTGCTGTGTACTCTTCACGCATACCAAATACAAACAGGTCTGGTTCCAGAACAGGAGGGCCAAGGCAAACAGGATCAAGATCAACGAGCAGGCCGCCCTCCACCACCAGCAGCACCTGCAGATGCAGCAGCAGCAGCAGCAACAGCAACAACAGCAACAGCAGCAGCAACAGCAGCAGCAGCATCTGCAGAGCGGTCACCATCATCATCATCACCGAAGCAACAGCAGCAATAGTTTTGGGGGACCCCATCCCAGTCACGTCCACTCTGCGCCCACCACCCCACAGCAGCCCTTGCCCGGCCACCACCACCACCAGAGCACCGGGGGCTCCATGTCTGCATCCGCACAAGAGTCCTCCACCTATGGATACTTTGGCCCCAATGGCTCATCCTCCCCCCCAATGACCATGCCCACACCCACACCGCGCTCTCACTCTTCGCACTCTCAGCACGGTCAGCGCCGCCCCGCCAGTCTCTACAACATGGGCAGTCATGGACATCTGATGCAAACTCAGCAGTATCCACAGAAGCCAGGACAATTCCAGCCTCAGCAACATCCACCTTCGTCGTCATCGTCTGCACACTACGGTCAACAGGGAAGCCTCGGCCACCGCGGTCATGGTCACAGCCATTCGAGCTCTTTTTCACATCCTGCAAGCCCTTACGGCATGGACATCATCCTTCCCACAAACTCGTCTCCGTCCTCTGCCTCGTCCTCACAGAGACCACTGCTCCCACCTCCTATCACCACGGCACCCTCTCGTAGACAAGGACAGCCCATGGAGGACTATGATGATTCAAGGCGTCCAAGACACGAGCGCACCATGTCAGAGGGCCATCCTGCCGGTTACATGTCGCCAACATCCATGTCGCCCACCTCCCCTCCTCCAGAGCGCTTCATGGACACACAACATTATCGGGACGACCATGAGGAGGACTCGCCTACGTCTGTCACACATCCTTCGCCTTTTGCCAATGGTAGCAGCAGCAATAATCCGAATCGGAACAGCACATCCCTTGCCTCATTCGGCCTCAAGGCCATGATCAAGGAGCGATCAGAAGAAGCAGAGCCCAGTATTATCTCACGTGAAAGACACTCTTCCAGCGCCTACTACAACAACCCTGCTCAGGCGGCAAAGAACAGACGGTCGTACGACGACGCACTCTATGACGAGCACCAGCAGCTGATGCGCGACAGTTTCAACATGGAGACAAAACTGGTCATATCTGAAGAAGAACCAAGACCCGAATCTGCGATCGACCTCCTTGCCTATGCTGCAGCATATGTCCAAGAGTCAGAGGAGCACAAAAAGGACGGCAAGGACGGGGAGGAGAAGAGAGACGGTCTCGGACAATTGAGCTCGAGCAACAAGCGTCAGTCCTTTCACGGCCCGACAGGATATCCCAGCAAAGAACCCTTCCAGGAAGAATCCTCGCGTTATTCATCTAGCAGCATGGCGTGGGAGTCCGGTCCGTCTGCTGGCGGCGCTAATGAGACCATGCCAGTTCCCAGACGAAGAGGTGGTGATGATGCTCCCTATGCCCCTCGCCGCCCGCGTCCAGTGACATATGGTGGAAGCGGGTTTTTGTACGATCACCAAGAAAACCAGTTCATGCCACAGTCGCCTTCTTCGTCATTGAGCGGCTATAGCCGTTCCTCTTCCAGCGCCAGTTCGAGGCGACTGAGCAATCGCAATTCGAACGAGGTCGGCAGCAGTGGATTGCTGCTGCAGCGTGGCCTGACACGACCAAGGCGATCGTCCTCCACAGCAACGGCGGGACTCATGAACCACATACCATCATCATCGATGTCAGTGCTGCCGCCGATCCTCAGCGAGAACCGGTTAGTGTCTCCGGCGATGGTGCTTTCACCCCAGTTTGGAGGCTCGCGATTGACGAGACAGGATAGCCATGGCAACAGCTCGCTCAATGGCACGAGGGAATCGCCTGGATCGGATTCGTACTCGCGCGACTCTTACAACGATGATATGGAGGACATTGAGGATGAGGAGACAGAGTTCCAGCGGATGCGGGCGGCGAAACGACGGAGCGGGAACGCCAACACGTTCTTTAGCATGGGTGTTAAATAGATTTAAAGGTCGAGGTAATACCAAAAATCATCATTTTACTTTTGTACCATTACGAGCTCTTCATCATCATTGTCATCATCATTATTCCAATAAAGCGTTTATTACAACGCTACACATACATGCAATGGAGAAAAGATATTCTGGGAATGGGCTGTAGGGAGTCGCCATCAAAATGTTTGTGGATGAGCAATTTGGGTGTGGGGGTGGGGCTCGACCGTACAAGGTTCTAATCACGTGCGTGTACGAAGAAAAAAATAACAAACAAAAGAAAAGTTGGATGCTCATCAAGTGGGAATCCTTCTTTTGCTTTAAATCAACAAAATGGAGACCCCCGCCATCACCCTCGAGACCTACGTCCCCCGCAAGTGGTACGAACAACGAACAAAGAGCAGATTCAAGGAGGGAGGGGGGGGGGGAGGGATTTTATTTTTTATTTTTTTTTATTATTCTTCAAAGCTTTCAGAAGGATCGCGTGCGGAAAACAATTGCAGGAGAACAAGGAAGATCGACCCTGGGGCGAGTTTGAATTATATAATATATGATCGACTGCCTGCAAGGATTTCTTTGTTATAACAAAGAAAAAGAAAGAAAGAAAGAGAGAAAAAGATATTCAGCAATTGTCAGCAAAGACGATATACGAGTTCGGAATTCGCAGGACAAGAGAGAAGGAGGAGGAATGGAAGGAGGAGGATCTCTTGGCGACTTTTTAGATCTGAGAAGGAACCATCATCCAATGAACGATCTGGAGAGGAAAAAAAAAAAAAAAAAAGCGGGCAGCGCACACCCGGGCTTGGGTTATTATTCTTCTTGCGGTGCACAAGCACCGTTAACGTTGAACTGCTTTTCCTGTGGAGCAGAGCAACATTCGAGGCGTCTTTTATTTCATATCCACGCCAACAGCGCCTCTTTCTTTTCACTCCTTTTTTTTCTATTTTCTCACAACAATCCTCCACGATGGACGAAGAACAGCAGGACAGAACAGCGTCGATCTTCTTACTTGAGGGGGAAAAAAAACAAATGATTTCAGTATCGACTAAAACCCCTCCTCCTCCTGTGCTCACTCCGCTCCTGTATGATAGCTCTGCCACCAACCGCCTGATCGGTTCCAAGGACCACGCCTCGGTCCAGATCAACATTGGTGACGTTGACGAGAACGGTCGCTACACCGGCTCGTTCACGACCTATGCCCTCTCTGGCTACGTCCGTGCCCAGTCCGAGGCTGATGACTCCATTAACCGCCTGGCCACCAAGGATGGTTGTAAGTGAACATTGAGTTGTATTTCATGGAGTTTTCATGCCCTGGGCTTTTTTTTTTTTTTTTTTTTTCTTCAGTAGTAAAGAAAAGCTGACTGATCTCCGTTATTTTCTGTTCGCGCTTGTTTGTTTTTAGTGTTGTCCATGGTCTGGAGCTACCAGAAGTAAATAGAGAAAGAACGGACTACCCCCATTTTCTTTATTCTCTCTATAAACTTTTTTTTTTTTTTTTCTTTCGCCTCTCGAGAAATAAATGTCCAAGATATTTTTTGGAGACGTATATCTTTTTGGTTCATTCTCATGGGCCATGCTTTCATTTGGAACCCAAGCTGGGCTGCAAGATCGCTTGTGTAGTGGGAATTATAACGTTTTATGTTTGGTATTTTTTTTTTTTTCAATATCGAGTAACTTGTTTCTTGTTTGGTTTTTTTTTTTTTTTTTGTCCGCCGGGTATACGACAACTGAAGGATGTTCAGTGCGCTGGGACGATTAGAAACGCTCTATAAATGAAAAAAATAAATAAATCGTGGTCTGTTCTATGCTGAAGAAGAAAAAGGACACTGAAGACAAGATCGAGTTGTTTGTGTACATGAAAAAGAAGTGAATGGAGAGGATGATTATAAAGAGGGGAGAAACCACAAAAGAAAAAGAAAAAGAAAAAAAAATCCTTAGAAAACGGCCTTCTTGAGGTCCTCCAAGGAACTGATGACGATGGGAGTCTTGATGGACTTTCCAGCGACAATCTCGCTCAAGCCCTCTCCCGAGTACGTGACCAAGGACGAGATCTCCAACGTGGGTGCGCCCTCGATCTGTTGATCCTCCTCACCAACGACAACCTTTCCACCAGCGTCCTCGATGAACCGCACATGCTGCTGCAGGATATCCCGCCTCGAGGTCTCGGGGCAGTCCTGACCGGATCCCGGTGCGTTCTTCAGTGGCGAGAACTCCTCACGACGATCGACCTCAAAGACGGCCATCCGCTGGGTGAAGGGGAAGACATCAAAAACAAACATCTCGAGCTTCATGCCGTTGACCTGCTTGGGGGTGATGATCTCTCCCGTCTGCATGTCCAGGGTCTTGATCTTCTTGCGTGCGATATGGTACTCGAGCTCGCCCTCGAACGACTCGACCTTGTTCAAGAAATCGACCGTGTAGAAATGGTTGGCGATGTTACCGGCCCCGAAGGAGAGCTGTCCATTCTTGGGGTTGATCCTGTGTGCAACCTCCTCATCAATCTCCGAGTATTCGACCACGTTAAAGGCCGAATTCCTCAGACAGACCACACCAACGGGCTCATCGGGCGACTTTTTGCGGACGACCTTGGCGCCGCAGTCCGCGTTCTTCTGGACACAGTACCCGATAAAGACGGGGTCGGCCACATGAACGAGACAGTTATCGACACAGTAGACGTGCAGGTATTCGACCTTGCGCTCCGCCATGTTCGCCAGGACACCAGTCGTACGAAGGGCCGCATAGACACCTCCGTTACCGTCAGGTGCGACCGCGATCTGAGACTTGGACTCCATCATGATCTTGCCGTCGAATGTCATGCAAGGAAGGGTTCCTATTGTTTCAAAGGGTTCCGAATGGGCGGTTTTTAGTATGCGATGAAGATTATAAATAAATTACGCCGATACGGTTTTCCTGCAGTTCCAGTTCCAGTTCCATGTTCGTTCATTCGTTCCAGTGGTATCTAATTTTGAATCCTATGGTCCGAAAGGGAAATGCGCTCTGACCAAGTCGATGCCTGTGGACAATATCGGACCCTCCCACGTTCAGCCAACCAGGAACCCCTCCCCCCCATTTCTCAGGGCTCAAAAAAAAAAAAAAAAAAAAAAAAAAAAAAAGTGTATATATGAAAAAAGTCGTTCCTTCATCCACGTCTTTCTCTCACCCTAATCGATCAATTAATAAACGGAAAAAATAAAGAGCGAAAACTATCGGGTTGCAAAGCCGTTGAAGGAGCCGCTCAATTGCTCAGGGTGTGTTCCCGCTGATGTCATTTTGCGTATGCAGAAGGCACTCCCGAGAGATTGGAGTGGGCGAGGGCGTGGTAAAATTAAATAAATAAAAAAAGCGAGTTAAAAAATCCAGAGTAGAATAAGCTCTTCTTCACGTTCTATCGGAGCAAGTTGGAGAGATAGGGCTGGGCGAGCTGGGGGTTGGGATAGACTAATGCATAGATGCCATTTGAGCATTCCTCCCCCTCCCTCTTTGTCCTTGCATGGACCCTGATGAAATAAAATAAAATAAAAAAGCTTCCAAGATTTCGGTTGATGAACAACAAATGACGCTCTTGGGGGGGGGTCGCTGTCTAACTGTGTTCCTGAACAATAATAGCCAAACAGGCTATGATCGAATCCGCCCAAAAAAAGGAAAAAAGGACACTTTACTTACCCTGCTCAAAAAAGACAATGTTCCCGCTCTCGAGTCCAAAGTAGTTGTGTTCCTCAAAGTACTTGACGGTCGCAGTACGGGTGGGTCCAGAGGTCATGACATACCAAGGAATGACCACCTTGGCCTTTGCGCCTTCCTGCTTGCTCGCCAACTCCTGCAGTCTCAAGATACGCTCGGCCTGGATCTGGAACAGCGACTTTGACGAGGGCAAATTGATATCGTAGCAGCCCTTGGGTGCGGTCGACCCCAGGCGGGTGCCCTGTCCACCGGCCAGGAGGATGACGCCGACCTTGTTCTGGGCAATCTGGTTCAGACCGATGGTTTGCCACTCGTGCATCTTCTCCGAGGAGGCCTCGAGAGTCGACTCGAAGCATTCTTCGGGCAAGGGACCGAGGAGGACGGATTGGTTGCTGAGCATGGGGGACGGGCAGGTGGTGGCCTTTTGGTGGATCCGGTTGGCGCGCTCGACGTTGAGGGACTGGAGCTGGGAAAGGAGTTCGGCTTTTTCGGATTCGGGGAGGTCATCGTAAAAGTTCAGGAGATGGCCTTGGCCGGCGGCCTGGTAGCGGTCCTTGATTTGTTGGTAGGTCAGGGACGAGGCGTTGGTGTTGGCGTCGACGGGCTTGGGGGTTTGGATGGAGAGCGGGCTGTTGTTGGCGGCAATCATGGCGAGGATATGTGTGTGTATGTGTGTGTGTGTGTGGGTAGGGATGTATGCAAGGAGGGAGGGAGGGAGGAAAGGAAAGGGAGAAGAGATGAAGAGATGAAGAGATGCTAGATGGAGAAAGAAGAAAGAGAGATGATGATGATGATGATGATGATGAGAAGCAAGATTGAGAGCAATGGAGATCGAGTCCCAAGGAGAGAGCAGTACCGTGGTGAGGAATGACGACGGACAGGATGGGGGATTGCCTTACCAACAGAGGGAAGAGGGGATGGACAAAGGAGCGAAGGTGGAGAGAAGAGGGGATGGGCAAAGGAGCGAAGGTGGAGGTCGAGGGTGTGAGATGCAGTGCGAAGGGTGGAAGTGTCCTCTGCTCAGGCACATCCGCCCACACCACGGAGCCAGACCCCAGGCACCGCCATACAGCCCCCTCCCCCAGCTGATTGGACTCCCAGGAGGATAATTCATATAGTTAGCAGTAAACCAACGAGCGGAGAAGGGCAGGGAAAGAGAGGGGGCAGGGCTGTGTTATTTTTAGAGACCCACCGGGGGGGGGGGATCGTGGACACTGACCACCCACCGCTTCGCCTCTTCTTCTCGCGGGCTGCTTTTTATGCAGTCCCCTGCGCTGCTCGAGGGAAGCAGGCCTGCCCACGGACCAAACAAACAAAAGCGCATGCGGATCGAGGGTCGCTTGGTGGCCAGCCCGGCTCCACTCCCCCGCACGTGCGTTGTTTTTTTGGTGGCGAGTGCTCTGGAGGGCGCATTATGGAGGTGAGACAGCGATGAGCCAATGGTGATGCCTCTGCTGCCGCGTCCGTTTCTGCTCAATGCATATCCACGTACATGTACTGCACAGACACGGCAGAGGCAGAGGAGACTCTTCTTCCCCTCTGCCCTCTTTGCCCTCCTCTCCTTCTTTCCTCCCTCATCCTCTCCCTATAAACACACAACACACCCATACATTCTAGACTGGACTGGACTGGACTAGACCTGTTTGACTTGACTTGACTTGCTTGCCTGACTTGACTGGACTGGACTCGACTGGACTTGACTTTGATTCGGTTTGACTGACTTGACTTGCCTTGACTGGTGCTGATCTGATCTGATCTGATCTGGCCGTCCACTCCCATCCCATCGTGATACGCCTTCAACCCCATGGCTCAGCTTCCGCCCCAACCGCCCCCGAATGCCGCGGCCACCAGCGCGTCCGCCCCGCTGCCCACGCCGCGTCAAGGCATCCTCCGCAACCCCCCTTCAGCCTCCCATACCCGCACCCAGCGAATGAACAGCATCATCCCCCCGCCCGATGACTTTCGCGACGACGACCTCGACAACGATTACTCTGAAGATGACGATCTCCCCGAGCTGACCCCCGACGAGGCCTACCAAAACGCACTCGGAGGCCGATGGGGTGAGGGCCCCAGTAGGGTTGATGTCATCGACGCCGAACGCGACTTCCGACAACTCGAGCGAACCTTGAGCCATCTCTCGCGTAGCAGCAGCGCAGCTGCGGCCGGCGGTGTTGAACCAGGCATGCCCCGGCGAAAGAGTGCGCGTAAGCTTCAGCCCGAACTAGGTCCCACTCAGGAAGAGGCAATCAAACAGGAGGGCGATTTCGACTATGAGACCCACCTGAAGGAGAAGATCATCCCTGGTGCAGCCGCCAAGGGCATCAAGATGAAGACCATGGGCGTCTGCTGGAAGCAACTCAGTGTCATTGGCGAGGGCGTGGGCGAGCAGTTCATAACCACAACCGGCGATCCCTTCATTGGTCTGTTCAATCTCGTGAACCCGTTTTTCTGGGTCCGCAAGTGCACGAACCGAGAAGGGAGCTCCAAGAAGATCACAAAGACGATCCTTTACCCCATGGATGGCTGCTGTCAAGAGGGCGAGATGATCCTGGTCCTGGGCAGGCCTGGTTCGGGCTGTTCAACCCTCCTGCGAGTCCTCGCCAATGATCGCAAGAACTACAAGAAGGTCCTGGGCGAGGTGACCTTCAACGGCCTGAGTGCAGAAACTGTCCATAAGCATTACAAGGGCGAGGTCCTCTACAACCAAGAAGGTAAGTCTGATCTGATCTGACCCCATCCTAGTCGCTAGTATGACGCGCCCAAAAGAAAGAAAATATGATCCAATAATCAAAGCTCCGCAACACCAAGACATTTTTTACTAATCGGTTTCACGTCTTTTCCCTCCCAGATGATTTCCATTATCCAACGCTGACTGTCCGCCAGACTCTGGACACGGCCATCAAGGCCAAGACCCCGCGAGCGCGTCTGCCAGACATGTCCAGCCGCAAGGACTTTCGAGAAAAGTTTCTCGATGTCCTCACCACCATGTACGGTTTGACTCGCCAGAAGGAAACCCTTGTTGGAAACGCGTTCATCCGCGGTATTTCCGGTGGAGAGCGAAAGCGCCTCTCGATCGCCGAGCAGATGGCCACCCGTTCGAGCATCAACATGTGGGACGGATCCACGCGTGGTCTCGATGCATCCTCCGCTCTCGACTACGTCAAATCCCTCCGTGTCCAGACCGACTTGCTACGACGTGCCACCTTGGTCTCGATCTATCAGGCCTCCGAGAATATTTACGATCTGTTTGACCAGGTCCTATTGCTCTACGATGGACACTGCATCTTCTTTGGGCCCGCAGAGCAAGCGCGCCAGTACTTTATCAACATGGGTTTCAGTTGTCCTGCCCGTCAGACTACAGCCGATTTCCTAACGGCTGTCACAGACCCACATGAGCGCAGACCTGCAGAGGGCCTCGATCCAAACATCGCGTCGAACATGCCAAGCACACCAGAGCAGTTTGAGGCTCTTTACAGGCAATCTGAGTTCTATGAGCAGACGCTCAAGCAACTTGCAGAGTACGAGGCCGAGTTGGAAAACAGGGAGGCAGATGACACCTTTATGGAGGCCACACGCCAGACCAAGCAGAAGCATGTCTCTGTTAAGAATCCGTACACGATTACGTACCTGAACCAGATCTGGGCCATGACCGTCCGCCAGGTCCAGCTGGTGAAAGGAGACATTGGCAGTTTAATCTCCCGTTATGGTTCTGTAAGTAGATGAATCCCGTCGCTGTTTGCTTATATATATCATGATATGGGCGAGATACAGTTGCTAACAACGCCAACCTTTCAATCTGATAGATGCTTATCAAGGCATTTGTGGTCGGTACCTGTTTTCTGTTGCTTCCTACGAACAGTTCAGGTATAGTCGCGATGATCGATGTTTACTATTGCTTTTTTTTTTTTTTTTTTTTTTGTATAATGACCTTTCCTTCGTCCATGATAGGCGCGTTCACCAGAGGAGGTGTACTGTTCTTTTCGTTGCTGTTCAATGCTCTGATTGCACAGGCCGAGTTGCCGACGGCATTGCAGGGTCGTCCTATCTTGTACAAGCTCAAGAACTATGCTATGTATCGCCCTTCGTCCTTTGGTCTCGCCCAAATCGTTCTCGACATCCCGATCATTGTAGTCCACAACCTGCTCTTCGCCATCGTTCTCTACTTCCTTTCAGGCCTTCAGCGTACTGCTGGAAAATTCTTTGTCTTTGTTTTGATCCTATCCCTGGCAACGGGATGTATGACAGCCTTCTTCCGCATGTGGTAAGTACAGCTGCATCTCTGGGGAGGGAGTTTTTTTTTTTCTACTTTTTTTTTCTCTCATTCGATCGGAATGATGTAAAGTGTTTTCATACTCTAACAGGCACGTCTGAGTATCGTATGAATCTAGGGGATGCGCTTCAAAGACCTTTGATGATGCTACAAAGTATTCTGGTGTCCTTCTGCTGGCCTTGGTTCTCTACTCTGGGTATCTGATCCCTTACCAGGCTATGCATCCTTGGTTTATTTGGATCTTCTGGATGTAAGGACATGCTTGCTACCTATTATACCTGATCATAGCCTTCAAGCTGATAATGAAAGAGAAGAAAGCAGAAAGAGTCATTAATCTGACATTTGCGTTTATTCTCCATGATAGAAACCCGCTGGCCTATGCGTTTAAAGCGCTGATGGCAAACGAAATGTCAGGACTACGGTTCTCTTGCGAGGCTCCATACCTGATCCCGTACGGTCCGGGCTACGATAACCTTGCGAACCAGGTCTGCACTTTGGCTGGATCCAAGCCAGGCCAGAACTACGTCGATGGACCCGATTACATGTATGGTGCTTTCCGCTACAAGGCCTCTCAAATGTGGATCAACATTGTGGCTGTGCTGCTCTTCTGGATTTTATTCGCCGCTTTGACTGCCTGGGCCATGGAAGCCAAGGAGTTTGGCAAGGGAGGTTTTAGTACAAACGTCTTCAAGCGACCTAAGAGGTCCAAGGCAGGAGCCCCTGACGGTCCGGCTAACGGCCATATAGCTCCTGATGTGGAGCGTGGTATGGATCCAAACTCTTACCAAACACAGCAGCCCGCAGGGGTGAATCCGGCCGTAGCAGCCGCTGGTACACAGCAGGGCGTCCCGCTCAAGGAGAATATGGTCAAGGGATCTGTTTTTTCGTGGGAGAATTTGGACTATGTTGTCCCTTACAAGGCCGACCCCTCTGGCAAGAAGCAGCTCCTGAACAAGATCGCAGGTCTGGTTAGGCCCGGAACAATGACTGCACTCATGGGATCCTCTGGTGCAGGAAAGACGACCCTCTTGGATGTTCTCGCTCAAAGAAAGAGCATGGGCACTGTAACAGGTCAGGTCGAGGTCGATGGGCAGCCTCTGCGTCGTGATTTCCAGCGCACCACCGGATACTGCGAGCAGCTCGATGTACACGTTCCCGAGTGCACTGTTCGTGAATCACTCCAGTTCTCAGCATACCTGCGTCAGCCAGCTGAGGTCTCTGAGGCCGCGAAGGATGCGTATGTGGAGGAGATCATTCACATTCTCGAGATGGAGGGCATTGCGGACGCCATGATCGGAACCACAGAGTCAGGTTTCGGTATCTCGGTTGAGGAGCGCAAGCGTCTGACGATCGGTGTAGAACTGGTAGCCAAGCCCAGGCTGCTGTTTTTAGACGAACCCACGTCAGGTCTGGATGCTCAAGCTTCGTACAACATTATGCGTTTCATGCGCAAACTCGCCAATCAAGGACAAGCCATTCTCTGCACGATCCATCAACCTTCTTCTCAGCTGTTTGAGTTCTTTGACGACCTGCTGTTGTTGGCCAAGGGTGGGCGGACCGTGTTCTTTGGCGAGCTCGGCAAGGATTCGTCGCAACTGATCCAGTACTTTGAGATGAACGGTGCCCCCAAGTGCGCCGCAGACGCGAACCCGGCCGAGTACATTCTGGATGTGGTCAATTCTAGGCACTCGGATCTGGACTGGCCCGAGATTTGGAACACGTCTCCCGAAAAGGAGCAGCTGCTCAAGGATATCCAGGAGACGCGTGCTTCAATCTCTGCGACCGGTGTTGATCACTCGGCCGAGCTCGAATACGCGACCAACACACGCACACAGTTCAAGTACGTGCTCCGACGTATGACCAGGACCTTCTGGCGTCTCCCCGGCTACAACCTAGGTCGGTTGGGGATGCTGACGATCTTTGCACTCCTGAACGGATTCACGTTCTTTCGGTTGGGTCACAGCATTGTGGACATGCAGTCGCGCGTGTTTGTTATTTTCCAGATCTTGGTCATGGCACCGCTGCTGTGCAACACGGTCGAGCCTCGGTTCCAGACTGAGCGACAGTGGTTTTTCCGAGAGAAGGCGGGAAAGTACTATGACTGGATTCCGTTTGCGGCGTCGATCATCTTGACGGAATTGCCGTATATAATCGTTACGTCGACAGTGTTCTTCCTGATCCTGTACTGGACCGTGGGGTTTGTGACGAATCCGCTGTCGACGTTCTTTACGTGGCTGATGGTGATTATTTTTACGACCTTTGCGATTACGTTGGGTCAGTGGATCGCTGCGTGGACACCTTCGGCCCAGATCGCGGCGCTGTTGAATCCGTTTATTATCTCGGCACTGAACCTGTTCTGCGGTGTTGTCATGCCCTATGCAAGTATGCCCGGATTCTGGCGTTCCTGGCTCTACTGGCTTGATCCGTAAGTAGTGTGTATTGTGAACTTTATGCTTTTTCATCCATTTACTCTTTTTTTTTTTTTTTTTTTTTTTTTTGTCTATCTGAGGATTCAGATTCGGATGGATTCCCTAACGACATTTTTTTTTTTGGATCCATAATAATTTCTGGTGGTTTTTCCTATAGGTACCGGTATTTGGTAGAAGCACTGGTGACGACGCAGCTGTATAATGTACGGGTTGTATGCGACAGTTCCGAGTATAGAGCCTTCCAACCACCCGCAGGACAGACGTGCGGTGCCTATGCGGCCGAGTTCCTCCAGCGTGCGTCGGGTTACCTCAGTAACCCGGATGAGAGTTCAGACTGTCAGTACTGTCAGTATTCGTACGGGCAGGACTTTTACAGGAACCTGAATATGGATTTTTCACATCGGTGGAGGAACCTGGGGATTTCTTGTATTTATATCGTCAGCAATATTGTCCTGATCGTCTTGGGCGTCAGGTTCTTCAAGGGCGCGAAACGTTAGAAAGAAGAAAAGAAAAAAGAATGCTTCTATTAATTATTACTTTAGAATGAAAGAAAAAAAAAAAAAAAAAAAAAAAAAGAGTCCTTCTATAAAGTGTAAATAAAGGTATCTGTTAAAGACTCCATGGTATATGAATGAAGTTGGAGAGAAGGAAGGGATCAATTAAAGACATGGATATGGGTCTGGTTCAGAATTCGCTTCAGCTCGTAGTAACGAGATGGATCGCGCGTGAGTCGGCCGCCCAAGGTTCGCAAGCCTGGCCAGGAGTCGATGATCCAGCGGATTTCGGCCAGACCCATGTCTTGATGGTCGCTCGAGAAAATGAAGGAATGTAGGTCTCTCAGGGTGGAGAGCGATCCCAGACCGGCAGCCAAGGTAAGATCCAGGGTTCGTCTCCACTTGTTGAGCCTTTTGGGGTAGCCCCGTTGCAGAGTAAGAGCGCGGAGTCGCGTCAGGGTCGGGAGGCGCTGGTAGACGAGCCGTTGATGAATATCGAAGAGGTCTTTTTCCTGAATGGAGAGTTTGGTCTTGTCCTGGGGGGGTGGCCTTGTCCTGGGAGGTGGACATGTCGATGCAAATGATGAGGTGCTGGAGGTTGAGAGAGACCCAGGGAGGGCCGTTAACGGTATCGAGGCAGTTGAGCTTGTAGGCGGAGAGGTATTCGAGTCCCGGCATGGAGGAGAGGAAGGTCTGGACCATCGAGCTCTTCACGTAGGGACATTTAGTGAGGTCGAGGATCTTGATGGACAGATAGTGTTTTGCGATGGCGTCCATGGCCGAGGGTCCGAAGGCAGTGTTGACGACGCGGAGGTTCATGAGGCGAGTGATGCCTTCGAGGATCATGGCTAGATCATAATCCTTGACGTCCGCACCCTTGAAATCGAGGTCTTCAAGCTGGGGCCAGTGTCCGGCGAGGAAGGCCAGGCCGAGCCGTTGGAGGGGCAGGCAGTTGGACTGGTTGTAGTAGTCCGCGGGAGAGCTCCGCCAGTAGAGTGAGCGTAGATCGGGGAAGCGCATGAGCAGGTCGACTCCGTCCTCGCCAGCGGCCCCCTGTCTGGGCTCGTCGACAAAGATGTGGCGCAATCGAGAGAGGCGGATGTCGTTGCCCGGCTTCGTTGATGTTGGCCGGGTGGGGAGGGAGATGTTCTTGAGACGGAGGGTGTCGAGGTCCAGCAAGGCCCTCCAGAGCTCGTTCAGTGCTTTCCCACGGTCTTGGGGTTGGATCAAGTGTCCCTGGAGCGTGAGGGTCTGGAGGTCCAGGCAGGATGCGATGGCGGCACAGAATTCCGGGGGCATGGCCTCCTCATGGAGCGCGTGGATGGTGGCGGTGATATGGCGAAGGGATTTGTAGTGGTGTGAGATGAGAGATCTCCAGGGTCCCCAGGAGTTGGAGTCGTGGAGGGCGGGGTGCGGGAGGTTGAGGGAGAGGTGGGAGAGGTTGACGCAGCTCTGGAAGGCGGACGGGGAGAGGGAGGAGCAGATGTTGAGGGAGAGGTGGTGGATGCGATGTTGGTGCTGGAGGAGGAGGGGGCCTGAGGGAAGGCACTGGGGCTTGCGGCAGTGGAAGGCGGGGGAGTGCCAGAGGAGGGGGATGAAGGCGGCGTGGAAGGAGTGGCAGCATTGGGCGCAGGCGAGGAGGGCAGAGGGCGGGAGGAAGTATCCGATCGAGGTCAGGATCTCGGAGAGGGTGAGGGCGCGATGCATTGGAGGGATGGGAATGGGAGTACCGGAGCCAGGAGGGGGCAAGGATGCGGGGGTGGATGGCAGGGGGAGGAGGGCGAGAAGAAGGAGGGGCGAGAAGATGACGGGGGAGTATTGGTAGCAACCGACTGCGGCTGCACGCGAAACGGGGGGAGGGGAGGGGGCGATGCTGCAATGTGCCGCATTGACACATTCGCATATTCACACATTCACACTTTGTCTTTTCTTTTTCTTTTCTTGTCATCATCTCTCTCTTTCTCATCTCTCTCTTTTTCTCTCCTCTTCTTTTTCTCTTCTCTCCATTTCACAATGTCCAATTCTACCCCTCCTCATCCTCATGGAAGCAGCAGCTCCCATGACCCCGCCTCGTCGAATGCATCGGCAAGTGCCCGCAACGCTCAGGCGGCGGCAGCCTTGCGTATGCTGCAGAACAAGCGCCCAGTCCCCAAGATCGACTTTACGGTCCATACCATGGACGATGGCACCACAGCCTCAACCCTGGAACGATACAGCAAAGGTACTACTACCAGGACAGCACTCCATCGCCGTGAATTTCTATTCTATGGTGCACAGAGCTCTTCCTCTTCAGAAAACAAACGTCGATCAGCCCCGGAATATTGTTAGGAGCGCCAACCCAATCCAGACTGAACTCAACCTGGATACTCGCCTTTGGATCATGAAGCACTGACCACGAAGATCACACCGCTCTCAGAGCTCGATCCTTGGAAGGAATTCGCTTGCTCAAATGAGGACCCCTCCCTCCCTCCTCTCCTCGCCCTTGGCATTGGCTTTTTGTTAGCTTAATCAGAAGAACCTCCTTTGCTTGCTTGCCCCTTGCTGCCAAAAAAAACTGACATTTCATCGACGGTCGTACACACTTTTCTTGAACCAACTGTAGATGTGCAGGCGCCCGCGGTATCGGTTCCGACGGACGAGATGTTCTTTTCGAAAGAGTTTCCGGACCGGCCCAACATCGCGTTCCTAAAGGACCACTTTTTCCGCGAGGGAAGGCTCACGGAGGACCAGGCCATCTATATTCTGCAAAAGGCCACGGACATTATGAAGAAGGAACCAAACATGCTTGATGTCGATGCTCCTATGACAGGTAAGCCAACTCGTGGATGCAGTTATCGATCGAGAGATCGATTTTCGGCTGATTGCTAACTGGACTGTGTGGTGTCTGTCCTCGCTCTTCTTGATTAGTATGTGGCGACATTCATGGACAGTACTATGACTTGATGAAGCTGTTTGAGATTGGCGGGGATCCAGAGACGACGCGGTACTTGTTTCTGGGTGACTATGTCGACCGTGGGTACTTTTCCATCGAGGTATGTACACTCGAGCTTTCTTTAACGAAGGAGCGTTCTCAGGATCGACATCCATGGACAACAACAGCGACTCATCCTTATCATGGCTTGCGATGCAATAGTGTGTCCTTTATCTTTGGTCGCTCAAGATCTGGTACCCGGACAGCATGTTCTTTCTGCGAGGAAACCATGAATGCAGGCACTTGACCGACTACTTCACATTCAAGGCCGAATGTACGTGATGCATGTGCTCGTGTGATATCATGCCAGGGATCGAGAAACCACACTACGCCCGAAATATCCTTACTGATCTGTGCTACGGGAATGTCTTTACTCCCAAAAAAAAAAAAAAAAAAAAAAAAAAAGGCAAGCACAAGTACTCGGAAAGGGTCTATGATGCCTGCACAGAGTCGTTTTGCGCCCTGCCCTTGGCTGCGCTTATGAACAAGCAGTTTCTGTGCGTCCATGGTGGACTTTCACCGGAGCTGAATACACTGGATGACTTCCGTAAGATCAATCGATTCAGAGAACCACCGACTCATGGACTTATGGGCGATTTACTGTGGGCGGATCCGCTAGAAGAGTTTGGTCAGGAAAAGACGAACGAATACTTTGTTCACAACCACGTCCGAGGATGTTCATACTTTTTCAGGTCAGTCATGAGTCGGTTTGTCGCAGCATATGAAGAGTCGAATTCGCGGCAGGAGTTTTTTTGACATGTGTTTTTTTTTCTTATATCTTTGTTTCTGCTATCTTTGCGATGCATAGTTATCACGCGGCATGCGCGTTCCTGGAAAAGAACAATTTGCTGTCAATTATTCGTGCACACGAGGCGCAGGATGCTGGATACCGGATGTATCGAAAGACAAAGACGACTGGATTCCCGTCGGTCATGACTATTTTCTCAGCCCCCAACTACCTGGACGTCTATCACAACAAAGGTCGGTGAGCGCTCGCATAGGAAATGACAACAAAAAACAGTAGCGATACTGATAGGCAATGTCTGTGCTCTGAATAGCGGCGATTATCAAGTACGAAAATAATGTCATGAATATCCGGTAGGTGTACCATCATCAGGACGCGTTTGTGGTAGTTGATATATTCCTTTTGTGGTCCTATGGGACTGACAGAGCTTTCTGCTATCCGGACTTTTAGGCAATTCAACGCGTCGCCACATCCGTACTGGCTTCCGAACTTCATGGACGTCTTTACATGGTCTTTGCCCTTTGTTGGCGAAAAGAGTATGTTTCTTGTCCTCATTGTCCATACCTTGCTTTTCGAACATGTCTTTTTGCGCAAAAACATCTCACCCATTCTTCCCCCCTCCTGCGGTACCAATGTTTCCAGTCTCCGATATGCTGCTGGCGATTCTGAACACATGTAGTAAAGAAGAACTGGCAGAGGATGATCTAATCCTCAACATTAAGGACTCAACAGCCCTCGGCAGTGCGTCCCCAATCTCAGCTACAGTCACGTTGTCATCAGCAACAGTGGGCGGTAAGGGACTGCAGCAGGATTCAGGCCCCAGCTATGATGCATCAGTAGCAGCGGTGCTTGAAGAGAAGGAGGCCAGCAGGAATCGAATTCGACAAAAGATCCTGGCTGTCGGGCGTATCTCTCGCGTGTTTGCGGTCCTGAGAGAAGAATCCGAGTCGGTTTCGGAACTCAAGGACCTGATGGGTACGACACGGTTACCTTATGGATCGTTGGCGTTGGGTGCCGAGGGGTTGAGGCAGGCGATTCATTCGTTTGAGGACGCAAGGAAATCGGATATCGAGAACGAGAGGTTGCCGCCGAGCAAGGAGGAGAGAGAGAAGGAGGAGATGGATAAGAGGCAGAGGGCAATCGATGAGGCACAGCACACACCACAGGCGATGCTGGACAAGGTGGAGGAAATGAAGATGCTGGGTGAGATGTAGAGGTTCGGAGGGAGCTCAGATACGATATGTGAACCGATCGCGTTTTTGGTACACATGGCGCTAGGTCAAAAAATAAAGATCTAGGTTGCATTGCTTATCTTACACATGCTGCCGCATTGGTGCTACTTGGCATCGTAGTATTCTAAACAGCTGAAGATGTAGATCGCCTTTCGCTGACCAGGGGCATATGTCCAAGGTGGTGATGTAAAGCACGAACAGCTGTGAGTGATGTGTCTGTTTGTTCAGTCCTCGGCCAAAACTAGTTCAGAGTGTGCTGCTTGTTTGCTATATGACTTCATGACGAGGCTTTTGTCATCTCATCCACATCTCTATAGTCGATGCGTTCTGTGTTGTGCTGCAGTTCAATGAAGGAGAAGGAGCTTCGAGAGCTTGTATGAAAAATCAAGAGGGTCGACACAGATGTGAACTGTGATACCGATATCTGCATCGTCGTGGGAATCTTTGTTCATGAACACATAAGAGATGTAAGGAGTGGTCGGTCATGCAGATCAGCATGATCTTCGTGTACAACTCCTTATAAATGGCTCAGTACACGATGACGAGGCGTGTTCAAAGATGGGCGAAGCAGGTAGGACTCCTTTTCTCCGAACTGAGAAGATGAGCTGCTAATGGTGATGGCTTTATTATATAGCGATCCTATTCAATATGTATCCATGGTCGTCTTTCCTTGAGCGTGGCCTTGAATTGGTCTTCTGCTAGCTGACCTTCTTTCGATAACTTGTTGCCATTCACGCCGCGAAGTACAATATGAATCAGAGCTGGCCAGTTCTCGATCATCCACTCTGCTTCCACTGCATCCAGTTGCTGATCCTGCTGCCTAGCCTCATAAACTAACGATTTCATTCTTTTTAGGCCCGATAGCCAGATCAAGAACCCATCTGACAGGTACAGTAGCTCAAACTCGCGTTCGAGGGTCCATTCCTCCAGCTCTATCAGTCTTCCCACCTGCTCAAAGATATAATGCATACAACGGTTCGTCATGCTGTTGACATGCCGCTCCCGAATGATCCTCATATCCTTTGACCCCCCCTTCCAAGTCAACGACAAATGCTTTAGACCTAAGCAAACCCACTGCTTCTGCAATGCCGCTTCCATACATTCAGCAAGATCGAGTCTTTCAGCCAAGTCGACTCTGGTCACCAGCGATTGTAGTCTCGGAAGGCCACTGAGTAGTGTCGCAAGGTCAGACAAGTGGATTGTGGTCCTTGGGGCCTTCAGAGACGTCAGCGTTGTGGAATGATACTCCACGAGGGCTAGTGCCAGTGTGCTCTCGAAATTACCATTTACCACAGCAAAGCTCTCGAGCCCACATTGTCTCTCCTGATTCCAAGTATCGTTGCCGGTGTAGTTACTATCTCTCTTACGTGCAAGCGGCCGCAGTAGCCCCACATCGCCTTCAAATGATTTGACGAAGAAAGTATTACCTGGGCATAGACGTTTCAGCCTCGGACACGCTCCATCTTCAAAGACGGACATGATCTCTTTCAATGCCCGGGGACCGCGGATTGGCCTTATATCGAGACTTTCCAATAGAGGGCAGCGCCTCAGAAGCGACGGCAAGAGGGCTCTTTCCTGATCTGGCTGCTCAAAGTAATATTTCAGCTCTCGCAGTCGGGTCACCGGCATGAGCTCCATAGCACGTTTAGCAGCTTGACGCCTCGCCATTGACTTCTCATTCAAATCCTCATCGTAACTTTCAAAGCCCAAGGTCAATGAATCAAGGCGGCTGCAGGTCTGGATCAGCTGTTGGATATAAATTGGAGAGGCATGTTTGCGGGATTGGAGGTCGAGTTTTTTGAGTTGAGGGAGGTGTAACAATGTCTCGAGTAGCCGAGCCTGGACTGACTCAAGATCGAGAAAGAGCTCGAGCTTGAGGGTCCGTAGAAAGAATAGTTCTGTCATCTGAAGCAAGCGGAGTAGCCTGAGATTGGATTCGACCATAGTGAATAGGCTGTGTCCATTGTCCTGTTCCAGGCGCCGGAGGTTGGGAAGAGGCCATAGGTCGTCCTTGGATGCGAATGCAGTGTCGACGCCGATGAGTTCCCGGATATGGTCACGGTACTTTATCAGAGTTGAAGATTCGATCTGGGGATGACGACGATTGATGGTGTGCCAAAGGGTTGGTGTGAACCAGGAGGACCATTGCTTGGAGACAAGGGAACACTGTGCCAAGTCGCACCTGGTGAGATACTGGGTGACCTCGTCCTTGAGATGTGGGATGGCAAAAATGGATATGTCCTCCATAGTGGAAGTGGATGGTGCAGTATTCGAAGCGATAGTAAAGGCCGGAGTCAGATTGGGATCGGGATGAGGAAGAGGATTAAGGAGAGAGGGTGTTTAAGGAGATAGAAGAGGAGAGAGAGAGAAAGAGAGAGGGTAGAGGTTCTCAGGCATCCATGGCCTATTGCTGGGGGCTCATGTTTTACTGCGGCACCTTATTACTTGAGGTTCCATGTTGAATCTATAACCCCTAGATCGATGCCTGTTTTACCGCTGTTTATGGTGTCAATGTCCGTGTCCTTCTGAAGAAGCGAGCAAAAATGGTCCCTGTCTGCCACGTTGTTTTGGATGATGAGTCTGTCCAGGGCCTGAAACATCCAGGGCAATCCCTATTAAACCCGTATAGAAACAAATTAAATAATACACTGACTAGAGCATCTGTCCAAGACGGTGATGTAAAGCACGAACAACTGTGAACGGTGTGTCTGTTGTTCAATCCTCGGTCAAAACTGGTTCAGAGTGTGTTGTTTGTTTGCGATAGGGCTTCATGACGAGGCTTTGTCATTTCTTCCACATTCTCTATAGTCGATGCATTTTGTGTCGTGCTGCAGTACAATGAAGGAGAAGATGCTTCGTGAGTTTGTATGAAAAATCAAAAGGGTCGGCATAGATGCCAGTTTTGATACCGATATCTGCATTTTCGTGGGAATCTTTGTCCATGAACGCATAAGAGTGCAAGGAGTCGTCGGTCATGCAGATCAGTATGGTCTTCGGGTATAACTCCTTATAAATGGCTCAGTACACGATGGGGTGCGTTCAAAAATGGGCGAAGCAGGTAAGATTTCTTTTCTCCGAACTGGGAAGATGAACTGCAAACGGTGATGGCTTTTATTATATCGCGATCCTATTCAATATGTATCCATGGTCGTCTTTTCTTGAGCGTGGCCTTGAATTGGTCCTCTGCCTGATGACCTTCATTCGTTAGATTGTTGCCTTTCACGCAGCGAAGTACAATATGAATCAGAGCTGGCCAGTTCTCGATCATCCACTTTGCTTCCTCTACATCCAGTTGCTGATCCTGCGTCCTAGCCCTGTAAACTAACGATTTCATTCTTTTTAGGCCCGATAGCCAGATCAAGAAGCCACCCGACAGGTACAGCTGCTCAAACTTGCGTCCGAGTGTCCATTCCTCCAGCTCTGTCAGTCTTCCCACCTGCTCAAAGATATAATGCATACAACGGTTCGTCATGGTGTTGATGTGCTGCTCCCGAATGGCCTCCAGAATGTTGTGCTCCCCCCCCAAGTCAATGACAAATACTTTAGACCTAAACAAACCCACTGCTTCTGCACTACCGCTTCCGCACCCTCAACAGGATCGAGTATTTGACTCAAACGGACTCTGATTACCAGCGACCGTAGTCTCGGAAGGCCGCTGAGTAGTGTTCCAAGGTCAGTCGAGCAGATACCGGGCCATGAGACCTTCAAAGACGTCAGCGTTGCGGAATGATACTCCACGAGGGCTGGTGCCATTAGGTCCCCGAAATAACCAAATGACTGAGCGAAGGTTTCGAGCCCACATTGTCTCTCCCGGTCCCAAGTATCATTGCCGGTGTAGTTACTATCGCTCTTACGTGAAAGCGACCGCACTATCTCCACATCGAGTTCAGATGAGCTGATGTCGAAAGCATTGCCTAAGTATAGACATCTCAGCCGTGGACACGCTCCATCTTCAAAGACGGATATGATCTTTTTCAATGTTTCCGGAGCGCACATTGTCCCTACATCGATACTTTCCAATAGAGGGCAGCGCGTCAGGAGCGATGGCAAGAGGGCCATTTCCAGATTTGAGAACTCAAAGTCACATTCCAGCTCTCGCAGTCGAGTCTCCGGCATAAGCTCCATAGCGCGTTTAGCAGTCTGGCACCCAGCCATTGACCTCTCAGTCGAATCCTCATCGTAACCTCCAAAGCTCAAGGTCAATGAATCAAGGTGGCTGCAGGTCTGGATCAGTTGTTGGGTATAAATCGGAGGGGCATATTTGCGGGATTCGAGGTCGAGTTTTTTGAGTTGAGGGAGGTGTAACAACGTCTCGAACAGCTGAATCTGGACTGATTCAAGATGGAGCAAGAGTCCAATTTTGAGGGTCTGTAGAATGAACAGTTCTGTCATCTGAAGCAATCGGAGTAGTTTGAGTTGGGGCTCGACCGTATGGTATACTTTGAGTCCATCATATATCTCCAGCCGTCGGAGGTTGGGAAGAGGCCACAGGTCGTCCTTGGATGCGAATGCAATGTCGACGCCGATGAGTTCCCGGATATGGTCACGGTACTTTATCAGAGTTGAAGATTCGATCTGGGGATGACGACGATTGATGGTGTGCCAGAGGATTGGTGTGAACCAGGAGGACCATTGCTTGGAGACAAGGGAACACTGTGCCAAGTCGCACCTGGTGAGATACTGGGTGACCTCGTCCCTGAGATGTGGGATGGCAAAAATGGATATGTCCTCCATAATGGAAGTGGATAGTGCAGTATTCGAAGCGATAGTAAAGGCCGGAGTCGGATCAGGGATCGGGATGAGGAAGAGGATAAAGAAGAGAAGGGGTTTAAGAAGACAGAAAGAGAAAGAGAAAGAGAGAGGATAGAGGTTCGCAAGCATCCATGGCTTAATGCTGGGGGCGCATGCTTTACTGCGGCACCTTAGTACTTGACGCTCCATGTTGAGTCTGTTACCCCTTGGTCGGTGCCTTGTTTACCGCTGTTTATGGTGTCAGTATCCGTGTTCTTCTGAAGAACCGAGCAAAAATGGTTCCTGTCTGCCATGTTGTTTTGGATGATGAGTCTGTCCAGTGCCAGGGCAATCCCTACTAAGCCTGTATAGAAACAAATTAAATAATACAATGCAGCAGACCTCTGGAAAGGCCCTTTCGCTGACTAGGGCATCTGTCCAAGACGGTGATGTAAAGCACAAGCAGCTGTAAATGATGTGTCTGTTGTTCAATCCTCGGCCAAAACTAGTTCAGAGTGTGTTGCTTGTTTGCTATAGGGCTTCATGACGAGGATTTTGTCATCTCATCCACATCCTCTTTAGCCGATGCGTTCTGCGTTGTGCTGCAGTACAGTGAAGGAGGAGCTTCGAGAACTTGTATGAAAAATCAAGAGGGTCGACACAAATGTGAACTGTGATATCGATATCTGCATCGTCGTGGGAATCTTTGTTCATGAACACATAAGAGATGCAAGGAGTCGTCAGTCGTGCAGATCAGCATGATCTTCGGGTATAACTCCTTATAAATGGCTCAGTACACGATGACGAGGCGTGTTCAAAGATGGGCGAAGCAGGTAGGACTCCTTTTCTCCGAACTGAGAAGATGAGCTGCTAATGGTGATGGCTTTATTATATAGCGATCCTATTCAATATGTATCCAGGGTCGTCTTTCCTTGAGCGTGGCCTTAAATTGGTCTTCTGCTAGCTGACCTTCTTTCGATAACTTGTTGCCATTCACGCCGTGAACTACAATATGACTCAGAGCAGGCCAGTTCTCGATCATCCACTTTGCTTCCGTTACATCCAGTTGCTGATCCTGCTTCCTAACCTCGTAAACTAACGATTTCATTCTCTTTAGACCCGATAACCAGATCAAGAACCCATCTGACAGGTACAGTAGCTCAAACTCGCGTTCGAGGGTCCATTCCTCCAGCTCTGTCAGTCTTCCCACCTGCTCAAAGATATAATGCATACAACGGTTCGTCATGCTGTTGACATGCCGCTCCCGAATGATCCTCATAGCCTTTGGTCCTGTCCACCAAGTCAATGTCAAATTCTTTAGACCTAAACAAACCCACTGCTTCTGCAATGCCGTTTCCATACCTTCAGCAAGGTCGAGTCTTTCAGCCAAGCTGACTCTGATCACCAGTGATTGTAGTCTTGGAAGGCCACTGAGTAGTGTCGCAAGGTCAGACAAGCGGATTGTGGCCCATGAGACCTTCAGAGACGTCAGCGTTGTGGAATGATACTCCACGAGGGCTAGTGCCAGTGTGCTCTCGAAACTACCATTCACCACAGCAAAGCTCTCGAGCCCACATTGTCTCTCCTGATTCCAAGTATCGTTGCCGGTGTAGTTACTATCTCTCTTACGTGCAAGCGACCGCAGTAGTCCCACATCGAGTCTAGATGAGTCGAGGATGTAAGCACTGCCTAAGTATAGACATCTCAGCCGTGGACACGCTCCATCTTCAAAGACAGATATGATCTCTTTCCATGTCCCCAGATTGTAGATTGCCCTTATATCGAGACTTTCCAATAGAGGGCAGCGCCTCAGAAGCGACGGCAAGAGATCTAGCTGCCCAAAGTTATATTTCAGCTCTCGCAGTCGAGTCTCCGGCATGAGCTCCATGGCACGTTTAGCAGCTTGACACATCGCCATTGACCTCTCATTCGAATCCCCATCGTAGGTCTCAGAGCGCAAGGTCAATGAATCAAGGCGGCTGCAGGTCTGGATCAGCTGTTGGATATAAATTGGAGAGGCATGTTTGTAAGATTGAAGGTCGAGTTTTTTGAGTTGAGGGAGGTGTAACAGCGTCTCGAGCAGCTGAATCTGGACTGATTCAAGATGGAGCAAGAACTCGATCTTGAAGGTCCGTAGAAATGACGGTTCTGTCGTCTGAAGAAATCGGAGTAGTTTGAGTTGGGACTCGACCATATGGTATGTGCTGTATCCATCATATATTTCCAGCTGTCGGAGGTTGGGAAGAGGCCACAGGTAGTCGTTGGATGCGAATGCGCTGTCGGCGTCGATGAGTTCCCGTATATGATCACGGTGCTTTGCCAGAGTCGAATACTCAGTCCGGTGGTGACGGGGGTTGATGGTGTGCCAGAGGGTTGGTGTGAACCAGGAGGACCATTGCTTGGAGACAAGGGAACATTGTGCCAAGTCGCACCTGGTGAGATACTGGGTGACCTCGTCCCTGAGATGTGGGATGGCAAAAATGGATATGTCCTCCATAGTGGAAGTGGATGGTGCAGTATTCGAAGCGAGAATAAAGGCCGAAGTCAGATTGGGATGAGGAAAAGGATAAAGAAGAGAAGGGGTTTAAGAAGACAGAAAGAGAAAGAGAAAGAGAGAGGATAGAGGTTCGCAAGCATCCATGGCTTAATGCTGGGGGCGCATGCTTTACTGCGGCACCTTAGTACTTGACGCTCCATGTTGAGTCTGTTACCCCTTGGTCGATGCCTTGTTTACCGCTGTTTATGGTGTCAATGTCCGTGTCCTTCTGAAGAAGCGAGCAAAAATGGTTCCTGTCTACCACGTTATTTTGGATGACGAATCTGTCCAGTGCCTGAAACATCCAGGGCAGCCCCTACTAAACCCCTGTATTGAAAAAAAAAAAAAAAAGATGCAGCAGGCCTCCGCTAAGGCCAGGGAGGGGAGGGGACACAGGCATGTTCTTTATACTTTATCCAACTCAGAAATTCCGTCGGCATGGTGAAGCACTGTGTAAAAATGGCAATGTGCAAATATTATTATGGACTGATATGCTATGGAATAGATGACATGGAGAGATTGTAAAAATGATATGATGAATGCGGATTAAAAGTTGATGGCACTTCCATGTAGTATGAACTCAACCCTTTTCGTCTTCTTCCTTCGTGTCTCTCTTGCTAAAAGTACAATTCAACGGTCAGCGTTTCGTTGGGGCAATGCCGCAAAGACGACCATTACCACCGTTGACCAAAAGATGCAATAACTCAGCATCCAGTACGCCCTCCATCGATGACGAACTCGAATCGACGGCTCCTGGATCCGTCTGAACCGGAACAAGTGTCTGTCTTCGCACCTAGTTTTACACATAAGAAAGAAGACCATATTCACAAGTCAGTCATCTACTTCCAAAGTATTTTCTGTTTCAAATTTGCTCACGCTCAAGCATAGTGCGAGAACACTTACATTTTGCCCAAGATTCCCAAGATCGGTGAGAAACCCTTGATGCCTGTCGCAAGACAAATCGATCCCGTCCAACCTCCGACCACTCCAACGAGCCACACCCACGGACTCTTCCATCCACCCATGCCCATCAGGATCAACGCCAACTGGATCCCGATCACCCCTAGCCAAAAAGCAACGCCGATCCAGACCATCCCTCGTTGCTTGATCACATTGCTCGGGTGGTGTCGCGTCAAGAGTCCCAGATTCTGTAGTTCAACATGCTTCAAAAACAGTGGATAATAGTGATCCAGGAGAACCACATCCACTACAAATCCCTTGGCTGGTCCAAATAAGTAAGGTGCATTCGCTCGACCCTCTTCTTGAACTTGAGTGTGGATACGTTGTCGACATTCCAGCGGCAAATAAAAGGCCGCTGCTGCTGCTGAGACCGCAACAGCTGCCGGCGACGATCCTGTAAAGCGAGGAGCCGATGTGGATGGGGCCGGCGAGGATACTGGCGTAGAGAATGCTGTTGGGTTTGTCATCAACGACGTGGCTGGTGTTATGCATGGCCTTGGCGGCTGCAATGAAGATCCCTCCATGCTCAAGGTGATTCCCCTTGCATTAGTGGAAGGTCCTGCCATGTTCGCATTTGAATGCAGGGGCTCTCCTTGAAATTGCGCAATCGAAGTACTGGCTGACAATGAACCATTCTTTAGTGTATCGATCCTACTCCCATCCTGGTCGCCAGTCCTGTCATCTACGCCCGAGATTTCCGTGGCAATCGCTGGTACTTGGGGCTGAAAACTAGACCTCTCAGCCAGAGGTGATGTTCTAGGGGTAGCCTTGGTGGTGTTAAAGGTGGATGAATTTGATCCGATGCCTCGAATAAATTTCGACAGGAAGGTTGAGAGTTGCCAACCCAGCCTCTGGGCAGCCGTTGATGCCGACTTTGCCGCCCTCCCGGTACTGGACCGCACTCCGTGCAAACCACGTCTTCCATAGGGCGATCGACGCTTGGAGGTCGTCACTGGCGACGGCAAAATCGTCACTATCAATACCAAGGCAATGGCAAATGGATCATGGTTAGGTACGGGATTAGAGAATCTTGGGTATGCGCTTTGTAACCCAAGCATTCGATTAATACCTTGCTTTTCAAGATCACGCCTGGTGATGTGATCCCATGAGGATGACAGCGACGAAGAAATCGAGGGTCGTGGGCTGATATGAGGTTCCGCACTGGTGCTAGGGTCGGCTTCGGTGCCATCGTCTTTACAGATAGCTGAATGCACTGCGTCCTGGGTTGCAGTGCTGGCCGTCGTCTGGGCCTGCCTGGTCTCTGCAGCGTTGATCAAAAGGGGAGAAGGAGAGGGTATGGATCGATCAAGGACTACAACTGAGTCCAGTTCAGCGTTGGGATGGAGCGTTTGTTGAGGTGGAGTAGCATTTACACGATTTTCGTCCGCGGTCTCTTTGTTGGCAGGCGTTGCTCCTCTCTGATCCTTGTGCTCGCGAACGTCCTCGACGCCTTCCACATCCTCTCCTTCGTCCTCGGCATCGCTGTCATAGACTTCCTCGCCATCATCGTCCTCATCTTCTTCGTCATCGTCATCCTCGTCAGAATCCGCCGGAACGGCTGCCTCTTCAATGGTCGTTGTATTGATAGTCAGGGTCGGCAACTCGACGACGGTCGTCTCTGTACGCATGAGTTTCGTCAGGAACGCGCTGAGTCCTGTTCCGGCTCTCTTTCTCATCCTAGCACTGAGCGGACTTGTTGATGCAGATATTGTTCCTGATGCCCCTCCAGAAACATTTCCCTCCTCGTCTTCATCCTCATCATCTTCATCGTCATCATCTTCATCGTCATCAAATTCCTCCTTATCCATCGCGCTCGCCGCTTGGTTGGCCGCTTGGATATCAATTCTAAGCCCGCCCTTCTCCTCTCCTGCGATGCTGGCCCGTCCGCTTGGGTCTCCATATCCAATCCGCGTGGAAAGGTTCCTCCGGGATGAATGTCGTCTTAACCTTCGTTCTCGCCATTTTTCGTTCCATTCTCCGATAACTTCCTCCGCATAGCCATCCCATCCGGGCGCCATGGACTTGTCAATACTGTTGCGAATATAGCCGCCGTAACCGGTATTGAATTCTTTGTTAGTCGATAATGCTGCCGCCTCCTCTTCCGCCGCCATCGAGGCTGTCCGGAGCTGGATAAGATATTTGCGATAGATCCTCAGAGCCGACTCGTGAAGGTCCTCCAGGCCTATAGTCCTGAAACTCTGTACCAGAAAAGCCTTGCCCTCCTGTCCTGTACTGAAAATGCTTGGTGTGTAAGCGCTTTCGCCTGATCTGCGAATAGTGACGGGCGCTTGAAGAGGTCCGACACCGCCAGCGAATGTGCCGAATGACGGATGTCTGCTCAGACCTGGTTCTGCACTGCCAATCGATTGCTGAGACAGTTTGCGCTGAAGATCTACTGGACTTCCTGTCTGTCCCTGCCTGTCTTCATCCTGAACAATGAGCTGTGGAGTCGTCGATGATTGATGTTGAACCTGTTGCTGGAAATGCTGCGAATTTGCCCGACGGATGCCGTTGCCAAGATAGTCTTCCGATCCCGAAGGTCGTGTTCGTGAGTTCCTCGAGCTAGATCTACCCAAGACATCAGCCGATCCACGTCCTCGTATCATCAAATTGTAGGCATTAGGCGTCGAATATGGGCTGGACATGGGTCGAAAGGTGTCAAAAGAGCCACGGCGGTCGTCCTCTGGACTACTGTTATACGGATATAAGTCATTGTGCTGGGCTCTCATAGCGACCGCTGCAACAGCGGCATCCTGTTCCGAAATATGGGCCTCCTCCAGGGATGGCCGACTCGTTTCGCCTGATGCTCTTCGAGCGCCTACACCCGCCAGGATGCGATTATATACTCCTAAGGCATGGGTTTCAGTGCCGCTGTTGTTCGCATGAGACGGCGGTATGGGCGGAAATGCTGCTGAAGAATCCCGAATGCCATATCGACGACCCTCTGGAGGGAATGAGAGATGATCGTTCAAGGGAAGTTGCAGACTAGATCGGCTGGCAACATAGAGATTCAATCCATCAATTTCCTGTCCTCTGGTCCCGATCCCAAGGCCTACCCCGGTGCCAATGCCCGCATTGCCCGGAGTTAAAAGATCTGGGTCTGGTGTCAACCGTCCCGATTCTGATGCTGCTGCGAGGGTTATCCTCCGCCTGTCTCGTGCGATTGCACGTTCCTCGAGCTGCTGTTCCCGTTTCTGTCTCCGCTCAGACACATTAAATGTCCTGCATAGTTGCTCATGTGCCGTGACATCCTATGCAACAGTAAAGAAAAAAGGGAGTTAGAGACGCATAGCTCTTTCACATACGATGACATGTGCAAGCTATGCACAATGCATGGTGTGTGAACGGACAGAGCAACACTTACTGCCCAAAAATTGAGATATTCGACCGCGCGTTGGCTGCGGAGAAACGCCTCAAAGTCATCGTAGCCGAGTGGGTATCGGGTCTTCTTTTCCAGCACTCTGCTGAGGTCGGGCAGAAATTGAGCCTGTTCCGCCAGCATTTGTTCGTAAAGTTGTTGTTGTCGTTGTTGTACCGCCAGTTGTTCCTGCCGCCGCTTCTTGGCACGCCGCTTCTTTTTCTTACTATTCTTTCCGTCCTTTGCAGGACGGCGCCGCTTTCCTTTGTTATTGCTGCCGCCGACGGAATAATGGTTGTCAGAACCGTTGCCGGGTAATCCACTGATGCGGTTGGGGTCGTTCTGCAAGTAGTAGTTCACGTTCGAGCCGTTGCTCTCCTGCCGGATCAACGACAAAGACGGCCGCCAGCCGGACCGGCTCCTTCTGGGCTCCTGCTGCCTTTCTTCGTCCGACAAGTCCTGCAGGACCTCTTTCGTCGGCCGAGTCGTTGAGGATGAGTCCTGGCTAGTTCTGGGCCCCCTTTCGGATTCTTGACTGACACGAGGCGCTCGTTTGCTCTCATCCCCAAAACTCAGTCGACTAGTAGTCTCACGCAATCGCCTGAGAATGCTTTTGCTCGTGGAGCGACGAGGGGATGTCGGTCGCTGCGGACGCTCCTCGCGTTCGTCGTCAGAGTCGTTGCCGTCCCCTGTATCGTCATCAGAGTCTGAGGCGGGTGCGGGCGAACCCATCCGTATACTATGTTCCCAAGAGTCTTGATGCTCTTGCTGCAGGGGTGATCCAGGGCGCGGGTGGACATCGTATGAGCTGCGATGGAAATATGATGGACGAGGCTGATAGGGGTCATAAAGGTTGCTGTGTTTTGGAGAAGGTGAGCGAGCAGGGCGAGCAGACAGTGCAAAGGCCAGCCTTGAAGGCCCAGGGGATGCTGGGCGAGGTGGTACTTGTGAATAGTAGGTGTGGTAAGAGTCCTGAGGGTTCTGTGGGTACTCTTGTTCTACTGGTGTGTTGTTATTGTAGCTACTTATTGAGGAGGGCGATCCTGCTGTGAATTGTTGAATGACAGAGGGTGAGGATGGCCGTGGTCCTGGTGTGGAGGGACGAGAGTAAGGGTCGGCAGGGATGGGTATAGAGGTAGATGAAGGCGAGGCGAGGTGTGCGTCCAATCCTATCAGGGCAGAGCCAGCAGCACTGGGATTAGAGTAAACGGGATGATGTGCGATGGCACTGTGGTTTCCCTTGTGGTGCGGGTGCCTGGCAGACTGCGGGGAAGGGGATGCGGAGGTGCGGGTGTAGGTCGAGGGTATGGCGGTGGCGACCTGGGAGGCCGAGAAGTGTGGACGGGGGATGAGGGCCTCCTCTGCGGGGGTGAGGGCTATCCTCGGCATACCCTGGAAGGCGACGCCATCCATCGCCGTATGCTTGTTGAACGGGTGAAGGTAAAGGTGGTGGTGGGGGTGGCGGGGTGAAAAAGCGGAAGGAGGGAGGGGAAGGGAGCGCTACTTGCTACAGAAGGGATTCCATTTAGCAGCAGGAACAAACGAAGGAAAGGGTACCAAGGGCTGGGTAAGCGTCCAGGGCGGCGAAGGAACCAATGGAATCAAAGGAACAAAAGAAGCAAATGAAACAAATAATAAAGCTGGCCGTTGGTTTAGAATCCTGCTCAAGGTGCAGAGAGGGGAAAGGAAAGAAGAAGTGAAATGTGGCTATCGACTGAAGAAAAAAAGCAGAGGCAGCGGAAGAGGGATGCAATGGATGCTATGGGGTGTTGGGGGTTTGGATGGTAGATAGGGGGCAATGCTCAAGGCAGGAAGATTTCTTATATGAAACAACGATAATTTCCTAGTGTGCACTGTGCGTAGAAGTGTGAATGCGCGACGGGGCGATTCCTTGCAGATGAGTGGCAAGGACAAAAAGGATGAGGATTGTGAGGATGAGAAGAATGGGGGGAATGAGAGGGGAGAGAAGGAGGAAGAAGAGATGTATTAAAACCGGCGGATAAGTATAAAGATAAACATGAGAGCGTTGGCGGCAATGGGTTGGATCTAAACCATGCCATATTCTGTGGTGACACACACCGGATTTGTACCTGTTATGAAGAGAGCCTTCCATGGCGGCATTAGTGGGAAGGAGAGAGGGAGAGAGCCACTTTGTCAATCGACATCATCAACCGTGGGGCGATGATCGGTTCCCAAGCGATAGATTGCCATGGGGTGCTCATGGGTAGCCAAGGGATGAGAACCAGGGCTAAGTAAGTTACAAAGGCAATTAGTATTGGCAAAGCACATGCATGCATGCTGCAGTAAAATGCGTGAAGTTTATTGGAGGACTCTTGGCGTGTGCTCTGCATCCACGGCCCTGGGCCCAGGATCGGCATTCGCTTCAGTCCCCATTGTACCTGCATGTACCCCTGCTCCAGTCACTATATCTCCAGGAACATCATTATCCTCCGCCAGTTCATCCACTTGAGAATAATGCTGTTGGTATTGCTGCTGTTGTTGTGGATCAGCATAATGATCCTCGTCCTGATCATCTCCTTCTTCACCCTCCTCCTCCTCGTAGTCCTCGTCCTCTTCATCTTCCTCTTCTGCTTCATACTCCGCAAAGTCATCTTCTCCATCGTCCATCAGATCGCCCGAGTACAACAGGTCTGGTCGTTCTATCACCTGCACCTCGATCCCACACTCTCGAAATCCATCTGAGAGTTTCAAATGCTGGTCCCAGTCCGGGTGAAAGATTCCCTCGACCTTTGTCAAGTTCTCGAGATGGCCCGTCATCCATGCAAGATCCTCCTTACTCATCCGCTGCCACGACTTGCCCATAATCAACACCTTCAACTTGGTCAACGTCCTCAGCTGATCCACCCCACACTCCATTCGATAAAGCAGGCCCTCCCTGGGAGTCCAGCTCCGAGGGCCCGTTGCCAAATGCTGTAGCTGTGTCAGTCTCGAAAGTTGTTCAAATGTCATCCACTGCTCCTCAATCGACACTGCGAACGATTTTGTCGGCACCATATTGACCTGCAAATACTTCAACCCGACCGCTGCCCAATCCTTGCCTGCGACAATATCGCGCATCAGCAGGACCGAGCTCGTCAGCTTTGTCAGGTTTTCACAGTTTTCCAGAATTTGCTGGACCATCCAGCTCTTCACATAAAAGCAATCCACCACGTCCAACAGCTGAAGCGTCTGGAAATGTCGCCCCAACGACCGAAAGGTTCTCCTTGTGATGCTGCTCCCACACAGCATTAGCTGCTCTAGCCGAGCGAGCGAGTCCAGGATCCTGCCAATGTCATCCGGATCCGGTAACCCACATCCATCCATCTGCAACTGACACAGCCTCGGACATGCAGCTGGGATACGCGCACAAAATTCCTGGACCGGGAAAAACGTCTCTCGGCAGACTGTCCACTTGAGCAACCTAATATTTGGGCATTGACAGACCAGATCGACCTGTGTCTGCGTGCCAAGTCCTCGTGCGTCCTTGAGGGTCAATTCACACAGATGAGGGAATGTCCACCGCTTGACCGTCGGTACATTCACAAAGTACTCGTACCGCGACGATACCTGACTTAGTCGAGTGATCGCCTGCATCAGCGCCTCGACCTGTTCGGGATCGTCGTACCGGCCCTGGCTGGATTCGTATCGCCTCAGGTTCGGACATGCCTCCGGTAGCGCCTTCAGGAACGCGGTCGACGGTGCGTTGCTGAGACTGAATCCAAAGATGATCCATTCAATCGAGGCATTATGTCGTATCAGATCCGTGAGCTCGTCCCACAGATCCGGATGTGGTTTCGCTACATGTTCTCCAAACACCACCAATGTCTTGAGACCGGTACAGTGCCTGAAAAACGATGAGAGGCCCTTGGAGGCCTTGAGTGTAAGTGAGCGTATAAAGTGGGCGTTCTTTTCGAGGACAGATAACGGAGGGAATGCTGCGTCGTTGCTCCACTCCTCGGGCACAACGATCGAGTACCAAATGTAGGGAGTAAAAAATCTGTGCCACTGCCGAGAAACACGGGCACACGCAAGTAGATCTTGGAAGGCCACAAACGGCGCCATATAATGTAGCATCTCTGGCAAGTCGACCGGGGAAGTCATTGTAATAGGCAGGCAGCAATAACAGCAAAAAAAGAAAAAAAAAAGAAAAAGAAAAAGCGGGGTTTGGGAAAGAGATAGAGAGTGCAAGGAGGAAAAAGCGTGTGCCTGTATTCAATGAAAGTGTTTGGGATGATGATGAAAGACGGGAGGAGGGAATTGAATCCCTTGAATGCGATGAGGATGCCATGTCATCCCTGCTTGGTCCTTTCCGTGTCATCAAACTGCGCAAAAACAAACCTTATTGGCAATTGACAAGTGGAGTTTTAGTTTTAAAGAAAGTCCACTTGGACAATTGCACACTTGGGAGAGATACATTTGCAATCAAAGTCCGTAGACTATTTATCCAACAAAGAATCTATTCGTTATCGTAGGCAAGGATCGACCCGAGCCATGTCTCGAGCTCACGCTTGCCCATATTCTTACGCGCCGCATAGTCCGTCACTTGATCCTCTGAGATCTTGCCTACTGCAAAGTACTGTCCGCGTCCAAACACGATCGCCGATACAGACGCGCCAGGGTCCATCGCCAGCGATTCCGTCAGACTAATGCCCGTCTGTGCTTCAATGTTACCCAGCTGCCACATCGTCAGCTTCTCTGTGTGATCAGGTTGCGATGGATATCCAGGCGCAGGCCGGATACCCTGGTACTTGATCGACAGCATGTCTGTAACATCCATCGCCTCGTCCGGTGCATAGCCCCAGTGCTCCCGACGAATGTCCTCGTGCAGCTTCTCTGCGAACGCCTCCGCCAGACGATCCGCCAGAGATTTTGCCATGATCGAACCATAGTCATCGTGATTCGCCTTGAACTGCTCGCACAGCTCATCGCATCCAAACCCTGAAGAGACCGCAAACATCGACAGGTAGTCGGCAATGCCGCTCTCTTTTGGTGCGACAAAATCGGACAGACACATGTACTTCTCATTCGACTCCTTCTCCTTTTCGGCCTGTTGGCGAAGACCGTAAAACTTGGCCACGACCTTCGACCGTGAGTCATCCTCGTAAATCTCGATATCATCGCCCACACTGTTAGCGGGATAGAATCCAACAATGCCTGTTGCTCTCAGCTGCTTCTTATCGATCATGGTCTTCATCATCGCTAATGCCTCCTCGTGCAGCTTCTTAGCCTCCGCACCCACGGTCTCGTCGTTAAAGATCTTGGGATATCCGCGGTTGGGATATTTGCCGCGCAGCTGCCACACCTGGAAGAACGGGTTCCAATCAATATGCCTCACCACCGAGTTGAGGTCAATGTCCTTGAACACCTTCGTGCCCAGGAACGATGGCTTGACAATCTTTTCCTGGTTCCAATCCAGCACCAGTCTCTGCTCCCGCGCCGCCGCCAAGGTGAGATAACGGCGGTCCTTGAGTCCATCGTAGTGGTCCTCACGAATCTCCTCGTATTCCTCATTAATGTCCTCGATAAATTCCTCGCGCACCTTCTCATCCAACAAACTTGATACCACGACAACACTCTTGGACGCATCCAGAACGTGAATAGCTGGCTGGGTGTAGCGAGGCGCGACCTTGACGGCTGTGTGAGTCTTAGAGGTCGTTGCGCCACCAATTAGGATAGGCACCTTCAATCCAGCACGCTCGGCCTCTTTAGCGACGTGGATCATCTCGTCCAACGAAGGCGTAATCAGTCCCGAGAGTCCGATGATGTCGACCTTCTCCTTGACTGCTGTCTCGATAATCTTCTCGCAAGGTGTCATTACACCCAAGTCAATGACCCTGTAGTTGTTGCAGCCCAAGACGACACCTACAATGTTCTTTCCGATATCGTGCACATCACCTTTCACGGTGGCCATCAAAACAGTGCCCGAGTACCAGTTGTCATCGTCCGCCAAACCCTTCTCTGCAATGTTCCTCAGGCGCTCCTCCTCCATGAATGGGATGAGATGCGCGACCGCTGTCTTCATCACACGAGCAGACTTAATGACTTGAGGCAAGAACATTTTACCGGCGCCAAAGAGGTCTCCGACGGTACTCATACCGTTCATCAAGGGTCCTTCGATGACATTCAAGGGACGAGGGTACTTTTTGCTGTCCTGGCGAGCCTCCTCGGTGTCCTCGACAACGTACTTGACAATTCCCTTGATTAAAGCATAAGCCAGGCGTTCAGCAACTGGCCTGGTTCTCCACTCCTCGGTCTCGGCCTCTTTCTTGGCACCCTTGGCATTGGCTTGGGCATAGGCAAGCAGCTTGTCAGTGACCTCGGGGTCACGGTTCCAGACAGCGTCCTCGCATAGCTGCAAGAGATCCTTGGGGATGTCATCGTATACAGTCAAGAAGCCAGCGTTGACGATACCCATGTCCATGCCGACCTTGATTGCATGGTACAAGAACACACTATGCATGGCCTCACGAATGATATCCATGCCACGGAATGAGAAGGATAAGTTGGAAACACCTCCACTGATCTTGGCGCCGGGCAGGTTGGCCTTGATGAGTTTGATCGATTCAATGAATTCGACTCCGTAGTTGTTGTGCTCTTCCATACCGGTACAGATCGTCAGGATGTTGGGGTCGAAAATGATGTCGTTGGGGTTGAATCCGACCTGGTCTACGAGAATATGATACGAGCGCGAGCAGATCTCGAATTTGCGATCCGCGGTATCAGCCTGTCCGACCTCGTCGAAAGCCATAACAACGACGGCAGCACCGTATCTTCGAACAATGGTCGCCTGGCGGATGAACTCTTCCTCTCCGGCCTTGAGCGAGATACTGTTGACAATGCACTTGCCCTGCGCACACTTGAGACCTGCCTCGATTACAGCAAAGTTGGATGAATCGATCATGAGTGGCACCTTGCTGACATCGGGATCACTGCTGAGCAAGTTCAGGAATCGAGTCATGGCGGCGACTCCGTCCAACATTCCCTCGTCAAAGTTGACATCGACCACCTGGGCTCCGTTCTCGACTTGGGAACGCGCAATGGCCAGACACTCATCGTATTCGCCCTTCAGCACATGGCGAGCGAACTTGCGCGATCCTGCGACATTACAACGCTCTCCAATGTTGATAAAGTTGGATGACTGATCGACCTTCAAGGGTTCCAGTCCAGACAACCACATGCTGCTGATAACAGGATCCTCCTCAAATTTACGAGGCGCGTGTGGCTTGCAGGCATTGGCGATAGCACGAATATGGTCGGGTGTGGTACCGCAGCATCCACCAATGATCGAAACGAGTCCCTCCTTTGCGAAAACTTCGACTTGCTTGGCCATGGCCTCGGGTGATTCGTCATACTCTCCGAAAGCGTTGGGAAGACCCTGTAATGCAACGACAAGAACATGTCAGATAGCAGAAAATAACCCGTGCGAGTGTTTACAACAATATAAAAGAAACGGGATCAAGCCTTACAGCGTTGGGGTAACAGATGACATGAGACTTGGCGGCCTGTCCAATATTGTAGATGAAAGGGCGCATCTGGTCGGCTCCCAAGGCGCAGTTGAGGCCGATGGCGAAGTAATCTGCATGCTTCATGGAAATAACGAACGCCTCTCCGGTTTGTCCACTTAGGGTACGTCCTGACATATCAACAATGGTACCAGAGACGAAGACGGGTGTCCGACGACATCCTTCAGCGAAGCAGAGATCAATCGCAAAGAGTGCAGCCTTGGCGTTGAGGGTATCGAAGATTGTCTCGACCAGGAGGATGTCTGCGCCTCCGTCCAAGAGACCCTTAGTCTGTTCCTGGTAAGCCTCGACGAGCTCGTCAAAGGTGACGTTTCTGTAGGCTGGGTTCTCGACAGATGGTGAGATGGAGCATGTCCTGTTGGTGGGTCCGAGCGCTCCGCAAACAAATCGAGGACGATCTGGCGTACGTGCGGTCATCTTTTTTTTTTTTTTTCGAAGAAACGAGATGAGATATTGGAAACAAATTCTTACGCATTCTTGAAGGTGCGCGGTGGAAGACGACCTCTGATAGAAAACATAAGATGCAGAATCTTTACCTTGTCACAGGCACGCTTAGCGACCTCTGCTGCCACCTTGTTCATGCGGTAGGCTTCTTTCTCAAGACCGTAATCGAGCTGCGCAATCGAGGTGGACGAGAAGGTGTTGGTCTCAACCATGTCTGCTCCTGCGTCCAGATACTGCCAATGAATGAGTTCGATTGCATCTGGCTGGGTGAAGACCAGCATGTCGTTATTACCCTTTAGATCCTTGGGGTGGTTCTTGAACTCCTCGCCTATTTACCATCCAAAGACCATCTCATGTGAGAATGTTTTTCAGCTTGAGCAGCCTTGACATGTTAAGGTTTAGGGCCGTGGTGGTGCGATAACAGCGATCAGACCAGACAGACGCGGAGTCGGAAAGAGCCGACTGTTGGGAGTCACACTCCAGATGATTGCGAATTCGGTAGTGTCCCATATTAGATGCATCATATCGTTCGAAAGTGTCCAGCATGTCAGGTATGGCGAGAAAGAAAGTTATCGTATCCGTGCTACATGTCCTGATCGTCGGCCTGGTTGATGACCATGTTGATATCCAGCATTCCATGCTCCATGTGCCTTTGTCCGAATGAGCAGCTGAACGAAAAGCAGGGTAGGGCAGAGGGGGTTTGAAAGCTGGAGCAGCTGAAAGTTGAGTGTATATACCTCGGAAGTCTTCCTCGGTCAGTCGCAGACGCTGGATCATAGTTCCCATGGCGCCATCGATAAACATGATCCGCTTCTTGAGAGTGTTTTCCAGGTATGCCCGGACATCTGTTGTTGTTAAATTGGTGGCGTCAGAAACGGCGTTTGTTAGTCATGGTGTTTATATCGAGTAGACACATAGAGGCTGAAGTGAGCTGGGATTGCGACATACCGATAGGGCCAGTCATGATGGGATAGCGAGTGTGGGTGAGGATGGATGGGGAGAAGGAAAGAAGAATGGACCGGAGAAGGGTGAGGGAGGGGACGAGAGGTGCAAGAAGAAAAGAAAAGGAAGAGGGGGGGAGGGATAAGGTACGAAAGGTAAAAAAAAAAAAGTTGGGGGCAAATTTCTCCTCTTCTCCAGCGTGTGATTGCGATCGAATGTCTGTTTTCACAGGGCAGGACTAGAACTCCACTGCGGGGAAAGGCACAAACAGAAGCGCCACGAGAATCAGAGTCCTTATTGCCACTCTACCATGCTGTCATACTGTCAGAGCAGTCCCATAGTCCTGCCTGCCTGTCTGCCTGTCTGCCTGTCTTTGTTGCCAGCATTGTCTCCCTCCAGGAAACGGTGTACACGCGTGTCCACAAGTCATTTGCGCGGGAGACTCCGCTGTGCAAGTGCAGAGATGTGAAACGTGCATGCGCATGCGCGCAGTGGCACAGACAACAATCCGCACCAGATGGCGCTCTGTTCCTTGGGCGATACATATGGTGGATCTTCTCTGAGTGGGATGCTGCTGCTCCCTGGCGTCGTGAACATGGTCTCTTTTCTTTTTACATCTCATCTCCGGCTGGGCCCCTCCCCTTCCTTGCACACTTTCACTATCACGTGTCGATCATTATCTCGGGTCCCTTCTTCCTTCTCCACAAACAGGGGTGTTCTTGACCCCTTCGAACGCATTCCTCCTTTACTCTCCTCGTCATTCACTCGCTCCTTCGCTCTTTCACTCACCCGCTTCACCAGCTTCATTCCCTCTATCCCACCTTTACTTGTCGCCATCCATACACACATATATAGCCATGACCAATCCTCAAAAAATAGTCTTCCCCTCTGCATCCGAGCCCCTGGTCGAGATCACCCGCGAGGAGCCCCTGTTCATCATGACCATGGTCGATAACGAGAACCGGTTCACGACCGAGATGTGCAAGGCCATCTGCGATGCCCTGGACCATGTCTCCGATGTCGTCGACAAGGAGGAGCTGACCGAGGCTGCCCTCGTCACCCGGGGCCAGGACAAGTTCTACTCCAACGGTCTCCACATCGAAAAGGCCTTCTCCATCCCTGGCTTCACTGACCATACCTTCATGCCCATGCTCAACAAGATCCTCATGTTTGGCATCCCCACCATCGCATGCCTCAACGGGTAAAACAATACACTATTTCGATCGCCCTTCCTTTATTTTGTTAAAGTTGCATGGTGGCCAACGTGCCCTTTGTGGAACCGGGAAAATCCCCAGCCGGTCCAACCGCTCATCATCACTCCTATGCTCCTTTTATCAATTAGACATGCTTTTGCTGGTGGATGTCTCATGGCCATGGCCCACGACTATAGAGTCATGAGAAGCGATCGCGGCTTCATATGCATGGTAACATGAACAACTGTACATATCAGAGTCGTCGCATTATTGTATGCAGGGACACGATCTAATTTTTTTTTCGCTCTCCAACTCGGTGTAAACTTAGAACGAAATTGATCTGCCTTCGCCTCTGCCCGCTGGCATGTCGGCATTGCTTCGCTACAAAATGCACCCACACGTCTACCGATCGGTTGTACTCGAGGCCAGACGCTACCCGGGCAAGGATGCCCTAGCCAACAACCTAGTCGATGCCATCGCTGAAGGCGTTGATGCCACGTTTGAGCTGGCCAAGCAGGTCGCATGTAAGCTCGCGCCCAAGGCTAAGAGCGGATCTATCTACGCTCTGATTAAGGAAGACATGTATCCCGAGATTTCGTCGCGTCTCATGTTGAATGCAAAGTTGTAACATAGTCATATTAGACCTGTGTTTCGATCTGGATCGTTTAGAGAATAAACAAACTGCGAATGTACACATGGAGTACTAAAGTACGCGTTGATGATTTGAACCGAACATGGTCGTCGCACTAGAGTAGATCGTATTAATAAGATGCACATTGAACCCCGTTCGTCGACGTTCGATATACTGTCTCTATATGACTATCGAGGCTAAAGAGGCAGACGCTTTACGATCATTTACTAATACCAGATGTGATTATAGCAAGTACACCATGTCATGCTTCATTTTCTTGAAGTATTTCATGCGTGGCACTGGATCTCCATCATGACTGACACCATTTCATCTTGCGTTTGCCATTGACAGATATTTCATCTCTAATAATAAGAGATAACCCCGGCATGATCAAGGTGGGCGATAGAGGCGAGGGAAGAAGCCAAAGGACCAGCAACGGCAGTAGTTCATTTCTCTCTGAGCTCCTATGCGGGCATTTGCTTTCTATAGTGATCAAAACCCATCTTCGTTCTGTTCGCTTTGTTGAATATATGAGGAAATCAAAAGAGGAGCCTCTCGCGCCTACTCCCAGTCTCATCCAACAAGAAGCTCATGCGGACGTAGGAATCTCTTCTTCCTCCTTTGCGCGCCTTTTATCGCTGTATTTTCATTTAAACAAATTGTATATCTGTTCTAAACGCAGTACACGATAGAGCGAAAGTAAGAAGTTTGTATAGCACGTCCACGACCCTGGAGGAGTGCCCTTGAAATAGACAGCAACGGATGCAGTCGAAAACTGGAAGACAGAGGCCGAATTGAAAAAAAATCTCTGGATGTATGGTCTTGTATGATGAATCACCAAGGTCTTGCAAAAATGAGTATGTGACAAGGCGTCGGTATCACTATCAGAGGTCATACAACTGATTTATATTCAGTTCCTTCAGATAATACGAAATGTGTTTAGTATCATTCTTCCGATGCACCATTTGTGCTTTCAGAACAGGTTCGTATGAAGTTACATGAATGAGTGGAAGGAAATCTACGGTGACGATAATTTTATCCGCATTGCTTTCGTTCGCAGAAGTGCCGACTCATAGATGCTATGCGAATGTTGATAATGGGTGGTATAACTATATTTGGGCCTGCAGTATGTTTTTGTATGGGTTTAGTACGGACTGTCCCAGGCGTTTCAGGTCCAAGACATCATAACATACTTGTGCCCTGGTGCTAAATGCAACAACCTGAATAACCAAGCAAACGTCGCTACATAACTTGGTATGATCAATTTGATGAGCTGCTACATGGGTTTAATGCAGGTTGCTGTCTTTTTTTTTTTTTTTTGGCCTATCGCCTATGAAGAGATGCGAGCGTAAGCCTCAATCAAGTAACATCCTGTTGCCCATCGACGATAACAAACAATGAAGATCCCAGGTCATATCCGCGCACACCAAGCAAAAGGACCTCGGACTACGCCATCCACAGCCGCTAACACTAGATATATTTTCCTTAGTAGATGCGTTTCAACAAAAGCATTGAAATGGATGCATTCTCTAACGGGTACGTGGCGCATCATGTGCTCAAGAACTTGGCGACGATCTCGTCGAGGTCTGACTTTTGATGTTGCTCAGTAGCAGCGTGATCCCCATCGTTTCTGGTCGGGTCAAACTTGAGCGTGGTAGCGATCTGGCAAACTTAAACAATAAGATGTTATGTGATACTCTCTCCGCTAAATGGATCTTTGACGACTCTTTCTCCCTTCCCAACCTTCTAGCGTAGGAAGTTCTGCTTCACATATGGATTAAAAGGTTCAATCCTAAAGGAAGTACGCAGTTGAATAGTCGTGTTATTCCCCTCTTTGGCTTTTTGCTGATGTATCTGAAAGTGTTCTCCCGATTGCTCGCACAGACGAGAGAGAGAGATATAGAGTTTGGTTGTTGCTGATTGGCCAAAATGCCGCCTGGTTGAAGATTCTGATTGGCCAATTGCTAACGATTGTTCCTGAATGAAGTACAACGAGTTTTCTGGGCTGGACAACTTATTGGTGGTATCGTTATCGTACTCCCTCATCTGCTAAACTATTAGATGGAGTACATGCGCTACTGCTCTGCTCGTATGCATATCCAACGAATAAGAGATCACAAAAAAAAAAGAGAGAAAGGAGCAGACAGCGACCGAAAGAGCGGATCTGAGATACAAAATGCACAAACAGCATCACGGTCCGCCCGTGCGCTGATGCATGAGCGATGCATAGACGGAAGACTAAAAAAAAATAGACAAGGGATGGAGATAGAGCAGGGCAGAGGCGATAGGGCAGCTTTTTTTATTTATTTGTTTGTGTGTATCGCACACAACCCCGAATGAGGAGTGCTTGCAATGCAGTTTGTGGAGAAGCCAGATTATATGGTGGAGATAAGATAAATAAGCCCAGGAAGAAAAAATAAAGAGAGTTGTAACTCAGCTTGTCTTTCGTTGCCGTTTCTCTTTCGCGGGTTCGTGTCCCTTCGTGTCCCTTCGTGTCCCCTCGTGTTTTGTTGGTGAAGAGGAAAGATAGGCTGGGTAAGGATGCTTACAAACATGCATATGGAGGTTTAAAAGGATAACAAGGAAGGGACGGAAGACCAGCAGATAGCTGGCAAGGCCCAGAAGGGCATCTGTTTTCGTTATCCCTTCGGGTGAATGGGATTCGATGCGATGTGATGCATGGTTTTGTCCGAGTGACTACTGGCCAGGTCATGTATAAATTTGTTCGCGAAGCAATCCATGTCTCTCTTCTTTCTTTCGCTTCCTTCTTCTTTTCAAACCTACACTCTCTTCCTATCTACCTCCTCATCATCCATCTACTTCATCCATGACGTTGGAGCAGCCCAACCAGCAAAGGAACGTCCACAAGCCCCTTCTCTTCGAGATCGCATGGGAGGTCGCAAACAAGGGTGAGCGCCGTCAACCCCAACTTTGTTTCGATCTTTAAAGCCTTTCTTCATCAACTGACCCATCAACGGTGCAACCCTTGTAGTCGGAGGAATCTACACGGTCCTCAAGTCCAAAGCCCCTGTCACTTGCCATGAATATGGTAGCCGCTATACCATGATCGGTCCTCTCTCCTACAAGACCGCCCCGCTCGAGGTCGAGACCCTCGAGCCAGACACGCCCGAATTGAGAATGACCCTCGAATCCATGAAGGAGCGTGGTGTCAAGTTCTTGTATGGTCGTTGGCTGATCGAGGGTGCGCCCAAGGTCCTCCTCTTCGACACGGGCTCGGTCTATCACAAGCTGGACGAGTGGAAGGGCGATCTCTGGAATGTTGCAGGAATCCCCTCTCCCCCCAATGACCACGAGACCAACGAGGCAATTCTCTTTGGGTACCTCGTCGCCTGGTTCCTTGGTGAGGTAAGCAACAACACAAGATCGACAACAAGACGAAAGCGACGACAGCGACGGCTTGGGCAGATGGCTTTAAAGTGTGCTCTGTTTCTGGTTGTTTGTGGGCATGGGTCCGTATATCATTCTGAATGGTTATACGATACATTTTCAACCCCATCCAGTCCTTCTTTTCTGTCCAAGACAAGACCAAGAAGGATACCGAGAGTGTTGAGGGATACCGAAAGGTGTTTCGAAACATGTCGATCCCCCACTGTGTGGTGGTGCATGGTGCTCTTTCTAAACCCTCGTCATCATACATTCATGTCGGTCGATCGGACCCAGAATGATCTTCCCTCTCCTCTCTATACACACATCCGTAATCGAACACTGTACGCCGTTCATTGTATTTTTTTTTTTGTGTAATCACAGGCACGGTTAAACGACTATGAGCTCTTCTTCCACCCCAACAAATGGAACTGGGATGAGCATATGGTCCAGATAACCAAGGAGAACGTTCAACAGCTGGGATCTGGGCTACAATGATCGATCTGGGCAACGGGGGGTTGAAAAAGGGGGAATAAACACGCGAAAAAATCCATCGTTCTTGGGGTCTTGCTGTCGTTGTTGATTGCGACTAAAATGCATCTATTGCCGAGACTAACCCCATATCTCTTTGATTACGATCGACCTAGTTTGTCGCCCACGAACGCAAGGCCGCTATCATTGCCCACTTTCACGAGTGGCTCGCCGGTGTGGCCATCGCCCTCTGCCGCAAGCGTCACATCGACGTCACCACGATCTTCACCACACATGCCACGCTTCTCGGTCGCTACCTCTGCGCCGGATCGGTCGATTTCTACAACAACCTCAGGAACTTTGATGTGGACCACGAGGCAGGCAAACGCGGTATCTACCATCGTTACTGCATCGAGCGCGCCGCGACCCATTGCTGCGATGTCTTCACAACTGTTTCCCATATCACAGCTTATGAGGCAGAACATTTGTTGAAGCGCAAGCCAGGTAAGCAAGCATCAAGCGCTCTTTTTATAGCGCTGGAAAGACTAGAATGTTCACGGCACCCACGATGATATCCTTACCTTGTCCTGTATTCCTGTGTCAATGTAATGTAGATGGCGTTCTACCCAATGGTTTGAACGTGGTCAAGTTCTCTGCAATGCACGAGTTCCAGAACTTGCACGCAGTCTCGAAAGACCGCATCCACGACTTTGTGCGCGGCCATTTTTACGGCCACTATGACTTTGATCTCGACAACACGCTCTACTTTTTCACTGCTGGACGATACGAATATCGCAACAAGGGCTTGGACATGTATATCGAATCGCTTCAGCGTAAGTTTTTTATTTTATTTTATTGAAACTCCTTTCGGAGATCTGGTGCTCTCCTTGTGTCTCTTGTGTAAGATGGTTACGCAACATCCGACTCACAGACGAACGTTTGTCCACTGGATTCCTGATCTTTTAGGTTTGAACGAAAAACTCAAGGCAACCAACTCGCCCATGACAGTCGTTGCCTTTATCATCACCCCTGCAGAGACCCACTCGTTCACTGTCGAGACATTGAAGGGCCAGGCTGTCGTCAAGCAGCTGAAGGAGACCGTCCATGATATCGCTCAGCGCATGGAGACCCGCCTTTTCGAGAAGGCTGCTCGGTAAGCAAGCTGCGATTCACTGGCTGCTATTATATGTTTTGGATGCGGTGGTACTCCTCTCTAAATACAGGTTGAATCTTTGATCGACTCTATAGTGGCGGTGATGTCAACACAACTCAGTTCCTGACGAGCGAAGATCAAATCCTACTCAAGCGTCGTACATTCGCCTTGAAGCGCTCGACCCTGCCTCCGATCGTGACGCATAACATGGCGGACGATAGCAAGGACCCTGTCCTGGACCAGTTGCGCCGTCTCGGTCTGTTCAACCATCCTTCTGACCGTGTCAAGGTCGTGTTCCATCCCGAGTTCATAAACTCGAATAATCCTCTGTTTGGCCTTGATTATGAAGAATTCGTCCGCGGCTGCCATTTGGGTGTGTTTCCCTCGTACTATGAGCCCTGGGGCTACACTCCTGCAGAGTGTACCGTCATGGGTGTGCCCAGCATCACGACCAACCTGTCTGGATTCGGATGCTTCATGGACGACAACATTGTCGACTCTTCAGAATACGGAATCTATATCGTGGATCGTCGCATGAAGTCCGTGGAGGAGTCAATCCAGCAGTTAGCGGATCAGATGCTCGTGTTCTGCCAAAAGTCACGCCGTCAGCGTATTAACCAGCGTAACCGCACAGAGCGTCTCTCGGATCTGTTGGACTGGAAGCGCATGGGACTCGAGTACATCAAGGCCCGTCAGCTAGCGCTTAGGAGAGCGTACCCCGATTCTTTCGGCGATGATCACTTTGGCGCTACGGATGAAATCCTACAGGAGCGTCCCAAGGTGCCCAAGCCCCGCTCAGCACCTGGCACTCCTCGTATTCGCACTCCCCAGGAGGGGGCTGAAGCAGAGCTGACACTTGCCAACATGTCGATCCACGATCGAGAAAAGTACCTCCAATACAAGATGCAGGGCCATGACGACGAAGAGAACGTGGACTATCAGATCAAGATCCCCTTCCGCCGTCAATCCACCAGAGAGGACCTGTTGGCCGAGGGTGAGTTTGAGGTTTCGGAAGCAGAGGTCGAGGCAGCCCAAGAGAACATTGCGGCGGTTGGAGTCGCCGCAGCCCAGGCGCAGTACAAGGAAAGGATGGGTGGTGTCAACGGCAGCTTCTATCAGCCCGGCAGCAGCCGCAACGGCACCATCAGCAATAGCTACCAGCAGCACTAAGCAACAAGCGTGGTGGCAGGTGTCGTGCTTTGTTTTCATTTTCAAAATAATGCTTTCCACAGTCTGGTCGATAGTACTTAGGCGGGAAGGTTGTAAAATACAATTTCTTTGTTCATATCCCTCAACATCTGCAGGTTGTTACCCAAAGTCCCCTGTCGCTTGTGTTGGTGCACATGCCTATCATCATCCTTGAGCCAGGTCATCACAAATGAGCTGGATGGTGTTTTACAATGAAGTAAATATACATGTTTATATCTCAAAAGGGACAGGAAACAAAAGATAAAGATGAAAAAAAGAAATGGTGCTCGTAAAACTCCCTCCTGTTCTCCATCCTGCGTCCGGGCGAGTTGTAATATCTAGAGGAAAGAAAAAAAAAGAAAATATGACGGGGCACACCAGACAACATTGCTGTCCGTTTAGACCTCCCACATCATACCAACACCGAATCGGCTCTGGCCCTAGTATCCGTGAGGCAAAATGGAAGCAAAGATTAGACATTTGAACAGCTTTTCTGGACTGGATTAGAAAAAAAGAGAGAGAAAGCAAAGGAGCGATGCGTTTACCTTGCCATGATCCATCTCTCCACTGACAAGGAATGAGAATCCGGGTACGATCTTTTCCTCCAAGACCGCAGACACCTTTCCTGTGGTATCGACCTGTCCTCTGAAGGTCGATCTTCTGAACTCAAATTTACCACCGACGGTCGCGATCGCATCACGGCGACCGCCCGCAGTGACCAACTGGATCTCCGTGCCGAAATCGACCTTCTCCGAGTAGCGCAAATAATAGGCCGCCTGGAGTGCTCCAAAGCCCTGGTATTGTGCTGTCGCAATATAGTCCTTTCCGGTATACTTGGCAACATAGGACCAGATGGTCTCCTCCTGGCCGGGAGTAGGGCGCTGATAGACAGCCTCAGCACCGAGAGCGAAGTTTTGTGTGACGGACTGCAAGTACGAGCCGATGAAGATACCGGTGCCCTCAACAGGGGAGGGGTTGACGCCCTTGAGGTTAAGGTTAAAGTCCTGACCATTGTAATCCTGCTCAACCTGCAACATTGAGTGTCCTGGGGTCGTTGACAGCTATCCAAACCCGGCGGTGTTCATTGGAATGGAAAATAAAAGAAAAAAAGGATGGTGGCGAAGGGTCAGATTCATCCTTGCTGACAGTATGACCTCATCCGTCCATCACACCAACAGAAGGTGTCATTACCTGCGCCTGGACCTTGGAGACGTTGGTGGTGCTCCATGCGTAGTTGGCTCTGGCCTGGACATTGCCATCTGTGTCCAAGTTGCCCGACAAGAACGACTAGTCAATTCAAATTCATAAAGCAAAATGATCAGTAACTCTACGGCCAAGCACCATATAGCAAAATACAGATCAATTGGCGATTGCGTAGATCGTGCCCGGTAGGACTGTACCTGTTGGCCGATGAAGGCGGTGCCAAAGTTGTAGCTCGAGGGCGCACCAGCAGCACCCATGGCGAACGAGTGCGTGACCTGGAAGTTAGGGGTCAGGACCTTAGTGATATCGCAGCGAGCTCCGTCAAAGACATGGTTTGTCAAGAAGGTGTCTGTGTTGCGACAATAATGAAACGCAGATGGGTCAGTTGTCAATGGCAGTATAATCAAGGGACCCTGTCTACTTCGACGCTGTATTGTTGGGTTCGTCAACTGTCTACTGTCGTCAAAGTGGGTTCTGTAGGGCACGCCATCCAACAGTCATCCTGATCGCCTCTTGAACTCTGATCCGGAATCGACAAAATAGATCCTGCATAAAGCGTTTTGCTGTTTTTGACTGATCAGTACTTGATCCCCGGCGGTGTTGTCGAGATCCTAGTCAAAAAGAGCATTGTCGACGCTAAGTGCTTACGCTTGACTTCGCGGTTGACACCCTCGTAGGTGCCGGGATTGGGCAGGTTGAGGTCGTTGCGGAACTTGTTGACCTTTGCGAAAGCTCCCTTGACCTGGTCCAGTAAACCCGATGGCGCGGGCTCGACGGGGGCGGCGACCGGTGCTGGGGCAATGGGGTTGAAGCCGAGAGGCGTCTTCAAGGGAGAGGGGGCAGCCATGTCGGGATAAAAAAAAAACAGAGAGAAAAAGAGATTGAAGGTGAGGGGTGAGGAAGGAAAAAAAGGAAGGAAGAGTTTATGAGGCAATTCCCATTCCGGCAGCAGGTTCCCTCGCTGATCTCTTTTCGCTATTTCGTTTTTGCGCTGTTTCGGAGCCAAGGTACAATTCAGGCTCAAATACGTCACAGAACGTATCCAAACAAGAGTACTGCATGTGGTAGAGTTTGCTTGCTGACCCACAAATTTCTACATCGTCTATAGTCGCTTGGCGCCAGTGGTTTCCATCCCTTCCATGGGTCAGGCTGCTCGCCTGCGTCCTCCAGCTCGTCCTTGCCCTTGTCCCACCGCGCTAATGCTGCTGCTGCTACTGGCCCCGGCCTCTGTGTGCGGCCTTGCATCTTACATCAGGGTAATGCCCGTCCTTATCTACTGGCTGAAGATAGAGTGGTCGCTGTTGACGGAGTAAATGGCCGCAAACGACGTTGCAGATATCACAGTGCGCTGAAAAACTGTACCAGCGCTCGCTGATTTTTTTCTTTCTGTTGTTTCTCTGTCAACACTCGCCAACCCGGCATGAAACTTGGTGGAGCTGTAGCCATTGATCTGGAACTACAGGACGATGAACTCTAAGAGTGAGGGCTATCGCTGCTAGGCATGTATCGGAATCTCTAGTGCGAAATATCACATCAACTTTCCATTCTTCGACTATGAATCATGTTCTCCCCTCCTTAATCAACATCTTTTCCCGCCACAAAGCCGATTTCTCCACCCAAAGTTAAGGAAGTCACGATGCTAGTGACTGAAGGCGTTTCTACGCGATACCTCTTGCTTCAGCTGGGAGGATCCGCCCAGAATACAAGGAGAACATGACAGTAAACAAAGGAGTACGGCCCAGGAAGGCCCCAGCGGAAACAGTCGAATACCTCAAAGTCAGCTTGAAACGCGGAAATCTCAGGACGGCTGATGATGCCCAAGGGTATGCTAATCGACTACTCTCACAGCCTGCTTCTGCTTCTACAGCTCGGCGGCGGCTGAAAAAAGTAAGATTGATTGCAAAAAGGATCGTCAAAAGGCTAGCGCTCGAAAGAAAACGTATTAAAGGCTGTCTTTAATTCATCAAAAAACACAAGGGGTGGACTGAGGAAGATTGGGCAATGGTGGTGTGGTTAGATGAGTGCAAGAGCAACAGAATCTGTTCTGACGGTCTTCGTTGGGTCTGCGACGACGCATCAGGGAAGATAATCGCTCGCCCAGTCTAAAGAACAATCAGGTTTGGAGGTGGCGATGTTATGGACGTTATGGATGTTGTGGATGTTATGGTATAGTCCTGTTTGTCATGGCAGAGCCTGGTATATCGCCATGATTGATGAGACTATGGACTCCCAACTACACATCAAAGTACTTCAAGAGGACTTACTGATGTTCGTCGAAGAGTGGAGCCTAGCGAAGGAAGGATTTAGCTTTCAGCATGACAATGATCCTAAGCATACGGTCAAGGTTACAAGAGCATATCTGGAGTCGATTGAAGTGATGGAGACCGAAGGAAGGCTTCCCCAGGGGGGAACGTACAAAGTGGAGGACAGGGGATTTTAACACTACGCTCCAAAACTGTTCCAATAACGATTCGTTCTCTTATTAACTGCATCATATATGTTTGATGTCGATGACTACAAATGCACTAAGTTTCATGCCGACCTGGCGAGTATTGACAGACACAGTGTAGATTTGCATCGCATTGTATGTACTTGGTTTATTGATGAAGCAAGTATGGAGCGGAGGATCGATCAGAGTCAGGGGGAATAGGCGAATATCCTGATCACTGAGCTGAGCGCACCAAACTATGCAGAAAATTCGGGTTCCTAAATTAATTTTGCGCGTAGATGCAACTTTACTATGACAAGTGGTAATATATCCTGCGCACACTCATAGGCCACTTTTCTGAAGCCGGCTCGATCAAAAATGACCCTAACAATCGACTCGGAAGGGTCGACTTGGATAGAACACTTTGTTGTCGCATGAAAGAATCGCTTTATTATGGATCCTACTAGATAGGAGGATAAACTACCCGGAGAACATCCCGCACAACGTCTGCAGCGGTCTTTTCGTCCGCAAACTCGTCCACTATGTCTGGATCCCCATGGTTCAACTCAAAGTCCTCATCTACATCGTTGACGACAAAACTGCCTGCACTGGAAGAATTATCCTCCGAATCCGAGAGTTCGACAAAAGAGGCACCACCTTCGCTGCTTTGATCTGAATTGGTGCTGTCCCTCCTGCCCTGCGCATGTCCCTGCGTTCCCTGAGAACACAGCTCTACTTTAATTTGGCCCTGCTGCTGTTGTCGCTGAAATCCCTGATAACCTCTCATGGGTGTCTTGCCATTGCTTTGGGTGCGCGCGGGAGGCAGCGGAGACGAGGACGTTGAGGACACTGTTAACGAGGAAGCACAGGTAGTGGCTGCGAGTATCTTGCGCCGCCTTGTTGACTTGAGTTCCAGGCGATGGGCAAAGACCTTTTCTGCAGCAATCGTCACCAGATCCGGGGTCACGAAGGTCACTTGAAAGATCGCAGCCAGTGATCTATCAATGTCAAGTCAACAAATTTTGTTAGCCACAGCATTATTCATTACAAAAAGAGATCATTCAAGCAAATATCATTAGCATAACCAGCAAGTGCTTACCTTATAATGGCTTCCAAATCCAGTGCTGCCCGTGCTGTCAAGCCTCCCTGGACAGCTTCGTGTGTTCTGACGCCAACGATCACATCCCGGATATACCGCATCATGTCATTCGATATCGTCACCGCCTTCATTCTCTTGGAGAGTTCGTCCCACTCTGTCCTTCGAAAGAGCGCATGTTTCCTTGCAGGGGTAGGCTGTATTCGTTGCTGGGGTATCGAGGGTTGATAGGTCCCGTTGATTGCAAAGTAATCCAACTGAATGCGTGAATAAAATTTAAGGAATGTTGGTAAGCACAGGCTACATAAATATGGCTCCTGTTAAAGTTGCCTCCAGAAAACAAATATAGGACACAATACCAGTTGCTTGGGCACATTGTCAGGCACGGTAGGTGACCTGAAAATTGCAGTGATGATAAGATCAGGAAGCACATATCGATTTTTGTCGTTGATCTCCTTGTTGATAATCATCTATAAGCCCGTGGAAGAACCGATGCTGCAATCAGCGCCCGTTGTCGCCATGAGGACTGTGCCTTTGACCATCTATTCCTTCATGAGTAACAGAAAAATGTACCTCCAATAGGACAGCGTAAACTTCCTGGCTGGCGTTCTCGAGTCCATCCAGAATAATCGCCTGAGCAATCCTCCGCCCACTAAATGTGATTCCCGATATCTCGCCGCCAGTGCCGCCATATCCCCCCGTGTTTGATGTACTCTCATGTCTCCGCCGCGGGAACGTAAAGTCGACGGGCGTTACAGGAGCAGGTCCAGAGGTGGCCGAGGGAGTCGTTCCTCCAAGATGGGATAGTGCTTGCGCATATTGCGAGTGCGTCCTTCTGTTGCTGAGATTGTCGATCGAGGTTGGATCTGTCGCCATGGCTTTGCGTGAACGGCCTTGAAGAATGTGGTCGGTCATCGAATCGCCCGTGCTCTTTGGCCTAGATTCTGACTACAAGGATATCGTATGAGAGGAAGGGCTGTTAGATTGCCGCACCATGTCTTCGGGAGCGAGTTGTTGAACACAAGAAAATCGATCTGCATAAAAAACCCGTACCCTTCGCAGATTGATGCTAGAGTCATCGCCTCCACGCGAGTATTCACTCGGTTCCAGTGGCAGGTGCCCTCTCCGGATTGACCCTCCATCAAGATCTCTTTCGCTTGCAGTCCTAAACGATGCAATTGATGGTGCCGCATTGTGCTCTGAAGGCCGAAAACTGTAGTCCGATGCCTCTGAATGGTTCGTTGCAGTTGATCGACGCGATTTCTCAAGCCGTATTTTTGCGCTCCGCTGAGTGTAGTCGTCTGCAGGGTTAGAGTACTGGTAGAAGTGCGAGGGTATTTGTTGATGATTATGATGACTACTGTGGTGAGGATGATGATAATGGTGGTGGTTGTTGTGGACGCCACTGGTATAATTGTTAGCTGGGAGCTGGTATTGACCGGATAGTGTAGACGGCCCGGCATGTGTAGTCGTGTCCGCGTGTCTTCCTGTGATGGCAGCAATAATATCTGCTCTGGTTTGATGTCCATGGCAAACAATGGTCGCCGTGGTAAGTCCGAATACGATAGCAGAATGCTAAGTGCACGAAAAGGCCAAATGAGTGGGCAGCAATCCCTATTTATACCACATGGTAATCGAAGACAATTGAGCAAAGTGCTTACCTGCTCGACAATGCTTTTGAGCTCAGGAACAGCCTCCGGGACGGTATGGAGAACGAGGTGCTTGTTCTTAGCGATGAGACAGATGAGGATGGAGAGGAAGATCTCTTCTGAAAAGGCGACACCAGACGTCTTTTTGATGGCGGCCATCTTGCTCCTGATCCATGCCCTGTTCGCGGGTGCCATCCTGCATTTGTTGTTTTCGTTAAGTGAGAGATTGAATCCAGAGATGGGTAACCATTGAACATATCCTCCCTGGGTTCTTGAGACTGTCTACTGAGACAAATAAGGTTTAGAAGGGGTTGGAATTGGGCGAGTGCGGGGTAACTGAAATGTAGTATCCCCGAGCAGCCGGGCGGAAGGGGTTGAGTGTATGCAGTGGACTGCGACATAACGTAACAACGTACGCGGCCCAATTGTTCCCAGGACTACCTGAAGCACCGTCTGCGGTCTGCAGCGATATGGGGGTCAGTCAGTCCACATGGCCTGCTGAGTGAAAAACGGGTTCCTCTTTATTTCCTTGCTTCCTTTCTTCCTCTCGTTATTTCCCTCCCTCCCATACTCTGTTCCCATTTCCTGCAAGCCGAAACGTGAAGGTGTTCTTCCCACTGCAGCTGGCGCTTATTACACATGCACCCCGTGCCGTTTTTATTTCTTCTGACACTCGCACCTCGCACTCCCTCCAATCGTCTCTTCTTCACTTTCCCTTTACTTCCCCTCTGCTTCCCCATTACTCCCTTTCCTCTGCCTCTACTTCCTTCCCCTCCCTTCCCTTCCCTTCCCCTCCCTTTTCATTTTCATTTTCTGCAATCGCTAATTGCAAAATCGTAATACTTATCGACATCGAATCGGCTATCGTTCCGTTGTCTTTTCATTTCTTCTCACTTCTTCGCGCCTCTTCTGCACCTTCGCCTTCTTCGTCTTCTTTGCCTTCGCAGTTTGCTGCTCTCTATCCTATCCAATACCCTCCATCACTGGCACTCCCTTTCCTTTGCGCCCCTCTTCCATCCTCTCCTTCATTTCACACCTCCAATCAGTGGATCGCCGTGGTGTCCTCGTCTTTCCCCTCACATTTGCAGCAGCAAGCAAGCAAGCAAGGCAGCTGGCAGCAGGACGGCAATCCATCTCTAATCTCCCTTAACACCGTAGTATGATCCATTCCGCATCCCTATCCTTCCGAACATCGTCTGCTTCCTCCTCCGCTTCATCGTCTTCCGCATCATCCTCGACATTTTCAGCCCGTCACTCAGTCCCTATCTCCACTGCTGTCGCCTTGCTTCGCTCTCACACGCCCACCCAGCCATCTCCTTCTAGACGGCAAGACATTCCTTTTTCAAAATCAGCCCACTGTCTTATTAATAGGCTTGCCAATTCCAGTAGTGCCAACAGGACACTCCAGCTCTCCTCTAGTTCCAAAAGATCCTCACTTATTTCCTCATCCTCAACCTCCTTCTTCACTACCTCGTTACTCGTTCGCACACACCAAGGATTGAATAAGGAACGCAGCCTTATCAGATCTCTTCCAGATCAAATACGACCCTATGTTACAGGGACTCTAGGAGAGCACACATCTGAGCCCATGTTCCTGGATGAGCTGGGGCGAGTCCCTTTGCTGAAGCTGTCTTCAATTTCTGTGACATCTTCTCCCTCTTCCCCTCTACATACACTATCTCCAGAAAACCCAAACACACTTTACATTCCCCACAACAATCCTCGCACTCATCAATGCGACTCTGGTAAACATTCTATCAAGACGGACAGCGGTCAGCATGCCAAACCGGGAACCACGAGCGATATCGCCGGTGTGAGTGCGAGTATCCAAGTCAAAGACGGAAACTTACCCAGAATTAACGAACTGGGCCAAGCATGGGACTGGAAGGATAAGGACGAGATGGCAAACCCCAGCATTATACCGTATCCCGGCAACCCCCATAACCCTTCATCACCCTTGACGCCCATCCCAATAGCCTCGGGCTTTGATACCGACGTCGCACCACTACGCATGACTCTGTCTCCATACTCACTCCTAACAACCGACAGCCACCAGCTTCCAGCTTCATCGACTCCATCCTCAGCGATAAAATCAACAGCAGTACATACAAACCAAAGCAATGTACAGAATGATCGTACATCTTCGCCTACTCCACGCTCACGGCCAAAGCCTACGCCAATCGCTACAGGGTTGCATCTCCAGGGATCAAATCCTGCTCTGACCAGCGTTACTGTTGACTATAAAAGAGAGGGTGTTTATCATTCGGAAACGGGGCCTTGTATACACCCTCAAGTATCGTGGGAAAGTGGTTGCCCTACGAGTGAGGAAAGAGGTGCAAAGGCTGGAGGCCGGGACAGCGGCATTGCTCTCGAGACTTGGGATGCTCCCTGTTCTCGTTTGGATCCCACAAAGAGCGAGTTGCAAACAAACGAGGCACGTGTAAAAGCGAAGGAGCGCTTCCCTACCTTCGACCAACTTTTACAGCCAGACTTGGCCCTGCAAGGTAACGCGACGACGTGCATCCACATCCACATATCCTCATCAAAGTCATCATCAGTAATTCTTGTCGCTGACTATTGCCGGCTGCAAAATGCGCACGAACTCTAGATCCGTTCCGTATGGCGTCAAATGAGCCAGGACAATCAGCACAGAGACTAGAGCGTAGACAGCGCTGTCGCTCCATGGTCCACCCACACAGCGCACCCGCCACTGAGACAGAAAGTTCTTTCATTGATCCCTCAGATGCTCGCCCAGCTGCAACAGTACCTTTAGGAACAGGGTCCAAGCCACGTGCGAAACGCATCGCATCCATGTCTTTTGGAAGCAGTGCTCACATCGATGCCAATAATTCAGCCATGTTCTCTCACGAACTCCCTCCGCTCCCTCCAATGGCAAATTCAATGACTACGACTGCGCCCAAAACCTCGTTCTTTGTTTCGCCCTTGCTCCAAGATGGCGCTACCAGCTCCCATCAGACCTATCCTCAACGTCGTGAATTGGGAAGCTCCAATTCCTCACAATCATCATTGTCTTCTTCATACTCCTCATCATCGTCTTCTGCTTCTGCGACGATATCGCTCTCGAGGGCACCATCGCCAACACCGAATTCAATATCCGCATTTTCTCATGGAATCTCGTTTTCGAACATGTTGGACTTGGCCACCGCAAAGGCTGAAAACATCACTGGACTCTACTTTGCGAAGCAGATGAATCGAAGGTCGGTTCCTCTAGACTTTTCCAGCTCCCCCCTGGGCACATTCTCGTCACCGCATTCATCCATTCCCAATTCCTCTGAGACCGGCACCGAGCATGGTATGAATCAAAAGACAACAGGTATCAGGATTGACATCGACACGCCATCTCCTGTTTCTGGCATAGCGCACGGCTTGCGAGCGGGTGACTCGACTGGGGTTGAAGGCAATTCTAGAAAGCAGGATACCTTTCCACCAAAGTCGAGACGAGTACGAACTTTCACAGCGGAGCCTCTACAGAACAATACTCACCTGGACACCAGCATCAGTCCATCCGCAGACACACAAGCGTCCGTGTCTTCCGATCGTCCATCGTGTACACCGATAAGAGGTCAACACCGGCGATCGCATTCTGCATCGCATTTTTTCCACTTGTCATCGCTCAAGCGTCACTCGCCAGCCCAGTTCAACCTTGCACTGTGCTATGAGCACGGACAGGGAGGGGTCGGAAAGGACTTGGAAAAGGCGCTCAATTTCTATCAGCAGGCGGCAGATCAGGGCCACACCAAAGCCAGCTATAATATTGGGTGCATCTGCTACAATCACGGTGAAGTGTCCAAGGCTATGACTTGGTTTGAACGTGCAGGGAAATGCAGTGTCCGAGGACTTGTGGCAGAGGCCACCTATCCGTCTCTTTCGGAGCACAGCAAACCGCAGTCATCACTCGACTACCCTCTGCCGAAGCAAACAACGCTCCCTCACGAACTGGAGGACATGCTCCTTGGAGATATGTCTGGTGCTTCTGGGCCGTTTGTTGCATATCTCCCTGCGATCCTTTGTCTAGCCCTTTTGTGTCGACAGGGTGTCCAACTCAAGGATGGCGCAGTGATTCTTAAACAGGATTATGATCAATCGGTAGAGCTGCTACAGAGCATCCTTCAAAAGGCCTCGTCTCAGTCTCATCCAGGCAATGAGAGGGATGTTCTGGAGACTACATATCCATGCAGGGAGCCTTCTAGCAATCGAGCGACGGATACAGAGGCAGAGAGTGCCAGCGCATCGTTCGCGGCTCGAAAACGCGGCTCCCAAGGTGGTCTGAATCCCAGCGGTCATACCCTCTCATCGACCCTTCTCTCAACTTCATGTCCTTCTCTCCCGTTGCGAAACCAGTCCACAAGCGACTCGTTCGTTACATCCTCAGACTCTACACATTCTTTGTCCTCGCAAACGGTGTCCGACAAGACCAAAAGGCCCTCAACCGTTCAGGACGAAGCAGACGACGAGGTGCTTCAGGACCAAGTGCCTGCTCGTACTCGCGTCCAAGGATCGGAGGGTTTCGAAGCATGCAACGAGTCGTTGGAGCTACATGGATATGATGACCACGAAAGCTGCTCCGTCACTCTGGCCCATCAGTTGCTCAAGGTGTGGAAACCTGTGAAGGCAGCTAAAGGGGAGGCCACGCCTGAACTTGCAGCGGAAATGGAAAAGAGGAGCAAGAGAATCCTTCGTCACCACCTGCTATACATCACTAATCCGATCTTGGGCAGGAACCTCTACAATCTCGGAGTATTGTACGATCTGCACCTGGGAGACGCAGCTATCGCGATCAAGTGCTACCGATCCGCGTATCACAACAGCCATGGTATGATCGTTCCTCCAGCATCAAAAGACTTGTCAGCTCAACCGGGCGACTCACATCAACAGCAAGAGCGACAGCACTCCAATTTGGTGACAAGGATCAACAGTGCTTGGAACCTAGGGGTTCTTCATGTCAGATGCAAGGAATGGAAACCAGCGCAGGAATGGTTCCTGCGTGCTCAACAGGACGTCCATATGCTCGAACGTCAGCAGCATCTCAGTAAGGAATACAGCTCTGCTCAAGCATCAGAAGCCCAAGACAAGAATAGTGTTCATGGCCAAAAGATACTCGGCAACGACAACGACGACAACTATCAGGCACCCAGGACGATGAGAAGGTCGCTCGTAAATGTTGTTCCCCATACAGTGACAGCTCTTCCATCGGACAGTCCTGGAAAGAGGCATGCTAGAGAGCACGGCCTTTTGATGCACCTGGGGTCTATCCCCAATGGTTCCACTGCCGCTGAATGTGGCTCTGATGGCACTCACAAGCAAGACTCTGCTTATAGGAGGAAAAAGAAGCGAGGAACAAAAGGAAGCGAGGCCATTTTAGAGGAGACAATCAGGACGGATGCCGGCAAAGTTGCCTGGGTGCTGCGCTGGGTTGAGTCCCACATAGAACCGTGATAATACGGTGTGAGGTGATCCCCCCCTTTATCAGGGATTATTCGTGAACATATTCTTCTTTCTTCCGTCGATATAACATACCCATTTCACGAACTAGACAGCTGCTTTTTTTTTCATTCTATACCCATTCGTGCTTTTTTTTCTTGCTCTTTCGATAGCTCTTTGTTAGTACAATAATTCTTTGCGGATTGTTGTGTTGTAGAAACGCAGGAGATGAATTTTAGCTTGATATATTACAGGTTGATTTATTGTTCATCGTCAACAACCCCCGCACAGGGGGGTTTTTGTCTATTCATCGGTGTGTACAAACAAAGAGAGAAAGATATCCCTGTTTACAACTTGGCCTGGAAGCCGGTCTTCTCCTTGGCGGCGTTGAGGACGGAGTCGAGCTTGGTGGCCATCATGATGGCACCCTTGACCTTGATCTTTCCAGACATGAAGAGCTTCTGGCCGTTGGCCTTGCCCTCGGCAAGGGCAACAAAGTCGTCATCCTTGACATCGATGGTGATATCGGGCTTGAGGCCGGCGACGGTTCCCTTGTGCATGGAGCCGTTGCCGTTCTTCAAGTCGAAGGTCCAGGTGGCTATATGTCGAGAGGAATACAATGCAAAGAATGAGATGAGTGATGAGTACAAGGTACGGTACAGCATTTTGCTGGTGGTGAAATGCAGAGGGGAGACGCAGGTGAACATACCGACTTGACCAGCGTTGTTCTTGACGTTGAACTGGAAGACACCCTTGACCTTCTTGACCTGGTCCTGGCGCTCGGCCTCGGTGAGGGTCTTGAGGTGCTCATCAATCTGGGTGAGGAGAGCAGAGGACTTGAAGCCGTCAACAGCGAGAGCTATAGGAGACCGGAAAAGAAGCAATTGTGAGCCAAGAGTGATTACAACATAGCCGAGTCGGAAAAGGAAGAGTAGAGAGTCCGTTGCTCGGTAAAGAGAGATCCTGAATGTTTCTGCATCAAAATATTGCTCCTAAAATGTCCCAGTTGCTGTTTTGCTTCAGGAGTATCCATTTGACCCATATTTAGATGTGCGCTGGTGTGGAGTGCTACATGATCCAGTTCATTGTTTTCCCAAAAGGCGTTGCTGAATAATATGGATGCGAAAGCGAATGCGGACGCGGACGCGGATCGAGTCGATAGCAGTGCCGGTGAAGGTGTACTGTTGCTGCTCCTGAAGACTCGGCGGATGGAATGAAGACACAATTGGTGTCAAGACATAAGATAGCACTTACACATGGTTGTAAAGTGTTGGTGGTTGGGGGGTGTGGGGTGAGTGAGGGTGGAGTGGAAAGTGAAGGAAGACTGATGGAAAGAAGGGAATAAGAAGGGGGACGGGAGAGAGTGAAGTATTTATACGGCCTTCAGACAACAAAGTGTCTCTTCGCTCTAAAGCGAATGCGTTTCCTTTGAGTAGGTCTCTTTCCTATGCCATGACAAAAGATTTTCTTGACATGCGGACGGATGGGCATTGGGAGTGAAGTGAACCCCAATAAGGTTGCAGTGTGCCCCGCAATTTTTGTTATTTTCATGTGCATCCATTTCGATCGTCGCTGCTATCCACAGGGACCAGTAACCCTTTCCCTCGAAGGCAAACTGCTGTCCATGGTCAATGTCATTACCGCCGCCGGCCATCGTTCTTCAATCTCCTCTTTTACCACGGTTATTTCGTCCTGCCGCGTGGACTAGAATGCGTATTGGTCGTGTTACCATCGCGAAAAAAACCGGACCCCTCCACCATAAAGTGTCATGATCATAGACCAGCTCTTCTCCTTTGCCCTTTTCTCGGTGCAAACCCGTGCAGTGCCCTTATCCGCAGGTCATCATTTCCATATAGAACCGAGATCACGACCCAGTCTTTGTTCGAGGGGGAACATGTCTATCGATATGTCCGACTTGATGTCTTGCTGGGAATGGGGGAGCCGATCTGTGGAGAAGCACTCCTTATTTTGGGTTGGGACACAGGCATGGCATGGGCTTATTCTGTAGATGCACAACTAGGTTCCTTACTATTGCACGTGCCGGTGCACCCGAGCCGAGCAAAAAAAAAAGTAGACGACGACCTTCACTCATCGAAAGCCCCTGTCCCACCGATTCGTCTTCCCCACGCACGCAGGAGCGGAGCATTCGACCGACGAGCGGGGAAGCCGCTTTCTTGGCTACCGCGATGGAGTTGCTCAGTTTCCTGCACCCTGTTGATCTCGCGTACATGGAGCGGACCATACGTACACCCTTGAACCTGTAGTAGACATCGCGTCCATGTCCCTTTTGTCTGCCCCCTTCTGTCTGCGCTTCTACGTGCGACGTGTTTCATCGTGTTGGGATGTACGTACGTGACCTCGCGGTAGTACGTGTCGTGCGGTTCACCCCTTCATGTTGCCACCATTTTGGAGCACATACTCCTTGGGCAAGTACATGCAACAATCGACCTCGCCATTGCCACCACGCTCCTGTCCCCTGCATCAACTATTCATCAGCGCTGCATCGCCATCTTTGCTGCTCGCTCAGACACAGAAACAAGTATGGACACCACCACCAGTGACTTGCGCGCTCGCCTTCTCGACCTCGGCTTCAACCTACATCAAGCCAGAGCCGCAGTAGACGCAGGAAACACTACGGTTGAGTCAGCAACGGAATGGTAAAGCATGCACATCCGGAAACAAGCTTCTACAAAGCTAACTTCCGTTGCAAAAAAGGAGTAGAGGCAGCCTTATCAACTAACACTGGAACACGCGTTTTTCTTTGGATTCTTAACGATAGGATCTTTGACAACAGCGCCACGCCTGCGCCATCAACCAGCAGCGCCGGCAATAACGCCACACTACGTCTTCGCGATGAACAAGATGAGGCCTTTGATACGGACCTTCAGCAGGCACTTTCAGAATCCTCCAGAGTAACATATACTCTTCCAACCCACACCTCCAAACCATCGCCCGCTGCAGTCAGCCTGTCACCAGAACCCCCTAGCGCCTCGGCCACGAAAAAGATTAAGATCAATATCATTCGAAACGAACCATCAGCCAAAACTACACCACTATTGCCACTGGCATCGCGGCACAAAGACGGAGAATTGGAGGCTCAAAACGCTGCACGACTCGCAGAGGCTAACAGGAGAGCCGAGCAGACCAAACGGGAAAAAATGGAGGCTCGCCTGGCCCGCCAGAGAGCATTGAACGATCTTAAGGAAGATAGAGAGAATAGAAAACTTCGCACCCATCACGCGACAGGATCGTCTGCAACTGCTGTACCTGGAGGCGCAAATGTATCCAACATTCAAGCACAAATTAGTACACCGACTGCTCCTTCGGAAACCTCGAGTAGATCTCTCACGATGGTTCAGGTAAGGAGCCTTTCATTGTGCGGCCATTTTGGTGCCGCCTTTCAAACGGTGCCTTCACGTACTGATTCTCTGTGTTGTTTCCGATCTTCTGATGAATAGCTACGACTGAAGAACGGATCAGTCTTGAAACGATCATTTGAGAGCAGCGCAACACTGAAAGATCTTTTTGAGCTTGCGCGTGCAGAGGATGGCAACATTGGATCCGCTGACATCAGCCTGATTCAGGTAAGTTCACACTGTTGTTGGAAACCTTATCATATGCAACACAGCAATGAAGCGTAAAATTCTTAATCCTCATGTGCTTGTATCACCCGTGGTCTACATAGCCGTTTCCTAGGAAAGAGTTCACGATCGCGGACAACAGTCTCACATTGTCCGACGCGGGTCTTTGCCCCAGCTGCTCACTCAATGTCTTGGTTCAAGCACCAATTCCGGCGCCACAGCCCATTATGCCTGGTTCATGGCTTCCACCTGACGTCGAAATGGAGGAACCTTCAGCATCAGGAGCCCAGGATGAACTGATGTTGGCCGACGAGGAATACAACGAGGGTGGGGGTCATGGGGACGAGGAGGACGCCTCAGAACAGGATGAAGTTGAAGACGACCAAGCAGGCGAAATAGATGATAGCGACGGTGATGGCGATGATGACGAGGACGATGGGGATGATATGATGCATGCACTACCTATGCCGCTCCACCCACCACAGCATCCTTTTGCAGGTGGAGGCAGAGGCAGAGGACGAGGACGGGTAGGACAGATACCGTTTTCCGGAGCAGGGCGCGCACTTGGGTCAACAGTATCGGCCTCATCGACCAGTCAATCCGGGACACCTGTGGAATCAAATGTAGAGAACACGGATGTCGCCCGTCGTCAACGTATTTTGGATGCCATGGCCAATAGATCAGCCATTCAGCATGGCGCGGATAACAAGGGCTCGGAAAGCCGGCGGAAAAAAACAAAGGAAAAGTTTATTCCAACACTTCAGTCGCTTTGCAGCTACTCGGTCGCAGGTGGGTCTTTGTGTTGTGGGTGTCAAGTTGCTCATTAGTCTCATACGATATTTTTGCTAGCAGCAGTCGTTAACCTATTCTACATATAACTGTAGTCATGTTGGCGGCCAAGGACTCGAAATCGAGTAAGAATCTAAAGCTATTTGGAGAAAATGTTGGATCGCAGATCGCAGAAGGCATCATTCAGGAACTCATCAAAATGAAGCAGCTCGACCAGCTGACTTTCAAGCGGCTCTATAGCTGGTATGCACCAGCTCCATGTCTTTTTGCTTTTGAACTGTCGGATATGGTTTGTCCACTTTATCATCTTGTTGACGCGCGCTTCTATTTACAGTTCCATCGTGAATATAGTGCTCGATGCATACTCGCGTGCCACGGACTCGTTGATGGACGCCATTGGGACCTCTCAGTCTCGATCACTGACGTATCTCAGCCTGAAGGAATGTATATTCTTGACAGACAAAGGATTTTCGAATATCCGCCGCTTTGGGGAGTTGGAGTACCTGGATCTGTCACACTGTCGCATCACGGACAAAACTCTCGAGTTCACGCTAGACCTTCCATATTTGAGCACGCTTCATTTATCGGCAACAAAAATCACAACAGGAGGCCTGGCGAGAATCATTTCGAAAGCTGCATGGAGCTCGACGCTGCAGACGCTTGATTTGTCGTACTGCGAAGAGATCAAGGGACCCGCTGTTCTCGTCAATCTGCAAGGTGAGCGATTAATTATGATGCCAAGTATTAGTTCATGTAAATGTGCAGCCGAGCATGATACCAACCGAACGCTTGTGTTCACTACATCCCTCTTGTGTTGGTTTTGATGCACTTTAGAACTTACGGGCCTCAGGACACTTAAGCTGAACAACACCCGTGCATTTGATCATTCTCCAGTCCAGGTTCCCGACCAGCGGGCGTTCATCTACTTGCTGCATCTGGATATCGCAAGGACCCCGATAACCAACGATGACCTTGTTAAGTTGATCCCTTGTTTCAAGTCGCTGGAGGTCCTCAATCTGAGCTCATGTGCGAGTGTGACCGCTGCGTCTTTGGAAAGCTGTGTACAAGGTACTGCTGCCTTATAGTCGATGCCCAGCTCCATGTCTATAGCACTTCTCCCGACCGTACGTGCGCATTCTCTAATTTCTCTCTATGGCTGTAGAACTTCGCGAGCTGCACAATATCAGCTTTCCGAATCGGGAACACGATCTCGTCAGTGTGCTGCCCACAGCAGCAGGTAACAAACTATGGGTACTATAGTTTTGGTTATTGGCGACTCCAATAGCTGCATTGTCTAACAGTCTTTTGATCTACTTTCTCCAAATAGCGCTACCATTGACACATCTGGATCTGACGGGCTTTTTGTTCGTGACAGACGACGCTATCCTTTCGCTGTCAGCGGCTACAAATCTGCAAATGCTTTCGTTAGCAGGAACAAAACTCACGGACGTTGGATCAGCGGCGTTTGTCCATATGTCGTCGCTGAAAGAACTTTTGCTTGACCGGACCATCATTGGCGACAAGACCATGGAATACTTGCGAGGTAATCAGCAGGCACGATATTGAGGTCGGCGTCTATTCAGTATTCTTATTAGTATGTGTTCTAACTCGCGCATATCTCAGATTTGGGTAGGATCGAGGTTCTTTCCTTGCATCGATGCGAACGACTGACTACCGCAGGAATGATGCTCCTTGGAAAATGCGCGTTCTTTTCGATCAAGCTGAAGAGACTGAATCTTGGATATAACAAATACATCCATGACGAAGCACTGACGGTGTTTATACGATGTAACGAGCTGAACACGCTGAATCTGGAGTACACGGATGTGTCTGAAGAACGGGCGTTGAGACTACAGGAATCGTTGCCGAATCTGAAGCAGCTTCGGATCCAAGGAATCACGCAAGGAGCAGTGTATGAAGAGACCCCCCGACCTACTTTTACGTGATCGGGACGCGTTAGATCTGTTCTTGCGAATATAAAACAAACGGCGATGTTTTACAAAAACGACTAGACCATCGATGATCGATACGTTTGTCAATGTTGCTTTTAGCGCCTACATGTCACTACGGCCTCTGTGGAAATGGACCATGACATCTACTCTGAACTGGCATTGTGGAAACCTTATTGGTTTCAGAAAAATATATCGCTTTTGCGCTTCTGAGGTAGCCGATGTACGTTCTACTAGCATAGAGACCAGTTGGTAACCTGTAAGGAGTCTGTATGTGATGGATAATTTAGCCATGGTGGATCGAGCCCGCCCTTGGTCTCCCTCCGCTGCCGTTCCAAGAGTCCATCGTAGCTCTAGTGAGGTTGGAATATGACGACCAACGACATGATGTTTCAGATAGCCCCTCTCTGACAACCTCCATTGGCACCACCACTACCTGGGCTGGTGTCGGGAGCACAAAAGACGTGTGAGGTCAGCTTCTGACAGCGGAGCGATTATTCTGGAGAATCTCGACACTTCGATACACAAAATAGACGCTTTACATCACATCTTAAAACTGCCCTTTTTTCATTGCCCCCCACTCCTCTTTTCCTTTTTTACCGCCCGCCTTCTTTCGGCTTCTTCTCTTCTTCCCTTCTTCCCTTCTTCCCTCTTCCCTTCTTCCCTTCTTCTTCCTCAGCATCCCAGTCGAAACCACACACACAGCCCAGACAAAGACAGACAGCTGCAGGATGAGTCACTACGGGTATCCCGGCCAGAACAACAACGGCTACGGGTACGATCCATCCGGGGGTGCATACACAGGCGCCCAGCACGACCCCAACGTCCCACCATACACACCTTACTCGGGCAACGCAGGTGGACCAGGACCAGGGGGCTATGTCCCCAGTCCTGCATTCAACCCTATGCAGGCCAACAGCACGCCGAATCTCAATGGAGGAGGGTACCCGAACAATAGCAACAACAGCAGCAACATGATGGGCTATGACAATGCTCATCTGAATGCCAACAACAGCAATAACAACAATCTTAATTACGCCCCCTCGACAGCCTCGGGTTACGGGGCTCCTCCTCTTGGACAGCAATACCAGGCTGGAGGGTTGACCTATCAACAGACCATCCACAACCCGCCCCCCAAACCATATGCGTCTGGGCAGAGTCCTATCCCGAATGCTGCCACGCCAAGCCAGCCTCGCGCTGAGCAGCCAAAGCCTGAGGGCGACTATCCTGTTGTCATGGCAATTGATTTCGGTAAGGACACCCCCCTGAACTGCTTGTCTGAGGATGAGAATATAGGCCTATTGAGGAGAACTCTTGGCTGACCAGCTTACATCATGTTCGTTCTTCCCTTTGTAAAAAAAAAAAAAAAAAGGAACAACGTACTCTGGAGTGGCCTATGCCCTCAAGGCCGACGGAGAAGTACACGACATCACGAAATGGTATGACAGCACATTGTCAATCAATTGCACCCTGGATACGAAGCGACGTAGGAAAGCGCCATCATCAACAGCGGCAACAACACTTGGCAGCAGCAGGAGTAGTAGCAGCAGGAACAATAGCGAGAGTGAACCCTGCCCCCTTTTTTTCCTCTCTTTTCTCTTTCTCCCGGTCAATTGTTTGGCGCATGATTACGCACAGGAATGTCAACAGCAGCAAGCACCAAGGACACCTTTCAATTCGACCACAGAAAAAAAAAAGAAAAAGATAAAGAAAAACGACACTGACTTTAGTAATACCCTTCCACAACTGTTACGATTAGGCCTCGACATCTGGCGCAGTACCCAAAGACACCGACCCTGAGCTTGTACAAAAAGGATTCACAAAAGATTCTGGATTGGGGTCACGCCGCTCGCCTGGCGATGCTGAAGCCTTCGGCCAAGGACTTTGTCCTCCTCCGCAAATTCAAGCTCCAGCTCGACGAGTCCCTGCAGAATGCCCCGCTCGAGAATGGGATCTCTGCACTCGAGGCTGTGACGCACTACCTCAAAAAGCTTCATGGCCATGTCATGTCCGAGTTGATGAGGGGCTTCATCAAGAATTATGAACCGACCCAGTTCCAGTACTGTCTGACGGTGCCCGCCATGTGGTCCGACGCGGCCAAGAACACGATGCGACGGGCGGCCATTGGTGCGGGATTGATCCAGGAGGGTGACCCACCAAACCGACTGATCCTGATCTCGGAGCCCGAGGCTGCGGCGATGTACTGTGAGAGGATGGTGGAACGCTTCTCGTTGAAGCATGGGGATCGGTTCATGATCTGCGATGCTGGTGGTGGAACGGTTGATCTGATTGTGTTTGAGGTGAGCGAGCCGCCAGGTCAGGCTCGTCATCTGAAGGAGGTTACGCGTGGGCATGGTGCATCCTGTGGATCTGTGTTCTTGGATGCCAACATGGAGAAGTTGCTGGATCGAAAGTTCAGGAGGTACCGCAAGGGTATCAAGGCGTGCGGATGGGCGTCGCTCATGGATACGTTCGTCGATATGGTCAAGCCGATGTTCAACGGACAGGAGGATGTGTTGATGCAGATCCCGCAGGCCACCGGTCTCGAGGACTTGAATGACCCAGATATTGGGTTGGAAGACGGTGTGCTATGTGTGCCTGTGGAGGAGATGAAGTCTGAGGTTTTTGAGCCGGTTATTTCGGATGTGCTGGATCTGATCCAGAAACAGCTGCACCAGAGTCAGGTATGCAATGCGATCTTCATGGTTGGAGGATTCGGATCTTCGCGGTATCTGGAGGAGCGTGTGCGGCAGGAGTTCTCGCATCTGGTCGGGCTGATTGCGGTGCCTCAGCGTCCAGAGTTGGCAGTGGTCCGAGGAGCGGTGTATGCGGGCTTGAACACGAAGACGATCAACATGCGTGTGGCCCGTCGCTGGTATGGTGTGGATGCGAACATGCCGTTCGAGGAAGGTGTTGATCCGGAATCAAAGAAGATTATCTCGCATGATGGACATGTGCGCTGCAAGGAGCGGTTCTCTGTTTATGTGCGTCCAGGACAACAGATCGGTGTGGACGAATGTGTGTCGAAGGAGTACGTGACCTGGTCGTATCCCAAGGGTCTGGATTCGCCCCTGTACGTGTGCAACTCACCCAATCAGCCCAAGTATATCACGGACCCGGGAGTGCAGAAGATTGCAGACTTTCATATTCCGATGCCGGAGATCCCAGGCGCGCAGCCCCGTACGCGTGTCGTCTTTAGGCTGAACATGTATTTCGGTAAGGCAGCGCAGTCCCTATTCACTTGTTTATGGAGCGATGTGCTGGATCATGAATACTAATGCAATCTGATTTATTTATTTATTTTTCATTCTAGGGTTGACCGAGGTGCGTGCGGAGGCTGTGATCAACGGAAACACATATACGACGATCTGTTCATTCGGCGGCGGTAACCGGTCTAACTAAACCATCATGGTACCATACTTTTTTTTTCTACTTTTTCTTTTTTTTTTTTTTTTGTCCCTCATAATAAAATATTTACTCTCAATCGCAAATGACAGATGTTTTCTTTTGTTCATGAATTATAGGATCTTTTTTATTGCTGCAAGGGTTGGCTATTGTACAAGTGAAATAAAAGAGATGAAATGAGAGAGACTAGATGTACACGATGTGAATGGAAAAATTATGATGGTGTGCCGCGATGTGCTGTGGTGTGTTTTTTGCATTGATGTGCTTTGCTGGGCTTTGCTCTGCTTTTCTTAGTATCGATAATGGCGGTCAGCACGACGACGGTGCGCATCGTGTCCATGCTTCTTCTTGAGGGACACTATAGCCAGAAGCGCCGCGACCTTTGATGCCTTGTGTCCTCCTTGACGATAGTTCCCTGTGCGGTGAGTGGTACGATGGTGATGGTGATGGCGAGGTCTGAGTGAGGCCAAAAAACCGGGTCGACGTTGGGAGGCGATGACGGTGCGATGGGGAGAGGAGCGGTGGAAGAAGCCGAAACCGGTCTTGCGGACGGGTTGACGGATGGGTTGACGGACGCGTCGTCCGTGTCCTAGGCGGCGGGGTGCTGCTGCAACGGGGACGGGGGCTGCGGCGCGGGGGAGGGGACGGGCGTGAGTATATCGGCGGGAGCGGAACATGGCTTTGAGGCGGGCCATGGTTGAGGGTTTGTAGTAGACCTGTTGGGCAGGGACGGGGCGACTGTGGAGCAGAGACATGTTGAAGTGCTTATGGTTGAAGTTGCAGTAATTGCAGTTGTAGTTGTAGTTGTAGTTGTAGTTGTAGTTGTAGTTGTAGTTGCTGTAGTGTGAAGTAGTAAGTTGTAATAGTTGCTGCCGAGGGTCCAGGGCACGTCTTTTTATACGTTCCTGTTTCTTTGGAAGTGTCGCCAGGGACGGGGATAAAGAGCGATATGTGGAGCAGAGGGGCGACAATGACGGTGATGATGTCGAGGCATTGAAAGCAAAGGCTCCCCTTTCCTAAGAGAACACAACCCATACAAGGAAACGCTCCATGGGGCACAGACGGCTAGCTTATTTTAAATTTTTTAAAGGACAAGTGACATCATCCGCGCATCACCGTGCTTCGCCCCATGCCGACTACATGTCCCTCTTTGCTCTAAACGCGCTCAAGGGTGTGGAGACAGAGCCATGATGACAATGATATCCTGCTACGCCAAATGATGCGCTTTGCTGTCATCCCGCCCGCACCCTCTTCGCACTCTTGCTCTGCAGACCCCCAGCGTCTCCTTCACCTCGGGGGGAGGAGGGAGAGTGAAAGGATCATCATTATTCGGACATGAGCGGGTGGATGACCTCCCCTTCAAAAGCACACGTGATGGGATCCACCCTGGATGCCAAGGGATGACAGCTGCGAAACAGACTGAACACTAAGTCATAATTGTCTTGGCACTGTGCATATATCCCAGTTCTCGCTCTTTCCTGCTTCTTTTCATCTTTCTTCTCTCACTCACAACAACATAACAACACAATATGTCGTCCAACAATCACCCCAAGTCCGCTGCTGCTGCCGCAGGAAACCCTACGCCCCAGTCCACACCATCTTCTGGTCCTGGCCAGCACGAGAAGGGCGAGTTCCATATCCTGCCCGTTGACGAGGATAAGAAGCATCCACCCCCACCCAAGGGTCGCCACAGCGAGGCAAACTCTGGTGGGCCGGATCTGAGAAGCGAGTTCCATGTCGGCCCCGCAATGATGCCCGGCCCCTTTGTGAGCTCCATGGGCGCCAACGCTACAGCCTTCGAACGGGAGAATGCACAAAAGGCCAAGAAGGAGTAGACGGACCCACGGACCACTGGACACCTTTGCACTTCGTTCAGACCAATGCTGTAAATAAAACACGAGAGCCAACTATGCAATGCTCATTTTTTGCTTCCCACAGATGTCCAGAGTAGCACCCAATAGACACAAGGTCGAAAATGAAAGGCGGAAACCCTCTCCTCGTCTCTTTTCCTTGTATAGTCTACATGGCAAAACTGCTTCGCCCACTCTTCTATTCATCCCTGCACACTGCAGATCTAAAGTCCTTTGTTCACAGTCCACTTTGTGCGCCTTGCTGAACCTGCATTTACATCTCCTATGTGCTCTAATGCAGAAACCACGAACCTTCAATGTGAATGAATTATGAAGCAGGGCTGGTGGCGATCAGCTATATCGTCTCACGGTAATGTGCAGACAACAGTAGTACAGATAACGGTATAACAGAGCACATTTCCCCTGACTTTCCATACACACTCCCGGGGCTTCTTCTCTGGTGGTGCAACAAAAAAAAGTAGCGTAGCATGGAGCTAAGAGACGCCGCCCAAATTGCTATAAAGACGCGCTCACTTCCTCCCTATATTCTTCAGTCAACTCCACCCACCAATAGCGAACACGCCCTTCTACTATGCGCAAGTCGTTCTTCTCGATTTCTTCGTCACAGCCACCTATACCGCTGGCATTCATCCCGAGCAAACATCCTCTGTCCATACCGCGGGAACTAAACTATGTGCCCCCTCCTGCAACAAGTGCCTCCCGACACCACGTGCAGCAACGGGCTTCCGGCTTGCAGGCATAAGAGTTGTCCATACGACTACACGTTCTGCGGTCCTTCCAAGAAGGCTGCCACTGCCCCTCCTGTTCGTCATCCCGGGGCCAAGCTTGACATTGTTGCAGGTGACAGGAGTTGAAGGGAGCCACGCATCCAAATGAACCTTCATCGTGAGGAATTCAGAAACACAGAGTAACGAGATAGAGGGAATCGATAATAGAAACTTCAAAAACAATCCAGAGGTAAATAAAGGCCCAACGGAGGCCAAGTGAAACCATGGAAAGTGTAGGACGAAATGAGTTGTGAAGTGCTTCCTATAAGAAGAAGGCAAGCACTAGAAAATCTAGAAAGTAAAGCTCAGGTACGGCCTTCTATTGATCTACGCAGAATAGGTCCTCGTTCGAAGTGGCCTAAAGGGTTCGACAAGGAGCATAAGTAACAAAGAAAAAAAAAAAAAAGCATTGTCCATAAAGAGGACACAGGAATCGTTGCCGGTCGGTGGTTCATCGTCGCCACTATTCCTCCAAATAGGCACGCCCTGAGTGTGTTGCTCAATCTCGCTGGCACCCGGTGTAAAAATATGCCTCTAATTCACGAGGAAATGGACTATCCATTGCCTTACACGAGCTTGTGCGATTAAGATGCTAGAGATGGTCTTGAGCCTGCATAGAGTGCTTTCCTGCCCACCCACGCTGATGGCTCGACCTGCCGTCTCTTCTGCATCTTTGCCAAACCTATACTACCAGCAAGTGCCTACTTATGATAGATGTTTATTTCTGGGATAAATGTGAAGCATGCGTATTTGTCTTATGCATTGTAACTTGTCGGCGAAACACCACATAAAGAGCTGCAGGTTCCTCTCTATGTCTTTCGGTCTTCATAATAAAGATCTGCATGCGTACTCAATCCCGTTTAGTCCCTCACCTTCGGCTTGTTCTATAGAAGCACTTAAGAAACCCTTTCGCCAATCGCCTGCGAGTTTTCGTATATCTCTCTAATTATGGAGCGACAATAATAAGCGTCATGACCCGGGCTTTACTTCAGCGACCTCAATGGCGGGACAACATTTCGTTAGAAAAGCTTCAGCCCAAGAACCGGCATATTATGCATGCTCATCCTCGTGTATAGACGGGACTTGGCCCAGCAATTAGGACGACCCATCCAACCAGAAAAACGCCGCATGCTGATCTGTCCTCGTCGTGCACGGACAGTAATTGGCTCCACGCGCACACACCAGAAATCTTAATCAAGCGAGCAGCCTTCTCAGGCTCCTCGAAGAATCCCTCGTTGCAAAATGACGAATGTCCGAGGGTGACAGGATCCGGTAGTCTAGTTTAGACCTCATCCAGGGCCTCGACGTTTTTTCCTCGGTACGTTCCCGTTCCAGAGTTGAATCCGAACCACTTCTTTCTATAAAAACGCGCCTTCATCCCACCTCCTTTTTTTCAGTTTTTATCAGCGACTACTTTACAGCCCAAACCCCGAACCAACCTTCTATCATGCGCAAGTCCTTCTCTATCTTCCTCCTCATCTTTCTCAGTCTCTTGGCCGCGACCACCTATGCTGTCGCGGCGCCCCAGAATGACACCGAACAAGTCGAGGAACCCGACGAGAGCTCCTCGGAAGCGACTCGATGTGTTCGCCGCTGCTACCAGTGCCCCCGCAGATCTCGCTGCCGAAGGGCTCCGGAGATCTGCCGCCATTTTGGCTACGGCCGCGGTTACCAGTATGCCTGCTTCTGGGATTATCGCCACTAAACGTCCTAAGGTCGCCTCTTCAAGCCCGCGTGAGCAGAGTTTTCACACACACACAGAGACCCTCGCGCCATCTAGATACGATTTAGCGCGTCAACTTTGTCCATATACGATTCTGTACAGTTGAACCTCCATAGTTCCATAGTTTGCATCATTATGGAGGGACAAGTCCCGTATTCAATCAAATTGAAACTGGTATTATATGTTACAATCCAAGCCCATAACAATCAACGAACATATCCATATCGTCCAGAGCAACCTGAAGGCGAGTTTTCGAGAGAATATCGTAATTGGTTTCCTGCACATCAACAGCAGCAGCCATGAACTCGTTTACAGCATCTTGAAGATATATTCTTGAGAATAGACCTCTTCTGCATAGGGGCTTGAAGGTGGTGAAGGAAACTCCTCGATGGGAACCTCCTCCTCGACCGTGCTGTTGTGGAGAGCGATTTCGACTACCTGCACCTCTTGGTCACTAACAACTGGCTTCGGGTCTTCGTAATCCAGGTAAGATTCGTCGTCGTCCTCGCCCATGTATCGTTATCAGAGTCTTCAGAGTTGTCATCATCCACGAAACCATTCTCCTTCAGTTGCTGGAATGCTCCCTTGTATTCCTCGCGACCCATTATCTCGTGGGCGACCTCGACAATCGCTGGTGAAGGCCCTTCGCTACTGATCATGCTAAGATAGTTCAGAACGGAGAAGCCCTTGTGATCAGCGATGGTTTCTTCATTCCCTACATATCGTTCCCTGAGCTCTTCCTGAAGACGATTGACTTGATCTGCCTTTGTCTCAACTCCCAGACCTAGCAATCGAGTTTTCTGGTGCTCAGAGAGGATGAGAACTTGGACAAAGCAATTACGAATACAATCAGGAGTCACCTTCTTCCAAGAGCTGACCAGATATACCCAGAGTCTCTCATTTGAAACTGTAGCCGTGGATGATCCTTTTCGAACGCGATAACTGCAAAGGACCTCGGCATCGATAGCCTTCGATGTCACTTGGGCCAAACCGTTCGGACGGTGCTTGACTGTAAACGTATAAAACTTTGTGAGCAAAAAATCCTTTGAGTATGCACTATCACACTGTTCAAACAATACTGCATTACTTACAAGGAACATAAAGGCTGCGTCTGTCTACACTCGCGGCATTACTGCACAACAACACCAACACCCGTGCAACCCGAGTGATCTTCTTGCCACGAATTGGGCCAGTAGTAAGAGTTGTTGAACATAGCCTTCGGAAAGAGACCTGTCTCATTGCAATTATAGACGTTATCAGGGCCAAAGTCTTTAAGCGCCATTTGGATCTGTTCGACTTGAGTCCGGTAGAGATCCATGTTGACCGATCCGCTTTCACCATGGCCGATGTAGCTCTTGAGTGTTCTCTGTTTTTTGAACTTTTGGAGCTAATTATTTGAAAAGGCAATCGGCTCTGGCTTTTGCTCAGGACGAAAGAAAATCTTTCATGAGGATCCACATCACCACAGCAGTTCCTTTCAGGCGAAAGTCGCCATGTTGATGTCTATCAAAGTATATGGATTAGGGAATACGCTTTCAAAAGTGAGCAACTGCATGGGCCTTCATACCTAAGGATTCTTGTTGTTTATATCAGGTGTGAACAGCCTCTTCCACAACGGTCATTGGTCTTGGCCAGTTGTGTACAATCGTTCTTGTTGCCACAAGCGGCAGCGTCGCCACTGCTTAACGGGTCTCGCCTTCCTTTTTGATTATATCGGTGTCTGTCCTAGAATGCATATTCAACATTTTTGAGAGAATGACTTGGAAGACATCTAGATTGTGTTCTAGCCCTGCACGGTATTGAGATGAATTGCATCTTATTATAAAGTGCATACTTCGTTTGGGATTTGTGTGATTTAAAAGCCGAGGTGTAAGGGTCAGAGCCAAAGAGTTGTGCTGATTGATTTTTTTGGTTAGACCTTGTCAGAATATTTTGTTAAGCAAAACTTCTGTAGTTGAAAAGTTCTAGTCAGAGCGTGTTATTTGAGGACCGGAGCTGTGTGACCAGAGGGGGGTCGTTCCAGATCTTAAGGGCAGCCCAAATATTCTTGCACAGTCTGGATTCCAGAGAACCGCTCGTGTGGCACATCCTTTAAAAACTCGCACCGCCCAAACGGTGACTCTGGATCGCTGTGGAGCAGCAAGTCGTATCTCGTCTTTCTAAACTAACAAGCTAGACCCACATCAAAAACTAAAGTTCGACTTCTTCACAGGCGGCCTGGCAGACACCATACACTAAATCAGGGGCACTGCGCTTAGTTTGATTGCCACGACAGCACATAGCAGGTGTTGCTGGATGTTGCGTTTTTTAGAAGTGCACTGAGTTCACAACCAATACAATCCGCGCTCTGGTTCTCCGCTCTGTCGCGGACCATGGGAGTTTTTTGTGGAGACGAACTCTGGGACAGCTTTCTATTGCTGTCTACTGTTTTGACTGCTGCAACAATGACAGACGACAACACAATCAAAAGTGTAGCCTAAGTCTATCGGACCAAGAACAACCCCCGTTCATCATCTTTAATGGTGGCCCAGTGGTGGCGTAACATAAGGTCAAGCATCGTTCACAGAAATAGTTATGGTAAGTGCGGATGGCGCAATTGTTCCTGGTGCGCCGGAGCGCGTTGGTCAATGACTGCGCTGTGTACACACCGTGCTAACGCCTAACGCCCATTCACCCTGGTTGCATTGCCATTAGCTTGGTAATAATAGCATGTGTATTGTTGTTCAAAAGATCACAGGCACTGTGTATAAAAAAGTGGCAGCAACTGATCGATAACTGGCAACATCCCACCCCTTTCTTATTTTCGTTATCATTCTTTATTATCAAGACGCCTTTGTTCCATGCCCATGCAACAGCCTTTGCGGTCGTTGCCGTCACCTTGCTACTCATATGACGGATGGAGCTCATTCTGCAACTTGCCTGAAGACTTCGAATTTCGCTACTGCCCTTGAGGCTAAACTGCTAGGTACCTTCATTTCCTACCTATGTATCATATTGTGCGCTCCATCAAACCATGTCCTCAGGCTGTGCATGTCCCCCGCCCACAGCCCTTAGCGGGATTGCTGAACTGGCATGGTACCTATCTTGATTCTCATTATGCGTGTGGCCATGGTAACTCTGGTCATTTCCTCGTCCGAGTACTCCCGCAGCATCTCCCCAACCAGCCTTTCTCGTAAATACAGCGCCCACCAACTCGCCACTCTCTGGAAGGTAGGGGAACGGCGCATTGCGGTTCAAAGGGATGTGGTTGTACCTCCAGTCCCAAATGGCCGCGTACGTCATGCGGTAAGATGAGAAGGCCATGACAGATCCGATCACGGCTCCGGCCACGACATCGTACCAGTTGTGGAAATTGTCGATTGTCAGGGCGCCGCCAATCAGGACAGCTCCGAGCACAGGCGCGTATATGACAATGAGCTTCCACATGGCCGGGTGGTAGTTAGAAAAGACCTTGAGCTTCGCATTCAGGTATAGGTAGAGAAAAACGAATCCGGCGAAGGCTGCAGTCGAATGTCCACTGGGAAATGACTCGAGACTGTCGTCGATCTGATCAATATCTCCAGTGCAGATCTCCCTTGTGAAGTAGAGCTGCTGGAATCCCTTCCTGTTATACCCGGTGTCTGTGGCCAGGCTGGTATCAGGCTTGCAGACATCGAGAAAATGAGGACGCAGCCCCCCGATGAGCCACTTAACAAAGACCTGGAAAACAGCGGCGCTGATGAGCGAGTACAATAGGCCAATGATTCCGTTGTTAACATCCCAGAAGGAGCGGACGCGAACTTGCATAATCAGGATACCCAAAATGGGTATGATGGCGGCCAGGAAGGCGGCGAGCCAAATGGGAACAATCTCTTTGCGCAAAGGGTAGGCAAACTCGGGGTAGACTACCTCGCCATCTGAGAAGGTGACGGCGAAAGATCGAGAAGGGGCAGGATGTGCCATGTAGACCTAGAGGACGAAATATCAGTACCGGCCTTTATCTCCAAAAATCTTACTCCAACATTCCAACATTGACTTACTCCGAGGCCAACAGCACCCATGACTGCCATGGTTAGAATATCGAGCCATGTGCATTTGAGCCACTGTCCAAACTTCGGCCGAGTCTGCATAGAGTATATATCGTGGTAGCCATTCGCGGCGGTAGTATTGTCGGCCGGCTGTGCAGTCGTGTGCGTCTTGCGAGTGAAGAACTCCATGTTTGCAGGCAGAGAGGTTCCCGAACAGTTTGCGATTGCAGTGGGCGAAATGGAGCTGTTAAGAGATGCGAATGATTAGTCAAGAGGCAGTGGAGAATGAGAACAAGAGAGGGATCTTTATTTCTGGTCGGATAGGGTCTTTATACCCTGTCCTCACTGCTAGCCATATCATGTAATGATCCTTGGGCGTGATTATATCACAGGCAATGAGCAAACAACCCGAACGTTGCCCTGACATCACATCCTGCGCTGTCCAGAGCTGTTCTCCGTAGCACGTCATCTTCAAGAGCACGGCTTAGCATACCAACCATTCTCTGTTTTTAAAAAATCAGCAGGAGCAGTATTCTACACCGGCGGCTCTCGAACCACGCTTGTAGATACGATTGACAACACAAGCGATGAAAGGGAGGAGCTAAGATTCTCTTGAGCAGAAGTAATTGTTGTAAGGCTGGATCTACGCGAGCTCCTTTGAAATTCTTCATCGTCAGACCTTGGAGATCTGGACTCGAAGCAAATACTTCTCCAACAGATCCTCGTATCACTCATCAACAGCATCACGCTCTAAACGCAACGCGTCGCGTTCTGCACGCAAAACATCCTTGTCCACCAGAGCCTGAGCCAAAGCATTGTTCTCCAACTGCAGAGTCTCTTTGCAGCTCCTCAGAGAAGCAATCTCTCCTCTCCAATGCTCGTTCTTGGCGAGCAACCCAGCATTCTCAATCTTCAGCGCATCTCGCTCCGTATTGACCAGATCAAGTTCAGAAGGAGAAGAGCGTTCCACTTGGGCACATTGACCAGATCAAGTTCGGAAGGAGAGGAGCGTTCCACTTGGGCACGTATCTTGCGACGTCGAATATCCGATCGACAGGTATAGCACTCATCGCGCTCCACAGGTTTAGGCCTGCAATGTTTTACCCTTTTATCTGCTTACAGACGATATGTCAACGAGACAAGAGGGGGATCTTTATTTCCTGGGCAGACGGGCCCCTTATAAAGTACTACCCGTCTGCACCACGTTAAGGGTACTTGTCTCTGCTCGTACGTACTACATAGGTCAATATAGTGCACTGTGATTCGGAAAGCCTGTGTGGCACTCGTGTATCGTAACCACTTTCTATGTTAAACGCCAATGACAGTTGTTCTTTCTATGTTGAACAAAAAGACAAATTGCAAAAAACATGAAAATGTTGTAACCTTTTCTCAAAGTACTGTATATTCGCCCAGCGGCCAGCAGATTGCCTCATGCAGTGACGACAAGACGGTGCGGCTGTGGGATGTGAATTCGGGTCAATGTTTGGCAGTTGTCGAAGGTTTCCATGAATCGGTCACAAGCATCGCCTGGAACACGATCTCCAACGGCCCCTATTTCGTAACCGGCTGTTCAGATATGTCTGTTCGCATGTGGCGAGTCATAGAAGTGGAAGATCACTTTCAGGTGCGTCTAAATTGGAGTTCGATACGTGGCACACTTGTTGTATCGAATGCCTCTATCCAAGACGCGCAGGGCTTGAACAGGGTAAATATGGGGCTATTAAAGCAGCGCGGCGCTGTAGGCGAGCCGATTCCACGTCCGAGTTTCCGCGAGGCCAGCAGGAAACTTATCAGCATGGCGTCCGTGGCATCTAGACTCAAGTTACCGTCAAACCACGACACAGCGGACGCCTTCCTCACCACAGATTCTCCCTCTGTGCAGTCAGCAAATCCGGTCGACTCTGCGAATGCCTCTTCGCTTGTTTGAGGTGAATACGATGCAATTACGAGTGCAGTATCTTGCTCTATAAAGCGTGCACTAATAGCCAGCGTCTTGTACATCATGTAACATAGATACCATAAATGCGGTATATTAGCCGCGTAGTAATCCGATAGTTAGTAATACTTTGAAGAGTGGTTGTGCAGTACGTAGTCAACAATAAACGGGCTGTAAATACTGAATTAAGGCGTAACGCGTAACTGTGTGGTGTTTCTTTTTACTTTTTATTAAAGACAACATCTACAAGAAAGTCTCTGCTATTGTACAAAAAAAAAAAAAAAAGAGGCGCATGCATGAGCCAAATATGTGTATGTGCGTGTATGTGCGTTTGTGTGTGCATATATGTTGTTTTACAAGTCTTCCATGGCATCTGCTGCTGCACTAGTTACAGCATCCATCGTCGTCGTCGTCGTCGTCGTCGTCAAAGACGTCTCCATAACATCCCCGTCTGATTTCGCAGAAGAGCCCGAGTCACCAGAGTTCCTACCCTGGCCTCTTTCCTCTGCCAAGCCTTCTTCACAGCTAGACCTCTCCGCATCTGGTTCCTTGGTTGTTGCTGCTGCTGCTGCCGCAGGGACTGAGGACGATACACGGTATTGACCCAACAGCTGCGAAAGTTCCGAAACCTTCTGCGGGGCCGCGCTCGCATTCTCAGCAGCAGCAAGAGTACGAACATGGATTGAAACCCCAATGGGCTCGCCAGTTACATCTGCAGCCACGGGAGCAGCGTTCGAGTGCGAGTGCGAGCGCGAGTGCGAGATCAGTGCTGGCGGGGGAGGCGTCGATGCATTTGACCGCGTTTTCCGTAGCCACTTGGCCTCTGCTTGATCCGCGACGGTCTCATTGACTGCAGGAGGTGGTGGTGGAGGACTGAAAGACTTTTGTGGCGAAAACTGAAGATGAGGCAACGACTGTGATTGCGCCAAAGGAGATGATGAGTGTGGGGTATTCATGGCTGTCAATCTTGAGGTCCCATGGGATGCTGAGGACGATGTGCTGGCTCGTGCGAGCATAGGAACTGGTGCAACAACTGGAGCTGGCGCAACAACTGGAACCTGCGCTACTAACGAGGGACTACTACTACTACAGGCATTGCCAGTGTTATTGCTAGTATTATTCCGCCTGAAGAATCGCCTTTTGGATGTCGTAACGGACGATGCTGTAGGTGCTCCAGATACCATCGAAGCCCCGTCGCCCATCGGTGGCGTGTGGTTCCCGTGGACAGAATGCTCCGCCGAGACTAGTGTCCCATGAGTAGACGTGGCAGAAGAGTGTAGCTGTGTAGCATTGTCGACAGTCTTACGCTTTCCAAAGAGTCCGCGCCGTTTCATCTGCGGACTATTCTCCGCTGTGATAGTACCAGCGGCGCTTTCTCCTATGACTGGTGACGTCTGCTGCGGCCGGGCGAATTCTGACACCGAAGGCGAATAGGCATTGGCATTGGGGCCTTGCGGGTTGCTGAAGCTGCCTTGCTGGTTATTGTTATTGCCACCGCTGTTGTGATTGTTCCCGCCTCGTCTGAAAATGCTGCCGGCCCACTGTTTCGCCCAACCGACGCGTTGTCGGACCGCTCTCTTGGCCATGTTGACGTTCATCCGTCCAGAGTTTTTCATCAAGAAGAGCATGGCGCAATTGCTGGCAAACAGCACAACGATGAAGAAGTCGAAGCTACAGTAGCGAACGACCAGCGTGAAGGCCGTCAGCATCAGTAGCGTTCGCCGTCGCTGACGCACGAACGATGTCTCACGGACCACTGTGAAGAAATCACAAAGAAAGTGGGCCAATAAAAGAGTAAGTCAACATTGTTCCTCAGCAGTGATCGCATTCCCATCATGCTGCAGCCATGCAAACTCACTTACTAGCAAGGGTCATTTTGTTGCCGTTCTTAGGGTCCGGCTCTGGATATGTCAACAGCGCAATAAACTGCAGGGGAATTTCCAGCCATGGATTGGGCTTGTCCTTGTCCTGGCTCTTTTGCTGCACTGGACCTTCGGGCCCTTCGATCCAATTAACGAGGGCATCAATGAATGGCGACTCTGTCAACCAGCTCCACGGTCTGACGGCCACTTCTCCGCTGAGTGGGTCATCCCTTATGGTGGAAGCGTCAGTTCCGGCACTTAGTCCATCGAATGAGCTGAAGTATGACTGAGACGGTCGTATCCGATCCACAGACCGGGCCATCCGTGCTTCCTCCAAAAGCTCGCCTTGGATAATGACCAGCTCATCCGAGCTCTCCGATAGCTCCTCCGGACTCACATCCGGCGTGGGAAGGCTGTTGTGATCATCATGTTTGTAACTGAATTCGTCGTTGTGAACAGACATTGCGGTATGTGGTCGGTCCGTCAGTGGGATAAAAGATGATTTGTGCTCCTGCGCTCCTGTAAGCGATTGTTGCCGACGATGGTATATGGAAGCAGAGGATGCGGGTCTCTCAAAAGCGTCCGCTAGCAGTGCGTTTGAGTGATGTGGGGGCGAGGAGCCCGACTGTTGACGTCGTTGTCTGCTGTTTCGTAGCAATCCTGAGGTGTGCAATTGATGGTGAATCGCAGAGGCAGTTGCCAAATCCTCCAGTGAGATTGCTCTCCTTAACGGTCGTCGTGTCTTAATGCTGGTTAAGTAAGGTTCAGTTATGTCCCCTTGGGAGATGTAGGAAGAATCGGAGAGGTAGCCGTCTGCGTCATGCGAATGATCTTGCTCCAGATGGTGATCTTGGCTATCCTCTGGCTGCGTCAGTCCATCCTCTGGAGGCGTAATGGCGAGCTGAAGTAAAGAAACAAAATAGGACGAATGAAAATGAGATTAGACGATTTGGAATATGATTCAGTCTAGTTCTTTTGCTGGTAAGGTGATACCATGCGATCCTAATTGCGCCATGGTCCCCCTCTTTTTTTTTTCTCCTTTCCTCGCCAATGAAAGACTTTACGTAATGTTCCTGCTTCCCCTGGCATAGCAAATGTCAAGGCAAAAAAAAAAAAAAAAAAAAAAAAAGATAATGATAATGATAGATAATATTTACGATGCTGTTGCGTCCAAAGGTCGACTTGAGCCAGGTGGAAATCTTTTTGGACGTGACCTTGCCCTGGATCGACACACGGGCCATCCTCGACAGGAACGCGAGTTCTTCCTGCAACAGGTCCACAGAATCGCCCTCGGCCACTGTATTGCATTTATGGGAATCATAAACAAATCGATCGCATACGAATACAAAACAGAGAGAATTGTACGGATTAATACCGTTGAGATTATTATTAGTGCATGAGCATGAGCACGAACATGACTAGCATGAGAATTTTGTGTCACACATGAGAGTGTAAAATGTAAAAGTGGGGTGAGATGAAAGGCGGGCTGCAGTTTTTTTTTTGTCTGCTGGATTATGAAAGAACCTTGGTTCGCATCAGCGAGGAACCAGAGGAACTTTAAAATAAAAAAGAGCACATTGCGAATGTGCTCAACAAACAGAGGAGTGAGAAGACAGGTTTGTTCTCATCCGGGACTGGGATCGTTTGTCCGCGTACAGTAGTACACGAATCGGACGATGTTTGGCGAATGTAATAGTTCTCACCAAATGTGGGCTGAGAAATATTTATAATAATGATGATGATGATGAGCCGAGGCGGCGGGATGCGGTGGAGTGGAGACAGTGACAGAGAGCAGTCGAAGGCGTTGATTTGTGTGGACGAAGTGCGGGCGTATTGCTGCTGTTGTTGATGACAGGATAAAGGAGAGAATACAAAGTGATCGGACCATGCGGTTCAGTCCTCGAAAGGGCAGTAGAAAAATATTTTTTTTGGGCGGTGTGGGCTGAATGTCCCCCAATGGCACACACATGTCGACTGCAGCAATTGCGGCTGAAGACGGCTATACCCCTCCAGTACCCTCTCTACTTTTCTTTGGAAAGACGGCGACAAAAGCCGATTTTGTATGACACGCATTCGGCTCAATTACACATCCAAAGGTGTTTAAAGGTGACTAGCAGACGAATTCATAGATGACCATCTGTGAAGACGGGTAAAAAAAGACTTGCCTCGGTAGTGGGGGAAGCCGCGGGTGATGATACGGAAGGCATTGGAGCGATGGCGAGGGTGGTGCTGCAGCACAAAATAGTCTGTCTCGGCTAATGGCTTCCAGGCGGATCTGCCGCGCAATAGCACGCCGACAAGCCTTGGATGGACGACCATCGACGCAGCCCTGTCGTTTGCTGTGCGATTATTATCTGAGTGTATTGTCAACTGAGGGACGGTAGGGGGTTCGTTGGTTGGTTAGAGCGGAATGATGAAAGATGATTGCGGGATGAGCAGAAAGAGGGAATCACAGACGGGATGGCATGGTGCAAGCGGGATGAGAAGTAAGTGTAGAAAAAGATGTATGAGGTTGATGAAAGCGATGCAAAAAAGAAGTTGAAGCTCCGCAATGCGGCCCAATAATGCGCATCCCTTTTGATTTATTACTCTGAGACCGCGCTCGGTTTAATATAATACTTCTACCGCACAACTTCCATGGACTTCACCATATTTCCGCGATTGCTTCCCGAATAAACCTTAACATTGCCTTAGGAAAACTAATTGGGGTAGGAAACGCAGCAAAGCGACAAGGAATAAGCCGTTCCAGCACCTTCGGTTAAATTTACCGGAAGAATAATTATCAAATACGAATGAATGTATAGGCGGATGTTCAATTGAACCTTATTTGTATATCTGCGACGGAAATGGACACAGAAAGGTTGACCATACCATCACACACCAGAGCACATGCAGATGCATGGGTGCATGGATGCATGGATGCATCCCGCTAAACAGTATGGGGCGCGTGCTATTGCTACCAGCTCTAGGGGCGCATGCGAAAGATGCTCTCTGTATTGCATGCGTATGTGTCGAAGTCCTACTCTGGTTCCTATCTATCTCTGCGACCGGCTCCTAAGATGATGGTGATGCCGCGTCTTCTTCCTCTTTTTCTCAAGCTGCCGCTGTTTCTGGGCCTTTAAAGGCAGTCCGCGACGACTGACACCGCCCTCGACAACCTTGTCTGTCTCCTGTTCAACTACCTTATTCACTTCCCGATCCAAAAATCCTACTCCAGGCTGCGATTGACTAACAAACGATCCATAAACCATCATCTGGTTCGGGTTTACATTCGCATCCAACGGCCCAGTCACCCTCGCTCCCTCCGAGGACGACGTCGACGATGACGATGTTGATGAATGCGGTGAACGCGGCGAACGCGGCGATGCTTCTGCCTGAACTGCACCATACACAATCGCGCCTATCAGCACCATCGCCATCAGAATTGTCAAATAAAGCCGACAAAACTCCACCACCATACAACACCGATGCACTTCCTCAGGTCCCATAGCCCGCTGCAACGGCTCCGGCATAAACCTATACATCGCCACCGATTCTTCTTGCTGCTGTTGGTGCCGTTGCTGTAGCTGATACGCATGCCAGCGCTCCCGTCGAAGACGCCGTCTTCGGGCACGTCGCGATTCCGACACAGACCCGCCTCTAGGCTGAGGCCGACGACAGAACAGAAGCAGTTGGATCCAGTTGTGAAGAGACCAGCAGCATCGTCCAGGCCTTGAACTTGCTCCTCCTTGATCGCTTCCATCATGAGCGTTTTGGTCATTCTCGTCTGAGGAGCTGTTGGTGTCGCTGCTACTGTCAATGAATTCACCAGGTGGATACATGAACAGGTCGTCATCTGAAGGCGGATATTCATACGTAGAAGAGTCATAGTCCTCGCGCTCCAGGGTCTCCCAATAAAGCCCCCACTGTCGTTCTTGATCCTCCTCTAATTCCTCCTGGGGCCGTCTTTGTGGCTGTGAATCTGTCTTTCCTTCACCGGGAGTGCTTTGATCTTGCTGTTCTGTCCTGAGGCGTGTTACTGAATGTTTGTCTTGAGTCTTTTCGTTTAGATGAGCCGGTTCTGTCTCCAATTCAGTACTAGACGCGCGAATTGATCCTGACGACTCTGCGTGCATTTCAAAGTTAGGACTTGTACCCTGCAAATCTGTACCCCTCTGTGTATCCGATCTCTCCGCCATTGTCTGCACCATCGTTGCTGATACTCGCGCGTCCGATGACCCTGCGCCTCTGCGCGAGAACCGCGACAGCCAAGACCGCTGTGGACCCCTACTCTGTCCATACGTATCTCGTTCGCCACCTTGTGGCACATCCTGTTCAGCTTGGCTGTCGTTTATAAATCCTGATGTGGGACCTTGGTGAGATACCTCTTCTGCATTACTCTCGCTAATACTGACACTCCTGCGATGGCCTTCATTTGATGATCGTCGTCCTTCCAACACAACTGTTGAGACAGGGCAAGGGATCACGCCTACTCGCCCCACACGGTCCTCAAAGTCCTCGCGGCTCAGATGACGAAAGAGCAGCCGCTGAAAAGATGGAAAGAGTAGAAAGTCTTTGCTTGTTCCAATCATGACCGCTACGCGATCTCCCTCCTGCACTGGAACCCACTTACATCCGTTGGTATCGCTGTCCAGTGGCACCTCAGCTGGTTTTGCACAACCATTTTCCTCGTTGGACCCTGAGCCCTCCCTATCCTCATTTTGCCTCTGCTCCTGCGCCTGGCTCGAATCCTGAGCGCTTTGCGACGCCTGCGGTTGCTGTGAAGAGGGCGGTCTTTGGGCATAGATCGATATGCCACCAAAACACTTGGCCACAGGTTCTGGGAGCGTGGATATCGCAAACGGCGACAACTTTGTGCTGGGCATGACAAATGGCTGCGGATTTGGGTCCCACCACGGCTGGACTTTTGGCGGTGGCCGACATGATCGGACAGCGGCGTCTTTCTGCCGCTTCTTTTCATTCAAGAGAGGGGTCTTATATCGGATCTTTGGATCTTCCTGCTGTTCTTGCGCATGTGCCTGTTGCTGACGGATATCCTCCAGCTCCACCTCGTCTAGCGGAGCTGATACCTGAACGGATTGAAAATTCCCTCCAACCTTGCCCGTATCGATGTCTGTTGATGCGATGTCCGAGTCAGCCTTCGTAAATTCCTTCTCTTGCCGATCACATTTATCATCCGTAATTCTGGTACAGACGTACTTTGGTAATCGCAGACCCCGTTCAGAAGGCTCCAGCAGCGTAATGTCCTTGCCCAGTCTGTAGCGCATAGATCTCGTCTTTGATCGAGAAGCCGTTGTCGATGAGGTCTTGTCAAAGGCAGTAAGACTCCGTTGCCAGCGCCTCCACTCCAGTTCGTGCTGAGCCTCAAGCTCCAGGTTGCCAATTCGACCTTGCCGCCATCTTTCCTTCTGGAGCTCCTTTTCGTGCTGGATTCTCTCTAGGGTCTGCTCGGATTCCTCCGCCGACGATATTTCCTGCTGATAATGAGGATCAGGATGATGGCGGTGATGCTGATGTTGATGGTAATTTGGTCTCGGAACTCCTGGAGGCCGAGTCGCCATCGCCCAGGGTTCGTGCCACCATCCCCCGTGCCCGGGTTCAAGGACAATAAAAAATGTCGGGTCTCCATCCGTGTCCATGTTAGTCAAAGGATTCCTCAGCGCTCGGTTCTGAATCAGCGAGTGGACAAATTGTGGGGTCTTTGGCGGTTTGTGTACAACTGCTGCTTCCCTAGATTGGTTCCGCTGATCGTGCAAAGGATCGTCGATCGCAATTGCGATAGAGTCCGGACAATCTGAAGGTTCCCGTTGGGGTTGGGGCTGAGATCGATGATCCTCTTCGTCGTCGTCTTTCTCCGAGATGGCATCCGTGTCTCGATCCGAGCCCGTACCCCCATCCTCCGTTTCCTCGGGCCTTTCAAAGTACCCAGGAAAGTTCGTCCTGAGTGCTCGAGAGCGAATTTTTTGGGTCTGAAAGATCAAGCGTAAGATGTGCTGTGCATGGTAATAATCTGAATGCTTTGGCGGCGCGGGTACTGTGCAACCACAGGAACATCCCTGCGTGGTCTGCAACCGTGCAAGAATCAGTGATACAGGTTGTCCTACGTAAAAAAATAAAATAAAAAAAATGGCGGCAAGTGTGAGGCGGACATGATCTGAACAGAAGGATGTAATTCAGATAGGCGATTGACTTGACTTACCCTGCATATTTGAGATCCTATCTTTGAACTCCTCATCCTTCGCTGCGTCTTCTTCGCCATCATTTCGGTCGTTTGCCTTTGACTGACGCGGACGATGGCGTAAATAGGTTGAGAATGGCTCGAAGGTGAGTGGGTCGAGTGTAGAGAGCGGAATGCTCCCGATCCATCTGTTAGTTGGAGTCACGAAATGGATCTGGCCCGACATGGCAGGCTTGCTATCTCAACTATTCAGTGCCTGAAGCCATGAGTAGGTGTTGACGAATGAAGCATTGAAATGACAGGACAGCTCGAGGAGCTCTCGTACTACAGTTGCACTTACACGGCCAACAAAGAAGGACAGCTGAGAAAAGGTAAAAAGAGAGAGTCGAATGAGTGGGTGGTCAAGAGAAGAGAGGATGGAAAAGTGTATGGATGCAGCGAGAGGAGAGGAGGGAGGGTGATGGTAGTGGTTCTGTGATTCCCTAATTCCTCAAGTGATTCCGGTAGGACCTGAGAAGACGAGGCGAGGTGTATGTGTCTCTACTTCGTCGCTCCTCCTTTTTGTTCACTCTATCATCTAAACATACCCATAGTCTATACATTCGTGGTCGATAACTTTGAAAATCCATGGTTCTTTGTGTGTAGCATAGAGACAACATTGAGTACTAGACTTGGTGTTCTATTTTGATGGTCTGTTCTTTATCAGCAAGATGTGCAATATATCGTCGATAAGCACCATTGTATGTAGAACAGATTTATTAAAGAAAACGGTATACACCGATGATAGATAATGAATGGTAATGATAGCTTGGCTATTTGTCTCCCCGAGAGCGTGCTCCTTCCTTGCTCTTTTACCCATGAACAATACGAGCGACGAGGTCCCCGCTTGACAACGAGTCATTCTCCTTGATCGGCACGTACTCGACCTTGCCAGAGCATGGTGCAGACACAACTGTCTCCATCTTCATTGCCGACAGAATACAGATTGGATCGCCCTCCTTCACAACTGTGCCCTGCTTCACGCGGATTTCGACCACAACTCCCGACATTGGTGCGCCAATATCGCCCACGCTACCTGGGTTGGCTCTCTCGCGTGCAGTGTGCTCAACGGCCGCGTTCTTGTCCTGCACACTCACATTACGACCCTCTCCGTTCAACTCAAAGAACACATCACGCTTGCCCGATGAAGCATTGATCGGTCCAACCGCCAACAACTTGATGATTAGCGTCTTGCCCTTCTCGATCTCCACATTGACTTCCTCACCAACCTCGAGCTTGCTCAAGAAATAGCGCGTGGGCAGCACTGAAAGATCGCCGTATGCCTCGACCTTCGCGCGGTATTCGTCAAAGACCTTAGGGTAAATAGCTGCTGAGGACACATCGACGTCGCGGATTGTCTTGCCATATTTCTTCATCAGCTCTTGCTTCAAACCTGCCAGATCAAACTCGCCCATGTCGGCACCAGGCCGTCCCTCAATGCGAGGCATTCCACGGATGATGGCCGTGCGCAAAGGCTCAGGGAATCCGCCATAAGGTTGGCCGAGATAGCCCTGGAAGAACTCGACGACACTGGTAGGGAAGTTCAAAGACGCGGCTTTCTCCTTCACTTCTTCACCGCTCAAAGAGTTCGACACCATGAACTGCGCTAAATCACCGACAACCTTCGACGAGGGTGTGACCTTGACAATATCGCCGCACAGCTGGTTGGCCTCTATGTATGCCTTCTTGATCTCGTTCCATTGAGTGCCCAATCCGAGCTGCTGTGCCTGGAACATCAGGTTAGTGTACTGACCGCCGGGCATTTCGTGCTGGTACACACCAGAGTCTGCAGCGCGAACGTTGGCCTCGAATCCAGAGTACAGCAGACGAGCCTGCTCCCAGTAGCTGTTGATAGCAATTACGTCCTCCTGACGAATTCCAGTACCCATCTCCGTGTGTTCGAGCGCAGCAACGACAGCCCCCATCGACGGCTGGGATGTCACTCCGGACATAATATCGACCGCCAAGTCAATGACATCTGCGCCTGCCGCAGCTGCCGCCAACATGGAGGCAACTCCGGTACCGGCAGTGTCGTGCGTGTGCATGTGGATGGGCAGGTCAGGGAAGCGCTTACGAATAGCACCAACGAGAATGGTGGCGGCAGTGGGCTTCAAAAGACCCGCCATATCCTTGATCGCCAAAATGTGAATGCCCTCGTTGACCAACTCCTGAACAAAGTTAAGGTAGTACTCCAAGTTGTGCTTAGTACGTTTGGGATCCGATACATCACCGGTATAGCAGACGGCGGCCTCGACGATACCACCGGCAGCTTTAACGGCCTGGATACCCAATCGCATGTTGTCGATGTAATTCAAGCTGTCGAAGATACGGAAGACATCCATTCCGCTCTGAACGGCCTTGGCACAGAAGTCAAAGATGACGTTGTCGGGATAACTGGTGTATCCAACAGCGTTGGCGCCACGGAACAGCATTTGGAAAGGAATGTTGGGGACTAGCTTGCGAAGCTGGATCAGACGGTCCCAAGGATCTTCGTGCAAGAAGCGCATGGCAACATCAAATGTCGCTCCTCCCCACATCTCGAGCGAGTAGGCGTTCGAAAGAGCATGAGCGGTCGTCGGTGCAATGTTGAGGAGATCTATAAAGAATGAACAGATCAGTATCGTATTAGACATTTGCTGGAATTTTTCCGACGATTGATTACAGCACGAGTGACGCTTGTATGCCAGACTTACCGATGGTGCGGACACGAGTGGCAAGCAAACTTTGGTGAGCGTCTCTCCAGGTGGTATCAGTGATCAAAACACCGGGGTAAGCACGAACGGCCTTGGCAAAGCCCTCAGCACCCTTCTCCAAGAAGACCTTACGCCATCCAGTGGTAGGGGGCACTGCAACATCAACAGCCTGCGTCGAGTCCTCCTTGCTGGACAGACTGGGGATTAACAGCTCCTTCTTCAAGAGAGGCTCTCCCTATATGAATAAAGTTCGCTCGAGTCAGATCTTTGTGCAACTTGAATAGAGCAATAACAAAGACGATAGAAAGACAAAGGAGCAGGTATCATACGATCTGACCAGCAATGCTGGGTCCATTGACGGCGACATCTCCGAGATAGGCCAACAGCTTCTGGGCACGGTTGAGCTGCTTGACCAGGTTGAACAAGCCAGGAGTATCATCGATGAAGGTTGTCCAACACTTGCCCTGGATGAAAGTCTCGTGTGTGATAAGGCGCTGAACGAAAGGAATATTGGTCTTGACACCACGGATACGGAACTCCACGAGAGCTCGGACGACCTTGCGTCTGGCGAGCTCATAGGTGGCAGCCGAGCAGGTCACCTTGACGAGCAAAGAGTCGTAGTGAGGAGTGATCACAGCACCGACAAATCCTTGACCACCGTCGAGACGGACTCCGTTACCGCCAGCCGAGCGGTACACCTCAATCCTGCCGGTATCGGGCTGGAAATTTTGCGCTGGATCTTCGGTTGTGACACGGCATTGGATGGCAAAACCGCGGATCTGAATTTTGTCCTGAGTCAGTCCTAGCTCGGGCAAAAGAATACCTGCAGCGATCTGAATCTGAGCAGCAACAATATCAATGCCAGTAATCTCCTCTATAAAGCGCAGAGAGTACGTGTTAACCTCAAGAATCCTCAGTTTGTAAAACACCCTTTTGAGCACGAAATACTGCTTACCAGTGATGGTATGCTCGACCTGAATACGGGGGTTAATCTCAATAAAATAATGGCGATCTTGCTGGTCAACCAAGAACTCTGCAGTACCAGCGTTCTTGTACTTGACATGCTTGGCCAACTTGATCGCGTCGTTCAAGATGGCGTCTCTTACAGAAGGGGTCAGCGACTTGGCTGGTGCGATCTCAACGACCTTTTGGTGGCGACGTTGAACCGAGCAATCACGCTCAAAGAGATGAACGACATTGCCAGCCTCATCGGCCAGCAGCTGGACCTCAATATGACGAGGCTTGTCGAGGAAGCGCTCGATAAACACGGTGCCATCGCCAAAGGCTTGCTTGGCCTCGGAAGTCGCGCGCTCGAATCCTTCTGCGAAATCAGCCTGAGAACGAACAACACGCATACCACGTCCACCACCGCCCATGGCGGCCTTGATAATGACGGGGAAGCCATATTCTAATAGAAGAACACCAGATGTGAGCAAATAATCGACTACAGTTGCGTAATCTTTACGCCCACAAGTGCTGTCCGAACATACGTTTGACAAACGTCTCGGCGTCTTTGACCGAGCTGATGGGCCCAGGAGTACCGGGGACAACTGGAACACCGGCGGCAATGGCTGTTCATGGAAAAGGAATATGTCAGTTGTCAAAAATGTGACCTCATCATAACGCTGCGATTCTTTGTCCTGCTGGGCTCCTTACCGATGTCGCGAGCTTTGGTCTTGTCACCCAAAGCCTCAATGACATGGGGAGCAGGCCCAACAAATGCGATGCCGTTGTCAGCGCACTTTTTGGCGAAGCTAGCATTCTCACTGAGGAAACCATATCCGGGATGGATCATGGAGACATCGTGCAACTTAGCAATACGAATGATTTCGTCCTGTGCAAGATATGCTCCTACAGGTGTGAACTTTGATGGATCTCCGATCTGATATGCCTCATCAGCCTAGGGACAATGATGCACGACGATAGAATGTTGGTCAAATGTGCGGATCATTTTATTCGCGAAGGGATATGACGATCGATTAGTGTTCATGTCTGAGGGAAGCAGTGTATCAGCTGCTGTAACAGGAACATGTTCTCGGAAAAAATGAAGTCAAGGCTGCAGCGCCGAAGAGTTCTTGACCCCTTGCTTTCCAAAAAAGAGCAAGTCCGAGGAAATGAAGATGAGAACACAAGGTGTGATAAAAAAAAAGCGACACAGGATGGGTCATCGACTATCTTTGCTGGCAATTGCTGCTGATCGACCACTGGAGTACAGAGTGAATTTCCCACAGGGCTAGTGCCATAATGGGCCGAGCTCTGCTTTCTAATCATTCATGCTCCTTGGTTTGTGTGGTCGTTATCAGAGATAATGGATAAACGAACGAACAAACGACCAACAAGTGGACGCCGAGTAGAGTTACTCCGCCTATCAATTGATACCGATAACTCTGTTGTATTTTCCACAAGGCCTTTCTTCTTTATCAGCAATGACCAAAAGAGAAGGGGTGTAACAATATCCAAAAAAAATAAAGCATATCAGCCAGATTTGATGGTTAAAGATGCTGATGTTGATGATGATGGAGTGCGATATGAGAGGCCAGCAACAGAGTTATGACCCATTCAAGGTTCATAAAGATAATAAAACTAGCCCTCATCAGAAATTCTATTCAGTCGTTATTACTCCGCCTGGCCTCCATCGATTTCGTTTCTTTCTGTCATATGTGGCCAAAGAGGGAACAGTCACCACTCTCTTTATTCCCAGCCCACCCAAAACCCAATGACCTGAAAAGTAAAATAAAAAAACTCTAACCCCGCATTCTGAGTATGCCTGCTTTGAGCAAACACCCTTTTTTCCAGCTTGATGGCATTGTCGAAATGTTCATTGGTGCCTGGATGATGCTTCTCCGTTTTCCCTCTTGGCTGCTATTTTTTTTTTTTTTTTTTTTTTTGCAAGTTTCCCACACATCCTTGTCAAAAATGCTTACCTTATAGCGATGCATCGAGAGTCTGTCTTCGTACGAAAACAGGGCCACGGTCTTCATGGCCAGCTCGTGTGCGGAGCGGAAGACGCGGATGGCAATCTCGCCACGGTTGGCGACGAGAATCTTTTTGAGTACATCGTCTGGATGGGCGGTTGTGGATCGACGGATGGTATCGACGGTATGTTCCTCGGGGTGGACCATTGGTAACGATTACTTCTGGTTCCTGTTAAACGTAGATCTTGAGGCCGGTATAAAGGAGTGCAGAGGGAGCGATAGTAGGAAGCAGACTGAAGAAAAGAAGAGGAGAGTCGGTGGCGTGGGAGTAAAAGGTGGTGAAGAAAAGAAGGGAAGAAGGGAGGGAGGAGGAGGAGAAAAGAAGAGAAAATGAGGGAACGGACGTTCATTTTATTTCAAAAGAAGTCATCGCGTCCATTCATTCGTCCGTTTGATTCATTCACGCGTTCCTTCAGTTCGTTCGTGCAGTCAGTCAGCGTCATATTCTACTCCACTAAAAGACACGTCCCCATTTTTGATCTTCCTTGACCCACCCCAAATGAGGGGGGTATTAAGTACTTTAGCTTCTTTTCAGCACCTACAGTAGACACTCCATCGTACATTTCAACAATAAAGTATGGCAAACGCTACAGGAAGGGATATGGGAGATGCATGCATGTCATCTTCCATCCGTCCTCTCCCATTGTCCTTCCTGTTAATTTTCGTGATTCGTATGCACTGACAACCCACAAACATGTGGTCCAGCCAGCCATGTTACATGTGTAATCCCCGAGAAAATGAAACAGTCGTACGCCCTATTTTAATTCGGTCGCGGTAGCAGCAGGTTCAGGTGGAAAGAAAATAGCACACAACGTAGCCATTGACGCGCTCAGTCCGGATCACTCCAACCCAACAATCCTCGTGGACGTCTCAGCCCTCGCGCCTGTTGTACTATGCCAAGACGTTCGCTTCCCGAACGCGTATCGTAGTGGTCAGCATAGAGTACGGAGCAAACACCTGGTGCATACGTTTGGGTTCTGTGTCACTCGACGGACTTGTACATGGACCATACGGATATGCGGGACCCGTGTAGAATGATCCACTGGCTAATAGACTACAGTAGAGGAGTATGCGTTTTTTTTTTTTTGTGGGGATGAAGATCTCCCTTTTTCATTTTTAGTTAGACGGACCTAAAAGGACAGCGATCGATGTTGTCACTGGGCAAAATGAATAGAGTATGCCCCCGGTCTGCGTCCGTACTCACCCCTGACAAGCTCCAAGGACTGGCTGGGCAAATGAAACTTTCACGACGGTACCCTGCAATCCAACCGATTATTTTTTTTAAAACAAGATGGAATGTGAAATATGAAGATGGAATGTGAAATATGGGGTGACTCATGGTAAACGGACGGACAGAGACTGGCCCCCTCCTCTCGATCGAATCGTGTTTTTTTTTGTGTGCCCACGGACTCATCGGACGCAGGTACAACCACAAAAATTGGCACGACCCAACAGAAAACGGTAAAAATAAAAATAAGCATTTGTCCTCGGCATACGGCTGCACTTCGCTTTACTACTTTACTTTACTTTACCTTACTTTACTACTTTACTTTACTTTACTTTACTTTACTTTACTTTACTGTACTTTACTCTGCAGACATGCGTGAGCCATCCTGTTCCTTTTATTTGAGGGTGCAGCTCGAATTCAAGTCGGTACGGCACCGTGTCTGTGCCAGCTGAAAGCGTCCACCGACTCATCCTGTTGAACATCACGCCATCACCGGGCCACAAAGTGGAGAAGCCCTGTTCCATTCTTCGTTGTCACTCCGCCCAAACGGGATGGAAGTCTGATGCGCATCATCTGTCCGCCTGTTCCTGGCTCACCCTCCCTTTGTCTTTCCTGTTCTCTTCCGACTATCCCGATGGGCCAGAATAAAATAAAAAGTGAGCGGAGACGCAAAAGCGAAACGCGATGGATTAATGTAGCAAAACGATGTAATTATGATTGTACGTGACAAAAAAACGCTCTCCCAACACGAATGCTATCCCCAGCTTTACAACGTCACTGAGGCCTCCATTGAGTTCAGGTGGCAGGGCTTTACAGCGCATTTCCATCGTTTGTTTTGAAGGAGCTACATCGCTACAAACCTTTGCCATTTCTTCATCACCCCTGGATCTCGCTGCTGAATCCACTTTCGCACATCGGAGCACGCCGTTGTCTTCTCAAGCACCAGTTTGCCTACACTAGCCACGAGCGTTTTTCTCAAAAATCATTTCCTCATCGAAGCCTTGGATGCTGTGGAAGATGGCTTTGACGTACAACTCCATATCAATAGGCGACGGATACTGAAAGAAAAAACGTCGTAGGTTAAATACTGTTCCTGTTGCCTCCTAGCCTTCCCACGCGAAGGTGTTACAGGCTCGAATCAAGAAGTTGCAGAACCGCCCTACCGACAGTACGCACATTCGTATTAACGAGCACAAACGGATTAAAGGGGGAAAACTGACAAAAGAGGAGCGTCAAGCCTTTCTATATCGCTAAGGTTGTTGCAAAGCAGGGAGAGAAAATAATCGATAGCCGACCTCATAGAACAATGTCAGAGATGTTGTATTGAGCAGAAATATTGAAACTACTAGTATTCAAGATACGCGCCTCCTCCCTTAATTGAAACTTTGGCTTTATCAATCCTTCTCCTACGCATCCACAACTTTTCCTACAGAATCAGGCTTCAATGCAAAACCTGACTTTTATCTCTGACCCCGGACGGTATACGAAAGCCCAGAATGCCCTGCAAGTCCAAGTCCAACAAGCCAAGCACGCCCAGCTCGCGCTTCTTTTTTTTTTTTTTTTTTGAGCTCCTCCCCATCCTAGTGCCGCCAGCACCACTATCACTGCCAGTCAGCAAGCACTGGAGTCGTCTTCAAGCTCTCGACATCCAAGAACGATGCCACGGGGGCCCCAAAGTGATGAGTAAGATGAAGACAGATACGGTATTACTAACAGTTCAAGGATTATCCACTCCTCTTGGTCGATGTATCCACTCGCGGAGACACAAAAAACATCGAGGAGCTACTTTCTCACGGTCACTCGCATTCGCTATTTCTGACTGCTCATGAAGTACCCAAGGGAAAAGGACTGCCTCGGCTTTTAAAAATCTAATTGCGTCTCTTTAAAAAAAAAGGACGCCTGTTTTTTTACTACCCCTGATAGAGTATGCAATATCGTCCTTGGGAGGGCCATCAAGCGTTTCCTCAAGGCCATAGAACCTGGTGAAGCTGAAGGATCGCCGGTAACTGAGGAAAAAAACGTTGTCGCCGCTAGATCTGATCGCGATGGGAGACGAAACGACAGGTCGTTCCGTTAAAAGCAAGCAGCTTCTATGTTTGCTGAATATCCCATAGCATTTTAATAAGCAAAAGCACGATTCGATATGTATTGGAAGTTAAAGAGATAATGATGTCTATGGATAATACTTGATGCGTATCTTAAAACGCAAGATTGTCGCTATTGAGGATGGATCCAGGGAGCTATATACAAGGAACTGCAAGCAGGTCGGCATCCTTTTGCTTGGCTTAATGACTTTAACGTCTAGGTGGCAGTAACCTTAACCGGCGCCTTGCCACTATTAGCTTTATGCTGAGCCTTCGCCTGGTCTTCCAAACGCTCACGCTCCAGGATATCGGAACGCTTGAGCCATGTCGGGATATAGTGCCTCACAAAGTATTTCACTTTCGGCACCGCTACCGTCTTGTTGGCCACTCCCTCCTCCATCTTGCGCACAGTCTCGATCACATCCAGACCCTTTTGAGTTGTCGAATTCGAGCAGTTCGAGCAGGGTCCATTCTTGAACAGCTCTGCGAGTCGCTTGCGGTTGTTGTAGAACGATGGCCAGCACTTCTTGATCCAGGCTTCGCGGCACTCTGAAAAGCTGTAATTAGGGAATCCATGGCGACCTTGACGCTGCATATTGGTACGGAGAGGCTCATCCATCTTCTGGTACATATCGACAAGTTCAGATTTGGACATCGTTGCTGCCTGGAAGAGCGATTGAGTCACATGGATCATCATCAGGTAGACCATAGTCTGGAGAAGAAGCGCATCCTCGCTGCTGTTGCTGCTGATTTCGGCCTGGGACTCGTCCTTGGGCGCAGCCATGTACGTTCGCGCGAGCTTTTTGCCAGTATACACCTTGGGCTCGGCAAGCAGCTGTTCATCCACCTCTATTTCTTGCCTGGCTGCCTCGTAGCGAGTGAGAAGTTGCTGATAAATAGCCTGCGCCGAAAACTCGTCCTTGATATCAATAGCCGATTCAGGCACCTCTGCTCTGTTGATAAGAAGCCCCCAGTCTCCATCGAATGGGACAAATGGCTGAAGCGTTGACTGAGCCACGTCCAGCATAGAAGAGGTGGATGTCTGCGGTGCAGCTGCCAGCAGGTTGGTATCAAGGGCAAGGCTGCTGCTACTGCTGTTACCTAAGGCCATGGCATTTAAGAATGCGGCGGACTGCTGGAACTGTGGCAGCGACTGAGCGCCAGAAGCGAAGACGCTGCTGTTTCTGCTGCTGCTGCTGCTACCACTGTTGTCGGTGATGATGTTGGAGGCGGTGGTTAGCCTTGTAGTTGGAAATGACTCTGAGTTTGGGTTCAAGAGACTGGCGAGCAAGTTGGCGTGTTCCTTGGACATGCGTCCATCTGCGAATAGCGACTGAGAGAGTCGAGTGGTTTCCAGCTCCTGCCGCAAAAATTGACAATTGAGCTCAGACTGAATGAGTCGTCGTTGGAGATCTGCCGCTTCCTTGCGTGCCTCCTTGACCTGCTTCTCCAACGTGCTGATATACTCTATTGTGTGCGGTCGGATATATATAAGTACATGTGAAGATGCATAAACATAACGTCTTTAAGTTGAAGCATATATCAGACAACCCACCCTTTCTTCGGACGCGGAAGTTGCGCGCTGACAGCTTATTTCGAAGCTGCCTACGCTCTTTGCTAGTCATCATTTTCAGCTCGCTGGCACTGGGTTTAAGCGGGTCTGGTCCATGAGCGGTATGGTCCTCTGAATCGCTGTCCATACATATGTCGTCCCTCATGGGCGGAGTAGGATAGGTTGTAGTCTTGTCGCCCTCTTCCGTTGGTGAATGTGCAGAAGGGGAGACGGATCTTTCGGAGGAGCTGTCGCGATGTGTTGGACTGGAGGATGAAGATGATAGTGTGCGGGTACTTTCAGTGCTCTCGTGTGTGCTGTTGGCGAGAAGGGTTGAGCTCAGGAGCTGATGCTGTTGATAGTGATGCAGCTGTTGCAATTGCTGCAGCTGCTGGAACCGTTGAATCCAAACACCCATCGAATCGGATGCGACAGAAGACAATGGAGGAGTAGTCGTCGGAGAGTTGACACCCAATGTCGTTGGTTCAACGTCAACTGGAAGAGTCGACGCTGACTGCTGACTGGGCATAGGTGGGGGCATGTCTGTTGAGATCTGGCGATATGAGAACGAACTCGAAGGCAGTAGCGTTGGGTATGCCAGCGGGATTGTAGTAGGTATTGATGTCTGCTCCTTGAAAATCTCTGAGGTGCGCTCTGTAGATGAGCTGGATGAGGCTTTGTTATTGGGCGTGGCCTGCGAAGGACCCTGCAGGGGAGCAGGAAGATTGTCGGAATCATAGTCCTGCTTGAAGAGATATTGGAATAGGCCGCTGTTAGCCATGTCGGCTACAGAACCCTCAGCAGGGCTGCCGTTGTTGAGTGCCATGTCTGAGTGTGGTAAACGAATAGGAAGAGTGGGGAAGAACCACAAGGGAAGAGTTAAGCTGGAAAGGAGCTACGTGAAGATGATGAGGCAGGGGTGGGAGCGGAATGGGCAGACAAGGTCGATGTGATAACTCGATGAGTGTGAATGAGAAAAGACGATGAGAAGTTCCGTTGAGGGATATGAGGTGAGCGGGGAGATATGACGAGCGAAGGCCGCAATCAACCTTCTTTGCCTTTGCCAGGGCGCTCTTTTCCTTTTTGGGCCCCAAATGCGATCGATCGAAGCAGGAACGCGTGTTCAAATAGCCTTTATATCCAGTCATGACTGGATATACCGGAGGGACCCTGATAGAAATGGCTCGTGCACTGTCTCACAACCCTGCTGGATCTCTGTTGCCACCAAATACCACTCTAATGATCCAAAAGGGCTTGTCCCAGGCGATACAAAGACTGATAACTTCGTATATATATCACAGGCACGGCTTGCTGCAATAAGCACGCTCTTTCCCTCCTTCCCTCATACCTTCCTTCCCTCGCTGTCCTCCTTGGCCCTTTTCATCTTCAGCTATCGCACCATCATCCCCGTTCCATCTTCTCTGCTTCCTTGCCCTCCCCTTGTAACAACCAGGAGTGACCAACAAAAGAAAAGAAAAAAAGAATGGTCTACGGGCAAATGCCGCCAACGGCCTGCTGCCCTGGCGGAGTCCTCGATGCACCCCCGTCTACTGTCCCTTATTTTGTTCGTCTTTTTTTATCAGAAAAAAAAGGAGGTTTATGTGCAATACCAGCCCGTAGTATAGCACAGGAACATATTCAAACGCGCTTTCTCTTTACATGAGCCTTGACTGCGTTCGTTCAGGATGATATTTATCTTTACTTTGAAGGCTACTACATCCTGAGACGATCGTAGACACATTCGTATAGATGACCGTAGGTGCGAGCAAGGGATAGCTCATTCTTTTTCCTCGCTCGTTTCTTAAGCAGCTTTCAGTAACTTTCGCCTCTTCGTCTCTACACCCATTTCTTATCATATTCACACTGATCGCCGTCCTCACACTGTTCATTTATCGTTCCCTCTTCAAGCCTTTAACCATGCCTTCCAGTTCTAGTACTGCGCTCCCATCCTCAGCTACCTACGAGCACCACAACAAGCGCCATTCTTCTTCCTCTTATCAAAAATCAAGACTTTTCATGGATACTTTTTCCAGCAGTGCCAGCAACGGATGTCATACCATTCACAGCTCCCGTCATGAACTCGACGAACCATCACGCTTTGAGCGTTCTTCAAAGCGGGGGTCCGTCATGCGACCATGGACAAACGCAGAACAGGAATCGCTGTACATCGCAGTCGAAAGGTTCAAGCTGTTTGGCCAGTGGCACGAAATCAAGGCTCGCATGAACCTCGATCGTAGTCTAACAGAAATTGAAAACGAGTACATGCGACTTTATGCGGAGATACCTGGTTCGGACGAGGAATCGATGGACTACGACGACCCATATCAAGGCACGGAGCAGTGCTCGGCACTCCCGACGCTACCACTGACTGTCGTATCCTCTAGTGCACTCAGCGCATGTTCTTCTCAGGGCAGCATTACTGCACTTTGCGATCGCGCGAGGGACTCGACGAGCTGCTTGATACCGGGACAACAGATCGTCGATGCTGACGGCGATGACGAACTGGATGATGAAGAAGACGAGCCCCAGCGCCATCCACAACGCTACCAACACATTTCCACCGATACTCGACCCCAACGCATGGTGCGGGTGTGGACTCAGGAGCAATCAGAAAACCTTAGAAATCTGATCGAGGTTCACTTTCCAGGCGCCTATCGTATCAACTGGGTGTGGGTCGCGGCTCAGATGGGGAATATATTCACGCGCAAACAATGCAAGAACAAATGGGAAATCATACGCCGTCGCATGGGTACAGAGAAAGAGATCAACCAGTTGAAGCGGGGATACCAGGAGTTCAGACCGTCCTGGCAACAGATTCAGGAGAAATATATGCCGGAATGGTCTCGCGGTGGCATCTCTACTATGTGGAACCTCTTGGAAACGCGCGGAGCGGAGCAGCAGCAACAACAGCAGAGTGCCCAAAAAACAGGGCAACGAGCCGTTCGTGGATTGCATCACGGTCGCTATCATTCGACATCGTCCTTGAAGATTTTTCAACGCGCAAGCACGTTGAAAGAGTCGTTACCAGCACTCAGAACCATGGGTGACCAGTACGACGTACACGCTCAATGGAGGAAGATCCTTACTTCTGAGAGCGCGGCGATGGATCTCAGCCTACTGGCGTTTCCTGGTCGTTCGACGGTTAAGGAGGTGCAATTGCGACCATTCGTATGTCTAATGAAGGAGCCAAAGAGAACCTTTCTCTCAGCGACTCGACATGTACGATATAGGTCCGACATCCCGATGGTGCACCCTTCAGAGACTTTGAGCGACTGTAGCCATCCCACGACTTAAGCAGAACCATTGTCAAGACGGTCTGAATAGCTGATACGCCAGCAGTTTTCAAACCATTGAAAGTCAACTGGATCAAGATTCCATCGATATCAGCAAAGCAACAACAACCAACACCAAAAGCAATGGAATGTTGCAATAGAACAGGTGGTATGAAGGGGCATAGCTAGACAACATTAGAACGCAATAAACGCGTGGTGCAAAAGATAGCTCGACGCTGACGGTTGGGTTGATGCGACCGTGTAACCCATGACGCACTCGAGATTGCTCGATGTTGTTTGTTTGTTTCTACACCTTGCCCATCGTCATTGTTGATGGGCAGCAGCGGCCTCAAGCCAATTTAACAATGGTTGTAGTACAGCATGTCATCATCCCAGTCACCAGTCCCGTAGTCTTACCAAAAACGCGTCTTTCAAAACTACTTCAATGTGAGAGAAGGTTATCAAGAGTGCGTATAAAAGGCCTTTCCTTGACTCTTATTATTCTACATTCTCAATCTCAACCAAACACTCAACAAGCACAAATAAACTACTCTACCCAGCCATGACTCCCTCCCTCTCAAAATCCTCCACCCCCAAGCAGAGCTTTATGAGCCGCATCTTCTCCGGTCCATCCTCGTCTTCTCGGGCCCGCAAGCCCATCTCCTCGTCCTCTGCCAAGAAGTCTAAATCGCCCTTCATGAGCAGATTCCGCCGTGCTCCTCCACCCTCCACCATGGACAAGCTGCAGGCCAAGCTGAGCCCTTCCCCTGAGACCACCCCTTCATCCGTTGCTGCCTCAAAGAGGAAAGCAAAGAAGGCTAAGGCCAAGAAGGAGATCAATCGCAAGAACAAGTCGTCTTCGCTCTTTGGCCGCCGTCATTGAGCGTAAAGCAAGCCCCCAGGGCCCTTCAAGTCAGCGCCACCCTCTGTAACATATTCGCATACCAGTTTCTGTAATTTATCCATCTCACAATAAAATATATCAAACAAAAAGTCATTGTCTTAGTTCTTGTGAACTCTTTTGCTTTGCATCTTTCTTGCAGTCCTTGGATTTCTCTGAAATAAGATAGATATATGCGGTAGTCTGGGCGATTGGTATGTCGCCACGTTCTTTAGTAAATGATAAAAATACAGGTCGATATAACTAGTGTGATCGAAATGTTGCCAAGCGTCTACTCTCTCCTCTCTGGAGGTGGTCCACAAGGCTGGAGCATTTTCTAAAGACACGAGAGATGGACTTTGATTAGTGGTACTTCGACTGGGTATCACAGCGTCCAGTAGATGTATAATGGTATGTCAGTCCTGTACCTCTGTGATATTGAACTTGACGCGGGCTATGCTTTCGTTCTCGGCAACAGCAAAGTATGCAAGCATGGGATAGTGTCCAATGTACGATGCATATGTGTCTCTCGCCTGGTTCACGCCCCACTCGCTACATATGGCATAGAAAGAAGCGACAATATTAGACCAAGGACAAGTCGAGAAATGCTACAGAACGACCGATGCATATTGCTGAGGATGCTTACTATTTGCTGGTGTCTGCGTGTCCTGTGCCGACATATTTCGACTGCAAATGCTCCAGTTGGCTGTTCAAATTGGAACGATCCTATTGCAAAGTAAAAACGTTTATGTCAATGGACAGTGCAGCACGATTCAGCAACGGACAAATTCCATCCAGATGGTCTGTCTAAACATCTTGTGTGCCGCTTTCGTTCCGATGCTTTCAGCCCGTCCAAAAGAGATCTCGTCCTTGTCGTTACCATTGTTTGTCTGTTGGGTTGCGATATATTGAAGTGGTAAGCAAAGAGGCGAGTGGTGCAAGAGATATGTTTCTCCGCCCAGTCTACGTCACCCTGGCAAATAAAAAGTCAGTGGCAACTTATTCCTCCATCCCTCAACACATTCCTCTGCACATTAAGCTATAACATTATGAGTAAGTAACGCTCTGCATTCATTTGGCAGCTACGGAAAGAGGAGCACTGGAGCTGCAGAGATACTAACAGTATATTTTCTCCGATTACTTAACAGGTGGAAAGCTCAGCCGAGAGGAGTTCAGGAAGCAGAAGGACTTGGAGGCAGCCCGAAAGGCAGGAACAGCTCCAGCAGCCAGGGACGAGGAGGGCCGAGAGATCAACCCACATATTCCACAGTACATCTCGGAAGCACCATGTACGTTACCACAAATGACTCTTTACTTGATTGAGAGCGAAGCATATTGTTTGGCAAGCAACATTTGTTCTGATCTGCTTTCTCTTGCAACAATAGGGTATATTAATGATGGCCATGCCTCATTGAAGCATCAAAAGGCTCCTAGGGACGCTGATCAATTCACGGATGAATGGTATCAGAGAGGACAAAGAGCTGTAAGTCCATATTTAATCCGACTTCTCGCAGAAGTACGTTTTTGGTTTCTTGGCGCACAACCCCAGCTAATGTAAGCTTCTTCTCGTTGAAACAGGGTCCAGCAGCAACGAAATACCGAAAGGGAGCATGCGAGAATTGCGGTGCAGCAACACACAAGACCAAGGATTGTGTGGAACGTCCACGGAAGAAGGGCGCCAAATGGACCGGAAAGAACATCAAGGAGGATGAGATCCTCCAAAAGGTAGAAATGTCTTTTGACGCCAAGCGGGATCGATGGAACGGTTACGATACAGCGGAACACAAAAAGATTTATGAGGAATATGAAAAGGTCGAGGAGGCACGGAGGAAACTGAAGGAGAGCGAATTGGATAAGCAGGATGCCAAGGCCGCTGCTATGGCTTCAAGAATGGAGAACGACGCAAACGAATTTGGCGACAGTGATGATGATGATGATGACGAGGAAAAGTATGCGGACAAATCCGATATGCCTGGCCAGAAGGTTAACGCCAAGACAAGAACGACGATCCGCAATCTGAGGTAGGATCCTGCGCTTAATTCACTTTCCAGCTTTTCTTCAGTGAAACGGCCCCTTCTGAACATCTATCTCATGCATTTCTTCAATGCTACCTTACTCCCATTAGAATTCGTGAGGATCGTGCGAAATATCTGTACAATCTGGATCCCAACTCTGCTCACTACGATCCCAAGACCCGCTCTATGCGTGACAATCCACTCAAGGACCAGGATCCCAGCACTCTCATCTATGCAGGAGACAACTTCCAGCGTTACTCTGGCAACACGACTGACATGGCGAACGTACAGCTGTTTGCATGGCAAGCAGCGGAAAAGGGCTCGGATGTTCACATGCAGGCCAACCCTACGCAGGCTGCGATTTTGCACAAGAAGTTCAAGGAAAAGAAGGCGCAGCAACAGGATACGAACAAGGAGAGCATTCTGGCCAAATATGGAGGCGAGGAGCATTTGGATGCGCCTGCTCGGGAGCTTTTGCTGGCTCAGACCGAGAACTATGTCGAGTACTCTAGATCAGGAAATGTCTTGAAGGGACAGGAGCCAGCGAAAGCAAAATCAAAGTATCAGGAAGATGTCTACATCAACAACCACACCTCTGTTTGGGGTTCGTTCTGGGCCGATGACAAGTGGGGCTACAAATGCTGCCGCTCTTTCATCAAGATGTCTTATTGCACAGGCAAGGCTGGAATCGAGGCACAGGAGGCAAGCGCCAACATTCTCTCGTCAACGTGAAAGTTTGCTCATCTCTGTACCAATAGCATCAATAATAAAACTGTCGAGTCGCATGGCATATCCCTTCAGCTCAGTGCAGATGTGGTCACTAAAGTGAATGTGTTTATTGCAATTGAGAAGGCGCTTGAAGGGTACAGACAAATACACAAGCGGTGGTCAAGCCCCTGCTGACCCTTTGTCTACTATTGTGCAGAAAGCAAACTAAAGACTTGATAATGGACCAGCAATCCACAGAAATAAGGCTTGACGTAGCGGCGGGCAATGTTTGCGGAAAGGGTATAGCATGCATGCAATCCTCCTGGGACCTTGATGGATCATGCTTATTCGTCGTCCTCTTCCTCCGCGCCGTCACCTTTGTTAGCAGCAGCAGCAGCGCGCTTTCGCTTGACACGACCAGCACGACCGCCACCATAGGGAGAGGTGAGCGAGAAATCAATGTGCTTCTGGGAGTCGAGGCGAACGACAAAGGAGGGGATATCGACAACCTGCTTGCCGACGCGGATATGGCGCTGACGGATCAGGACACGGGCATGGTGGATCGACTTGGCGAGTCCGAGCTTGAACACCTGGGTCTGGAGGCGGCGCTCCAAGAAGTCCTCAATCTTCAAGGCGAGGACGTAATCCAATTTCATCTTGTCCTCGTCCAAGACGCCGATGCGGACCAAACGACGGATCAGGGCGTTACCCTCAAAGAGGCGACGGGGATCCTTGTCCTCCAAGGTCAAGAGCTCACGGGCAGCACGACGGATGTTGGACAGAGTGTAACCAATACGCCAGATCTCACGCTTGTTGCGGAGACCATACTCTCCGACGAGCTTCAACTCTTGGTCGAGACGAGCGGCCTCAAAGGGACGACGGGGGACCTTGTAGGTTTTTGAGCAGTTCTTGGGAGCTCCGGAGGGCACTATTGCAATAGCACACAATAATGATAAACAGTAATAGTCAGAAACAAGATACTTTACAGCACAGCTAGGTCAAATGTAGCGTGGACTGCGGCTAAGAGAGGGGAACTTACTTGTATATGGACGATTGCTTAGAACAAGGGTAGGTAAAGGTGAGAGAAGGAAGGAAGTTGAGACGGGCGCGGATGGTGCTTAATGAAGCTTTTACAAAAACATGCGCCAGTACCATATATGGAAAGTAGCCCCGGTCTAGGGTCGGGGATAGCAACCAATGAAATTGAAACAGGAAAGTGGCTGCGATTCTATAAAAAAAAATGGATTGAGGACTATTTCCATCGGCCAATCAGAATTCAGATGTCCTGGACACCGTATCTTATGGGACTTTGAACTGGGATTGTTTTGGTTCCTTCTCTTCTTCATAGACCTCTTGGGGTAAATGGCACTTTTGGCTAGTGGAATTGAACCTGAAGCGAGAGTGGATCAAGGACTATTATTATACGCACATGGGGAGCAGGATCGCGATTACCATCATCAGGACACCAACATCATCATGGTCATGGGCATCATTCATGGGGGCACCATCATCATTCAACCCTCACCATTCGACCTTGCTCCAGAAAAAAGACATTGAACAAGAGATCATGGTGGACCTATACTCATTTTTTTTTTCTGTCAACTATTTTGCATCTTTTATCGATCAGAATTGATTCAATATGCCTCACTCCTATGGTATCCGCGCTCGCACCCGCCACATGTTCGCCCGTAACTTCAGGGAGCATGGTATGCCTATCAAGCTTACCACCTACCTGAAGACCTACAAGGTTGGCGACATTGTTGACATCAAGGCCAACGGTGCTATCCACAAGGGTATGCCCCACAAGTTCTACCACGGGTATGTCTCTTGTCTCTCTTGTTTGTTGGCCCTGAACGCTGTCAGTATGTTATGCCGCCTAGGGGAGCACATAGTCGATCGCCATACTACTCAGCTCGGACCAGCTAGTTAATCAGGAAACAATAGTTAGGAATCAGCTGGACTCAACATACTGGCTTCTGAACGTCTATGACTTCGCTTGCTGTAGCGGTCTTCGACAGGACTCTACTCATCACAGCTACAGGAACTTTGATCATTGCACCGAATCTGGACTGATCAACCAGCCAGCACCCAAGCGACTTTGCTTCCAGTTTGCGACAACCCCTGTGTCTCCGATGATTCTGAATAGCGGGCTTTTGAAAGCATATAGGCGCTTCTCGCAAAAGCAACTGGAATTTTCCACATTGTTACCAGCAACACTCTTGACGATCTCATATCGACTTTGCCTTGCGGATGAGGCATAAAGTTATTGAATTGTTCGAGTGAAATGTGTGCTCCCCACTGTGCAAGCACAGAACGAGAATTCGGCCTTAAGGACAGAAAAGCATGAAAGCAACAAAAGCACAGGACTGACCATGGACTATGTTGCTTCATTCTAGCCGTACCGGTATCATCTACAACGTGACCAAGTCCGCTGTTGGTATCATCATCAACAAGAAGGTCGGCAACCGCTACCTCGAGAAGCGCGTCAACATCCGCATTGAGCACATCAAGCACTCCAAGTGCCGTGATGACTTCTTGCGCCGCGTCAAGGAGAACGCTGCTGCCAAGTTGCAGGCCAAGACCGACGGTGTCAAGGTCAACTTGAAGAGACAGCCCGCTCAGCCCCGTGAGGCCCGCTTCGTCTCCGTCAAGTACAACACCCCCACCACCCTCAACCCCATCCCCTACGACAGTAAGTGATTTGTTACGGGATATAGTTGATATCACAGGATAATTTTCTAGACTTGTGAAGCGCGCTTCTAACTATGTCAATTGCTCTTCTTTTTTTTTTTATTCTATCTAGCCCTCGTCTAAGCTGTTAAAAATGGAGTTGATTGAGTGCGGAATCGATGCAAATAAACGAGCAGATTTGTTTCCACAACAGAAACCAGAGAGTGCTAGTGTTGCCTTGATATTGACAATTATGGCAAAGTGTTTAGCCACTGCATTGTTGCAGATGTTGACGACCAGGTGGAGTGAAGATGCAACACACATCCTTTTCTGGAGGACTGTTGCATTCAGAGTGCAATCCTTTTTTTTTTTCTTTTTTTTTTTTTGTATAGCCCGTGTCTGAGCTCACGTAATGTTAGGACCGTATAGCAGGAATATGAGTGAGGCGTCAACGTATGGGGGATTAGGATCTGTTGAAGATATGGAAGACCGGTGAGTTGTTAGAGCTATTGACACGAAGAGTGTGATATGCAAAACCGAAGTAGTCAAGAAAGATCAGGAGCCAATCCAAGAATTAGAAACAATGTTTCGATTAAAACGCGCTCCTCGCGGCACAGCTACCTGTTTATGGGCGACGCTAATCTTCTAGGGACATGGGGTCAAGGCCCGAAAGGAAGTGGTCTTCCGATCAGACGCCAGTATCACGCCAAAGTCCGTCTGGCGCTTCACCAGCGACGAGCATAATCTTTGTAAATGATCCACACTTCTCCTGTTTTCTTGAGCACCCTGCTCATATTCTAAAAGCCCAACGATGTCTTATTGCTCTCTTGAACATAGTGCCTGCTGACACTCCACCCGCCTCGTACCTGGCACAGCGTTCTGCTAAAAGCGGTTTTATAAGTGTCTCCTAAGGTGGGATACAACCCTGGCTCCTCAAGACCCATAAAAGGGCCGCTGGCCCGGTCAACGATTCCCCCTGGGACTGGATATGGCCGTCAGCTGGCAATTGTTGAAAACTCTGTCGTGTTGTGGACAAGCGCGTTAGAGCTCATCGTCTTCTGGAACAGCCGTGATATTTTAGTTCATAAAAAAGAGTTGTTGTTTGAGACGAACGACTTCGAGATAGACATTCAGTAGGATGAAAACTGCGCTGGTAGCGCTGGACCTAACAGCTACTTTACTGGATGGGTGTTGCACTACATTCCCTTTTTCTTGGTCAATCGCACCTTGTTCATGCAGCACTACTTTCTGGCACTCTACTTCTCCATCCATTTCAGCAGCTTCACCTATCGGAATTCGTTGCGCAGACTGCGCTTCGGTTTCTATATGGGTCTATTGGCGGTCATCATCACAGTCTTTATCCGGATTACGCCTCTGACGTTTGAAGGATACATGGTACAGGAACACTGTGCCTCACTGGGTAAATGGGGAAACACATTGCTAGGCCGAGACTTCATCAGAAACCGCCTCGACTGCTCAATGGCATCAGCAAGCCCATATCCAGTCTTGTATTCGATCTTTTAGGATCTCGTACGTGCGTGCTATACAGCAACAGCAAGCCAAGTGCTATACAACCAGTGTTGTTTCACTAGCCTCTGTGAGACCCACACATGTACAGGGAACAGTAGCAGTGCCTGCTACTGTAGCGACAATTGTCCTGTCCAAGGATACTTCTCTTTGCGAACTGTCAGAGTCGCCCAGAAGTCGAATGAGGCTCAGTCCACCAGAATCAAAAGAGAAGATACGCATTTTAGCGTGCACTTTCCACCCGCGGACGCAGTCTTACCCAAGACGAGCGTAGCAGGCCCACAGGAAGAACTCGAACGCGTTTTCAAGCAATTACAGGGGGGAAGGTGTCTGCGCCGGGGTTGTTTCGCGGAAAGGGATCTCACTATGTCGAACCGCCATCGAAGGGTATATCCGATGAGCGCCAGCCAGACCTGGAGCTGGCCTAACTCTCTATCTTATTCACAACCACACACATATACACGCGCGCTTTTCTCGTTTCCTTCGTTGTTATATAATTGGTAATGACTGTAATGCACTCCATATGTGCGTAACAAATATAATCGATTTGTTCGAGACAAAATGCACCTCAGACAACGCCCATGACGATACTGAACTTGAGCGTCAATGGCAAGAGAGGATGGTGGTGGTGATGGCGCCCATACGTCTCTTGGGCTACGCAACTGCACTCTGGATCCGTCACCTCTGCACTGCGATGGATTTGGATCTGAGCTACAGCGCTTTCGTGCCCGTCTTTCACATCGTCGTCAACCCCCATAGGCGACAGCCCCTCGTCCACTTCCAGGTCATTGCTGCTGCTTCTTGCTCTATGGTTCTGGACTGGTGTATGGTCGCTAATCGCCAGATCCGCTACCCTGCGGCTCATGTCCAGCTGTGCATCTACTTGCTTTCCCTTCCAGGTCTTTGGCTGGATCGAAGGATCTTGCTCGATTGCAGAGGGTGAAGCACATGCGGTTCGGAATTTGGTCTCCTCGTCATTCGCGGGCTCAGAGTCGTTGGGCATGTATGCAGCTGTGCACAGACTGGACGAACGCCATCCCTATAATGCGTAACAAAGTTAGTCTTACTTTGTACCTTTTTTTTTTTTTTTTTTTTTTTTGAAAAAGTGGCAACCTCAATGCTTACCCAGCTTTGCATTAGCATAAAATCATCAGGGCTGCTTTGAAACTGCATGACAGTATGTGAGGGTCCTTGAGAGGCCGCAAAGATCTTGAACCATGTCCGTGTGTTGTCTCGTTTGTCAATATGACAACTGAACGACTCTTCAATCGGAACCAACGCAGTCTTTTCAAGATCTGGCAGGTCCGGGATATGCACCAAATCTGCAGGGGCGTTTTGTTCTTGATGAGGGGGCGATAGGTGCGAGTGAGTGTTCGAACACCGTGAGGATACAATCGATGCCTTTGAGGGCTGCTGTGGCTGTCGTTGCTCTATGTGGTTCCCCCTGAGACCCCATCCTGTCCACATGGCAAACGGCAACGATGGGTTCCGAGAGACTTCGGTAGAAGGCTGCGTCGATCGATTCGGTCTCTTGGACGGGCGCGATACCTGTGGCAAGGAATGGCGGTGCAAGTAGACACCGAGTTGCAGGCCTTTTGATGAGGATAGCTTCTGGATATACACATTCCAGTAGGATCTAGTGATTCATCATGCAGGAGAGTGTCAGCAGGTAATAAAGTTGCTAAAGCACTCACACATACCATTGTTCACGGAGTAAAATTCATTACCCAGCATAGAAGATCACATCGGAGTAGACGCGCACATTTTCCTGAAGCGAATGCACATTCCCGAACTCAACACTGAATCGGAATGGTGCGTATAACGAATGCCGAGGTGAACTCAACGCGCCCAGACCCGCAGCCGTCGTATTCAATGGATTCACCGGATCAAGGCGCTGCACTGGGTCATTTGCATCTCCTGCAATAGTTCTATCCTGGTCTGGGATGAGATTGCTCTGTCGGGTGTGGTTCTTCCAAGGCTCAGAGCCATCCACAACGACGTCCAGTGCACCATCTTCTCGGTTGCTCTGCTCAATCAGCGTCCGCATCTCCGTCTGTTGCCAAAGCGCTTCATGGACAATTTCCGCGTGCGTGAAGCGCTGACCAGAGATCGGATCACGGTCCTGCATAACCACCTGCAGCTGTTCAAATGTCATGTGCATATAAACAATGCTTGTCGAGAACAGGGCCTCGTACACGGCTTCATCGTCATCGGTCTCCACGTATGCTGTCGAGGCAGAGTCGAGCAGCGCTATGGCTTTCCGTCGATTGTAAACTGTCTGTCGACAGAACTTATACCGCTCCCACTCGTTCGGCACCCAGAAGGCATCGGATCCAATCACGTTCAGCAGCCACGAAGCTGGTAGACCCTCAAATACTTGGAGACACTTCATCTTTGGATCGTCGAATCCATTCCTGCAGAGATAGGCCCGGCATGCCTCGGCGATCTTCCCGGACCATGGGTAGTAGCTGCTGTTGTGGGTGAACTGCACGTATTCCAATATGTGTTCGATCGAAAGCGTTCGGATCACGAATGTGGTGCAAAGCTCACAGAGCACATCGATTCCCAGGTATGCGCCGGCTGCTAGAACTGCGAGTGCATTCTGCGACGTTAATGAGGTTGCGCTGATAGTCTGTCCGCCTGCGGTGACGTTTTGGATTCCTGCGGTAGTGTCCTTGGCCCTCAGAGGGTCTTTCATATCCCTGTCGTCCTCCTCGGTCCAAACACCATACAGCTTCCCAATGGCGATCTCGAATCCCTCCTGCGTGATATTGGGATCATCGATCTGGATCTCGACTACGTCCTGGGCGCGTTCCTTCCAAGGGCCTTGTAACATGGTCTCAAAGAAGACCGATTGAGTCAGGATCAGGCGATGGAGACGGTAGGTCTTGTTGAAGACCTTAAGGGTGATATCGCTCCCGGCACCTTTCATTAAGCCTTGTGTGGCAATATGTCTTGCGAGAGTTGATATGTGCGCCAACGCAGGGGGAGGCGCCGGCAACATGGGTTTTTCTAGATCCGTGTCCATAGACACAGAAGTCGGCAATGCGCTCTGGGATGCTGAGGGAGAGGAATCGGGAACCATAGCAGGCCGGGCTGAGAGAGATGATGTGGATTCAATATCTGATAAGGGGCGCGACGCGACCTTGAGGCCTGTGTGGAGCGGGAAGACTGAATGAATAAAGTCGTTGTGGATTTCGGAGAGTGATAGACTAGTCAAGAGCTGTTGTGCAGGGGCCACTGCTGTGCTGGTGGTAATGGCTAGGAGTACCCTTGCGGTCTTACTCAAGAATCGTATCCGGAGGATAGGATCGATAAGATTTCACAAGGACAGACTGGCTACAGGCGCCTGCTCCTAAACGACGTGTGCCGCTAGACTTTGATACCGAGAATATGGATAAGGAAATGGCGAGGGGCGAGTAAATGTTGGTTTTCGCAGCGGAGGGAGGGCAGTAAGTCTCAATGCTGTTGAAGAAGTTTCGACCTCTTGAACGCTTATGGAATGCGGCTGAAAAGGCGTACAGGGCTTGCACGGAAGAAAAAGATGGAGAGGAAGAGCAGAAAGAGGGTGAGGAGGAGAAAGATGTTGCTGTTGCAGGAACTTACTCTGAGTCAATGTATGGAATGGTGGGAAACTGCAACCCCCTGACAACCCCTCGAGCGATATCCCTGGAGGAAAACAGAAGTGGGTGAAGCAAAGATGTCAGGGGTGGGGAAGACGTAAACAGCATAGATAGCGGAAAAAAATATTCATAAGACTTACCGACTCGAGCGAGGGACTGGATTCCGATCGTTGGACTGAATGGTGCACTATACAGGGCCAGGAACCAGGATGATGATGCATATTAGACTGGCATCAATGTGAGGGTGACTCATGAATACAGAAGCAGACGACCACAAAGTCCAGTAACCTTTGACATGGATAGCATGCTTGATGGCGCAGTAATGCGCTACGTGCCAATCCGTTCCAGCGCTCTCTACAACGCAACATGATCGAATCGGCAATAGGAGAGGCAGTGAATAAAAATGACTTTGAGGGTCCCAGCCTTGAGTCGCAGCTCGAAGTCGGAAGGAAGCAGGGATTAGGCTACGGAATATGCCAGTATGGGTGACGATTTAAAAAACGGCACTCGCGTGCTGTATGGATCAAGAAACATGGTATATTGACAGATTATTAGCTGAGCTATGTCCTGGGACCATTTTCACCCGTCAGACGAATCGGATATGGATGATACCCCTGGTCCTTTGCTTGCACAGAAACCCCTTATCCTGGCACGACATTACGCGCGGGGCATGGATGGTCTCTTTGTGGAGAAGGAGGAGCCAAGATCCAGGGGCTATAGATCAACCGCAATCGGATGTATGTGTTCCCGCCCCAATCCTCTGCGGGTGCTTGTAAATGTCATCTAGACATATTTTAATCATATCATCTTTATGACCAGGTTGGATCAGTACTGCATTGCGAATGTTACGGATGGCAGGGTAGTGCTCCGATATGTAGATGTGTTAATATCACAGCCAAACTTTGAGAGGTTATTGCAGGCAAACAATTGTGGGATAGTGCCAAAAATGGACTGATTCGAGGCGGAAGACAGCAGAGTGATGTGCATTAAAGCTTGCAGGCAGACGCCTAGCAGACTAAGAATCGACACTTATGGAGAAGTCTAGTCCAGACTAATCCAGCTCAGTTTTCCTTGTTGCTCTTCTTTCCATTGACAATAAAAAGGATGTATCCGCTCTTTTGCCTTTTTTTTTTTTCGATTTTGGTTTAGTTGTTGTTTTTATTTGTGTTCACTTGTTGGTCTTGCCGTTTTTCATTGCTCTTTCGTTGTAGTGACCAATGCGCAGAGGAGTAAGAAGGCAGGATATTGCATGATGATAGATTACGACAAGACCTGAAAAGAGGAAGGGAAGGGAGCCATTGAATCTCTATCCACCAAACCAGGGAAACAACCGAGGTGCTGCCTGGATACCGGACTGAAAATATGGTCAGCATAGCGCGACGACCACGCACTGTTCCGGTACTAGAACGTATTCAAGAAGACGATCTACCAACAAGCAGGAGGACCCATCGCGGTATTATTAAAAGGCAAAAAAAGAAACGCCCCACATCCACCAGGGTTCACCCCACAACTTTCTGTGGCAAGGTTGGACTCGTCTGCGTGTTTTTAAGTTCTAAACACATGTACAAGTGCAGTTTTGTTTATTTGTTGTTCATTCTTGCTTCGTCCATGGCCGCCTGCCTCTCGGAAGGCAAGGGCAATTACGCCACGGACTGACTGTCCTGCGAAGATGAGAGCAGTTGTTTCCAATGTTTTAATAATAACGCGAAGTGTCTGCAAGCATGTAGGATAACTCCAATATAACCATAGCGTATGCAGCAACGCCTTGGATGCAACCCGGAAGAGATGTCTTTTACTCTGTACGGCCGGGACCCGCCTCTGGTACATGAGTCAGTGCCACAGTTATGGGTACATGTCCATGTACCGCTGAATCAATGTGGGGAAGATGAAGGCAAACAAGTGCACATGCAGCCCTCTTGAAGACGCCCGATTGCCCAGCAGCCCACAGGCATACCGATTATTCTTGATTGATCCGACCAAGAAGGAGGGAAAAACAAAAGTACCCGACGACTCTCCTTCTGGCGTTCATTATAGCAAAGAACATCCGTCATCCGCAATGCACATAGTTTTAGGCAGGGCAAGTTTTTTTGGCCCCAAACTCAATATTAGTCAGCCTTTGATGTTGTCACCATACATAGTCTAGTTTACGCAAGCGTCGTTTCTACTCTGTCATGTCAAACGATTATGTCCGCAAAGGAGCAAGGTGCACAATGTAGTTGTACTGTAGCTGGCTGCGGCGCTGCAGATCGGATGGATGAAGTGATTGACAGGTCCGCAGAAAAGAGGAGGAAAAGGAGGTGTACAGCAACAGCTGTGAATTCAACGAGTGGAATGACGGGAACGCCTATCCCTTTTTTAGCTTCCATCGCATACGCGCATTGCAACAGCGCGATAGATTATCTGTCCGCCTTCGTCAAAGAGAGCGAGTTTAGATCTGCCGTATGGACGCGGATGTACTTAAGATGAAAGACTAAGAGTTCAAGGCCCAAGTTTCTCCACAGTCCATTAGCCCAGACAGGCCGGTACTCCGTGGTGCCTTTTCAAGCCCTGTTCAAACACAAAAGAAAAATAATCGCCCAATCCGCGCGCAAGGGTAATTTGCAGGAGGGGGATGGATCTCCGCTCAACGGTAGTATTTTTAATTATGTGTTTTTGTTACACTAGAGTACCTCACGATATAAAAAAAAGAGCTTGCCAGGTAGCTCTTCCTTGGTCGTGATTCCTTGACTTGTTGTGGGGTAAAGACTTGGAGAGGAAGTAGTCTACTCAAGAGAAAGAAAAAGGTGCTCTTCGAGATACACGCACCAAACTGAACCTAACAAGCACTTCAGGGTGCGCATCCTCAGGTACTCTATTTTCTCCATTTTATTGCTTTTCGGAAAATAGGAATGCGATATACTGGCACTCTTTTGGGTAAAGGAATTGAGTAGGGGAGCCAGAAAAGATGAAGGAGAAGACCACGGAGAAAGAGAGGGCCAAGTATGGTATTGTTTTCTCGGAAGAGTACACACCACAATCAATAGCCCCCCTCCCCCATGTAAAGACAAAACATAAAAACAGAAAACAAGAGACGGTTCCCCTCCATTTGAGGAAGGTTTGGCAGAGGTTGCGGTTTAAAGTTGATTCAATAGGCGGACAAGTGGCCATTGTATACCCAAGTGCTGATCCCAAGAAGCGGGAATGAAAAACAGGCGACGTAGCACATGTCCTTGAATGCTGGACACATTTGCTCTGCATGCCCGTCTGGATGCGGATGGGTCCCAAGGGTTGCCAGGTCGTCTGTTGAAGCGATGTTGATCCGAAAAAAGGAAAGTAACAAAAGAGAAACCGAAACAGAAGAACTATGCAAGCTGGGCTGAAGAAATTGGAAATAATGGCGCCCACTAGTTTTCGCTGCCGTATTCTGTGTGGTTTGGAGAGTGCCCCTGCCCATTATTCATTCATACACGCCACTCAGATCGACCCTGCCAGTCCGTGTCCATACGTTGTTGGACTTGCTTAGTGTTTATGAGGTGAAGCCTGAAGTGTTGGTTGTGCACACCGCTCCTCTTCCTTCTTGTCCTTCCTCTTCTCTGCCCTGGAACAAACACAGCCGGACACTGACTGGACTTGACTTGGCTTTGACTCAAAAGAAAAGCGATTCGATCCCGATCAACCTCACACATATTCATTTTCAGACCCTACTCTTGCATACATCTCACCCACACACACCCACACAGTTGCTTCACCACGCATGTCTTGCCTGCTCTCTCGATGCTGATTGCGATTCGATCGACCACTCCCCTTGTTTGTTAAAAGAAAAAAGCTCATTGCCCAACAAAGTCTCGCTGGCTCTTCCTCCAATCCATCTCCCCTCTGTCTTCCCTCCTTACCTGGGGTAGTCGTTGTTGCCGCTGCTGTATCGTATTCGTGTCCTGTTTCCCAGCTGAACAAGGTAACTACTACAGCACTCCCCACCCTCCCACTTTCCTTTGAAGCAGAGCACCATCATAACCCAGGCACCCCATCGGCGCCTACAACTGTCGCTCTTGTCACACTTCTGGAGCCAGGAAACTACTTTTGCGCATGTTGCGTAGACACTTTACCCTTTACCAGAGCCGCTCACGTCTTGATACTATCCATTGAGACAGGAACTCCCATTCTACGATCCATTGCTGGTGTCCTTGACTCATCGCTTCCTCTGCCCACTGCTATCTTCTTTACCCCAAGTTGTGCTAAGAGATCGAAGAGATATCGCAGATTGAGCACTCCACTGATAACGCGTTCGCCATTCTCCGCCTATGCGATTCCACACTTCGTTACGCTTCTCACTGCGTTTCTGAAATGAAAAAACAACGGTCTGATCTCTTAATCTCGCCCATGTCGATTAGAAACTCCCTTGCCATCCTATTGTCTCGACGCTTTACAGGTAGGTGATCATCGATGGCCTCTTTACAGCAAGGACAAATGCCGGGAATCAAAACATGGGTAAATTTCAACTGAGAGTGGAGACCAGAGAGCGCGGTTCAAAAGGTGCGGAGCAAGGGCTAAGGCGGACGCGTGTATGCTTGTATACGTGTGGCGAGTGGCGAGTGGAACCAATCCTCTTTCCCTCGTCCCGCTTCTCCCTTCAGGAGTGTTTGGGTGATACTCAAACCGCTCTTGCCATTACCATCACGACATGTTACCATGTTGACCCTATCTATGATCGACAATCCTCCTAACGATTTCATGGCTCTGTGTTTGACCAGTATATCAGTATCGTCTTTGGCCTTTGTCCCTTTCAGTGTTGCCCCCGTTTCCCTTCCTTTGTTTCCTCCTTTTCAGCGTCCTTGATGATTGCTTCCCCCTAGATACCCTTTTTCTTTTTTTGTTTGATTATGGACTAGGCGCTTTTCTCGTTTACCCCTACATTTTTTTTTCAGCAATAATTGAGAAGTGTTTGGTGCCATTTTTCTGAACGGCCGGGGAATGGAATGTGTGTCTATCTTTGAGATGGCATATGTTCCTTGTAGCCTGTCGACCGCATAACTGAGGTTTTTGTTTTCTGTACTTCATATCATTTTGCATTAATGGCCTGGTACCCTATTGATTAAGTGGCCTTGCGCAGAGAGCAAAGAAAAAAAACACACACACACAAGCGAGACTGACGGGGATGGTCACACAGCATCAGAGCTAACAAGTAGACCGGTTTTGGTCCGTCCAAAGAGCAGTAAATGAGAAGTGGGAGAAGTGGTAGAGTACATACATTCACACTCTCTTTGAGCAACAGCCAGCTGAAGTTGACAGGTGGAGCAGGAGTAGGATGAAGAAAAGACGACGAAGAAGGGGAAAGGAGGAGGAGTCTTGTGTCACCTATCAATGCATTGCGCCACAACCACTCCCGCCCGTACACATCGCTTTTCTGTGCCAATCCTGCCTTTTGGGTGCCATCGTCTTTCTTTTTTTTTTTTTTGGAAATGGACGCGACGTGTGTGTGGAGTGTGTGGAGATTGAACGCGTCTTTTTATCGCCTTTTTTTTTTTTTCTTTCGTGTCAAATGTCTCGTCGCGTCTTCTTTTTCACGCGTATGTACTGGATGTGTGTATGCATGTGTGTATGCATGTCCTCTGTACATGGCATAAGATGGGTCTGTTGTCCTTGTCGTTTTGCTTCCTCTGCTTGGTTGCTGCCTTTGATATTTGACCAGGAAGCGGGGACATGTGCTGGAGAAGATGGGATGGATGGATGGACCTCCTTCGTGCCCTCGTCTGCACTCCTTTTCCTTTTGCTGTTTACATTTGTACATGTTTGTATGGCTGTATGTGTGTCGGTGCAGTGGTCCGCTTCTCTTTTCGGTTGTGCTCGGAAACCTCCTTTTTTCCCTCCTCCCCTCTCTCTCTCTCGCTCATTCACTCTTTATCGCATCGCATCAAAGTCGTACCTCAGTCTGCCTTCCTTTTCCCCATAGCAGCAGACACTCTTCGTGCCATATCTGCCTTCATATTCCATGGCATTCAATCCATTCATTCGCTGAGTCCTGTCCTGTCCAATCATCCCTCCCCCCCTCTTTCCCCCTTCTTCTGTGGACTGTTTCTCCCCCGTCACCCAACTCGCCCGTCTACTCTGCGGCCCTGCACCCCACCGGCACTTAGCACCCACCACCCACCACATCTCGTCATCCAGTCCTGCCCCGTCTCGTTCAGTATCCCTCTCCAGCCTTCTTTCTTCACTCCCCCCCTCCCCCTTCTTTCTCGCATCCCATCCTTCCTTCGGGCCCCCTGGTTGTCTGGTGAGCCCTTCGGTGCAGGCCCTGTCTTCACCCCCTCCCCGTTTCCTCACTCTCGTACACTCCCCTGCCCCCTGCCCCCCCTTCATCCTTCCTAGCCTCCGCCACTGTCTACAAGATGTGAATGGGCCGGCGCGCCTTATCTGTGGAGGAGGCCTTTATCGCAAATGAAAAACCAGCCGTTGTTGACGCGGGAGGGCACAATGCTCGGTCCCCTTCTCTCCCTTCCTCGTTAACGCCGCAAGGAGCTTCCAGCTGCTGTAAATTAACGCCCATCTTTTCCTTAATGCTCTCGTACTCTTAGTGCTAATCTGACGAGCCGTCCTCCTACTCCGTCCTTTCGTTACCTGGCCGAACCCTCGGGTCCCGGAAACACGGCCCTCCTGAACCGCACGCCTCCCACCCTCAGCATCACAGTTTCGGCTTGTTAACACATGGCAGATATCCGCACAAGACCAATGGAACAGCACCTGTTACCACCAAGTCCATCCACGCAAATACACCACCCTCATCAAATGAGCCAGATGCAGCGGACAGCCTCTACGACGTCGGATCAAGATGGCGTTTTTGCGAGCACGATGGATGCAACCTCAATCTTGGCCCAGGATTGGATTCAGCCTGCGACAGACTTCAACAACCTGACCTCGCTTGGGTTCGATAGCATGTTCCAGTTCAATGGGCAGTCTGACCCCTTCCCGATCGACCACACCGAGTTTGCGTCGAACGACTTTGGGTTCCCGCCTGGGATGGCCGGACCCCTCTCTTCGATCTTCGAGTCGCCCTCAACTAACCCGCTGAGCTCCAGCACTTCGTCCGAGAACAATACTCCAGCAGGCATGATGGACACTAACGCGTTTCTCGGCAACGGCAGCAGTGGCAATGGAAACAATGGTATGGGCATCCATGGCAACGGCCATGTCAATGGCAATGGTTCCCATATCAGTCCTGACTCTGTCGACATTGGAATCCCAGAGCAGAGCGGTAATGTTAATCTGAATCTCGCGCTTAAACCACACTACATGAAGAGTCTGAAAGCATCAGCCGCTGCCGCTGCCGCCGCTACCGCTGCTGCCACTGCTAATGCACAGCCCTCATCGCAGCAGCGACAGCAGACTGTCCAAGGATTCAGCCCTGTCCAGATGGATCTGGGTCCATCAGAGACTGGGATGCAGTCGTTTGCAGTCACGGCAATGTCCTCCCCACAGCAGCAACAGCAACAGCAACAGCAGCAATCCATGCTTTTCCAGCCGCAACGAGCTGGACAAGATCAAGCACAATCTCAACAAAAACAGCAACAGCATCATCAGCACCCGTTTACGTTCCAGCATCCGTTCCAGCCCCAGCAACAGACTCTTCAGACAACGCAGATGGAAGAGGATATCATGGCCCAGCATCTTCCTTTCGGTCATTCTCGTCCTTTGTCCATGAGCGGGATGGGTCAGCAGCAGCCGCTCGAGGATATTCTCTATCCACAGCAGCACCAACTCGGTACGGATATGAAGGGCCATTTCAGACATGCTTCAACCCCCAACCTGTCAGAGATGATCAAGCAGGAGAACCCTCTGACAGCTCAACGCCAACAGATGCAGCTTCACCATCAACAAGAAGCCTCTCAGGTCTCTCAACAACAGCAACAGCAATCTATCCACTCTTCGAGCATCCATCCTTTCTCTGCCGCACCATCTATGAGCACTAAACTCAGCATCGCCCCGACTCGCACGCTGACAAAGCGCCCCAGCGATCTTCACGTCGATATTTCTGGACGATCTAGCTCTTTCCGTCTGAATGGTGATGTCAGGAATGGGGATTTCCGCTTCGGAAGCGATGGTCGTGACCTAGCAGATAGTGCCTCTGCGCCGCTGTCACCCTCGGCAGGCACCATGACTGCACCTCTCACGCCAGCGTTCTTTTCGCCAGCTTTCGGTGAGGCACTGGGCAGTCCAGGGTCGGTCTTGTACCAGAGCAGCCCTTTCATGCTGACCTCGCACGATCGGAACCGGACTTCGATTCAAACGGACACATCTATGGGATCCTTCATGGACATGCATGCCTCAAGTGCTTCCTCGCCCTCGTCGCTCGGATCGCTTAGTGACGTTGGGCATCGTATGTTCAGGGCTTCGACGGACTCAATGCATGCGCCCCTGGAGACTGTCACCCCTATGGATATCGCCCGCTCATTCAACGAGATGTCGGACGACTTGGGTTTCATGGAGAAACAAGATGTCGCTTCTGCGCCACCATCTTCCGCACTCCAACACCGGGATTCATTTTGCCACTCTCCAGATCATATCGATCCTCACAGCGTAGAGGTCAAGCCTAGCTACTTTTCGACTACCTACCAGGACGAGCACAGGCATGTCAAGATGGAAGTGATGTCTACTCCCGAGATCGATCCTGATCACTCCGTCTTCCGGGACTCAACTGTGCCTGAGGGCCCTATGACTCCTACTGGAAGCGCCAATGGAAGCGGCCCAACACCAATAAAGACTGCGCGAAAGCGTCGATCAAACGAGGGTGTCTCCCGTTCGTCCACCGGCTCTTCGCCCTCTAACAGCAGCAGTCCGCCAAGGCCAGCTCGCAGCCGCACCATTTCGAGCACATCATCTTTGATCGACGAGAAGGATGAGCCGTCGGACTCGCCGATGATCAGCAGCCTTGGCCCGGTGGCGTCTCCAAAGTCCATCATGTTATCTCAGGAACTTAAGCCGCCTTCAAACAAGGCCATGAGGTAGGGAAAATGAGCAGCCCTTGAGTGAACCATGTTTTCCTCGGGATTAATCGTTTTCTAATCGATCGTTCATATCTTTTTTGACCTATAGGACAATCATTAAGCGCTTCTTAGCGGCCAAAACGCCTGCACAGGGTGGTGAAAAATCGGTTTTGATTCTCACGTCCAAAGTGGCGCAGAAATCCTACGGAACAGAGAAGCGGTTCTTGTGCCCACCACCTACAACGATGCTGCTTGGTAGCAACTGGTGGTCAGCGTCTTCACCTCCTAACCAGTCCTTAGAGGAAGCCCCCGTCTCGACGCCACCGAAAATGATTGTCTCCATTTGTGGCGAGGCAGGCAGCCAACAGGGCGTCATTGACTGGACAGCAGCCAAGGAAGACGGCGTTGCGCCTATTGTCACTGGAAAATGTGTTTCGAAGCAACTGTATATTAACGATGCGGATGAAAAGCGCAAGAAGGTGGAAGTCCTTGTCAAGTTTATGATGGCCGGGGATATCGAGCTGGGAACGTTTGCCAGTAAGCCCATCAAGGTCATCAGTAAGCCTAGCAAGAAGCGCCAGAGCATCAAGAACATGGAGCGTAAGTGCCTCTAATTTTTTTTTCTTTGTGAATTTTCATTCGCTCAATTTTTCTTTAGTTGACTAATGATTGTTCACTTGTAATTACAATTGTATATGGTTGCAACGTTCTCCACTAGTGTGTATCCATCATGGCACCACCATCTCGCTCTTCAACAGAATCCGCTCGCAAACGGTTTCGACGAAGTATTTGGGCGTCTCGACCACAGCGCAAGCGTCTGCACATGCACCATGGAATTATGGCAACAACAGCCTGAAGGACTGGCCCAACTTGGAGCCATCACCCGAGTCCTCTGCAAACCCAGTTAACACTGATGGTGGAACCTGCTTTGTGGCCAGGACCGGCAGCTGGGACCCCTTCGTGGTCTGGATTGTTTCTCCAGGGCAGACAAGGACAGAGACACTCCAAGAGCATTCTCAGCGTCATCCAGGATTTCCTCCACCTCCAGCAATCGCTATCAACTCGCCACCAGAGAACGCGCCTCAAACACCGATCCATTACAATCAACCCATTGTCCTGCAGTGCCTCTCAACTGGTCTGGTCAGTCCAGTGATGGTGATTCGCAAGGTCGACAAGGGAAGCATGGTCCTCGGAGGGGGTTCGATCGGTCACCCTTCGGCAGAGTATGATCAGGAAGCCATTGGTGATCCCGTGTCGCAGCTTCACAAGGTTGCCTTCCAGATTACAGGCCAGGCGACTCCTGCGAGTACCTTTTCGCATGGAAAACTTCAGCAAGGCACTTATTTGGCGTGCTTGGGGGATGTTGTTGGAATGCAACGTGCGAACGAAGGAAAGCGGTATTTGCCTGATCCAAAGGGGTCTCAGTCGTCCACTTTGGATGATAGCACCCAAACGACATCGGCCAACTCAGGCAACCCTTTCTCCATGGATATCGTTCCCGAGATCCCTGAGAGTAGCGCTATTCCTGAGGCGCTTATGTCGACGTGGTCTGCTGCTGATCAAATGGCCTTAGATACTGCTGCTTGCGTGGGCGGAGAGAGATCGATTGTGACTACGGCCGATGGTCAAAGGATTGAGCGTAAACGCCGCGTGTCTTCATCGGTAGTCATCAAGTCCACGGGTAGCACAACTAAGGCAGCATCCAAGTCAAGGAGGCGAGTTAACAGCATGAGCGTGACTCAGTCAGAGGCACAGCGTATCCGGGCTGGAGCTCTGACAGCAAACAGTCATTATCACCACAGCCCCATTCAAACTTACGTAAATCCTTCGACGACGTCCTCGAACGCTGGGGTAGAGACCAAGGAGAAACCTGCAAAGGAAACCGCCAAGATTCTGGCGCTCCAGCAGCAGCGCCGACACTCGTCCATCTGGACAGAGGACGTGACGGATGCGGCTGTGTGGACTATTGTTGGAACGGATTGCGCGCAGTACAATTTCTGCACTCCCGGAGGTTGCGATTCCATGTCGCTGCCACGGTCTCCAGTGACATCTTTACCAAAGGTGCTAGAGGTGTGTTTGAACGGTCAGGCGTTTGGAACTCGCGCGTCCGCAGGTCCGATTTCGATCAACAACCCCGTCATTCACACAACTAGCAACGGCGGCAGCAACAGCGGTTCTCATGGTAAACATGGACATGCGCATGGACACAGCAAGACGCTTCGTGTGATGGAGTCCCATATGAACGACCACCACCAGCATCATCATCATCGAAACGATAGCAACTCAATGAATGGCAGTAATGGCCAAGGAGGAGCGCTTGGATCGACTGGTGCGGCAGCCCGTCTTATGAACTTGAAGGGTCATGGGTTCACGCGGGATCTGACGGTTTGGTTTGGAACGATCAAGGCGCCCGTGACTGAGTACCAATCTCCAGAATTATTGGCGGTCCAGATTCCCGAAGAGGTATCTTTGGGCTCTTCGTTCTACTTTACCAAGGATGACGACGAGGATGTCGAGGGCGATGACGAGGACAATTTCGCGACGACGGTGAATGGTGGTGGGGATGACGGTAGCAGCATTAGTAGCGGTAGCAGCAGCTGCAACGGCAGTTACTCGGAGCAGCAGAAACGGTTCCGACGGAAGCGTGTCAAGGGCCTGTTTGAGTCGGACTGTGTTCCTATCTTGCTGGTCCGGACCGATGGCGTGGTCTACCGATCGGGCCATAGCATCACCCTCGGGTGAACAGAGAAGGGAGGAAAAACCTATCATCTCTTCTGTTTATATTTTCTAGCATTTTGTTTAGCACCCATGTACCATGTTTCTTTTTTTTTTTTTTTTTTTTTTTTCCGTAGTATCCATTGCTATTCTTCTTTGTAAGACTCTATACCCTCACTTCCTCACGGCAACTCTGAATATTTTCACAGCATCGAGCAAGCACCAACAGCACCTCTTCACTCTCATTTTTTATCTTATTTTTCGCCTGAGCTCCAGGAGGAATAAAAAAAAAAAAGAGACATTTGAAAAATAAACGACGGACGACAAGGAAGTTGTAACAAGCAACGAGAATGGATGGAGAGATCAAGAACAGCAAAAAAGACATCATGCACATGGAAAGGCGCGCTACTCTTTAATGCTTCATATCGACGCGTTTGTTTGGCGCAGACCCATTTACAACAAATGCTGCTCGCGCTATTCGCTGCTAAACAATAGAAGGTCAAATCATGTTGGCATTGCGAAAAATAACAAGAGAACAGACCCTCGAGGGCTCGAGGGACCAACTCTGGGCCTTAGAAATAACAGTCGGAAGCAGTGACGCGAAATATGAGTTCAGAGTTCCGGAGAAGGCGGCCGCGCATGTCGGGCGGGCAACCCGTACCATGTCAGGTATCCGGTGCGCCCTCGCAGTAGATTTCGGAACACAACTTGCAAGTCTGGTCTGTGCGACTAATTAGGTCGTGGAGGAGGCTTGATCGCGATTCACGTAGGCAACATCGGTGTGCCCTGGCGGAGGAGGTTGAGGAGGGATATCGGCGACAGGAGCTTGGAGTAAATCGTGAAATAGTGAAAGAGTAGGAGGGGTGGAGGGTTTTGGAGGGAAGTAGGGATGAGACGAATTCGTCGTTATAGTGAGAAAGGGGGGGGGAGAGGACCAAAATGGCCTAGAACGTCTTCTCTGGGAAAATAATCGGCCTGACTGAATGTTTCTTCTACACAAATCGAGACGCGTTCCTATTTTTCCAATCGAGCCCACAGGCTACCTGACCGAATCCCCACATTTTTTTTTTTTCCCTTGGTCTTGGTGGTATGCATATCATGCATTTGCTTGCACAAGATTAAAGGTTTCCTGGAACAAACGGAAAAAAATAAATACGCCATCGAGAAGCTGCTTATTTGCCAGGTGTCGCCCTGAACCCAGCCGGTGGACTACCGGGGGATCGTGAAACAGCCATACTCTCCATCGAAACAGGAACCAAGTAAAAAGGCGAGACCTATATCAACAACTTGGGCATCAAGCGCTTGCCAAGTCAAGGCATAAAACGTGCAATGGCTTTTGAATGTCCACTCGCGCATCCACAGGGAGATGTATCTGTCTAGGGTAGTAGGCGGCTGCATATACTATGCCCGTTTTTGCTTCCTTCCTCGAGTGAACGTGGTTCGAGAGAGCACGATGCCCGTTGTCGTAGATGATCAACGCGATGTTTTTTGTTGCCGTCCAGCCCGTCCGTTGCTTGGATGCCCTTTTGGTGCGATGTGATACAGAGAATAGCGGGGTGAGCACAAGGTGGCGAACGGATGCAGATGATGTTCTGTGGTACCGTTTACCGGTTGATCTTTCACATCTAAAACGATATCGATCGAGGGGTCCCGTAGCGGATTGTTCCGTTTCTTTCTACATATCTTTTTTGTATGCAGCCCAAAAAAAAAAAAAAAACGATATCGGTTATAGTAAATGGCAATGAGCTTTATGTTACAAACAAAAAATTCTAAACGATCTTTCTTTTTTTCTTTTTCTTTTTTTTTTAAGCTATGGGTATGGATGAAGATAGGGCATATCATATTGTAGATTTCAAAAAAGACATTCTCTCGTTGTTTTTTTTCCTCTTTATTGCTTCAGACGCGCGACTTCCTGCCGCAATTCCTCCACTTCCTTTGCGAGCTCTTCCTGATCCGTTTTCATCTGTGCAATATAGTCGACAGCTGTTTATAAAAAAAAAAAAGGAAAGAATGAGTAAATTAAAAATTGAACATTACTGACCCAACATTTTACTCCGCCATATGAAACGTGAATACTTGGGCCATGGGTACTTTGGCCGATTTCCACACATACCTTTGCTCAGAATTTCCCATTTGCTGGTTTTGAGACTTCGATCGACCGGCAGAGAATCCCGCAGCTCATCAAAAAGCTCCTTCATCTCCTTGCGACGCTTACGCTCCGCCAGCTTATGTGACACCCTCAGTTCCGGCGATCGGGAGTAGGGTGTATCGGTCTTGTGTGACGCACTGCCATCGCCATTGGGGTACGCAGACGGGTAGCCTGGGTATAGATGCGTCGTCTGTGATCCTGGTCCTGCCGGTCCCTTGTTGTGTTCTGGTCCATGGTTGTTGGAAAGATGCATCCTTTCCATGTCCATGTTCATCCGTTGGTCATAGTCCGGTGGAGGGTATGGTGAGTGATGCAGGTGGGGCGGTGGCGGTCCGTGTGTGTGGTGAACATCCGCTATCGACGACCTCCTCGATCCAGCCTCCGACGATAATAGTGACGGTCTACGAGGCTGATGCAGCGGAAAGTGGGGGCGCGCATGCTCAATTCCTGAAGGCCCATGGGGTCCGTGAGGGACCATCATCGAGGGCTTGATCTCTGCTGCCGGTTGAAGGTTCAGCGACGGTACTGCTCCATGATTCGAAGCAACTGATCCACGCCTCGGTGGACTTGACGGCGCAGAATACGAGCTCCTGGATGGATAAGGATGCAGCCCCAATGCCGCATCCGGAATCGAGTCTCGACGTTTTGCGGGATGGTCCAGAGAATCGGATGAGTGCACTTGCGAGAGCGGTGTGCTCGATGTTTTCCGCTTGAGGGGACCCAAATTGTTGCCCAATGGGTCGCTGTGGGCAATCGAGTGTCTCCGCTGGGGCTCCTGTGCCAGAAGCTGCCCCAATGGGCCGGCGCTGCTGTGAATCGACGGTAGTGACTCTCGCCTGCCCGAGGCATGATCCGCCTGACGGAGATGCAGTGGCGAGTTGGGCGCATGTGCATGATACGGGATTTCAGACGAGTTTGAGGTGGTGGAGGATGCAGACGAGTTGGCATAATGGCGACCATCATTGGTGTTTGGACCGGATGCATTGCCGTAATAGCTCGAATGATCCATTGTGATGGTGGAGGACCTTCGGTGGGGGTCTCCGGCGGCGTGGTACTCTGGATCGACGACGGAGCCTCGACGTGAGTTGCTCATATAGGTGTGCAGCGGATGGGATGGTTCAATTGGAGGGAGGGGTCGGCCCTGGAAGACCTCGGCCGAGGAGGGCAGGGGCGGCGAGGGTGTGTTGGGTGCAGGGTGATGGTATTGGGATGGAGCGGGGCCGTTATGGGAGGTGGAGTAGCGACGGTCTTCGTAGTGGTGGTCTGGGTGGGACTGAGTCTGGGTGTCCTGAGGAGGGTAGTGCTGGTGGTTATGAAAAGACGGTGGCGGTGGGTATGGATGGCCATTGGATGTGCCGTTATTGTTGCTGGGGTGGTGGTGCTGTTGCTGGGGATGATGAGCTGAGGGAGGGGAGGGGGGTTGGTGATCCATGGAGGAGGAGGAGGAGTCCATAGGACTATCCTCGGTCGGGGTGGTGGTCCTCATATGGTAGGTAGTAGTCAGTGATCGAAGGATTAACACGGGGAGGGATTGAAGAAGAGACGAGGGAGAGGATTGTTTAATGAAGGAGGGGTGATTCAGAAAGGGGAGTTGCTTTGAGGATGGAGGATGGGGAGGATGGAGAGGATGGGGAGGATGTCGGCGGTTGATGAAGAGAGGGGCGTGAAGATGATGGTGTGAAGATGATGACTGGCGGAAGGGTAGAAAATAAAGAGTGAGAGAAAGAGAGAAAGAGAGAAAGAGAGAAAGAGAGAGTAGCCAGCACCCACCAATAACAAAAACAAACAACAACAAAAAAAATGTCTCGCATTGTACGTAGTCGATTAATAAATTATTCCGAGACATAGTTTGCCACGAGCTGGTTGTGTGGAGTGCGAATAAAAATAAACTGCAGACGTTGTCGGAGCAGGAATGTATCAATTGAGCTCCTCTCCCCCTTTCCCCATGCCCAGAAGTGGATTGCAAACAGTGCAGACCCGAAAGAGGGGTGTGCATAAAACGGCATATCGACTTATCGACTTTGACGTCGTATGTAATCGTATCGCATGGCTTCGCGTGGCATCGCATGGCATCGCACGAGGGAAAAAAGCTCACTTCAACAACGTGGCCTAATCATTTGCGAGACATATGCGAAAACAAACATGCATCCCACTCACCCTAAAATGAAAGCCTCGGTCGCTCTGCACTATTCGCTCCTTTAAAAGCCCATTCACCACCGCGGTAGGCCTCAGGATACGACCTGTTGTCAGCAACGCAGGTACATCCATGTTTCATTTGATCTGCACCCCCATATCGAAGCACCAGTGACAAGAAAAGAGTGAAAGTCAACCCGTACCCACATCATGAGCATGGTTATGGTCGTGGGCCTCTCTTCTCTCTCTAATATTTCATTACCTCCCGCTGCTCCCTTCCTGTTGCCAATGTGTCTCTTGGTAATGTTTTCTAGTATCCATACAATGTCGAAACAACATCAGTAACAACAAAGTATTAATACATCACCCTAGCATGGCATTGCTCATACCTCACAACACAAACGACATTACCTTCCTGGGAATCACGCGAGAGCATACGCAACAAAGGTACCACAGCAGGCAAAATAGAAAAGAAAGTCGAGAGCGACATGAACGTAGAGTTTGAGCGAAGTTCAAAAATAAACCCGAAACAAACTAGGGGACGAAGGAAAAAAAAAAGCTTTTTGTTGTTGCTCTTTGTTCCTCCTGTTCATATAACGGAAATACGGTGGTGCCGCTCATTCATAAATCATCCTTGGCAATGCCCTGGCCAGAACAAATACAATATGTGCATATTTTACTAAAATCTAGTCTATGCATTAGGCCTGATGATGTCGCTTGAAGAAACTAACAGTTCCCGGAGCAAGGCGCTGGAAACAAAAAAAAAAAAAAAGTTGTCAGAATAGGGATATAGGATCCTGCTCTTTCTTACCGACGCATAAACATGCACAGAGAAAGCAAAAGCGATGTGAGAAGTGTAACAGAATCAAGTGCACGACGCATCTGGAATAACAAGCTCTGTTAGTACCACAGTGAGATGAAGGAGATCCGCTAAGGTTCCAATGAGCATGTGTATTTGGCATCTTGACTAGCCTAGATATAGATCAATAATATTGCCGCTTAAACCATCGAACGATATTCCTCATGGTCGTTAACTCCCTACGACCGCCCTTCGTTCGGGAGATGAAAAATCATCTCAGATCTGTCTTTGAACGTAATGCATGAAATGAAGTAGAGCTTCTGCCCAGAGATACCAAGGGATATTATCGCCCATGCACCAGTTTGGCCTCCTTTGCGGTTTCTAAAGTTCAGGCACCTCCCGACAGGCCCTACATTTAAACCCCATACAACGAGCCCAGATAACCACCGTTATTATCGTTTTACATGCCTTTATTATCGTTTAAAGGCTACAGTTTGCAGTAATAGTAATGAACGCTCCAGAAGAAGATATGATGAAGGGCCACGACAGTTTCGATTGACCCAAATTTACACATTTCACTATGTTCGTTTGACCTGCTTCATCTTGGCCATGTGTGATTTCAGCTTCTTGTATTTGTCCGACTGGAAATGAATATAGAACATGGACGATTAGTTACTGCCATGCGTCAGCAGTAGCACCGCATCTCATCCAAGAAAAACTAGCAGAAAAACTTACTTTGCCACCACGAGACTTGTCATATATCACAGACGACTCGGGCATGTATGCATAAGAACCACGATCGATCTGAGGCACTCTGACACTCAATGGCCTAGCATTGGGAACACTGTTGTAATGTAGTCGATCATCGTGAGAAAAGTTAAATATTAGTTCTCTGGCCATTCCATGCCTTGTGGCTCCAATACTGATGAGTAAAGACCAGCATGAAACGTACTCCATAGCACTGCTTGAAGAAGATGCCTCGGGACGTCTGCGTTGTGATGTTGATGCTGCGAGGTTGTCGTGTGCGTAGTTGATCTTCTTTTCTCTATAATCCTGACTCAGCTTAACAATGGGTCGGCTCCACTTGTCTATTCAATTGCACAATACGAATTAGCACAGCCATGGAACATCAGGGCCAGACAACTGCCGAACATGCCATGCGTCGAATCGTACCAACAAGAGCATGGGCCTTGCGCTTGATGCTAGGTGTCACCCGAGAGTCATCGACCTTGGTGTAAAAGTAAACAACACGACCGACCCCACTGCTGACAAGATGATCCGTTTGAATTGGCAACTATAATGCCGTAAAATTCCCATTAGTCAGGATATGCCGTCTTGAGTCCCCAAGGTCGCGGCAGGATGTACTCCTGCAAGCTCGACACTTACAATGTCCAAAAGATCCAGAAAGTCCTGAATGATATCCAAACTTGGCAGAGATGCATCCTGCCACGGTTCCAGCCAAAGCTTCATTGCTTCCAATATTCCGTTATCCAAGAATGTGTTGTGAACATGCGATCTACGAGGGAGACGTAGGATCAAATAGTGTCAATCGCACAGCAACTCTGATTAGTCAACTTCCGCGCATCGTCGTTTGACAGTGAATTGGCCCATACTTGTTTAGTTGCTTCTTCACGCTCTCCAGCATCCTGACTTTTGAAAGAGCTGACTGCTGCTTCAATTTGGAATCGACATCCGCGAATGCTGCCGCTCGCATCTTGGCGACAAATCTGGATGCACTCTCATCCAGCTCAGTGTCCTATGTTCAGCATAATGAGGATGAAGATGCCTCATAAGTGTGTCGACCAGCGATAACATGAGCTGGCCAAGTCATGCACAAAGAAGCAAGTCACCTACAATGTCTTCTTCATCCTTTCTTCGTCTCCTGGATGAAGACTTTCCACTCTTGAGTGCTAATTCGAAATCTTTCTCCAGTTGCTGCAGTGCTTGTTGACGGGGATCCAAGGGCAATTCCTCGCCGCCCTCTAGGTTTTGTGAGCCTTCCTTAGTGGGCTTGGTCTTTTTGCTGATCCTATTTCCAAGATTCCAACGGTCCGAATAATGGATTAGTAAAGATCCAATGAACCGTTCTTGCTGTGTACACGATGCGTCGTCTGGCTCGACATAGATCATAACAGGGTGACGCCGCCTACTTTTTCTTCTTGTGCTCTGGTGCTGGGGAGTCACCATCAGCGAACCTCTTTTTGAAGCTCGGAAGAGGAACGCCTTCTTCTTCTGGTTCCTCCTCTGCATCTTCTCCCTGGGCAGTGTCCTTGTCTGTCTCATCCTGTTTGTCCTCGTGATCGTCGTGGGTGCGATCTATGTATGGGAATGGCAAAGTGTGAGAGGGGGGGACGTAGCAACAACAGCGTGCACATCAGTTGAGGACGGTGATATCCAGAACGCATTCTATACCATCGTATTCGCGGTCTCCGTTGTAGATCAGATCATCCTCATCGTCGTCATCGTCGCCAAAGATATCGCGCTCAATTCGTTTCTAATGCGATCCAGCATACGTCGAATGTAGTGAAGATTAGAATAAACGAGTACGGTCTCGCTTGAAGTGTCCAGTAGAGGCTAATAGAGATGGAGGGGTTTCCGTATTTCGGCTACCTTGTCTGAGGACATGCTGTACTGCTATGGAGTGAATGGGATGGGTGATGAGGAGTGGAGGTGTATAGCAAAAAGACATGACCTCTGCCCCTCCGCAGAAGTGGCTTTGTGTGGTTGCACCCTCGACTCAAAATGGAAGCAATTGAATTGAGGCAGCCTTCTTGGTCCAGCTACTCTTCGCCACTCTCCTCCTTCCCCGCGACCGGTCGCCCCATTCGCCCCATCTCTCCCATTTCCCTTTCTTCCTTCTTTTGTTCTGCTACTGCTGCTTCCCTACTCTCCTTGAAGAACAAAGCCTCCTCCGCTCCTCTGGCCTTCCTTTCTCCTCTCCTCCTCCCCAGCCTAGCACCCATACACCCTTTTGCGCACCGCCTTTGCTTGTCTTCACGCCGCGGTGTTCCTCCTCGACCGAGAATTGGCTTCGCCCTATTCCTCGCTGTACTGCTTACTGCTTTCGTCCAAATTGCGCCCTCCAATTGAAGGAACACCCCTTCGCCTCCTTTGTCCAAACTACACAGCTGCGTTGCTCCCGGGTGTCCTGTGCAGTAAAGTGCCAGTCCGCCAGTCCAGCTGCCTTTCCTTCTTTCCCCAACTGCATCCCGTTTCTGCACCCTCTCTCGTCCTGACCCCAGCACCACCATATACCCGCCCCTAGACAGCACCGATCCCTCCTCCTCCCCCATTCTTTCCGCTCTTTACCCCCTCCTCCTCCCGTCCGCGGTCTGTTCGTTGTGCACGCCTGCTTGGTCTCTCCCCTCCCTTCCCCCACCCACGTAGCCCTTTTTTTTTCTTTTTTTTTCTTCTTTTGTACCTCCCTCCAAATCTTGAATGTAGCCGAGAGCTCTCGTTACCCTTGGCGCTTGGCATTTATAATCTTCTTTGGAGTATCCTCTCACCGGACTCATTTGCACCGCGCGCAGACCACCCACGTTCTCAGAGCGATAACAAAGGGGTCTAAAAGAATGAACAACACGCAGCTGATGATCGACGAACGAGCCGCGGCCGACTCTCCAGGCGCCGGTTCAGGCGACGAGCTGCCTTCTTCCGCAGTCTGGGCTGCGGGTATCTTTGCCTTCAGCGCAACCTTCATTTCCATGGTGGCCATCTGGATGCAGTTCAAACACTATCGTAAACCAGTAGGTATCTCTCTCGCCGATCGGCTTCTCAATTGGTGTCCATCAGACATTGTCCGTGTTCTGTGTTCTGTTACTCACCCAGGACCGTTCTTGTTTGGACACGCAGCTGTTGCAACGATATGTGGTGCGAATATTATGGATGTAAGTCGACAACGAACCTCAACCGCAGCGTTTTTGATTTGTACTCATCTACTGCGGGGTGGGGGGGGGGGGGGGGGGGGGGGGGGGGTGTGTGGGAGGGTTTGTTGTTGTTGTTGTTGTTGTCGTCCATCCATTGATGATATTCCGTTGTGCTTTTGCATTGTATATGGTATCGACAATGGGAACTTTCACCTTTGTCTTTTACTCTACATGGTTGGAAAACACACACAAAACTCAATCGCCTTCGACCCCTATGCACGCCTTCCAAATGACCAATGGTCTGACGACTGCCCCTCCTCTTCCTGCTTTGGCTGACTTCCACTCCGACCGTATCTAGGGTGCCTATCTTTGCTATCTCGTCATGGATTTCATTGGTATCGCTGAATATGTCCTTCTATGTCGATGCTCTACGAGACATTTACGAGGTATGCGACCATGGCATTGCGCGTTGCATCCGAGGGATGGCCGGTTTTAAACAGGGCATCGTGAAATTGATTTACCACTGACACGGCGGCGTGTGCGTTTTTGCACCCCCCCCCCCCCCCACCCGCCCCCCTCCTTCTAGGCGTTTGTTATTTACTGTTTCTTTGGTCTGCTGGTATCCTATCTCGGGGGTGAACGTTCGCTGCTGATCATGCTGCATGGACGACCCTATACCAAGCATGTTTTCCCCGTCAGTCTCTGGTACAGGGAGATCGATGTAAGTCGAACGAAGAAGTGTGCCTGAAGTCGGGAAATGAAAGGAATTGCAAATGAAAGGAATTGCTATGCTAACGCCACTAGAAATGTCGCGGCTCAAACGATCTGTCCTTTAGGTGGGCGATCCCTACTCATTTTTATTTATCAAGCGTGGTATTCTTCAATACGTTTACGTTAAGCCCGTATTAGCGGCGGTCACCATGCTTCTCAAATCAAACGATGCCTATAATGACGGCTCGGTCTCTTTCAAATCTGGATATTTCTGGGTGTCGTTTATCTACAACATAAGCGTCTGCCTCAGTCTTTATTGTCTCGGCATCTTCTTCATGGCCACCCAGGGCGATCTTGAAGAGTTTCGGTAGGGACTGCTTGTTGGTGGATGAGCCTGATGATAGGGACACGATACACGATGCATAACTTGCAGCATTGCTTACATTTGTATCCAATCTTCTGATCACCGCTCTAGTCCGATCCCCAAGTTCTTGTGCATCAAGGCCGTCATCTTTTTCTCATTCTGGCAAGGTTTTGCGATCTCTATTTTGGTGTCAGTCGGTATCATGAGCAACAGTAAGTGGTTCTCCCCGTGGATAATTCACGGTTGACGGTCCCATGTCAACTTTGAATGCCCTTGATTGATTTATATTATACATATGTTTTTATCATGCTCCAGCCTCGCCTGAGATTGCTGTCGCAATCCAGGATTGGTTGATATGCTTCGAGATGGTATTCGCGTCTGTCGGGCACTGGTAAGTCGTTAGTTTTCACATTCGAGGGGCAAGATATGTACCATGTATGATGATGCCCCAAGTGCTAACGACGCTTTGTAACGATAGGTATGCATTTTCGCATAAAGATTACACAGACATAGATATCCAGTCTGCTAGGATGCCTGTGTACTACGCCATTAGGGATGCCTGTGGCATCCAGGATATCGTTCAGGATTCCCTCGAGACCCTCAAAGGCACGCGCTTCACCTACAGGACATTCGAGCCATCTGAAGGCCTGGCGACCGAAGGCATGAGTCGGTCTGGTCGCATCAATGCTGGACTCAGGTATAGCCAGGGAGGAACAACTAAATACTGGCTCCCAGAAACCAACGCCATACCTGGTTCCACGATGTCACAAAACGATCGATTCGATTCGGACGACAGACGACAGTTTTCAAGGCACCCACGCGGTAATGCAGAGCGCCCACCTAGCCTATACTTCCCTGATCTGGACGAAGAGGATGAAGACGGACTGGAGGAACTTTATGATGCCAGCAAGCAGCTCGAGTTTGGGGACTACAACTTCCCTGCCATTGATGTCCACGATCCAAAGGAGGCACAGGGTCGCGGAAAGCGAGGACGCCGAGGACCACGGAAGAGCAAGAAAAAAGAGGCGAGATCTCTACTAACAGACCCCAATGGGGCTCAGGAGCCATCTCGAGGATCTGTATTTGGAAAGGAAGGCTGGAGTGTATCGCCTTCATCGTCACGGCAGCAGACAGGAACACCAACAGCCGCAGCAATCTCCTCAGCTTCGTCGTGGAACGCAAATTCTGCGCAGGCTAGGGATGGATGCGTTGATAATGTGAACAACTATGTTCCTGAACCAAGGACTTTGAAGGCGATGAGGAGCAGCACGGTTCTGTCTCCGATGCATCAGCGATCGGCAGAGCAGCAACAGCAACAGCAGCGACAGAATCAGCATCCCCTTGACGACCAGACGGATTCACAGGGTGGTCCTGCGCTGTTCATCTTGTAGACCTGGAAGTCTTAAACGCGTCGAATAAACAAAACATGTGTCGTGTATTTGTTATAATACCATTGTCGATGTCGTGTGAGCATTGGGGGCAGAAGTGATCGATGCAGCGTGGCGTGGGTGGTACGAGGTGCTCCGCCACAGAGCTCAGTTGGTCTAGTTGACAAATGGAGTGTGGCAAAATCTATTTTTGGAGTTTTGGGGCCTGAAACTGACCTCGACCTTTCGACAAGAACGAAAGCAGAGTAAGGGAGAGGTGCCGAGTGCTGTTGAGGGAAAGTCAACTTACCTTTACACCTAGAAAAGAGTACAGCGTGAGTGAATTTGCTAAAAAGGCTGAAGTGTTCGAGAGAAGAGAAGAGGAGGCACATCAATGGCGTAAAAAAAAAGAAAAAAAAATGAACACAGCCCTCATCCGTTGATGCGATGGCGCCAGGGAGTGAACGTTAAAGGTCTTCTGCAGAAGAAAGTAAACATCTCCATTGCTCCGCGGGCAAGTGTGAGTCCGCCTTTTGGGCGCTTCATCAGGCGCATTTTTTTACCGCAGCCTAGATGCGCGATGCCCTTTGCTCAATGAAAAAGGTCGCACCTTAAAAAGAGCCAAAGTCCTTTTCCCGTCTCACACTCCACCTCTCTCTTTTCCCCCACGGACCCCCTCTTGATACCCATCCTTGTCCTCGCCCCCATCCCCTTCTTCTTCTTCTTCTTCAGCAGCAGCAGCAGCATCATCATGGTTTCTAAATGGCGCATCCAGGCGCGCACAAAGGCCCTATTTCTGTCCTACGGCAAAGACTGGGCCCTTGTCCTGATCGTCCTCGCTGCCTTCTCCTACATCGATACCCTCGAACCCTTCCACCGCCAGTTCTCCGTCAAGGATACGACCATCCAGCATCCCTTTGCAAAGAAAGAGACAATTCCTGTCTGGCTTGCGCTCGTAAGTCACTCCCCTCATCTGAATCCGACAGTCGATCAGTAAAGATCTTTGTGATCGTGTCCAAAGAACCACTCCAAGTTACCACCTCAATTGGTCTCCTTTGTCCCAATTGCCGTTTATTATTATTATTATTATTACTAACTTATTATTCACACCAAAACTAACGACCTGTTATGAACTGTTTGACAAACATGTTTCTACCAAAAAAAAAATATAGATCCTCGCTTTCATCTTGCCCGGAATCATCATCGGCTGTATCGCCATCTTCCACCGGAGGTCCTACACTGATCTGCACAATGGCTTACTCGGTTTGTTCCTTGCTCAGGCACTCGTCTTGATTGTTACAGACAGCATCAAGGTAAGATTGGCCCTTCCTTTGTCTACATTGTCTATATTTTTCCAAAAAAAAAAAAAAAAAAAAAAAAAAAAAGCGAAAAGCGAAAAGCAAAAAGCGAAAAGAGGGAGGAGCAATGTACCTCCGCGGTGTGTGTGGGGATGAGATGTTTTGTATCATGCGAAAATACTTATTTTCCCGTGCAAGAAAATCAAGAAATCGACCACTGATATTTGTTTGTTTAGGTGGCAATGAACGCGGGTGTTGTTGTTATTGTTGTCGCCGTCGTTGGCGTTGTCTTGATGGACTCGAGACAGTCGATTCGTGCTGCGAGTTTGGCAGAAGCACAACAGCCCAAAGACAATGGACAAACGATAGGAAAAAAAAAAAAAAAAAAAAAAAAGGCTAAGGGATCCTGGAGCGAAGTAGAATGTGCAATTGGACCATTCGCCCTTTTTACACCCTCAAAAGAAGATCGTGGGCATTTGGCGTGTGGGTGATATTGGGGAGGGATTGGCTCTTTACGTTACTCTCGAGCTTTCTGGCCGAGTGTTTTTCCTTTTTTTTTAGCCGGAATGAGGCCTTGCTTACTCATCCAACTCTTTATTATTTTTGTGATAATGACAATCCTTCATAGATCGCCGTAGGAAGGCCTCGCCCCGACCTTCTCGATCGGTGCCTCAGTATCTACGACAATGACTATGATGGCACACCCCTTCCATTGCTCACAGACCCAGTCAACATGCTCTCCAACACTTCTATCTGCACCAGGACGGAGCTGCTCAGGGACGGCTTCAAGTCCTTCCCCTCCGGACATTCCTCCTTCTCCTTTGGTGGACTTGGCTACCTATCCATGTATCTTGCAGGAAAACTCCAACTCTTTGATGAGCGTGGGCATATTTACAAGTCCGTGGTCGTACTCGCCCCTCTCATCCTGGCCGCGTTGATTGCGACATCTCGCGTGGACGACTACAGACACCATTGGCAGGATGTGACAGTCGGATCCTTCATCGGCTCTGTCTTTGCAGTCTTTTCCTACCGCCAATACTACCCTTCCCTCGCTGCTGCGAAGTGCGGTCGCCCGTTCTCACCTCGTGTCTTTGAGGAGCTTTTGCCAACAACGCTGTTGTCTCACCATCATCATCACGATCAAGACGGCGAGCCACGCGCGGGGGATGAGTCGTCTCGGCAATCGTTCCTGAACAACATGGGTGGAGCAGGATCAAGGGATAGTACTGCAAACAATCTCTCAGGAACGAGTTTGGACGAGATTCACGGTCAGGGCCCCAAATATGACACAACCTTGCCATACGACCGGGTGCGTCTTGGACAGTAAAACTAGTAGGACCTTCTCGGGACTAACATTGGCGCGATCGGTCAAAGATCTTACAACCAACATCTATCGGCAACAGCCCTGTGCATACGCCCAGTGTGGTCGCACTTCTTGGTCCCATGCGCCCGCGCACGCAAGCCCAAACGGCATACCATTAAACATATGCATCTTCCTCATTCTCCGTTAATAAACTCTGAACTCTCACCCACAATGACAATTTATGACTAATGCAATGTCCATCTCTTATCTACCTGAGTGTCCGAAACGAAAAGGGTTCTTTTAGTGCCTGCAAAACGCTGGCTAGTCTATGTAATGAGTACATCGAGTCTGGGGTCCCAATGTGTCAACGATCGCACTTCAGATCAGGGTGGTGCTCCTCCCCTTGATGCCCTCGCTGTCCTTAGCCAGCTTCGTCAGGGCCTCGCCATCGACTCTCATGGTCTGCCACTCGTCCATTGCAACCGCTCCCAAGGACTTGTAGAACTGAATACTGGGCTCGTTCCATTTCAAAACCGACCACTCCAATCGTCCGCCTTTCATTAACTCGACCTCCCTCGCTAGCTCTCCCAACAGTCTTTTGCCGATGCGCTGACCACGGGCCGATTCCTTCACAAATAGATCCTCAAGATAAATTCCACCGCGCCCGCGCCAGGTCGAGTAGTTAGTGAAGTAAAGAGCAAGGCCCACGGGCTCGGTGCTCGAGGGCACGAAGGCCAAGAGACAGGAAGCCAAGTTCTGTGAGGTTGGATGCAGAGGGGTGAATCGAAGGGTGTTGAGTAGCGACTCCTCCGTGGCCTCGACGGTCGATGCGGGCTCTCGCTCGTACTTGGCGAGTTCGTGGATGAGCGAGAGGATGGAACCGACGTCGGAGGGCGTTGCCGGACGAACTATCACTTGAGATGGCGGCATCTTTTTATTTTCTGATTGAACTGCGGTTGTTGTTAACGTGGAAGTGTGGGGAAGAAGAAGAAGGAAGAGCTGGGTTGATATTTTTTTTATAGTAGGAGCTTTCTCTTCATGCCCCTGACAAATGGCGAACTCGTGTGAATTTTAATCGAGTTCAACCTCTAGACCAAATCCAGATCGCTCCGGCTTGCTCATAGTGCGCAGATGAGTGGGTCTATGAATGCAGCAGACATGCCTGGGAGGAGAAAAACAACATAAGAACACTCATTTTTGCGCTCGGCGGAATTGACGTATCCTTAGCGAGCAGGCTGCGGAAGCGTAGGAGGTCCTCGGAGTAGAAGATATCTCGACCCGAATACTCAGGGTATGAAATAAAGATGGTGTTTATTTGATCTGCCCTCTAGACAAGCTTTGCACGAAGGACCCTGACACCCTTGACCGTCGGACATTTGTTTTAAGTGAAAAGTCTTAACGAAGGCATCCTCGATGTATCTATGCCGTCTAGGAGCACGCGATGACACCCACGGAGCGCCTCATATGTGGGTATATAGGACGAGATCTAAGGCCTTTGTCCTCGATCTCTGGAATCTCTCTTGGTCTGCGGTTGTCCCCTGCCAGACTTCCCAGTGCTTGCTTTTTTATCCTCCCCATGACAAAGATGGGCTTCAGACGTGGCCAATATCGACGGGCGGGTCCATTTTATCCCGCTTCCGTTGGTTCTGTTGATACTGCCGGACCTGTTTGGCTGCCCTGTCGACGACCAGTCCTGCGACATTGCCTGTCCCCTTAGCCATGCAGTAGAAGAAGGTGCCGAGGATGAGCAGGGGGATGCCGAGGATAAGGAACCAGATGAAGAGCGAGAATATCCGCTGAAAGAGAGCGCTGCCGAGAATGAATGACTTTATCGACATCTTTTACTCTTTTGCTGTAGGGGAGGTTCCTTTGCGAAAGGAATGGGAGAGGATGGTTAGTGCCTGTTTGATCGGTATGAAGACAATGTCTGGGCGCTGTGCCTTCATCATCTATGGTCTTGTTACCAGGGCGGGGTGCTGGATGGGTTGCTGGGATTCGAATGAGCGAGGAGGTCACTTTCAGGAGATGATGAGAGTGGGATGTCTGTTTAAAAAAAATTAAACATCGCGTGTCTGAAGTGGCGAATCACATCCGTCCGTTTCGACACGGTATCACCAGTCTGGGCCCCAGGTACCGGCGTCAGGAGGACCGTCGACGGCCAGTGCGTCGAGGCGGAATCCCCTCAAAAAGATTAGGGCATTCCAATCGATTGTCCATTGAAGACCACCCAGCCGCAGTGCAAAGGATACACTCAACCTCTCTCTTTGCAGCAGAGTGGGGTTACGCGCAGAAACCCCAAAAGCGCAACTAGTCCTGGTCCCTTCTGGGGCTGAGTAGTGTCCCCTTCGTCATCTCTGGCCCATTGCCCCTTTGCCTGTCCATCCAACATCTCCTTCTCAGAGCACACATCCACTCCCACACATACTCCCTTCACTCGCCACACACCATCAACAACAACTATAACCATGAGCTGGTACGCGAGACCTATAGGGAAAACATTGTTGCTTCAGACATCAAGGGCCTGGAGCAGCTTCACACAGAGTTTCCACTCACCACCTTTCTCCTCATGCAAACAGGTCCGGTCTGAAGAAGAACCTGAGTCGCGCGACCACGTCCGTGTTGTCCAAGACGGGCAACATGGACCGGACAACAGACCGCGAATTCGAGGAAGAGGAGAAGCGCTTCAAGAAGTACGGATCACTGTGATATTCATCAACCACTTCGCTCACCCTGTACTTTCGCGTTGGGACCCTGGCGGAAAAGTACTTTGAATAACCCTATGACACCTCAATTGGCCCAATTGGTACATCGACTATAGTCTCGAGCAAAAAGTCGAAAAACTGCACAGGGAGGCGAACGGATATTCTCAGGCTGTGCGAAGTAAGGCGATGCATCCACCACAGGACCTTGCTTTGCTTTACACTCTATCGATGTTCTAATCCAGGACTGACCTGCGAATGCATACGTGCGTCGTTATATGTTCACCTATAGATATGACGGGATCTCAGCTGAAGATTGCATCAATTATCGACCAATTCTATGATGAGGGTGCCCCGATGGGTATTTATGGCGTCAAGTACAAGGAGGCTGTTGCCAAGCTGGAACAGCAGGCACAGGATGAAGTAGTGGGTGTCGTTTCTCAGGGGGAGTAAATTGAAAAACAGACTACATTGGAGAAGCACTTGACATAGCCTTATTAACCCGTGCGTCTGTCGCTCCATTTGAACATGTGTTTTCTGCATGCACAGGATGCCGCATACAGGACTACAGTGCTGGAACCCGTCGGACGGTATTCAGCCTACTTCCCCGAAATCAACGAGGCCATCAAGCGACGGAACAAAAAATTGCTGGATTATGATGCTGCCCGCTCCAAGGTCCGCAAGCTGGTCGAGAAGCCATCCGAAGACGCCACCAAACTGCCAAGAGCTGAGCACGAGGCCAACGCGCTAAGGGAAACGTACGAGACCATGAACGCGCAACTGACCTCGGAGCTACCAAAGATTATTGATTCTCGTGTCGCCTATCTGGACCCCTCATTTGAGGCGGTTGTCAAGTCACAGCTTTCGTTCTCACAGGATGCACACAATACACTGGAGGGTCTCAGGCAGTTTTTCCCCCCGGAAACAGAGGGCTATGAATTGGACGAGGCCGCAGAGGGGATCTTGGCCCAGATGAGAGAGCTGTCCATCTGTGGATTGGCTTAATAATAATGAGACAGCTTTTGGTTGCTTGTAAGCCATGGTCCTGTAACTATTGTCGCTGAGCCGTGGACTAATACCCCTCCGGCACGGTGTCCGACATCATGTACAACCGTATCTATTTTATTGTGCTCCGCTCCCAATAAAAACAATATGCCGCTTAATCCTGTCGCTGGAACCACTGACATGATTACCGCTTTAGAGCCCAAAAAAGTTGATATTTGCAGCTGTGAACGCTTGGTACTGCTCTGAAGACCTCCACTCTTTATATGCGGGATTCTTCTCGACATTGTTCTTGACAGCCATGATAGCAGGGGTCAGTTCTTCTGAAATCAGGACGTTGTCGCCGCATAATCGAACAAGGTGTTCGATCACCGACGCAGTCTTGATATCTGCGATCGATAGCTACAAGTCGCAAAACGAAAGCCATAGGACATGTCAGCATTGTGAATAAAAAAAAATGAAAAAGAAAAAGAAAAAAGATAAAGTCTTATACCTGATCACCAACGTAGTGACCATTGGCCCCATTAGCCCTCAGGTGTTTCTCATGAAACTTGATCCACTCTGTTAGACTACGTGTCCTGAACCTTTCCAGGAACGCCGGTCGCTCTTCTTTCGGCGACTGGACGACGTTGTGGATCAAGAATGAAAAGAGCGCATGGGTCGAACTCAGGTACATTTTGACAAGATTCTCCTCCCAGAAATCCTTGCCGAGCAATCCAGCCCTGCTTGCCAGGAACTGTTCAATCGTGCTGATCTCGGCGAGCTCGATTGTCTATGGATCGTTGTACAGCACAGGGTTTAGTGTCCATGGATTGCAAATCGAGAAAACTATTTGCTCTACAAGGGATCGTTACTTTGCCACACTTTGTCTCCTCGCGCAAGACAGGGACATGTCCAAACGGTGTCGAGTCCTTCTGAACCCTCCATTCCTAGTAAAGTACGGTTATTTCAGTAGAATCCAAAGACATTAGCTGAAAGCCCTCCTCTTGTTTTTTTTTTTTCTTTTTGTGTCTTGCGTCAATATAGGTTCGCTAACTAATATGCCCGCGGTTGAGGAGGCTTACAGGAAATCTCAATGTCGTGAATTTGTACGGTTCACCAGAGATAATCATTGTCGTGCGGATGCACCCAACAAGGCCATGAAACGGAAAGTAGACCAGGTTGTGGGTATTGTCCCGGGCTTGGATGAGATCTGCAGGGTTGGATGTTGCGGATAGCGTTTCGGGCATGTTGAAGAAGGATGCCAGAACCTGGAAGAAGTATAAGGAGAAGAACTGTAGGGAGATGCCGAGGCGAGAGTGGAGTGGGTGCAGGTTTTATCCACCACGTCCTCTGGCGAGAATAACTCCGGAACCAATTGATGCCGGCGCCGTGCTTTGTACCGCCGCACGTTGCCCGTTTGTGGTCGCCGCAAGGAATGGTCAGTCAATTGGGCGAAATAAAATGAGGCTATCTGCGGTGATCACACACAAACCAGCATAAGATTCAGAACTGGTCCCTGCTGCGCAGTAACCCCTCGGCGTGCTTCCCATTCAGGCAGAAACCTCCGGATCCTGGCCATCGATCAAATGATGTGTGGAATGGTCAAGGTGCTTTATTCCTTCAATTAGGAAAATGACATGTAAGATACAATGCACGAACAATTTAAAACTTGAATAGCTTCTTGTTAAGCTCATCATATGCCTTCCACTGCTCGCTAGCTCTCCAAGCAGCGTACTTGGGCAGTTTCTCCAGGCTGTCGTACACGGCCATGATTGTTGGCGTCTTTTCATATGAGATAAGACCATTACCAGAGACCGAGATCAGGTTGTCGATAATAGTCGCGGTCTTGATGTCCGCTATGGTCAGCTTTTGTAAGAAGAGATAAAATAGAAGAATGCGTTAGATGATAGTCTCCCACTTGACTAGGTCTTGCAAGAGCCTTCTGTTTGTTTTATTCTCACCTTGTCGCCGACATAATGTCCGTTCGATCCATTCTGCTTCAGCGCGCGCTCATGGTACTCGACCCATTCAGGAACAATCTTTGTCACATAGATCTCGAGCATTTGCTCATAGTGCTCCTTGGGGGCGCGGACAACTGTAGTCACCAGCTTGTCGAACACCGCCTGCGACGACGAATGGTACATCTTGACGAGATTGTTCTCCCAGAGATTATCTCCGACCCAGCCATACTTTTGACCAACATAGTACTCCAGGACGCTCAGTTCCGCCAGCTCGAGCGTCTCGCCGGTCGCAGTGGTCTCATAAAGGACCGGCATCGCACCGAATGGCGTGGTTGGCTTCTGGACGCCCCAGTCCTGCCGGAGAGCATCGAAAAAGGACGCGTTAGAAGGGGAGGAAGTATGAGAGACAATTTGATTAATCTGAAGCAATATATATTTTTTACCTCGGGGTGAGTGAACGTGTAATCTGCATCAGACATGGCAAACATTGCGCGCAAGCCAGTGACGACCCCATGGAAGGGGTAGTAAAGCAACGCGCACTTATTATCTTTGGCCTGCGTCAGTTGGGACATGGTATCGGTGGGAAGGTTCTTGGTGGGAGTCACCATCTTAAATATTAAGACAAATGGTAGTGGCTGCTGTGAGGCGCGGGAGTGCTTTGGTTGTTCTTGGGAAGAGGAAGAAAAATGCTTGTATCGATAGGGAGGGAAAGGTCAGAGAGAGCAAGCATGCATGTATATATACACGAGCGTGTTGAGACGCGGCGCGTTTCTACAAATATCATGACGTCGGAACAGGATCCTAGAGCTGTCATGCGAGTCCAAACTTATTCGATTGAACAAGCAAACAAAGCGCGCGCAGTGATCTACGCCGTGCGGAGCGATGTTCCTTCCGTTGGATGGACGTCGATGACGACGTCGAACCATTATGGACTCTGTATGGGAGTAAAGTCGGAGAAAGAAAAGCGCGTCTTACGATTGACGGCATCTGCATTTGGGAAATGCTCGGACCCAGTCAACAACCGCCCGTCAAAAAGGCATCTCGAAAGCATAACTACGCAGATTTTTTATTTCTTTATAATTTCGGGCGTCGTTGCAATGTCACGGTCATTGTGTTCTTGAGGCACCACCTCAGTAACGCCGTGTCGTGGCATTGATAGTAATAGACGAGACGAAAGGCTTGATTAGTAAATGTTCAACCAGACACGCGACCAAAACAGAAAAACCAACAGACTCCATTCATCTACACAGCAGGGTTGAGTGCCTTATCACCTTTCTTAACACCGCCCTGTTCGCTCAGCAAGATGAAAAATGCTCGCCACCTCTGACCCATGACCGAAGTCTTAACCAACACAATCAATCTCTTTTGCTGCGCACAGCGACAAAGGGCAATGGGACACAACTTCGGCAGCGACAAAGGGAACCGAGGTTCGACTACGAGCACCATGCAAAACGCATGGACACTCGCCACCTTTGCCCCAAGACCTATGCTACATCGACACAAGCGACCCCTTCGCCGTGAACAAAGACAAAAGGACAGTGGACACCAACTGCGAACAGTCAATGAACTTTGGTAGCGACAGAGGGAACCGAAGTTCAGCTACGAGCATTCCGCATCCCACGCATTGAGACGGCAAGATCATTCACAACAAGTACGGAAGTGTCAGCACCGTGTTCCTATAACACAAGCGTCAAACACGTCAGTATAGAAGCAAAAGACAAGATAGAGCTAGAAACTCAAGTCAGAAAGCACGTACGGCAGAAATACTGTCGCTCATGATGGAGGGGGATGAAGGATGGCAACATGGTCATCTGTCCTTTCAGGAGTAACTTTCTTTTCAGCCCGTCACTTTATTGAACCATGTACGTATAAAACATTAAGTGAGTGGACAGTGCGCGTTTGCAGTGCAGCTCATCTCCCCTCCTCTCTTCATAGCCATGTTTCAGGTGAGAGCACTGCAGTCGCGTCCATTCGCGTGTCAGCTACGCTCGCTTAGTCAATTCACTTCCCCTTTGCATGCGCCTCCCTCTTGCTTTGTTGTTTTCCCCCTTATTCCATCTCCAGGCCCCTCTTCCATTGCCCCGTCATCCAAGATGGAGAAGTATAGCAACCTTGTATTCTTTCAAGAGAACAAAGATCTCGATCCACTCTCATTCTTCCGATGGAAGGGTTATGAAACTCAGGATGACAAGAAAGTGGCACATTCTGCCTATATCTCCTTGATGCATACCGCGAAATCCCTGCCGGAGTGGAGACAACAGCTTCCATACAGTCGACTCCAACGCAAGTTCTATTTTGCAACTTGCGTTGGAGAAGCAGCCAAGTATTCAGTCCAATTGAAAAATATATAATAGTTTATTTAAGCATGTTCATGTTTATATGTTCCTTAGCCCATGCAAATCAATAAGCAAATCCATTGTATCAAGAGCTGCCCGAAGGTTATTGGGATCCTGTAGATCAGTCTCTTTAAATGAGCCTCGAGAATAGTCCTCATCTGGATAGGGACTTGAAGATGGTGAGAGAAACCTTCGATGGGAACCATCTTATCCACAGTGCGGCCGCGGAGAACAGTTTTGACTACCTGCATCTCTTGACCATCGGTAACTGGTTCCGTGTCCTCGTAATCAGCATCAGAGTCGTCATCGTCATCCAACATATCATCATCGAAACTGTCCTCATCCGCAAAGTCATTGTCCTTGAGCGATAGGAACGCTCCCTTATATTCCTCGCGACCCATTATCTGGAAGACGAGTTCGAGGATCGATTGTGAGGGCCCTTCACTATGGATCATACTGAAGTAGTTCAGGACAGAGAAGTCCTTCTGACTGGCACTGTCTCCCTCGTTTTCTGTATACCATTCCATGAGCTCTTCCTGAAGGCGATTGATTTGATCCGTCTTTGTATTGACTCCCAGAGTCTGCAAATGAATCTTTTGGTACTCACGGATACATCGAGGAGTCACCTTATCCCAAGAGTTGACCAGATATGCCCAGAGCCTCCCATTCGGAACTGTTGCCGTACCTTGAAATAAAAATGAGGGCAAGAGATATGATTACTATGTTGTAAGCACAGTGCCCAGTGGACCTGTTCATGCGCAGGTAACTCTCATGGAGCTTGGATCACTTTGGAATTAGCTCCCCAGCAGGGGCTTGCAACAACTGCACCTAAATGATCAGACAAAGCCTGGCTCGAGTCCATGTAGGACTGGATCTGCTGCTCTTCCCATTCATTCGATCGCACATGGCAACTAAAGTTCTCGCCTAGATAGGACTCAACGACGCTCAACTCTGCCAGTACGACGGTCTCGCCCATAGCGGCGGTCCCGTACAGGACAGGCATGTGTCCAAATGGAGCCTTGACCTTTTCGACGGCCCCGTTTTAAAAGTTGCGGTATTGTTGGGGACATTAGCGCTAGAAACAAGACGATGGATACTTGTCGGCACACATCGCAGGCATAGCATGTAGACCGAGGATAACAACGCTGTGGGGGTTGAAGTAGGGCAGCATGTACAGCGCTCGTAGTTGCATCGGTGGTAAATTAAACCCGTGTGTCTGCTGCGGCCATATGAAAAAGGAAACAAAATCGCCCTTCTGGCATTGCCACAATGCTCAGCCCATCCCCGCCCTCATTACTCTCTCCAACGTATCCTGATCACTCCATCCCACTCCTTCCTTCCCTTCCCCATCCCATTCCCCAACAAAACAACCTCTCCATGTTCGCACCCACTCTCCACCTGCTCAGACCCGCTGCGGTCCTCAGGTCCGCGGTCCGCAACGTTTCTATCGCTGCCGGGCCCGCTCGCATCAACCCTACCGCTTCGCCATCAGCATTCGTCCGAAATGGACACCGATTCGCTTCCACCGCCTCTACCTCAAAGCGTATGTCCGCCTCTCTCCTCCCCTAAACACCTTATTCATCCTTACAGGTCCCTTGCCTTTCAGTCAAAGCAACTGGACGCAAAAACACAATGTAGTCTGCAATATAACTAACGCCATGTATCGTTCTAGTCCACCAAGCTTCGGTCCGATCCTCAGTGCATCAGTCTCTAGCTATCAGCTCCGCCTTCAGAAACGCCTCATCAACATCCTCGCGGACTATTATTGCTGCCGGAGCCGCGACCACCTGTGTCTTCGGACCCCTTATCCTATCGCGATCCGCCGTCGGATCGGCCGGTCTCTTCTCCTCACGCCATATCGCGCACTGCGCACCTGCCACTCCAGGTATCCAATTGCTCTTATTGGCACCTTTAAAAAAAAAAAAAAAAAAAATCTACCTGCCTGGTTGTCTGCCCTTCATTTTCGTTTTATAAGCGGCGATCATGGTGATGCAATTGCTATGGGCCGTGGGCCGTGATCTGGTCGCAGATCGGATGAAATTTTCATTTGCATGTCTGCTAACACATCCTTGTATTTCCGTTGTCGTACTTGTAGTCCGATCGGCTCCTGCATATGACGTCTGTACGGCCTCCCTTTCCTTCTCGCAAACTGCATACATGACAACAATAGCGGTGGCTATCCTTAACCATTGTTCCTCCTCTCCTTGTTGAGCTTAGACGCCGCGCAAGATGAACCGTTGATCAACAGCAAGGAGCTGACCTTCGGCACGGCCATGGGACTCTGCTCCGGATACCTGGTCAAGAAGCTCGGAAAGCTGATGATGCTCGTTGTCGGCCTGGGCTTCGTCTCACTTCAATTGCTCGCCAACTCTGGATACGTTAAGGTCAACTGGGTCCTAGTCGAGTCCAAATTCATGGACCGATTCGATGTCGATAAGGATGGCAAGGTTACAATGAACGATGCAAAGCACGGATTCAGATGGCTCATCGGATTGTTGACCAATAACTTCCAATTCAAGTCAACATTTGTCGGCGGATTCGTCTTGGGATTCCGTTATGGATAAAGGGCATCAGGGCGTCTCTGTAATTCCCACCATGTTTTCATTTGTTGTCTAGACATTGTACTCCAATAAAAAGTAATATCCGCCTTTTTTTTTATTCATCTGCAGCTAAGCCAAAGAAGAGTTGAGAGTACAGGGTATGCTGTGCGCCTGAAGCACACGTTAAATTAAAAAATATTAGTGCTGGCGAGACACATCGACGACTGGGAAATCTCGGTAGCCATATACGATCTTGGTTATGCTCGAAGCCGAGCCCGTGGACTCGCGTCCGGACGACGTCGACTCCACTGAGGAATGCGTCGTCCTTGTCACGACCAGCCCACCGAGCGCAGCACTCAACCCTTCCGGACTCGAAGGCAAAGACGACTCTGAGGTCGAAATCTGCTGTCTTGCTGTTATATCCGGTCGAGACATGTCTGCCGCTGCATGTGCACGATCCTCGCTCAGCAGGAACATGGCCGCATGGGCCTTGGCCAAGATCAGCACCTCGAGCGAGTTACGTCCCTTACCCGCGATCAGCGCCGGAAGGCCCATCAATGTCGGATTAATCGTGCTGAGCAAGTACTTGAACTTTTCCTCCGCCCGGTCCAACTGCCCTTGTTTCATCATGATCAGGCCTATATTATAATGTGAAAAGTAATATGCATAGGTGTCGTCCTTGATGTAAGGCGCATACCGGAACACAGTCTTGAAGGCCTTTATCGCAAGCACACACATGTCCGAGTCAAAGACCTCCTCGGGGAAGAACGCAATGTTTTTGGCGACGAGGCCAAGCAAGTAATGGACGATGCAGTAGTCGTCGTAAAAGTGGTCGTAACCTTCCACTTTGTCGGCTTTTGTGAGTGAGTGGACTCCAGAGCGGAATGTACCCATGATTCCCTTGGTCGCCTCGATGGTATAGCCACCCTTGGGGAGCCGCGAATCCGATATGGCGAGCATAGACGGCGGCAAAAGCGCATCGAGCCGCTGGACCTCGAGCATGATGTTGGATAACGCGACACGGAGGGACTTCATGGGCATCATTTCAAACCCGTTCCAGAGCACGAGGAAGTCGTAGTCCGGGAGAAGAAGACGACGACCCTCATTCAGGTATCGATTTGCTTTTCTTGCGCAGAATGTCTACAAAATGAGCATGAAAAGCATGTCAATGATGGATAAGATAGAGCGTCCGCGACAAGGAACACAGTAAATAATCGCAGTTGACTGTACCTCCGGGAAGACCTCAACCCCGCAGAATTTTTGCATCCCCAACTCGACCTTCTTCATTAGCTCTACAACCCTTTCGGCCTCCTTGCGCCGTCCGCGCCTCATCGTCGTGATTGCTGCTAAATATCGAAATATGGTCTTGGACCAGTTGCTCTCCCTCAAAAGCAAGCGACTCTTTGTGCATGCCAGATCATAGTCGCTCTCCATCATGGCGCACATCAGTTGCTCGAACGCGCACGCATGCTTCAGGTTTCTCCATTCTGGTTGCACTGTGATCGCCTCATGGATCGCAATCGATTCGTCCAGTCTCGTGTTGACTTGCGCATGCCTTGCCTTAAGAAACAAGAAAAACATCGATTCCGGGTACTTGTGCAGGTTGTAGTTGTTGATCCGCTCCGCGAACGAATAGTCCACATGCCGGAACGGCAAGAACGACGTCGCGATCAAATGGATGGCAATCGGAGCCATATCACAGATCTGCCGCCTCATGCCGTCGTTTGTCGGTGAGTTTAGCCGCTGCTGGAAGTCGATTGGAGAGTCCGGTCCGGCGTTCGGATTCCACTGTCCTGCAGTGTTGAGCAGTGCGAGTCCCCAGTCTCTGTCGGATGGCATACCAACAAACTGGAGAAGCTTGATGATGACATCAGGAAAAAACGAGATGGCGATGTTGAAGAGCGAGGCTGCAAAGATGAGGCCGGTGACCAGGTGTTCGTCTAGATGGTGCTCCGAGATGTCGCCCCCAGCCTTGAGTTCCTGTTCCACAGTGTCAAAATGGGATTTGAGGCCATTGAAGATTGCGAATGCCGAGCGCAGGGAGACGGTTTCTTCGAGCAGCGACCAAAAGTCTTGATGGTAGAGGATGCTGAACCCGGCCCTCAGCACCATTGCCTCTGCGTAGACCAGTTCCTGGATGTATGTCGAGGATAAAAAAGAACAGTTTTTTTGTATGTCGTACCAATTAATAACTGTATTCATTCATGTAATGTATTGTATTGGATGTGTGCATGCATCCTCATCTAAGCATGCTCATGGAAATTAATTGATCTTTACGCTGAGCACACAATTACTTAACTTACCGCGTGCTTCTCAATCCTGGTCATCCCTTTGAAGCTGCTGGCACCGATCGTCCCTACGACCCAGCTCCCGAACGCCTTGACGGTACCCATTCCGATGATCGAGCTCGTCTTCCGCTGTGCATTCGCCACCTTGAGTGTCAAGTCAAAGCTCTTCATCGCCTTTTCAATGTCGTCTGGATAGAAAGTGAGGATAGCCCTCAGCGCATCGACCAGGGCCTTGCCGAACTGGTAATACATCGACTCTGGTTTGTGACGTCCCCGGAGCAGGGCCTCGGCCTCGTTCATGCGTGAGTTGAGGAACATGTCTATGCAGATCCTGAGCTCTGCGAGGTCTTCGTCCATGGCCTTCTCAAGGTTGGATTTCCGAGGGTTGGCATCGGACATGGGTGGGCGGACCAGCTTGTGCCAGTCCGGGACGGGCTTCTTGACATTGGGAGGCGTGGTCTTCCTGCGCGACGGATTCGTAATGGTCGTGCCCTGCATTGTGCTTTCTGGACACAGTTCAAGGTTCGTGCGTGGGCAGAGTGCAGAGAGAAAGTGGAAGTGAGAGAATGCGGAATGAAAAACAAAAAGGGTTGAGTGATTGATTACACACTGTAATTTTATACCGATCGAGGAAAGGGGCCGAGAATTATTTTACGACGCTGCTCTCAAGGACATCATGTTGACACAAAACTCGTTCTATGTCACAACTGTCACCTCTATCTCTCCACATCCTTTCCTTCTTTTGCATGCGCGTGCACGAATGTGCGCTAACACCATTCGATCCGTGGATACTCTTGCGTTTGTGGCGGGGGGATGAACTAGGAGGATAATGGGCTTGGCAGCCGAGGTGGAGAAGTACATCGACTAGTCAGTTTGCAAAATGTGGGACCAAGGGCTAGCGGCGGGTTGATGACAGAGAGGCGAGCCCGGTTGGTTTGGTGTCCAGTGAGCAGGAGTAATCAGGGCCTTGGTCCACCACATAAAAATATGAATGAGCACTTGGGAACCAGAACTAACAAATAAACAATAGAGCATAAAAATGCATTCGGATACAAACAAATGCACATGCAACGAACACTCTTCTGTTCTTCTGTCAGTCGCATGCCCCCAAAATCCATCCTGCTCTACAACAAAAGGAAAGGAGGAAAGCCCAAAAAGCAGTTTGAACCGAGCTATTGTTATTTACATCCACGGTTTGTCTGCCCACTCCACACGTCCTTTCTCCACGCAGACGTGCATGTATCCCTGCATTCAATGTTAAAAACATCTCCACACGGGTCTGTAGAACAAAGGGCCATGGCCTGCCTGACTCTTGGCGCTCTAATCCTCGGTTCAAAAATACAAAAGACCAAGATCCCTGCTCCGTTAAACCTGTTTCTGATGCAAAGGGTGGAGCAATGGGGGGGGGGCTCCTGGTAACTTTATTGTGCAGCTGCGTGTTGCGTGCAATATGGTGCGCCACTTCGTTCTCAGTCTGTCGAGTCTTTCGCTACATCCAGTACCTCCAACCGCGACGAAACTTCTGTCAGCATCTTCATCGTCGTGTCCAAGAGCTGGGACCTAATCATCATAATTCAACAGAGTAATCGCGAATCCGTTAGTAAATGCGCCAGCAGCGATATTAGCAGCAACAATATCAAGGGGTGGTTCCTTACTCAACACTTAATGCGCCTTCAACTGTCTTGATTTGTGCCGTTCCATAGCGCCGTGCTGTCTGCCTCTGCTGTAACGTCAACTGACGGTCGAAGTCGCTCATTCCAATCAGCGTATTGCCATGTCGTTGGCGATCGTCTGCAACCGCACCGCTGAGAGCGCCCTGCATCTCCTGCATTCGCCTCTTCAGGATCCCATATTGTGTCTGCACCCTGTGCTTTCTTTCATCAAACGTCTTCACAATCTTTTCGCTCCTAGTAACATCCACCACCCAAGCTCGCTCTGCCGGACTCAATTCTGGCTCCCGGGATTCCATTAACTTCTGCATCATCGCATCCGCACGGGCCATCAGTTTGCTCTGTCGTGCTGCCTGGGCATCCTGCCGATCGACCTGCTCCTGCATCTTTTTATGTAGAGTCGTCTTGATATGCTGATTGGTCTTGGCGACCTTGTCCTGCTGTCGTGTATACTCCGCCTCCTGAGCAACCAGTCTAAGCGAATAAACCATGTCAGTCATGATCCATAAACAACTACCAAAAACACCAACGTTCGTAACTGAACAGAATCTTACCTTTGCTGTGCAACATCGCAGGCAGTGTAAACCTCACGCAGAGATTCGCGAATGCCCTGGACCATCTGGCCCATGAACCGCAGGTTTTCCTCCGTGACAGTGATCTTGACAGAACCCTTCCCAGGGGGAAGCACCACCTTTGGCTGGAGTGGTAATCCATTCAGAACCACAAGTCCATCCTGCTGGCCGAATATTGGGAGCGTCAGCGTGTTCTGATATGTGTTCTCTTCTTTACTGGAAACTGCTGTTGAGGTTTGCTGTTCTTGTGTTGAAGATGCAATCGCACTCGTGCGGGGTCGGGGCATGAGCTCTTGTCCAATCAATTGAAGCGATGCAGTCAACATCAAAAGCGAGTATTCCAAGTAAGCATCTGTAACAACCGAGAAACCCACGATCGGTGCTGGAGGACTATTGATTTGAAAAAGAACAAGAACATGGCCATGGTTAGCGATATTGTCGTCCTTTAACGTGAAAAGTATAGATAAGATGTTAAGCGCTATCGACGCGCACCTTGTTTTAGTTGGCCGAGTCGTGACGATGCAGCCAACGCTGGATTTCACCTTCGAGTCATAGAACTTGGCAACTCTAGCATCCAGTCCAGCGACCACTCCTTGGCTTGCCGCCTCATAGATCCTGCTCAGCTCTTCCAGCCACGGCTTGATTGATATATAATGAGCGCCTGTTTCGTGGTAAACGTAAAATGTATCGCCGTACATCGAGTCCGCTACCAGAACTGGATGGTTCGGGATGCCCATCCTCTTTTCAACCAAGCTGTATCCTCCTGATTTGGTCGAAGTCGTGGTGCCAAACACCTTCAGTATCCCAAGATCAATTGATTCATATGCAGAGATAATTGGAAGGGGATCATCTTCCTCGTCATCGTCGTCATCCAATGCGTATGCGCCGTTGCTTCTCAATTTCCGAGGAATAGTCCAGCGCGCGGACGGACGGTCAACAACAATACAGAGATCGACCTTGCCGCTGGAAAAGGCCAATGCAAGCACTTCAGCTGCCTCTACTTCCAGGCAAAGAATATCATATGCCCTGTTGTCGTCATCCTCCAGCTCGATGGGTGCAGGCTGAAAGAGGAATGGCCCCTGTCGCGCCACCTTTGCATGCTTCAACACTGGGCTCTCAACAATGACCATCTCGTCCGAATAGGGGTGAGGCTGTACCGTTTCCAAAAGACACTCGAGCCAGTCCCTCCTTACTTGTTCCAAGTGCTGTGACTCTGTTCCAGGCGCTGACTTTTGTTCCAGTTTAGCTCGAATAGCCTCCAAGTCAGCCGCTTCCAGAAGACTATCAAGGTCGAAGGCAATGAGGGTCAGAATTGAATCCAAAACCTTAATGATTCTAAGAAGAATCAATGCCCAACTATAAGCCGTCTAGAAACTTACCAGGAGCCTGGCATAACTGGGCACATCATGTAGACATCTCCGTTCTGTGTGATACTGTAGACTGTCAATCGCCCCCATTCAAAGGACTTTGACCCGAAGCAGAATGATGCCGCAAAATCAACATCAAGTCCATATGTGCCCGACGTCTGTCCCTCCTCCGCAAAGCTGAAAATCTGCTCCGGCTCTTCGAAATCTGTGGCGACATCATACATCCTATGGTCCAGAATGAAGAAGAAAAAGAGTTCGCGTGTTAGGACCTGTAGCTCAACAACAAGTCATAGAAATCGGCTCCAAGCTTTGAGATGTTCAGCTTACCGTAGCAGGTTGTCGTGGGTCATGACCAGCACATGAGTGAACCCTTTACTCAGAGGATGCCAAAGAACCTTGACGATTTTTGATGGCCCCTTATTAATGTGATAGTATTCTCCGAGTATGAACGACTTGCAGTTGACGGCTTTTGGGTCCTGCTTGACCGTCTTTGACACAATTGCGATCACGATCTTCTCGTCTCCAACAATCGCCAACAGCTTTCCATCCTGATTGATAACAAGCCTCCTAACGTCGAAATCGATGTTGTCAATGCTCAGCACCTGAGATACATGGAAACATGGAAGAGTCGTTGTTAGGTGTGACTGGGATGAAGATGTCCCGCTCAGCTCTTTAGTTCAAGGAGGCGAATGTATTCCCGCTGCCAATCGAACGTTGTTGTACCTTGTGCTGCTTCTGGTCGATAAATTCTGCTGCTGCTACGCGTCCGTTGTTCTCAACGCCTTTCTTCAGCTCTCCAAGGCTCGTAAGGCGGACCTGTCTGCCTACGGCCACGTACATATCCTGACCATGGACGACCATACATGATAGGCCCTGGTAAGCCTGCCCATATTCCTCTTGAAGGTCGTCCAGACCAAACGACGGTTTCTGTCCAGTGCCAAGTCGCGATCCTGAGTAAGGTTGCGCAAGCAGCTTGCTGGAATGGGCGCTCGTGTTGCGCGGCATGGCGTCAGTTGCCTTGGCTTTGCTGTTACTGATGCGAACCCATTCGAGATACTCCTGCTCGTCCAATTCAAAGATGCTGTGATCCGGTAGCTGATTGAGCCAGGTGGGTCGCTGTCGTTCGGTCATGATTCTTGTTTGTACCGTTACAGTGTTGGGCTCTGATCCTTTGTTCCCGTGTGATTAGAAAGGAAGGGGCAAAGAGAATGGTGGAGCTGATTTTTCCAAGCCAAGCATTTGCTACGTCACTGTCTGCGGCGGTCACGGAAAGACGCGTCGCATCGCGTCGTCGTAGACAGCGCTAAACTTCCCAGCCTGCTTCATTGATGCATACGTATTAAGCAAACATTCACTACGGCTAGCATTTTTTACTGTACAAGACCAGGGCTTTGAAAAGAGATGGTATCTAACTGTTCGCTGGCACCTTGGCAGCACATATCCAGTAGCAAAAGTGGTGTCTACAGCTCAGTTTTGTAGCTCAGCATTACATCCAACTTTCCATTCTCCTTGGCTACGATCAGATCGGAATTGCCTGTATTGAGGAAACAAGAGGACATGATCAGCAAATTAAACGACATCTGCGACCAGAACTCTTATTATTTTAAAAGCTGAAGGCCTTTTTTCGTACCTCCAAGGTGTTGCGTGTTGATGAAGATGTTAGGAACAGTCTAGGAAATAGACGGATAAAATGAGTGAGGCCGATCCACTATGAATGCAGCACGGAAGAGTGCATCGAATCAAAGATGGTAATCGCTTTGTCACATACGCGCTGTCCAGTCTTCTGCAGCAAGTAATCCTGAACCTGAGCACCATCTTTCTCGAGGTCAATCTCGTAGGCCTTGAACTGGATACCCTTGGCACCCAGGATGTTTTTCGCGTTCTTGCAGTAGCTAAGGATCAAAGAAACGGTCGCAGTTGGCCCTGTCAATTAATTACTCGGCTTACGATTGGATATCGCTTGTGAGATATCATCTCATTTCCTGGCCCCAATCCTCCTCAGTCCACTGAGATCTACACTCCTCCACTTACAACTGACATTATCTGTGTTATCTGTGATTATTTTCATTTTACTTACGGACAATAGCTCTTGCCAAAGAACATGACCTTGTTCTCGCCTGCAAAATATAAGCACTTTAACGCAATGTCGATTGGATGCTGAACCACGAAACACGCCCTGGCAGCGCTTGCTTACGAATAAGTCTCTCAACTAGGGTCTTAATAGCTTGGCTCATGTTTTGAAGTGAGTGAAGGAGGGAGGGACTGAATGAAGAAAAGAAAGAGATGATCATCGCTCCAGAGAATAAAAATTTAACCTTGAGTAGCCACAGCCTGATCCATGGAGTGCTCTTAGCATCCCTTGCCCCTGCCAGGAGTGGCAAAAAAGCAGAATTCCGGGTTTGAACCGGAGACCTGCCGATCTGCAGTCGGCTGCTCTACCACTGAGCTAATCCTGCTTCGATGCATTAATTTTAATAGTATATTTATACTAATACTAGGCAATAACATACTTTCCCTAAGTGCAAGTTTTTCTAATTGCACGATCTATAAATGCCCGTGTCTCACTGGACAACCCAGTTGCAGTCCGCGGTACGGCACCATTATCAGTGGACATTGCAGCATCGAACGAGGACCTACATCAAGGATTGGCGGTCGGTAGCATGGGCGCCCACGCTACGGATCTTACACGATAACAACCCGCCAAAGCGCTTATACACCAGCCTGGAAGACTGTCGTTTACGTTCGCACAGGATCAAGAAGCTGCATGGAGATTTGCCGACATTGCAGGCGATGAAGAAACGACATCCAGATACCTACCAAACGGACATATGTCGTAGGTGTGAGAGGGAACCAGAGACGAACGATCATCTTTGGCGTTGTTCAGCTACCTTGTGCGACCAGCGACAAGAGTGGAGGGACGCGGTGGAGGAAGTGGAGTTGAATGGATATCGTGCATGGAGACAGGCAGTGCGAAAATGGGAACAGGAGAGAGAGGAGGCCGAACGGAAGGACAAGCCCTTCACTGCGACTTGTCCCAACTTCTCGGCAACAGGAACGAAGGCTATCTGGGAGTCAATGCAGTGGATTCAGGGGACGGCGGAAAGGCGAGGGACATATCGGGTTGCGGAAGAAGAGGAGCCGGAGAGTGAGGCAGATTGGGAGGTCAAGGACTTATACCGAGGTTTGGTGCCAACGGGACTCATTGAGACCTGGAAGCAGCTATTTACCACCACCAAGTGGATTGCGACGATCATGGTGACAAAGTTCGTGAGCAGGATCGAAGAGTTTGGCAGGACCAAGATATGGAACAAACGATGCGAGGACACTGTCGCCTGGGAAAAGTCAGTTGGAATCACCTTCATGAGCAAACGCGCCGGAGGACGCAACGGTGATCGGGGACACCAACGTAGTGTTGGTGATTTCTCTGATTTGAAAGGGAGACGGTTACTTGCAACGGAGATCCAGGAAGGTAGACGGACCGCGGATTATAGGGTGCTACAGCATTGCTTGGGGCGAGGGAAGTTGGACATAATGGAGGGGTTATTCGGTTTAAAAACAACTTTATTAACATTGGATCTGGATTAGGAGACGTGTATCGCGCAACAGGTCACGCAGGAGTTAGGTTAGGCTAGCTATGCGACATGGGTTATGAATTTGACGCCTCAAGCCAACATAGTTGGTAGGGGATGCGGCTCTGCCGTGCATGGAAGGCATCTATGGCTTCAAGGCCTTTGCGGACCATGCGTCTTGTGCTCATGGGGATTTATGTTAATAAAAAAAAAAAAAAAAAAAAAAAAAAAGTCTCACTGGACAACCCAACGTCGTGTCACGGCGGGCGAGCCTGTGTGGTACAGTAGTATCACGCGAAGCTTCCAGAGAACAGTGCTGTGGATCCTAGTTTCGGATCCAGCTTGGTGCGGTTGTTTTTCGGCACGGGGGGCCGTGTATAAATTACCTTTCGGATCGCGGGCAGCAGGGGATTGGCTCCCTCCTGAGAGAATGTTCTATTCTGCTCAGGTTCGTACGCCACCGTGGGCTACGAGGAGATTTTTCAGAACTATCACTCGGATTTGCCAGAGCCGTTCTCCAGCACTAAGGTTACGGGGGGGACTATTGAGAGAGGAGACTAAATAATTTACTTCAGAAATCACTCGAGGGCCGCAGTAACATCGTAAGGAAGCCGTACATATATGCCGGATCGAAACATAAGTTGAATATTTGCCGAATCAAGTCACACAGGAGAGAGCCAGTCCAAAGGATCAAGATATCAAGTTAGCAGGAACAGGACGACCGAGGCAGGCTTGCGGGAAAATACGCGGGATTTATATGGCGCCTCCTACCATTGTTCGGGACAAACAGGAACATCCTGACCAGCGAGAAATAGTAACCCCCATAAAATAACCAATAAACCCTGGCAAAGATTGTCCATTGGAAAAGAAAAAAAAAAAAAAAAAAAAAAAAAAAAAGACAACCCAACGTCGTGTCAAGAGAGCGATACCAGATCTTGCCGACGTGGAGTGGCGGTCCACCCTTGCCCATGTCCACGACAAGCGCTCTGTGCACACGTTCTTCAGCAGTGCTGCTGATACCTCCCAGAGGACACATCATATTAAGAAGCTGCATGGTATGCTGCCTACCCTGAATACCATGAAGGCTCGCCACCCGAGTCTATATCCTGACCGTGTCTGCTGCGTCTGCGATGTTCAGGACGAGGACAACCATCACCTGTGGACGTGCAGTGCTACTAGAGATGTCCACAAGGAGATCTGGCGCGAAGGGCTGCAGCAGATTGATAAGTGGGGACGAGCTGCAACGACCGCATACAACAAGAACAGCAAGAAGCAGCAAGAGCGTGATAGGATCCGCGCTGGAGCCGCCGCTGCTGCACCGAAACCCATTCGATGGGTTTGTCCTAACAACGAGACCCACATCCGAGGTCTACCCTGTATTGCCGGGACCCGATCAATGCTCAAAGGCGACGAGTATTATGACCGCTCTCCGGATCTGACCTGGAGCATCAGCGATTTATGCCGTGGCATCACACCCGTCAGCCTTATCAAGGAGTGGGGCAGTCTATTTACCTCGCCATCGTCGATTGCGCGCCAGGTCATTCACAAGTTCGTCGGCTTTATTGAGGAAAAAGCTACGGAGCTGATCTGGAAACCACGCTGCAAGGCCACCATTGCTCGAGAGCGAGAATGGGGGATCACAGCCAAGATGAAACGAACTCCATACAAGGGACCGAGAGGGGACTGGAGTGATGGGTATGGATACATTAGCGACGATGACCAATGTCCGTGTGGTGCATTACTCGCTGACCATGTAAACGGGAGCTGCCCTGGCCCCGTGCTTGACCCAGACGCAGCGGATCGGACGCTGCTGGATTGCCTGCAAGGGAGGAGGCGGTTGACAACTATGGAGGGGATGGGAAAGATACCCTTCCTGTAACAAGGTGTTTTCAGCTTTTAACACACTGATGAGGTGTGGCAATTGTTGCGCAGGCCCTAGGGGCAGGCCCGGGGAATGTGACCTGTCAACTGGCGACTGTGGATCGGTTCCGCTTTGGTGGTGAGGATAGCGATAGTAGATCTTTGCTAGTTAGTCTGATAGATTCGCAGAGTCAATTGACTTTTTTTTTTTTTTTATTAACATAAATCCCCATGAGCACTTCGCAGAGTCAATTGACTCGAGAGACTTTTTTTTTTTTTTTTTTTTTTTTATTAACATAAATCCCCATGAGCACTCAATTGACTCGAGAGACAATTTGTTATAAAAAAAAAAAAAAAAAAAGCGCGATCTATAAATGCATATATTGCCCTGAAATATTCTCTTAGTGCATGGCCTTAGACTCTGTGCAAGATTACCGATCTGGGCGAAGCATTTGCAAAGAGCTGACAACCACAATAAACTTGCGTTCTATCGTGATCTCAAACAAAGAATCATCAAAGCACCGAGCCTTGTGCGTTGCACGCTGCAAAGCTTATATTCTCTCATACACGTCTTGAAAAAAGAAAGATGTATTTAAATGATTGATTAAGCTGTGGATTTATTCGTTCCACTCATCTAAAGATCATACTGAAATGCGGTATATGTGTTTGTTGTCGCAGTTGATCAATCTACAGGCGATCGCGAGAGTAGGCTTTAGTAAAGCCCTGGCCCTCCTTGATGGTCATCAACTTGAGTTGGGTCTCCTGGTCGATGTGCAGCCAGGGATGAGGGTTGTTCTTGCGGTCCCAGGTAACATCGGGTCCACGAGCGAGACGAGTGACATACCAGCCAGCACCACCAATAGCGACACCGAGGACGGCATAGATGGGGATAACCTCGACACGGAACCAGGTCCTGAGGACAGAGGGTGCCTTCTTGGCAGCGTGAGTGGCAACAGTGGACATAACAACGGGTATTTTTTTATGGATGAGGAGGGAGAAGGATGAAGAGGAGGAGATAATGGAGTGACGACTGTAGTGGTAAGGGTGCCAGGAACCGACATCAGCTTTTATACGTTCTTTTTCAATTCCGACTTGGCTGCTGTACCCTAAATGGCATTATTACTAAGATGAGTGATTCGTCAGTGCTCCGCTTCTCAGCGAGAAAAGAAAAAAAAATTACCAAAACAGTAGTGCCTAGCTGCCTGTGCAATCACAGCTCAGTCTGCAAAAGATTCATCCTCGCGTGCGACAGGTGCATACTTCTGCCAAAGCGCCTTTGCGCCGGGGTATGATTTGCTGTGCACGTTTCATGCGGAGCACTCCCCAACCCCACCAATGATCATCTGTCTGAGCGCGAATCATTTCGAACTCAGGGGCAGATGTTCTTTTGGTGGCAATAGAAACGATCAAAGGTATTTAGGACCGTAAAAAGAGTATCGATTCTGCTGTGCCACCAAGATCTGTGGCTAAAGCTAGCCCATGTCAGTGTAATAGCACCAGGAGCAAGGAAAATTGATCAAGCCAGCAGATAAGACCACCTCTTGAAAAATGAAAAGAACAATAAAAGGAAGTTAGGAAACCCTACCGACGCTCGAAGAATGAAAAGCACATGAGAAGAGAGAACGTACCAACAAAGAAAAGTGCCCTTCTTTGAGGGAAACACTAGCTTATTTGTTTGTTTCCTTTTTTTTTTTTTTGAAATGAACCACATCTAAGTGAAAAGCATATCCTATAACAGCTCTTAATAACCCTCTCAAAGTAACAACAAGACCAACAAAAGGACACAACGGTAGGCTGCAGTAGGCGATATGGCTTTGTGCGCATGTATTCGGTACAACCCTAGACCAATGGGGAGGAGTTGCCGTGGCGCGCTGCATGCATGTTTCCTGGCGACTGTGATTATGAGGTCCGTATCAGTCATTTCTCGCCTTCATACGAATGGGAAAGGTTGGATTGGCACGCGGCATCCCCACACACCAGCAAAGACGCCGAGGATATGGGCAGCTCGCCATCGTTTAGGTTCCTTACAGGGTCAGAGAACGGACCTCTTTTCGTTTTGCATTGTTGGAATTGTACCACTATCTAAGGTTCAAGGACTGGGTCTTGGGCCATTTCGGTGGGCGACCACCATGGACCACTGAAGCTCTGCAGTCGGCGGAAGTGAGAGTGAGCAAACGGGAACAAGTCGATTTTTTCTTCTTGTGCACTATCACGCGTTTACTGCATGCATACATGTACACACAGACACAAACACGGCTCATCTCCCCTCTTCTGCTTCTTATTAGTGCCTCATTTGTTCTTTTTCTCACCACTCGTCGCTGGTCTTTTGCAGCTCCAAGCATGTGGGCAATGCAGAAGGAGTGTAGAGGGTAAGACATAGAACATAAACCCCACCGTATTGACTCGACCCGAACAGCAATAATGAATTTACCTAGTGATAAGCAGGGGGCAGCAAGAATCCTCCTAGCTGATCTCCAGAATCCGACCAGTCGCACTCATGTCACCTTGTGTGCTGCATGGTCGAGTGAACGGAGCGGAAAGGTTGGGTCGAGAGAAATGTGGTTTGCTGCTTCAGGACTGATCCTTGATTCTGATGATACACAAGCGCTCTGACTACAGTGCGGGTTCTGAACGTGTATAGCCTTCAGAGCAGGCCCGGGCAAGTGGACGATGACACAGACCAAAACCAAACAAAGGGCTCTAAAAGATAGCGCCTTTCCATGCAGAAGTGGGGAAAAGGGTGGAGAGAGAAAAAAACCATTGAGGACAAGGGTCGGCGCCTGGCCCTCCATGGCCCTCCATCCATCATCTTATTTGTTCTTTTTTGCATTGCAGACCGCATCGGAGTAGACTGTGCACCTTTCCGCCCATTTCATATGATAAGGAGGGGGTTGAGGGCGGAGCATCCATTCTCCAAATTTTTTCTACGGATGCCCATCCCCTTGAGGCCAAAGGCCACATACATAATCAGCCAAGCCAAGTCTGCAGCTTGCAGCTTGGCGAGAGAGGCGATAAGATACCAGAAAAACGAGAGAGATACAAAACAGGGTACCACTCCATCCTTGGTGCCTATTTTTTGGTGCTCCTTGCCTCCTCTTCGTTAGTGTCTTTAAAGGACCAGGGTCCTGCCTCCAGCCCTCTCTTTCTTTCTTGCTTCCCTCCTCCGCACTCACACGGACACCTTCTCCATCCGCCCTTTTGCTCTGTATATCTACATCGTCTTTGTGTTTCCACATTTCCTTTGTTGTTGGCAGGGCTGAGAAGAGGCTACACGCTGTCGTATACTATATTCTCGACCTGGTCGCACCTGTTGTGTTTATCGCTATCTTTTTTGCAGCACCTTCAGCACCTGAAGCGCGTCGTTGCCCTACGGCTGCATGTTTATAATTATTCGTGTCATCCAAGCGCCTTTTTTTTTTGTCTTGTCTTTTCTTTCAATTGAGCACACGGTTCAGCAAGAGCTTCTTAACTTTCATACCGCGTCTTTCTTCTGATACTTCTTCATCCTTGTTGTATTCTTTTGGTATATCTTTTATATCCCTCTGCCTCTTTCCTCCCTTTATATGGTGTCGCAGTGGACCTGGATTGGATCCCTCTTCGCCTTATCGCTACGTTCCTTTTTGTTCATCAATTGGTAGTTAGACTTGCTGCTATTTGTTATCTTCATCCTTGAATTTGCTTTGATTGTCCCTCTGCATCGCACCTCTTGAAAAAGTCTGCATCCTTGATCGGTCGGACAGGGAGTGCCTTTTTTTTCTTCGTCATCGTTCCTCCACTGCACTTGTTCATTCCAAGAGCAAGACCAAGACCCAAGACGGAAGATCAAGTGTCTCAAGCCTAGTTATGTTGACAACACAGATCCAGGTCCTGCTCTACGTGGGAAACATTCAGGTGCGAGCTTTTCTGTTGCCCCCTTGCCTATGCATGATGCGGACTAAAAATAAAAAACATAAAAACGAGATTGCTTGAAGCATGAACACGTGCCATGGACACTACTAACACCTCTCTCGCATTGACTTTCTGCCCATGCTCCATGCCCTCCCCCTTCTTTTGTGTTCCGCTGCGGTGGATGTTGTTCCCATTGCTTACCATATACGGACAAAATGCGCGCTATTTTTGGTTGGTCTTCCGTGGCATCCTGCCGTCGGCATGGGCTGTGTCTGTACTTCTCGATCCTTCTCTGTCCCAATTGCTCCTCGTTTCGCCGATTTGATTGCCGACATATATATATGGTGACAACAGCTCGTGAGCTGCTCCGTCTTCGTCCCCATCCCCAACATCGTCGTCAAGTCCCACCAGACCCTCGAGGCCATCCTGCCATATCTGCCCCTGTCCCTCACAGCGACTACAGCCGATCCAGACGAATCTTCGGAACAGCAGCAGCAGCTCCTTACTGCATCCTCATCTCCCTCTTCAGGAGACTCGCAAGCACTGGTACCATCATCTTCTCCATCGTCGCCAACTGCCCCAACTCCTTCTGCCCTGGTTCTCTCCTCCAAGGCATCCGACCTCAGTCTCAGGAACAGACGAACACGTGAAGGCGCCTCTATTTCCGGTACTACAAGTCCCAGTGGGGGTCAAGATACCAATCGAATCAGCCCCGACTGCTCCATACCTGCAACAACCTGCATCAAGATCTCGCTCCAGCCCACACCCACCTTCAAGTTCGTCAAGCCAAAGTGTCCGCATCTGCACCAGAAGCACAGGAACCAACGCCACATCCGACAGCAGCAGCAGCAGCAGCAACAGCAACAGCAACAGCAACAGCAACAGCAACAGCAGCAACAACGCTCTCGCTCTCATTCACACTCTCATTCGCATCCCTCTCATTCACGCCCTCATTCGCACCCCCATTCTCATCGGCGAACCAACATCCACCATATGGCCCCACTTGAATATTCCCCTCAACCCGCCCTCTCCTCTACCCCCTCTTCCTCCACCTCAGGCGTAATCATCCTCAAGTTTTCATACCCAGTCCCCTCCAATACCCCTGACTCGCCCTCCAAAATCCCAGACGTCGTTCAGGTCACTGGCACCTTCAATGGTTGGAAGCGCAGCGATCCTCTAACCCGAAACCAAGAGACCTCTCGTTTTGAAGGCGAAATTCCAGTTGCAGTCGACAGCATCCGAGAGCAGGATCAGGGCCAGGGTGCAGTGAATAACACTAAAAAGATCCTATTCAAGTTTGTGCTGGATGGAGCCCAATGGGTCACGGATCCACAGCAGGAGCTGGAGAGGGATCGCGCCGGAAACCTGAATAACGTTCTCTTCTTGAGCATAGCAGCTGGCACAACCAACACTGCAGCTTTTGCAACGGCAGAGGAGCAAGACAAGAAGCTCGAGGATGTTACGCCGACAACTGCTGCAGCAACAGCCTTCACATCCGTCGAAAAGGAAGAGTCGGAGGAGGAGAGGATCGCACGATTGAAGCAAGAAGAAAATGATGATGCTGTAATCCGTCAATTCGGAGGTGGAATGTGGGGCGCGCCTTCCTTTGCCGTGAATGATCCTGTCGACCTGCCCGAGCACTTTGTCGCAGCTCCAGAGCAAGCCGAGACCTTGGCCGAGACTGATATCGGTACAGAGGAACCGCCTGTCGAGAGTGCCTCGGTCCCTGCTGCTACTGCTGTCGCTCCTGTCGAAGACGTCAAGGTCGAGCAGCCTCAATTGGTCAAGGAGAGGGTCGTTGATACCCAGGTAGTCTCCGAGAATGTGATGAAGAAAACAGAAGAGGAGGATGAGGATGATAAAATCATTAAGGAACTTGGTCGCGGCTTTTGGGGAACACCTTATTTCCAAGTCAATGACACTACCGCGTTGCCGGAACCCTTTTCCGGAATTGCCGCTGTCGCTGCCAAGTCGGACGAATTGCCATCGGAATCAGAGACCGTTATCGTTACAGAGAAGGAAGCCACAGTCGTCAAGGACATGGTCTCTGCCACAGTTAGTGGCAGCTTGATCAAGACAGTCGTCCAGACCACGGAGGATACGGTCATCGAGGACCCCGATGGTACATTTTTGGAGGAGTCAATCACCACCAGTGTCCGGGAAACGCTCTCGGGTGAACTCCAGGAGTCCGTGACGGAGATGATCGAGACCGTCGAAGAGGAGAAGGTCCCAGCATCTGGAATTGAAGTGACTGAGACTGAGACTGCGATTGCGATCCAGGCCGAAGATGGCGTCGAGACGACGGTCATCGAGGACACCTTCACCTTCACTGACGGACCCGTAGTTGACGCCGATAGCCTTCACTCACTCACTACTGCCGTCAAACCCATCAAACGAGGTGAGAGCTTTATTGTTGAGCAATCGCCCGAGGTGGTTGTGGAGTCACCAACTGCAGCTGAGTCCGAGGTCCTTGCAACTGTAGGAGATACAAGACCTCAGATCGATGAGTCCGTCGACCCTGCGCCCTCTCCCATGAGCACCCAGACCAGCAGCGTAGCAAATAATGTGCAACCAATCAGCGTTGACAGCAGTAAGATCAGTCTTGTAGGAGGCGACGAGCAGAATACAGTGCTGTTGCAGAGCCTGTCTATCTCTGCAATGCCATTGAAGAACAAAGTCGTTGTAGGATTAGCTGGAGACGCAAAACCGACGGCGGATCTTTCAGTAGCGACGCACATGGACGTGACTACAGCACCTGCAAAAAATTCGTCAACGTCTGCGTCGATTGCGTCGTCTGGAGCGAGTGCAGATGTGCCTTCTTCGGGCGTGAACTCGATCTTGACGTCGTCGACAGGGCTCACGGAGAAGACGGAAAATACGGAGAAGCTTGCAAAGCGAAAGTCAATCTGGAAGAAGATCAAGAAGGTGCTTTCTTGAACCAGGCGCGCATACAACTCGTACACGTATCTACAAAAAAAAAAAATAAAGATATCCTTTGTTTTTATCTTACATTTTGAGCGCATGATCTAGCCTGTCTGCATAAGAGAAAAAAGTATATAATCAGGACCCACTCCTGGCATCCCACAAGAACGCGGGTTCTCTTTGAAATGCAGCTGCCGTGCTGCCAGATTCATGCCTTAACACATAATAATCCGATACAGGTAAAGATATCAGTTGGTCAATCTCGAGCGGAGAAGAGCACGTCGGGCTTTCTGTCCCTTGGATGTCTGCTAGATTCTTCGTTTCCACTAAGTTCTTCGTCCTCTTGCAGCTGAGTAAGAGTCCCGCGCTGGTGCCGCTCAATACTCATCTGAAGATACTTTTCGTGCGCTCGAACTTGGCGCACCTCGTGGCTAGAGGGTATTCGAAGCCGTGGGAGCCGCGGCCGTGAGAAGCGACGTGACCACGTCGCCCACCAAGGCGCTTTATCTTGCCTCTGCTGTGTGCAACCCGGCGCCAAGGAGAGTGATACACTACCGTAATTATTCGCTTCCACTTCCGTCGTTGCAGATGCTGTTTTTAGTGAAGTCAGCGAAGGTGAAGCGATAGATCCGTGAGCCTTATATTCACACAGCGAAACGATTAGCCTTTCACGCAACTGCGTCGTCCATGACTTTTTGCGATCCTCGATTCGCTTGCGCCTTCTAAGGTATCGGTGTTCTAGTTGGCTGTACACATCTTCTTCGAGATGTTGGGGCAACATTTGTGGATGACCAATACGCTGATGCTAAGGACAAGAATGATGACGAGGTCGCTGGTTGCCTGGCTGATGAGCTGTGCATCTTTCGCCATCCAGCCGCAAGATCCTTGACAGAGACGAGCGTTCATTAGGTCTGGATACAACACTCCTGGCACCGGTCGTGTCTGCGAGTAGACCTGTGAAGAGGAGCGACTCCAGCGACGGATGAGCGGATTCGATGGTTAGAGTAGTCTCTCCTCCGTTTCTTGTGCGGTAGTGGGTCTGACGGTTCTTTTCGAAGAAGCTGGCTAGGACCTTCTTGGACGGAGGGTTGGTGGATAGTCCGACGTCGAGAGTCGGCGTCTTCGCTTTAGAGACGTCTCCAGGCGCTACTACACATGGATTCGAGAGCGTATCTGAAGTGTGCGTGGTGGACAAGGACATGAGTCAATCGGATATGTCTTGAGTGGAGTGTGGTTTGTGAGTTTATGGACCCTGGCGGCTTCTTGTACCCCCTCACATACTTATATGCCCCATAGGCCCTTATTCAGCAGGCGTTCTCGCAACGACATAAGACCCTTTTACTTTTTCGTTTCTGTGGTCATTTTATTTAGAAGGAATGACCACATCAATGATTTGCTTTGAACTATGCTTGAATTGGGCGAAGCTTTCGTTCAAAATAAATCGTCGTGCCTATTTTACATACCTAGCTCTGCGAGTCCGATTTATTGATTGTAGTAATATCAACTGGCTGAGCTCATAACGAATCGAAAACCTGGTGGGTAGCTTTCATACGGAACGGATAAGTTCGACCAGCCAGTTGTTCCACCAACGCCAGCCCCTGGATCCATATTAAAAACTGGTGACAAATGCGTACCTGACTCTGTTGCAAAATGATCGTGGTAACCCTGAATGCTCAAGATGGTGCACGTCGCTATTCTGAAGCTGTTTCGGGGCTGTCCGGAGCTTGTCTAGGATATCTTTGCGACCCGTTTCGCTATGCCGATAAGCCAGCTATCTATGCCAGGAGAAAAAAGGGATGTTTCTGGCCATAGACATCATAATAAACTTAGGTCCAGGTGTAGAAACCATAACACTCTACTGAAGAGTCCTTCGAATCGATTAATATAAACAACAGCAAAGGTACAATGGATCTTTGAGCTCAAATATTGGGTAGTTAGCTAGTCCCCTCGTGCAAAGCAAATGGCACTCCATACAAGGATCAATCTTTTTGAACCCTATGGCGTGGTTGGTTTTGCTGGATGGTCAGCAAGCCCTCTTTGGCCGACCAAAAAAGAAAAAAAAGTTTTTGGCATCAAAATGTTGTCCGACTCGATTGCTGTACATTCCAGAGAGTGCCAGAGAGTAATCATTCAGTCGTCGTCATGTATAGCGAAATCGCACTTTAGTCAGTACTTAAGAAACAGCATCTTTCACAGAAAGCACGGGCACTAGGGGCACTAGGTTGTTTGAGTGTAAAATGGCTCCTACTTCCTTCAGCCTATATTTTTTGTACTATTTTTTTTTTCGTGAGAGAGAGAGAGAGAGAGAGAGAGAGAAGAGATTTGGAAATAACGGAGATTCCTTCCTCTGTTTTTAGTCCTGAACAGGATGGCATTTAAAGGTTCGTTGATCGATTTACATCCGGTAACGCGAGGATGGCACTGGAGCTCGGATGGCAGAAGTGGCAAGAAACCGATCCGTGCCCCTGTCCTTTAGGCCTCATATATAGCATGTTTTTTTGAGTCTAGGCCACTGCAAACTACACCAGATCAGGTATTAATGTGGCAGAAGTAAAATAAATCCATGAAGACGGAAGCCGTTCCAGAATCACACTGGAAAATATCTTTCTTTGTCTGAGCACCATTTCATATGAGATGGCGGAGACCGATGATGTGTTTATTGTCCAGAAGACATTGGTTCTGCTAAAGGTGTCCTCGGATGTGTTGAAAGCGATGTGTGGCATTGTATGCACGCTTGCCTCTCTGCTTAAGTGGTGCAAGCATTCTCCAAGTGAATGAGATAATCCTGTCAAAGAGTTTGTCCGTATATGGATCCCGGATTGAGCAGGTAGTTGTTCGTGTCGTTCCTGTCAATGACCTCGTGTACACCGGACTGCACTCGTATTCTGTGATCGCATCCCTTAAAGGAACATCGTAACGAGGGTTGGATACTGGATTCGGGCATCGTGCTGTGTGGGCACTTTGCTGTTTCCGCAGGTAGATCGGTGCCTTCCGTGCACTCTCCATTGTTTCGATGCCGACTGGAATATCGATGACCTTGCGCCCATACTTGTCAAGCTCTGCATGCTCTAGGACTAGGAGAATGAAAAGCAAAGCAGACCAGACACCAAAATAGAAATAAAATACCTTTTCCACGTCCCTCAACTGTCGTGATGAACTTGGGTGAAGCAAGCTCCTTTGCGATGTGCTCGGCGTGCTGTATGTCTTCTTCGGAGACGCCATCCTCTCCTTCATCTTCACTGCCATCATCTTCAGATGTCGAGTGGGCTTCTGGCTGGACATCAGTCTCGCCATCCTGCACAACATCCTGCATGGTCGCCCTCTCTGACTGCTGTTGTGCTGGAGGTGCCAAGCCAACTTGTCCAAGATAGCCCATATTAGGGTAGATAAACTTGCGGAACACGCGTAAACATAACCGAATTAAGGACTCAAGGACCCCAGCTGGTATAACAGAGTAATCTCCCGGGACAGCGAGTCGCAACAATCCTAGATGGATGAGCAAATAATGATAGTACAGTCCACAAATTCAATAAATGTCATTGAAATTAAACGTTCGCTCTTTCGTAGATCTTTAATCAATGTATTTGCAATGAAATGCCTATCTGCTATTAGTGTTACAATGAGCCTCCACATGTTCTAATTCCTTCTCTCTCTAGACTTGCTTTCTCATCCTTCTTTTATCTTCAAGACGCCACCAACAACTGGGTCATGGTTTCCTGTTCCCGGGCGAGCGCCGTCTGGCCATCTGCCAGGAATCGCACTAGACAGAGCAAGGGTGCGAAAGGAGAGAGAGACGAGAAGAGCGAACGAGACAAGGCAGAGGGAACGAATGTGATATTATGTATGTCAATCTATGTCTTACTGAGTTGTTTTGGACCCTGACTGTGGCACCCAAACGAGACTATTAGCCTGCCACAACAGCGACCAGAGAACGAAAAAAAAAAAAAAGAGAGCCTCAACATGCAGTAGACTAAAAGCACAGCCTAGCGCCCTCACTCCATGTCTTCCTCATCTTGATCCTCGACAGCGTCCTGATCCTCATCGGTCCCCTCTGTGCGCTTCCTCTTATTGTGCTTTGATGGAGTGAAAGCTGCAAAGGGCTTCTTATACCGGGGAGGAGGCGCCGATGGCAGAGGGGGTAGGGAGGTGGAAGACAGAGTTTCCTGCACATGCACGGCATATCGAGACGTGTGGTCCTAAACGTCAAGAAATAAATTATTAGTCAATGCGAAGGCCAACGGTTGCATCCTCTCTACACGCCAACAGAATCACGGATCATAGAACTTACCGCAAACTTCAGCAGAATCTGCATCGAGTCGGATTTGAGAAACTGCTTCCGCTGTACTGCGTCTGAAGGGATCCAGACCACGCCGTTGGTGGATTTGCGGTGGTGATGACGTTCCCGTTTCGTTTCAATGTGTAGAAGCTCAGGCACAAACCCCGACCTTCCGCGATAATGGGGTAGTGCTTGCACGTATCCACTCCTTTGAATTCCAAGTCATGCAAAACGGACGTATTGAGACGCACTGCTTTGAGCTGCTGCCCCGTGCAAATCATGTCCGATGCAGTGCCGGGCTTGAACTCGAAAACACAGATCTCGTTGTTCCAGTCGTTGTTTGCGAAAACACGGACGCTAATGTCCACCTTTCTGCCCCTCACGGACTTTGTGGTTACACCATATTTGCTCTCCACATGCAAGCGAACATCCTTTGCTGCTGGGGACGCAAGTTCGCCGCTATGCCAGTCAGTTGAAGTTGGTTGTGTTACATATTAAGAGTTGGTATGGTTTCAAGCATGCATGGTAGACACAGCGCACTGCAGCTTACGGTATGCCACGCACCACCTGTCCTCCAAGCAACACCGCCAAAATGTACGACCACACTGATACGATAACATGCTCCGTTGTTGGCGGGGCGAGCTGGTTGGTGGAGAGCAGTATACAGATGTAATCGACCACCAGTAACACTGCCATTCTTTGCCTCATGTTCCTAGTCGCGGGCGGGGTGGCTCCGAGTTCCACAAGCTGGCTCCAGACCTTGATACGCAAACTCCAAATATTTAACGGCGCGAGAGGGTCCTCCTCATGTCCAGGGCAGTACGCCTCTAGCAACTCATTCATCAGCTCGGCCAGAGTTACGTCCTTTTCATCCAGAGCCACCACCAGGGAGTCGACTTTGATGGCCGAAGTGAAAGTGAACGCCTGTGTGGAAGGCGAGATTGTGTTTACAATTCCGCTTAAGGCCACCCTATCGCCCAGCGAAAGCCAACAAGCCATGGTTAGATCTAGATGCTGAATCCTGGACGCTCATTTACGACTGCTTTTTCAACTTACAAAACTTCTTTATCCACACGGTACGCCCGACTTCTGTCCTTGCCCTTGCCCTTGCCTTTGTTCTGTTCTCTTGACATTAGCTTGTTGTGGGCATACAGGTAAAGCTCCTTGTATTCTTGGCAGATAAAGCTGGAGGGGACTGGTGGTAACTCTGTATCTTGGCCTTGCACCTGATATCAACGTTAATATCGATTTAGAGGGATGTAAACCATGACGGGATATCGTATTCGCAGCGGCAGCTTGGAAATGACTTACTTTTCTGTACACATACTCCAGCAAGGGCAGAAATGGGGACTGCCCTGAGGCAATGACCTCCTCAATCTCCTGCAGTTCCTCTAAAAAGTCGAGATTCAATTAACAAAATATCAGCTGTTGGACTCTATCATGTCCAGCATAGGCCACACCGGTTTGCTTACCTCTATCATCAATGAGCTCGTCATTCATGACGTGGCCTTCAGAGTCTACAGCATCCTTAGTATACGATCCAAACTGAGTCATCTCATCGCCCTCAGCACCCTCAGTATCCGTGAATGGTTCAGCATCCTGAAAGCCCTCTTCTTCCGCAAGGCCCACTGCATCCGCAGACCAGTCAGCATCCTTAGTCACCTCAGGTTCCTCAAACTCATCCAGTTCATCACATTCGACAAAAGTAACGCCCTTCTGACTGATCATGCTCTTCATGTCGCCCTCAGAGACTTCGGTCGCTGTCGCTTCATCTCTGTGCCGACCATTGGTCTTAGGTTTCTTTAGTCGAATGTCTATATGTCGCTCAATGTTCGAATCCACCTGCTTGAGACCTGCCTCCTGCACCTTTACTGACAACAATCTCAGTGCTCTTATCCTTGAGTCGTCTGGACCAAAATAAGTCCTCGATGTTGCTTTTGAAATACTCATAGTCCGATCGTATTCTTCTCAAACGTTGTTTATTGATTTTGCCACAGTCGAGCAGGTTACTGTACGCGCGATGGGCGTCTGTCCTGTCGTAGAATCCGAATCGAGCGACGAACGCTGAGAACATGACGTGCTCTTTTCCGGTTTTCCGATCCAGAGCCCATTTCCGGTGTTCCCTGGGCGTGTCTGATGAGGAAGGCGCCCTGGCTGGCTGTTGTGGCCTGGTCTTGACTTGTTGTGATGACATGATAGGGGTCTTGATTGTTGTTTGGCGTGGACGACTGTAAATCAGTGAGTGGTGGAGCTGGATTTGGATGCAGATTAAAAGCTGCTGCTGATCGAAGGTGTAAATACTCTCGAAGATATAGGTAGAGCTTCGGAGTGAGAATCAGATTTGGAGGAACAACGTGGTATGCAGACATGGCCAATTTCTTCTACGCCACCTTTTTTTTCCTCTTACGTACTTTCACACCACGTCCAAAATCAATCATCCGAATCCAACTCGCCTACTTCAAGACACTCCATCATTGCCTCCATTCTCCCCCCTCCACATTCTGGTCGCACTCACCGCTTTCGCACTCCAACTGTTTACGATGTAAGTAGTCTCTTGCTCTACTTCCTATACTTCCTATTTCTTTTGAGCGGGTTGAAAACACTCTTGTCACTATGCGGCCCGGCTCCTGTCCGTGGTGCAAGGTATCGTCCTGCGCCAGTCCTTGAGTTGGTTGCGACGGGTGGTGGTCCTACTGGCGCCTGTCATGGAAGTGCTTATTAGCGCCATGGGGTAGTCTTTGGGATGGATGCCTCTTGTCTTTATCCTTTGTTGAAACACTCAAGTGACCATGGTGACTGTGCATGTTTTGTTACTTGAGTTGCAAGGACTAACTCTACTTTTTCTCTTGCGCATTTTCCAACATCTAACCCGTAAGCGGCGGCGGCATAGATGAACACGACGACCCCGGCGGCTAGTCTTGATGTCAAACAAGTTCTACGGACCAACAATGTGGACAAGCTTACGCAGAAGCGTCACGTTCGCCTCTCAATAAACGACACTGTCAACCTTTATGAACAGCAGCACGTGCTTCGAGATCTGGCTGGCTCCAGTGTGCAAAGTATGTTCCGCTTGCTATGAAATATATGCAGTAGATAAACCACTTTTTTTTTCTCCTCAGCTAATAAGCTGGGCTCGTTCCCAGCCTGAGGACGAGCCTAGGTCGAGCCTAAGAGTCAGTCTGGATTGACATGCACCATATTTGGCATGTACACGTCCTTGTTGCCACCATCTTCTGTCTGGTTCTCTCTCCTCTTGTTCTCCTCGTCCTCTTTTCTGCCAGTGTGCTCTCTTCATTCTTCTTCTGTCCTCCTCCATATGCCAACGAACTGCGCTGCCTGATCACTCCATCACCCTTAGCTTCGACCATGCCCGACCTCTCTCTCTTCTGTCTCATCGATGGAGAACCCACGTCGAACGCGTTTCTAGTCTCGATACCATCTACAGACACCATCGGTCACCTCAAAAAGCTCATCAAGGCCAAGAAAACTGTCGCTTTTGCTGATGTCGCAGCAGACAAGCTCACGCTCTGGCGCGTCTCGGTTACAATCACCGACGACGATGAGGAGATTCCCATCTTGCTCGACAACGTGGAAAAGAATGACAAGAAGAAACTCGGCCCCGCAACTCGCCTGCACAAGGTGTTTCCTGAGGACCTGCCTGAGGAAACAATCCACATCATTGTGCAACGCCCGCCGCTAGGTACTGCACTCCATTCATTTTGTATGGCGCCTAGATTTTCCGGCTATGCTCCTATTTGACTTGCTCGTTATCGTTGTCTCTCTATATTTCTACAGGTATCAGCGAGCTGAATATTTTGAGCCGAGTTCCACCCGGTGTTAAATATGTCCTTCTCGCCGGCGAGGTTCCTTCCAAAACTACTACGGGATCTCCATTCAGCCAAATACCTACGGAGGTTGTCGAATGGGATGGTTTTCTGGAAGAAGTGGCATCTTATACACCCTCCAACAACCGGACATTCGAAGAACGCCGTTTTCAATTTACTGAACACTGTCTGATCTCGGATGAAGGAACACTCTGCACCGCTCTCGAATCGAATGTGTATCGTTTGCTAAACTGGCTGACACTCGATGGGCATTTTGGTGCTGCTGCTGCAATCAAGATGATTGCCCAGCCAGATCGCATCTTTTACCAGCACCCATGACAGTCGCGAATGGCCATCGAGGTCAAGACCAAGTGGGTGTTATCCTCAGCCGACCTCGTCAGGAAATACAACGACGATGTCAGCGTCCTCGCACAGCATAGGTCACCGACCAATTCCGTGCATCTTCCAGTTCAGCAAATTTTCGGGTGCCTTTCATCCAACAACCTTCGATATGGGGCACTAACGACATATGAGCAGACCTGGTTTTTAAAGAGAGACGCAGGAGGATTGCAAGTTTCGCCAGCGATCCATTAAGATGGCCACAATCCAACTTTGTTACGGTGCTATGCATGTGTCATGGAGCTTGCCCGCATCAGTCCTTTAGCGAAGCTACTCCGTCCTCTCCTTCACCGCCTCCCCCACCCGACAGCTCTCCCGGTAACGACAATGATCACGAAGATGGCGATTACGATCCTGGGGACGACAAACATTCAAAGCACAAGCCGGGACGTGGCGGTGGCGGGTCTTCTGGGAAGACATGGAATTTCAGAGCTCTCAGATCTCGAATCCAAAGAGGCTTTTCCTTGGCTATTGAAAACGTGGATCTGCAAGAATTCAAACTTCAAGATCTTCTTGGGGAAGGCCGCTCTGGGCGTGTGTTCGTGCGGACTGGCGAGGAGAGTCAGAAGCGATAAAGATATGCGACTTATATCAGCACCTGGACGACGAGGAGGAGATGCTCACGGAGGTGGCTGCATACAAAGCCCTGGAGGATATTCAAGGAGACTCTATTCCTCGGTTCAAGATCGGTGGATACTACGGTGGTATATTCAGCATTGCTACGGAGGTCGCTGGTTCCCCATTGGAGGTAGACAAGCTAAGCCAGGAGGAGCGCTGGAAGATCGTTGACAAGCTGTCACTCATCCACATGCACGGCGTCTTGCATAACGATATTCGACCGGAAAACATCCTTGTTCGCCACGGCGGTAACGGAATTTAGGTCCATTTTATCGGCTTTGCATGGTCAAAACGAACCAGCGACCAGCGTGAGCTCAAGAAGGAAATCATCAAATTGGAAATGCTACTTGGTCTTTTTGGCAAGAGAACCATCTCCTCTCTAATAACTCTCCAAAGTTACTGTGGCAGTAGATTCCTCCGGAGTGTATCCCTTCGTCTGTCACAATGGATGCATGGGATCCCGTGTAGGGCTACACAGCGGTATTGGCATCGTATTGTACCATGCAGGTGAAATGGTGCTGGTTGTGCTGGTGGCGCTAAGTTTGAGCTGGTTTTTATTTTTTATTTTTTATAAATCCACATGAGTACGAGACGCATGGTGCGCAAAAGCTGAGTTGAACTGGTTGAGCTGGTTGAGCTGAATTTGAACTGACTGTGGAAGTGAGCTGAAAAATACCCGTTAAAAAAAGCAGAGCAGCACACCAGCACGAGGCACTGCTCAGCTAAACAGACTCATGCCTTCAAGCTTCACGGTTTCCCCGCCATCGTGTAACGTGGAATAGGCTCTCATCAAATGCGAATGCTACGACGGTATGAGGGCGAGGGCAAAGTAATCCATGAGTGTGCGCTGTTTAGAGTCGAGGATGCAATCCATTTCAGTCTATGAATCTCTAGCCCATCCTTTCCTCTATCTCCATTATGCCTAAAAGAAAATACCCTGATCACACAGCTCCGGCCCCTAAACGACCCGATGTCGAACGCTCTGACCCTGACACCTCGGCTTCCAAATCACACAAATCTAAACGAGGTATACGCTTCACGATAAGATGCGATTCATCTCAAAATACCACGCTGAGCGAGAACACAATCCGTATGCCTCCCATGTCGCTCTCTCAAAAATGTTGAGTATGTATCCCAGGACAGCCACCGATATAATCAAAAAGGAAGACGAGATTCGTCAAGCAGTGGCGACGCTGCCGCTTGTGGTAACAAGAACGATTATGCGTAATAGACCAAGACCAATGACGGTTGTAGAAGAGGCTGTTTATACCTGGTATAAACAGCAGGAAACTTTTAGGTACGAAGTCTATGCAGTTGCTCGCTTTTGAAACCACACTCCCTAATACATATACTTTGATAGGCATCAACATGTTGACTCTCGCCTGAAAGAAAGATTCTTTTCGTCCTGTGCATAAGCCAGAGCCGATTGCCTTTTCAAATAGTTGGCTTCAAAAGTTCATGAGATAGAGAGCGTTCAAGAGCTATATCAGCCATGGTGAAAGCGGAACGGCCAACTTGGATCTCTTCCGGACTCAAATTAAACAGATCCAAACGGTGCTCGAGGACTTTGACCCTGACAACATCTACAACTGCGATGAGACAGGTCTCTTTCTGAAGGCTATGTCCAGCAAAACCATTGTTACCGGTCCAGTTCGTGGCAAGAAGATCACTCGGATTGCTCGAGTGTCGGTGTTGTGCAGTAATGCCACGGGCGTAGACAAACGCAGCCTTTATGTCCTTTGTAAGTAATACAGTATTATTTGAACAGTGTGATAGTACATACTCAAAGGATTTTTTGCTCACAAAGTTTTATACGTTTACAGCCAAGCACCGTCCGAGCGGTTTGGCCCAAGTGACATCGAGGGCTATCGAAAAGGATCATCCACGGCTACAGTTTGAAATGGGAGACTCTGAGTATATCTGGTCAGCTCTTGGAAGAAGATGACTCCTGATTGCATCCGCAATTGCTTTGTCCAAGTTCCCATCCTCTCTGAGTACCAGAAAACTCGATTACTGGGTTTGGGAGTCGAGACAAAGGCGGACCAAGTCAATCGTCTCCAAGAAGAGCTCAAGGGACGATATGCAAGAAACGAAGAATCCGTCGCCAATCAGAAGGACTTCTCCGTCCTGAACTATCTTAGCATCACCAGCGATTGTCGAGGTCGCCCACGAGATAATGAGTCGTGAGGAATACAAGGGAACATTCCAGCAACTGAAGGAGAATGATTTCGTGGATGAGGACAACTCTGACGACTCTGATAACGATACATGGGCGACGACGACGAATTTGACCTGGACTACGAAGACTCGAAGCCAGTTGTTAGTGACCAAGAGGTGCAGGTAGTCGAAATCGCTCTCCGTAACCGCACCGTCGAGAAGAAGGTTCCCATCGAGGGATTCTCGTCACCACCTTCAAGCCTTTGCGCAGAAAAGCTCTATTCTCAAGAATATATTCAAGATGCTGTAAACGAGTTCATGTCAGCCGCTGTTGATGTACAGAAAATCAATTACAATGTTCTGTTGAAGGCTCGCCTTCAGTTCGCTCTGGACGATATGGATGTGTTCGTTGATATTACCATAAGCTTGGAGTATGAGGCTCGACTGTCTTGATTTGTCTTTGCGACCCGTTTCGCTTTTGCCAATTCCTCTACCAATGCCTTATGCCAAATCATCTACGCCAGATCTATAGTCAGTCCCTCCTCCCCCCACCCTACGACACTATTTTCTCTCGAACCAAAAGGAAGCTATCCATGATGCTCTGCTGCCTTGATGGTTCTTGGTGATGGGCTGTGTATACTCCTTCGCAGTCTATTCGACGGACGGACTAATATCGGCAAACCCTTGTTCGAGAAAGCCTGGATGGCACGGAAACACCATTCTTATGAGGCAGTGTTAAGGATCGGATTCTTATTAAAGTGCTTTTCAATTCATATTCAAGTGATTGGTTCCAGGGTCTTTATTGTTTTTGCTTTCAGCTAATCAGCCAATGCTTCGTTCTGCCTCGCAACGCCTAGGGTAAATATATTTTCACGCGTCGCGTCCACGCCGGGTACTGGATCCCAACAGGCACAGATGGAAGCAGAGCCAAGCCAAGCAAGTATCGTGTTAGGAGTACGAGTGCCAAGATAATCAAAACCCTGACCGCCTCGATTCAGAATCCTCCTCGGAACCGGTTGGAGTATGGTTGTGTCTTTGGGTGTTCTACCGCATCAAACTGCACATAGTCCAGCTTCACTGTTGTCTCTTTGTCGGGTATGACATTAATATAAGCGCCCTTGTTGCCAACGGAATCACTAAAATGTTGTGTGAAAGAAGCAAATGTCAGCATGTATATAGCTGTCATCCACAGCAAAAAGAAAAAAGACAAACTCATGGTAAATGCGTTTGATATCCGTACCAGTAGTTCGGTGCTGAGAAGATAGTGACACAGCGGCCATTATGTTCTATATGATATCCTTGTTGCTTGACTTCGTGGCTTCGAATGACCATATCTATTAGAAGATAAATAGGGTCATATTAGTTCGATTTCTCACCATCCGTGCTTGCATGCATGTGCACTGAAGTGTGCCTGATCGGTAGAGGTGTGCTTTTGTCGTGGGCCTTACCGATGTTGTTCATCTTGCAAAAGTTTTCAGTGACGTCGGGCCCGAATCTCTGGCCAACTCCACGGACACTTGGACTTCTTCCAGGCTGGGGCTGAGGGTCAGCCCAGAGCAACTCAGACATTAGCCCTCCTTGTCCTGGTTGACCCTTTCCAATGCGATCGATGTTTCGAATCTCCTCTAGTGTTACGTCGTCTCTTGAGCTCAGTCCACCGTGGACGACAAAGATCTTCTTCTGGACCAAATGGGCCAGTGGCAACGTCGCAAACGTTTCTGAGAAAATCTTGAACATCGTTTCCGAGAACTTGGCCTTGACCTCATCTTCAAACCCATAGACCTTGTTCATGTCGTCCGTCTCGTGGTTTCCGCGAGTCAGATACATGCCAGTGGGATAGAGTAGCTTGTAGGCGAATAGAGTCAAGATAATCTCGAGCGAAAATGTTCCGCGATCCACAAAGTCTCCGTTGAACAGATAGGCGTGCTTTTCTGAGGGTCGTCCGTTGAGTTTGAAAATGTTGACAAAGTCGTAGAACTGTCCGTGCACATCTCCGCAAATGGTCAACTTGCAATCATCTGGAATCTCAACATCCACCAGCGAGGGCTGCTCCATAAAGTACTTTCTGGCTTGAAGGATAATCTATAACAAGAGATACAATATGGTGAGGAGCCATTCACAGAGAGTCCTGGATCCAGTTGTCCCAGCATATATATATGGACAGACATATACGCACCTCGTAGGCATAACGCTTGTGGATCTTCTTTTGGGCAACGAAGCGTTCAATCATATCGTCGACAAACTCCTTGGTAACCTCGCCATCATCAATCCTGATGCCGTCGTACGAGTCCTCGACAATGATAGAGCGAGGGTCGATCGAGTCCGAAACCTTCTTGACGACCTCGTTGCTGGCAATTGCCTTCTCGAACGCCATCCTGGCCACGATCTTTTCACAGTCTTCCAGCTTGAGCTTTGCATCTTTGTCGTTAGGTGCAAGTTTGAGCACGATTCTGAAATCTTTTGCAGCCTCCTTGTGGCGGGCGAGGGCATACTTGCCCACGGCGCGACGATAGTATCCCTTGGCGTATTTTGGATCGACTTCCACAGCCTTGTCGCCATCCCTATTGGACAAAGGGGCAATAAACAATTGTTGTTCAAGGTCAACACGAGAGTCAGCCTGAGGGCCGTGGCATTGCTGAGATCGAAGTGTTGTTGATGATTCATGAAGACGAGACGTACAAGATAGCGGCACCATAGGCCTCGAGCTTGGTATGTGCAAAAGCACGGTTGGCGTAGTAAGCAGCGACGTTGGGGTTCAGATCGATGGCCTCTGTGTACTTTTCAACGGCGTCCTCGTACTTTTTGGCTAGAAGGAGAACAGATGGGAAGGGTGGACGATCAGATCGAGATGTGTGATGGAAGATCAGAGAGGGTTGACAGCAGTAGAAGGAGGTAAGCAAAATAAGCAACAGAATTCACTCGTACCAGCAAAGAGGACATTGGCCTCCTCCTTGATGGCGTTGGCCTTTGCGGCGACTTCTTCGGAGATCTGGGATGCCATGGGCGGGGGTGGGAGGAGGATGGATGGGGGAGGATCGGATCGAGAGGGGCGGGGAGGAGTTGATCGAAGAAAAAAGAAGTTGGAAGAGAGAAAGCGCCCAGTCCAAAAGAGGGCGAAGGGACTGTGAACACTCGTGGGGTGTGATAGGTCCAAAAGGGGAGGTGTGGGTGCCTGACAAGAGGACATGTTTTATTCGCCCGAGCCCTTTCTCCGACTGAGGATCAGATAACGCCATATACATGGACATACTATTACATACTAGACTAACACCATATATGTCTATTTATTTTATTATTTTTTATTTTTCCATCCGCGCTGCTCCATACAGCACACAGCTGTTTCAACTATAGTAAAACATCCGACTTCACGCCTTCGCGCTGCATCCCTACCGTGGCGCATTGTGCTGCAGCAAACAGCATGCGCACAAGCCATGGCCTCCCCTGCTCGGAGCTTAGAGACGCGGCGCTGTATATTTATGCCACCACGCCACGCGAAAACCTACGCAGAGCACAATGACGACAAAGACAACAGACAACGAAGACAACGACGACATGTCTCCGCGTCGATCATCGGTCTTCCTCCTTCCTTTTTTTCACTAGCAGCAGCAGCAGGACATAAACAAAAAGAGGGGTTGGACGTATTAGGGGTCATCGTCGCTCTATAATTGTAGACAGAATAGGGGCCATGCACATGTATCACGCTGGACAGGAACAGCCTGCCTCGATGACATGACATGACCAGGAACACGCCTCCCTGCAGTTCCATTCTTCCTCTTTGCTTCTCTAACCCTTCTCACACCTTTCTTCCTAATATCCTTAGCACTTTTACTCTCCTCCATCGTCTCTCGTTTCCTCGTCTTTATCTCTGTCGTTTTCAGCACTTCTTACCACCTCACAAACACACCCTAAGACTACGATGCTGAAGAAACTCGGCCTGCATACATCCAACCTCGACACCACGTCCGCACCAACCTCCTCCCCAAGTTCCAAACCCAACAGCAAGCTGCTCGAGATGGAAAGAAAAAAGGCCCATCACAACAAAAAGGTCCTCCGCGCCGTAACCTCCTACGACTCTCTCGAATCAGCCTCCATAGCACCTCGGCCCCACCTTCCAAGTTCTGTATACAGCCCAAACCCTTTTCCCTTGGACCCAACACAGCCCGGCGGAGTCAGTCGCCAAAACGTGTTCTTTTCACACCATGAGCGTGAGACCCGCGAAGTGGAGACCATTGATATTGAGATCGAAGAAACCAAGGGATTTGTCTCTGGCAGGAGTCGACATAGCATCGATCGAGAGGACCTGCGGGCCATTGGTCGCCAGGACGATACTGTCGATCGCGACTACGATATGGAGTACGAAGTGACAAGGAAACCAAATACGATGGAAAAGATCGGCGCAGGACTCAAGGGCTCACTAGCAAAGACTGGCACGTCAAAGACCAAGGACCAAGAAGCGGACAAGGATATCAAGGAGGTCGATGCAGTCCTGCAATATCACTTGCTGCAGCAACAACGCCAGCAACAGCAACGGCGTTCGCAGGAATCAGACCCATCGATACGACCTGCTAGAGGTCGAGAACGGCAAAGGCAGCGCACCATGAGTGGTCCATTATATTCAAACGGGACACCGCGAGAAGAAGAAGGACCAACATCGCCGACCAAAAGCAGGGGCACACGCGAACCCTTCTCAGACCGTTCATCCCGACTTCAATCTCTCTCGCCTCCTCCGCCACCTGGACAAGGTCGCCGACACCCGTCATACCGGTCTGATGGCTATTTTAATATCCAGACGGATCAAACAAGTCCCTTCATCGGTTACCAACCTTCATCTCCTACCTCTCCGAATCGGTATCACCATCGGAATCAGTATCAGCAACGTCCAGCCATGCCCCTGAGTCAGACAGGTGATAGTGGATACAGTGAATATGCACGGAAGAGCAGGAACGTCCGCTACAGTTCTCGTGAACGGCAAGAATCCGATCATATGCGACGAGAGGCGCTGGGTGGAGGGCCAGGTGTTCGTCGCCAATCAGGTCTGAAGCAAGTGACAACTGCAGGTTCCGTGGTCAGGACAACCTCCGAATTTAGCGACGGCGAGGACAACCATTCAGTGGAAGTCAGGCCGATGCGACAACCCATGCCTGATCGTCTTAGCCGCGCCAAAGAATGGGTCGCGAGCCATAGCAGAAACCACAGTATCGTTGTTCCTGCCCCTATCGTCGAGCGTGAAGCAGTTCTCCCATCTATGCCTGGGGCGTACGCTGCGCGACCCAACCTTCGACTCTCAATGGACTCTGAAGATTTTTCACTGATCACGCCTCCACGAGGGAGCTACCTGAGCAGTGCTGGAGGCGGACACGATTCACGCGAGAGAATGGTGATGACGAATCAGATGCATGCGCAAAGGCTCCAGCGGAGCCAGAGGGATAGCGTCGGGGACGATGGACGTTACTGGAGTCATCAGCTCGAAGGATACGAGCATGATCGATATCGCCAGAGTCGCGTCGAGTACGAAAGTGACGGTCGAAGCGGATTCTATGGATACGCGCCAGGAGGACCGGATGATGTGGATGACGAAGAGGAGGCGGAGTCGACTCTGGCTCCAGGGTCTGCAGTAGGTGGACAGAACAAGCCGAAGGCGGGTAGCTCTGCAGATAGCACAGAGAAAACGGCGGCAGATGAGGAGGAAAATCAGTTGATGTCACCAAAGGTACCGAACAAGAGGCGGTTGATTCTTCGGCTAGTCAGTTTGTTCTCAAGTCTCCTTGTACTCATTCTGCTCATCGCAGCTGGACCAGTAAGTTCCACGCTACCTAAATGGCCTGTGTTCACTTTGTATGATTTGGGTGCTCAGCTCCTTACGGATCTCTTCTTATACATTTTATTACAAAGGTATCACGATCCTCCTCGCCCTTCTCGAGCCAAGTCGGCCTTGCGTTCCACTATGTGATCGCTATCCTTTCGCTGCTAGTCAGCTTTGCATTTGTGTTTAACTACTTTAGCCGACGGTTAAGACGCCAGCAAAAGATGAAGCGCTATATTCTTTTTAGCCTCGACATCGTCATGACATTATCATGGCTCATTGACGTCTTTGTATGCATATCCAAGTTCCCATGCGCTGTGGGTGGTCAAAACGGATGGTAAGAAGCGTTGTCTCTGCTTATTTTTGATCTGAATGGGTTGCAAAGAGCTAACTTGTCAAAAATAAAACAAAAAAATAGGTGCGACATGTACAACTCGAGCATATTCCTGGGCATGATCGCATTCGGCAGTTTTTTGGTAGCATTCGTCTGGGATATCTTGGGATCGTTTGGCAGCTCGAAATGGTTTGGTGGTCGGCCCCTCATCAAACCTCCACCACCTGGATACGACAAGAGAGCGCTCGGCATGCAAGGTGCCACTCCTGGCTGGAACAACGGAAGGACGCTGGCTGGAATGGGCGGAGGCGGTATTCCAGGACAGATGCCCGGACAAATGCCTGGACAGATGCCTGGACAAACGTCAGGACAAGGCTTTCCAATGAAGCCGAAGAATAGCAAAGCATTGTGGTGAAGTCAGCTTCATCTCAAGAACATACAAAAATATATGATACATATACTTGTATCGAGCACGATGTCAAAAATAGAGGTGTATCTAGAAGTTTATATTATACATATACAATCATAGGCGGCACTCTATGAGGATCTACAGCGCCTTTGCTGTTTTACTTGAATCGCGTGCACAGTCAAACAAGGCTTCGAGCTCCGCTCCCTTGATCCGAGTCCACTCGTCGCGCGGTCGACCAATCTGTCCCTGCCACCAGATAACGCCCTCTGTACTGTCAACGTCAAAGATTGGCCGTTCTCCCGTCTCTTCATCTAGCGGAGCGTACCAGTTCTTCTCCACAAATACCGCACGACCGGATCGACCAAACAGAACGACTGTACTCGATCGTGTACCGTACTCGCCACGAACGTGCGGTAGGCAGAGATGCTTCAGTCCCGTGCGGGGGATGAACACGCGGTCTCGGATCCCGGTGGCGAAGATCTCGAAGGATTCTATGAGTCCTGGGTAGGGCCTGGTGTGGATTCGCAAGAGAGTCAGCATCTCGATTACGAGCCAAACCAGTTCCTTGGATTCATCGTCAAAGACAAACTGTTCCTTGACGAAGGGGACTTGTATCGGGGTCACGTTTTCGGAAGGTATGGGTGTAGGAGGTGAGCTGTCGATAACGGGTGGTAGTATCCGAGGCGTCTGATCCGTGCCGAACCGTTTCAAACTCTTATTCAGTACCGCCTCGAGCGCCTGAACTCCAATCTCGACTCTCCTCCATGGACGTAAAAAGACCGAATTGCTCAGTCCTGCTACAGCACCTTCTGTTATCCGTGGGTGCTCCTCCTGATAGTCCTCTGAAGGATGCAGTCGTTCTCCAACCTTGTTCAAAGCGGACGCAATCTTGGACGTCAAGGTTGTCTGGTTCTCCAGAACTGTTTGTCGTCCTGATGCCTCATGGAGAGCTAGCAGATCGGATCCCTCTCGGTTGGCTCCGATGAACTGCTGATCTCCTGCGTCCTGGACGACCAAAAGATTAAGGCCCTCCAAGGAGGTATCCCACTCCTGTGCGTACCGTCGGATCCACTGTTCAGCTGCGGCTTGGTCTTTTCCGTGTCCGCTCTCCGCCATAGCGACCAGGAAATCTCCACAGAGCTGTCCGCGTGTTGGTTTTGGAGGCGTGGGCGTAGGGCGCTCGTAGTATGTGGATGCTTCCATATAGTCGGTCAGAGCAACGAGATCGCCTTCTGTTGTGATGCCGACCCAAGTTCCGGGAAGGGCACGGTCGGGCCTGAGGTTTGCTTTGGGAGGCTTACGGTCAACTCCACAAATGATTCCGGGGCTGGAGATATTGTTGGAGCCTGGAGGGGTAATGTCCCAAAATTCGGCTGTAGATGTAGGACGATCAAGGCATTCGTCTCTGTTGCTTGCAAACGCACTATGTTTTGTATCGTAGACAACAGCAAAAAGAGGAATGAGTCAGCTATGAAGGAACGAAGGAGGACAAGGTCGTCGAAAGTGAATTCGTAGTCGATGCGCAACCTACAATCGGATGCGAGGATGGTTGTTGTTTGGCAATGTCCAGAGCAATAGACACATAGCTGTATGCTGTCGTTTGTATATAGAAAATCAGAGGGATTGGGATGTTGTGCTGTTATGCTGTTGTGGTATATGGGTGAAGAGTGCCAGGCTGAATGGTTTTATATCAAATATGTGTTAAGCTACGGGTGCCAAGGATAGGCCCTTTCGGGACACTTGCTCCATTGGGTCGAATGGGGGTAACGAGGGCGTGCAAATCCGTCTCTGTCCCCAAAACAAATAGATGCATGGTCCGTCTCGGGAAGGGAGACGGCAAGGAATTCTTTTTTCTTAATTTCTGTGGAAGAGTGAACATGCCAATGACGATCTCTGACGTGCCTGCCTTCTCTGAGACCGGGATGATTCTAGATGCTGGGCGAAGCTGGTCACCAATACAGAAACCCAATGTCTGGCTTTCGATGCAATTCTTCAGGTCTTCTTCCTTAACAGTTGGCCGACGTGGATGACAGGTGTTTGTCTATCAGTCGATCAACGCCAGTGCCAGGCTCAGAGACGGTCGCCAGGTGTGTCAGACAGCCCATCTTGAAACGAAAGCGATGTGTGTTGGTGATGCAGTCCTACAGACTTCCTGTCCTACCAAGGCGCTTGTCCCGAGAAAGGTGCAGATGAAGTGGTCTACGGTTTGCATTCCCGGGTATAGCACATAGTTTACAGAAGATCACTGCCAGACGAACAACAACGAACTCAGGCCCATCGTGCCCCTCGTCGGAAGCAAGGGATGGAGAGAGATTGGATTGGTCTACATGTAAACAATCAAATTGGTTGGTTGGTTCTTCTGGCCTGTAGAACAACAAATTGAACACCCACCGGAAGCGAGCGTTGCGGATGCACCCGAGACAGGGATGTTTCGTCTAGGCCCATGGCGTAGTCGTTCCACGGACTTGTCGAGGGCGCACGTTGTCGGTGCTTTGGGCGACCGCTGACAAAGAAGGGGGTTTGAGGAGCCAAGAGTTAGGGAGAACAAAATTCGATCGTATCGCACTTCACTGGATGCTTGCATTGTTTGACATACACACACATGCGAAAAAGAAAAAAAAAAGAAAGAAAAAAGAGAGAGAGAGAGAGGGAATCCTCTCGCCTGCGAGAAAGAGCTGTTTGCCTGTGGTCTGTTGTTACTATTAGTCTGCCTATTGTTTGCTTGTTTGCTCTCTTGCTTGTTAGTTCCGTGTTCGTGTCCCCTGATGGAGCATGAACCCATGTATGTACATGTACCTTCGCTCTTTCTTTGGTGACACTGGGATGAGATGAAGAAATATCGTTTGTCCTCAGGGACCACGCAGGCTGCTCGTATCTCTGTAGTGGTCGCGTTGCAGACCGACTCTCCGCGAATCAGATTCCGGTATCCACACAGGTCCCCTGCAGGGTCACACTTCACTCCGCTCCTCTCCACTGCTCAGTGGGCGCTTAGTTTATTGGATAGTCTATATGGACTAGACTACTAGACTATTGATGTGCTGGAAGTGTGTGTGTGTGTGCTGATTGCGAACCTCATTGGATGTGCATGCATTCCTCAGGTCCTCTACCGCAACCCCCGCTGCATACATCTCGAGTGCTCCATTCAACCCCACTTTTCCCGGAAGCATCTCTTGTGCTTAGTGCTTAGTCGACTCATGTGCATGCTGGTAGACTAGCGTGCCCCGATGCTGATAGGCAACTGGTGTCGATCCTTTCCCATGCTGCCTGACTGGCGTACCATCCATCACACACAAACACACACACGTTGCTCCCTCCCCTGCACCGGCAGGGCCCCTCTCATTTACTACTATGCCCACTCCTCAGACTAAACTACCGCTATTACATGTGCGCCGGTAATTTAGGCGATTTACAATTTGCAATCTCATCTCAAGAATGTAATGTATGCACGAAATATATTCGACGAGCTCGGCCCCCGACCCTCGTTTCAAAACGATGCTTACCTTTGCTCTTTAGCACCCACCTGGACTGCTGCATCAGCCATTTCAGGAACAAAAAGATAATCCTCAACTCAACCGCGGCTTCTCGGCCCTTGACCCCCGCACTTTGAACTTTGTGCCCTGGTCTCCATTTAGTCAGTCCCACTTGATGCTGATTACGATCGATGGACAGGGTTTGCGGCTATATCTCACGGCATGTAAATATACTAGGCCCTTTCGTAGATCCATTGCCCATGTGTTCAGTAACTTGTACTCCTATAGACTACTGCAGTAATCATGAAGACGAGAAAGAAAAACGAAAAAGAAGGGCTCACACGCTTATGGGTATTTCGACCCCTTCTTCCCATGAGCAACCCGTCTATCCAAACACAAACACGCATTTATCCACGCCAACAAAACGATAAACAAAACGACCCTTTTGCCCTTCTTTCCCCTGCATGGATCTGTCATTACGTGTTGGTCCCTTACTGATTTATTGTAATTATTATATCTTGCTATTGCACAAACCGTCGATGTTTAGTCTGGCTTAAACCACGGCGTTAGTTCGTTGCTGCAGTACTTCCTCGCCTTCTTACTCGCTGGATCATTCCGAGGATGCCATGAACGAGTGGACAAAAACACACGCTGCAAGGATTGTCATGGTCCCTCAAGATTATGATTGGTAATGCGTTTGCTTATATCTTCAACCGCGCGCTCCTTGCATGGATGGATTATACTTCCTCTTGGAGAAGGGGGTATCGTATTCATCGCTCGCATTCATAAGTATTATTATACACATGGATTTAGTCTATTGTTCGACCCATCATATCTCCTCCTTTCCGAAGCGCGCACTTCATCCTTCGTCCTTTCTAACCCAATTCTTCGCTCAATTGCCTATTCTTATGTGAGCCAAATTGAATAACCTAAGCATATACAATCCTTACCCTTTTTTCTACACCATACACCACCAACTTCACTTTCTCTTTCTTATAAATACGCGTTGCTATTCCACCACCATTTTCATTTTCATTTTCATTTCCATCTTCATCTAGTTCCTCACGCCAGTTCGTCGCTCCTCGCCTCTCCTCTCTCTTCGTTTCCCTTCCTCTCCCAGAAAGAAATCATTATAATGAAGCTCACTACCCTCGCAGCCTCAGTGGCAATGGCCGCCCTCTCTGTCGTTTCAGCAGTGCCCTTGAACCACTCGGTTCTCTCGCGCCGTGCAACCTGCTCCGCCGATGTCCTGTCATGCTCCTCGAGCGGTATCGACTCCTGCTGCTTGCCCTCCATGGGATTGCTACTCTTGGTCCAGCAGTGGTATGATGGATTGGGGCCCTCGAACGAGTTCACAATGCATGGCCTCTGGCCCGATACCTGCACTGGCGGACAGGGCCCCAGCACCGGCTGTGATGCCAAACGCATTTACGATGTAAGTTTGCTTACATTTTATTACTCTAGATAATATCCGATGCTTATCAAAACATTTAACATTTGTTACAATGTCTACAATATAGAATGTTGAAACGCGTCTCCAGAACTACCCTGGAGCTCCCTCTGGTTTCCTCGATCAAATGAACACCTACTGGTCTTCGTACAAGGGTGACAACAACGCCTTCTGGGCCCATGAGTGGTCCAAGCACGGCACCTGCGTCTCAAACTTGGCCCCCACCTGCACATCCAACTATGTGCAGGACCAAGATGTCTACAGCTACTTTAGCAAGGCCCTTGCTCTGCGCTCCCAGTACAACCTGTACCAGGCTCTCGCTGCCGCAGGCATCAATCCTGGCTCCAATCCCAATGTTGCAGACATGCACTCCGCCATCACGAAGGCTTTTGGCGTCGATGCTCAGATCAACTGTGACTCTGGTGTTTTAAGTGAAATCTGGCTGTTCTTCCATGTCAAGAACAGTGACCAATACGTCCCAACGGCTCCTTTGTCCAAGGGATCCTGCAGTGGCAGCATTTCGTACCCTGTCAAGGGCGGCTCGGTGACTCCTCCAAGCAGCACGACTACGAAGGCTACAACCACTGCAACTACTACCAAGCCCGCCACCACGACCGCCAAGCCCACAACGACCTCGCCCTCAGGCTCCATCCCCACGGGTAAGCAGACGGGATCTTGCTCAGCCTCAGGCGCGACTGTCTGCGTCAGCCCCGGCGTGTCGAACCAGTACTCGAAATGCAACCAGGGCACCTGGGTCTTGAACCAGTGCAAGACTGGCCTTGTGTGCTATAGCGACATCAACACCACTACTCACTGCGCTTAAGCAGGCTAGCTCTGTCGCTTATTCTCGTGTACAATACCATACATTCCTTCTCGAGTAAATACTACGCACATATCATGTTTGTTCAGATGAGATGGCAATGCAGGGTTATTGGCAACCTCTAACTGTGTCAGTTGCCACGAGACGCGCAACAGCATGGGATGCACACGAAGCAGAGTGAATGCAGGGAAAGCATGTAGTAAAGCGATGTGCTATATGAGCTTCTCATGCACGTCTACTGCATGGGATGGCATGCGGACAGCGCTCCGGAGCTGAATGATCTTTATCTGGAGACCCTTTTGTGCCGAATGCCGATCGTTTGAGTTAAAGAGCCCTTTAATACAATCAGCACCGTCCTTTCATACAATCTTCAGCACACAATCACCTCCTCATCCCCATCGTCATTTTCATCCCCAATCATCTTCATCCCCACTCAAGCCTTCTCTGATTCCCATTCCTTGGCTCTCTTACTTGCCAACCTGCACTGTCGCTGTGTGCAAATGTTCCACCATGTATATCCCCCGTGGCACAAGACCGCACAGCGCTGTCTCTTTGTCGTCGCAGCGGTTCTCTGCATCACTCTCCCGGTCGCCTACGGCAAAGATCGCATATCCTCCCGGACCCTTGGCGCCGTCCTCGGCACCTTCTTCGGCCTCTGGCTCACCTTCTCCGTAATCCGTCGTCTTTCTATGGACCCTCTGTTCAATTGCGCTTCCCATTTGAAATTCCTATACTGACCAAGCTGTCGTTTCTCATACCTCTGTAGCTCATAGCCCGGTTCTTGGTCCCCTCTCCACAGGTCGAATCTACTCTCCCCATCTATACCCACACCCCAATTCCTACGCCCGTCATCCTCCACACTCCCACTCGCTCAGATGCTCTCCCCTCGTCCCCTGCCATCCGTCTCTACCCTTCTACTACCGCGGGCAAGCCATCTGCATTGCCTGTGGTCGTCAAGGGTGCACGCTTCACAGATGAATCTCCCTCTTCTGAAAACCAAGTAGAAGGCTCATTGCCCGTGCGATCAGAGCGCCATAATGTCACATTCCAGACCCGTCCTCGGGGAAACACCACGGATTCGACCAACTCCATGGTCTACCCGACTTATGCAGTCTACCGTCAAGCACAGCACGGAAACTTTGAGGCATTTACGCAGCGTGTAAAGCGAGCGTTTGCGATCTCCCAGCAGCAGCAACAGCAGCAGCAACAGCAGCAGCAACAACAACTGCAACTGGAACAGCAGCAGCAGCAAGAAGAAATGAAGCGGCAGCAATCAGAGCAAGGACAGCCCTCACAGGATATGCAGCTGCGCCCAACCAACCCCCGGACACTCTCATCGTCCAGCGTACGCGCCAAATCCAGCACCAATAACAGCAGCAGTTCGAATGGTACCCGCTTACGTTCTGCCTCGGCGGCCAGCATGATCGGTGATATTGCCGAGCGCATCAAGAATGGATCGTTTTTCCGGCGGTCGTCCATCAATCCTACAACCACAGCTGCTACTGGTGACGCCGTTGCCGCTTCCACCAATAACTCTAGCAGTATCGCTGACGGAACCCCTATTGCGAGCATCACTATCAGCATGGCACCTGGATCGTGCTCTAGTCCGTCGAGGATTGAGATCATGGTCACCCCTTCAGAAAACGATCACCCGCAAGCCGATAAGGAGAATGCCGATGAGGCCGAGGTTGGTGCTCAGATTTCAGTGGAACATTCAATAGCCGATAGCGATGCTCCTGCATCCGCGTCTGGGTTCACAGCAGCGGTCGTCAATAACACCAATGCAGCAACAGATCCACCCTCTGCTGCTCCTATTACATCATCGGGGCCAGGACATCGTCGATCCAACACGCGTGAAATCTCGCCGCTAGCTTCTGCGGCGAACGTCGTGACGGGCCTCAGCGACTAAATAGAGCGAGAGACTCTTTTACACGGGCTCTTGAAGTCGGTAACACTTTTCTTTGTATCATATCATCTAATCATATTCATCAACTACCGCAACCATGATCCATGGTCTTCATAATAATAAAACACGCATCTTCATCTTTTTTTTATACATCTTGCTATTCCTTGGGATTCTTGTTGGAACATTGCTGACAATGAGGGACCACGAAGGATCTTTATTTACGGGTGGGCATCAATTTTAAAACTGTTGTCTTAAAAAACTCTTTAGAAATCGTCAACTTGTGTGCTAGATAAGTATGGTATTCTTCTGATCCAGACCTATCAGATTCTTCAGTGTTTGCTCTTGGAGGGGTATAGGGTTCTGTTTACCCATCTTTTCTCCTGAGGTCCATGCTTGCCTCCACGTGGCCGTGGATAGGCTTGGCCAGAGCTTGTCGTTCGCAGTGCCCATTGTACACATATTTCATGACAACAACGTCGTATTCCGTCCGATCGTTCTTCAGAACGACCCTGCAGCCCATCCTTTTGCTCAGGATGGTGTTGTCCCCGTAGAGGCCGCACTTTTCGCCATTTGCGCCAGGCATTGTCGTCTCTCCGAGCTTGAGGCGGAGGCTTGCCAGTGATCCAAAGAGGAACTGGGAGATCCCTCATCGAGGTCCCTGTAGTGTTCGCGGATTGAGGGTGTAAATATGTTGCCGCTCTTGGCAGGCCGGAGCCAGAACAATAGCATGGCGGAAGAAGACTGACGCGTAAACACATCTCGTCGTATTCTGCGTCGTCTTCTTTGTATACATCTTGTATCGGTGGTATTTCGCTTGTTCCGGTGCATGGAGACTGGATTTTTTTAATAAACTGCCGCTGTGTTTACATTGGAGTACCCGCTCAAAGCCCCTCTCTTGCTGCGAACAAGGCCCCCTGGTAGACCATATAGCAACCGTTCGTGAGCCATGATCTCCATGACGTGGTTATAGTGCTACAGGGAGATTCAGAGTACTCTCTTTCTAAGGCAGCTATCTACCTCGTAAATTGCCTTCAAAGTCCACACAGTTGTTTGTACACTGGCACATGCTAAATAGTATCACCGTGGCATGCGTTTCGGCTTTTATTTCGATTCAAAAGTTACATGATTATACAATCCACGCCAATGTCTTCATGGACACCATAGCTCTCACAATCGCGCGAACATCGAGCATCCAGTTCGTTCCAGGGATGTCCACATGCATAGCAAAAACTTTGCCCACAATGGCACACCATATGGTTACACCCTTGTTGCTTCTCAATGACGAACCGACACGAAGGACAGTGCCGCCAGTGTCGATCCTGCACAAGCTGTAGCATCGCACGATCTTCCTCTGAATCACCGCCCTGTGTCTGCGCCTGGTACTGCTCACAAGTCAGACCTACCGAAATACGTCGATTGCATTAGTGATAAGGAACAATGAATGCGGTGCACACATCCATCTTCATCCGATACGCACCTCGATGGAAGGGAACAGCGCAGGATGCACAGAATGAACTCCTGCACTCTGGACAAGTCACCGCAGTCCCATCACGATCATCCAGATCAATAATTGATCGACATTCTTGTCTCGGACAACAGACCTTATTCGCCACATGAACCTCCGCCAACTTCCTGTACCAAATCTCCAGCGTCTCTGCATCCAAGACGAGTTCTGCAGACTCTATCGGGATCGGCGTCCTGCAGCCGGGCTGTGGACAGAGCGTTGGGAACCGTGCCTGTGGGGTTTGTGTCGTGTTGGTTAGGAAGGACTGCAGGCAAGATAAACAGAGGCCATGGTCGCATGACATGACGATCCCAAGATCCTTGGCTGAGAGCGAAGGTGTGATAGTTGCAGCACCTATCGAGGATCGTCGTTTGTTGCTGGGAGATAAAGCTATTGCTGGAGTTGCTGAGGTCGAGGGAGATGAGAAGGAGGCTTCTGTAGGTGAGGCGGGCGGAGAGGATATATCTGCCCCTGGTATTGAAATACTATTGTAGTTCGAGTGGTTGTTGGATCTGGACAAAAATGAACGCGCTAGTCGTGCTGTGAAGGAGAGCGCAAACTGTGCTTGTGAGGATATTTCCTTAGTTTTAACCTCCGGCTGCTGTAGTGGGTCGAGGTTAAAGGTCGTGAAAGCCTCGAAGCAGATGCCACAAGTTGTTGGTGAGATACTGTTCTTGAGCAACTCTTGCCGATCCAGCATTCGATCTACAGAGTATCAATGAGATACTGAATTCGTTTAGTAAGCAGTATCATCTTTACCGCAACGAGGGAATGCAGTTGTAAGACATGCCTTCTTGACGACAGCGTGCTAACGATGGCTGAGAGGTGTAGCTGCCAGGGATAGGCGACCGCCATAATTCTGGATGGTAGTTCGTAGCATGATGACTGTAGTCGCGCAGCATGGCCGGCATGATCAATAAAGTGTCGTTTTCATATCCGTACTCGATGGTCTCAATGTCCTCCAAGTCCGAGTCTTCCTCTTCCTGGCTCTTGTGCAATGTTCCGTAGTGCTGTGAGCTATGCCCTTGCGATTGATGCTGCTGAGAAGACGAGGCCAGGGCCTTTGAGTAGTCTTGCGACCTTCTGGGTCTAAGGGAGTTGGCGGCATAGTCGGTATCGCATTCAACGTCCGAGAGGAACACGTAGTCGTCCTCAGACTCTTCGAGTTCATACAAGGCCATGGCAGACGACCTGATGAAATTGCAATTGGAATCGGGTGTTCTGTTCTTGACATTCACAATCGAGTCAGAAACAAAGATGAATGTCAAAGCTTAAGCAAGCAAAGACCAACACCTGGGGTAATTAGTTACCAACTAGTTCCGGATGGATGCACCTATAGGATAGATTCAAAAGTCGAGGTGAAGAAGAGGGATACGAAGAAGGATACGAAAAAGGATACGAAGAGGGAGGGAAGAATGGGCCAAGAAGTGAGAGTGGCCCTAAAGAGCACTGCCGACAGTGCTTTGTTTGGGATGTCCATGTGGGTCCTTGAGCCAAATTGGCGTACGGCTTCTTCTCATCCACGACTGAATGGGAGTGGATCCATTGAGACTCAGGCCGGATATTGCGTTCGTCGTACTGGACTGAGGATGCGCATGTCCTCCTTGGCAGCCTTGACAAAAATGCCCAGTTTTTATATCCATAGGACACATAGGACATGCCAAGGCTGATGTGTTTCACAATTTTATTGTTGGGCGCAGTGAGAGGAACTGTTCGATTGAGATGCCGTTTTTTATTTTCTGAAAATCCGTGGTCTAGTTGCTCATGTATCCGTCTGAGCGGGTGAGAGGTGCCGGACTGACGACATGATTGGGTTCTGCGGCGTCCTGCCAGGACGTGCAGAACTGGCAGCGAGTAGCGTTCTTATTGATCTTTTGGCGACAGTACTTGCATTTGACCTTGCTCTTGATGATCTCCTCCTGCTGGAATGACTGGAACACTATTCGTATGGAAGTCCGATGTAGAAATGGTGAGTAAAAGAGTCATAGTACAACTGACAATGAGGTGTACTGTCAAACAAAAAAAAGAAGTGAACGTACGTCGGATGAGAATAAAGAGGACCAGGGCCACAGTGAAAAAGTTGAAGGTCATCTGGATAAAGCGACCATAGGCAATGCATACCGCACCATCATCACGGGCTATGTGTAGTTGTGATGAATAATAACGCAAAGCGAGGGTTTAGTCATTGGTTTAGCTACAGCCTCAGCGAGAATGTCCTTGATAAGAGAGGATGTTTCATGGTTTCCTTTGCCTACCTTGTTCCAATGTCATATAGTGTGTTGAAGCATTTTTCCCGTCCTTGATCACCACAAACAAGTTTTCAAGACTGGCCTGACCCAGCGTTATACCAAGTGGAGGTGAGATGATATCATCGACCAGCGAGTTGACCAGAGCCGTAAAGGATGCTCCCAGGATCAGACCGACCTACAATAAATTATCGATGGATCTGCTTAGTCTCTCTCTCGTATCCTCTTTTCCTGAATCCGTTTTCAAGAGTCTTTCCCGATCTGCATACCGCTAGTGCGATAACATTCCCATTGTCGATAAAGTCCTAGAGAAACGAAAACATGAATATGGAGCGATGAGTAAAGACAGTACTGTCGATGAACCTTCTTTGTGAATCCATGGTTTCCTTTAGATCGGCAAAGCGTATGTACCTTGAAATGCCCCCAGAATGTCTTGGCTTTGCGGGAGATGGTTTCGCCTCCGTGCAGCAGTGAGATCCGAGCAGAGTCCTCCACGTCATGGATCCTGTTCCTGCGCGCGCCTTGTCCTGAATTGTTGTCTGGTGTGGAGGGCATTTTTGAGAGATATCCTTGTTCCTACGAAAGCAGGGTCCTTGCTTCCTTGGTGGAGTCGAGGATGAGCTGGGTTCAAAAACGAGAAGAAAGAAAAGGAAGAGGGAAAGCAAGAAAGAAGCGGAGGGGATGACATAGAAAGAAAAGAAGAGTGCGACGTACATATGATCAGGCGGGGTTTCTTTCTGCCTATAACCATAGCTATGATGTATCCCGTGGAGCAAAGGAGGGGAATCAAGGGGCCTACGATAGTCTGTACCCCTTGTCTCTTGTCCCTGGGCCATGCTGCCGTATCATATCATACCATACATTACTGTAAGACGGCCTAGCCAATGAACGCGCGTGAATCCTTCCATCCCAAACGCGACAAACAGTCCAGTCTACAGGCTGTGGATCGAAATCGCACGTCCTGCCTTTTCCCTCGAGGCCTCATCACTCCCATCACTCCCATCACTCAGCAACCAACACGCCTCAACAAACAACACAGGAAACAGCATGGTCAACGCCGCAAAAGTACTCCAGGACCTGCGTGCTTCCGCAGAGCGCAGGCCTGATGTCGTCGTCAGACTCGGGAAACCACTGGTCGAGAGCGGGGCGGTCCTCAAACTCGATGTCGATGGTAATCATCATCTCGACTGCCGCACCTTGCTTGAACTGGACAGAACAGAGCAGGGAAGCGTAAAAAAGAGCCAAAGAGAAATGTACACACTCGACTGACACGCATACACCCTGTTTCCGCGCTGTTTTCTTTCGCTCTTTAGCTTGGCTCGTGTACGAACAGGTCGCTATCGCAGCATTGGACCTTGGCGACGACGTGCTGGCTCTTGTAAGTCAAAGAGGGAAGGAAGGCAGCAAAGTCCCTCGGTCACAACCTACTCGCTACATAACCATGTAAATATCTGACCTCACATCTTATCTTCAACTCAACGCTAGAAATGCATTCAAGCACTCGAGAAAAAGTTCCCTGGATCTGCTCGTGTGCGTCGCTTGCATGGAATGCAGCTGGAAGCTGTTGGCAAATTGAAAGAGGCAGGAGAGATCTACAAAACGATCCTTCAGGAGGACGAAACCAATGTCGTAAGGACTACTTTCCTACCCTAAACAAAGGCATGGCCCGTTGAAATGCCTTTCTACTGTGAACATCACATGTCATTAACTAGCGTTCTCTGTCTGTTCAACATTTTCTATTGTAACTGGAATTATAGCTCGCTGCAAAGCGACAGGTGATGCTTTTGCGTGCGATGGGATTGCCCTCAGAAGCCATTGCTGCTCTGGTCAAGTACTTGGATGTCAATTATACCGACTTTGAGGGTTGGCTGCAATTAGCCGATCTATACCTCGAGGAGTTAATGTAAGGGACATCTTTGAACACTTTCAGCAGAACCGTACAATAATTTATTCACTCCTTTCACTTCTATATTTCTAACCGCTTTCTCGATATATATTACTACATTTAAACAGGTACTCGCAAGCAGCGTTCTGCATGGAGGAGGTCATCATGCTCCAACCTCAGAATCATATCTTCCACTTGAAGTACGCTGAGATTCTGTATGCACAAGAAAACGTCCCCTTGGCGTTAAAACAGTTCTGCCGTGTGGTTGAGTTGTGCAAAGATCATGTGCGCGGTCTCTATGGCATCAAATTGGTAAATTTTCCTGTTGCCATCTCACTGATACGATTCATACTCCACCTCGTCCTATTCATTTGAGTACGATACTAACGTGCAAACTCTTCAACGCCATTCTATTGTAGTGCACGTCGCGTTTGTTGAAAGCTGCGCCGTCAAAAGACGCTGCTGTTACTTCCCCAGAGGACCTGAAGGCAATCGACTTGTTGGCTACAGAGCGTTTGCTTACAGTATACGGATCAGGAAATACTGCGGCCTCTGTCAAGGCTGCCAGCGCCAAGTGGATCGAAAGCGTGTAGAATGAAGGAATGGAGAAAGCAGATGGTAATGGACCGTTTGCCACATAGATATCTAATGCAGCATTGCCTCTTTGTAATAAAATCTCATCAAAAGTGAACGATATCAAGCTGTGGACTTCTCCAAATATTCACAGTCGGCTTCATCGGCTGCAAGGCTGCTGATAAGGAAGGGCTGCGGACAGGATGGGAAGGGCTCAAGGATCGATCACAGCAATAGAAATGATCAGTTTATTTAGCAGTTCAGCCTTGTTGGCTTGTTGAAAGCGAAGTGTGGTGCCTGTTTAGCAAAGAACATAATTCGGGAGAGAGCTGGAAACAAGCAAAAAAGGCGGTATTTGAGTTCCCATGGAGGCAAGGAAATCAGCCCTGGGTTCCGGGGCACCCGTTGGCTATATATTGTTGCTGTGAATAAGATCCTTCTGTCTTTTTCCTCAATCATCGATCACTTTCCTCCCCATCACCGAACAACTCACGACTTATCATTTCACATCACTTTGAAAATGAAAGAAACGCTGCCGCCTATATCATCCTTCAAGGAAGGGGAGTCGCGACCTCGTTCTGAAGGACCGTCCATGCCCCATACATCTCATGGCGGATATCAGGGCCCCTTGCCTGCAGATGCCCGGCATAGCATCCACCAACACCGTAACCTATTTGGAAACGCGTATTTTCACCAACCGCAGTCAATGCAGCAGCCACCTACACCACAATCGCAGTCGGCGCAACAGCCGACCATACAGCCCGATCCGGAACACCAGGATCGGCACCATCATATCCATCTTTATCACCACTACGACAGTTCTCATCCATTCTTTCAACATGGGCAGGATAGCATGCAGTCCTACCGAGCTTGGAAGTCACAGCAACCATCCTGGAAGCAGGGCCAGAATCGGGAACAGCACCCGCAGCAGCAGAATCACACTCTACAGGAGACGCAGCGACACGACCATGCTGCAGCAGATGGTGATGAGGCGACCTACAGATCCTTCCCCATCGGCTCGTTACAGCACGTCTTGGTTCCTGACGGGTATCGATGGCGGGCTAACGATTGTAACAACAACGACTTGGACGCTTATGAAACCTCTTCTGCTGACCACCGCACCACGGACCACCCACAGCACCAAGAGCAGCAAGGTTACACAGGCTCTATTGCTTCGCCCGCAAACACACACGCACACCCCTTCGTGCCTCGATTCCCGGCAAGCCGTACTCGCCACTCGTACGCGCCCTCCCCCGAAAACCTTCACTCGTACCACTACAATACCCATGTCCAAGCTCACTCCAACGCTCATGCGCAAGCGCATTCGTCCCATCCATCTCCCTCCAATCTCTACCATACACCCAGTGAGGCCAAAACTAGTTTCATCGAAGACCTCCCCACGGCCATGGCCACATCGACCCGCAAAGCGTGGACCGAAGCCGAAACCGCACATCTGCTCGAATGTGTCGCCATCCAAACCCAGGAGGCCAAAGACGCCCGTCGAATCGCCGGTGCCACCCGTCTCAGATTTGGGGCCGCTGTCGCTTCTCATACATATATGGGCCATGGCGACGGAGAATATGAGGAAAGCGTGAGCGAATTTGGAAGTACCCAAGCAGCAGCAGCCTTAACGGGTATGGCAGGGGAGAGTCTAACAAACTTGGCAGCCAAAGGCAAAAACTGGCATCGTATTGCGCAATTGCATGGGCACAACCGTACTTGGGCCAGTTGCAGTAATAAGTATCAAAAGGTCATGAAGGCTCGAGAAAGTCGAGAAAAGAGTCATGCTCATGATAACAATGATAGCATAGAAAATCATGATGATGAGTAGTTTCGCAAAGCGCGTACTCCTTGATAGTTTAGTTCTTTCATAGTTGATTAAAGCGTTTTTTCACGTTTTTTTGTTCTTTTTATTAGTTATTATTACAATGAAATAGGGAAGAGAAATAGGGAGGAGAAAAAGGAAGGAGTGAGGATTGAAAGAAAGAAGCAGGCAGAAAAAAGTGTATGTAAAAAAAATAAAAGCTGGACTATACATGTATTTTTTTTGCTTGTTGTTGTTGTAAACGAAAGATGGTTTTTCTATTTTTTTTCTATTTTTTTTTCTTTTTTTTTTGTGGTTGAGTTGTATAAGCGTGGATCGATAAAAACGATAAAGCATGGTGATAGTCAATGTTGAGGATCCTCAAAAGCGAGAATCCCATCTTTGGCGCCTCGCTTCTACTGTCCGTGGTTGGGAACAGTGTAGTTGTTGCTAGGTGGGTTGGCATTGTTTCCGTGTGCGTTCTTGAAGTCGTCGATGTTCTTGTACTGCTCCAGCAACGGCTTCAACTCCGCCATCACATCCAGCTTGCGACGGCTCTTGTCCTTGCGGTAGAACAAGTACGCCCAGAACTTCTCCAGTCCATACATGTGTCCGTTCTGGAAGTCTGCATAGGTCAACGCCTCAAAATCCAAGAACAGATCCTGGCGGAACTTCTTCTCCAATCCATAGGAATAGAATCGGAAGAGGCACTCGAGACCATAGCGATAATTGGCATTCGCATCCTCGACCGCCAGACGCTTAAACTCCGCGTACATCTTCTTGTTGAAGTTGTCACGCAAGAAGTGCGACCAAAACCGGAAGAGCGTGTTCATTTCCTGCGAGTGTCCTGCTCCCTGACGCTTACGCTCCTTCAGGGCTTTGGCGTGGTACTTGTAGTACTTGTGCTGGATAAAACCGTTCTCGTGCAAGAGCTCGTGCGAAGGATGCTGGAAAGCAGGGAACGAATGAGGAGCCTCCAACGAGGTCGAAAGCAATGAGGTTTCCGTGTAGGATCCCATCGACATGCCTGCAGGCGAGTTTCCGATCGACTGAGGAGGAAGGTCCGACTGAAGGAAGGGCTGGTCTCCCAGAACCCATCCGACGGGTGCTTGCGCAAAGTGTTGACGTGAGTCCGGCTTGCCACCCTTGGGTCCCTGAGCGTTCTTCAGTGGGTAGAAGCGAGGGGTCTTGCCTTTACCCTTACCCTTGCCCTTGCCGTTGCTTCCTTCGCCGTTGCTGGCCTGCTGAATTTGCTGGTTGTTGAAGCTGGAGTTCAAGGTGATGCTGCTCTGGCGAGGATGAGAACCAGTGAGGGCAGCGAACTGTTCCTCAGAAATCATCTCGACCTTCTTGTTGGAGTGGGCAAGACTTCCGCGACGGTTGTTATTGTTGTTACGCTTGCGCTGCAGATCGACTTCATAGTGATAGAGACCCTCGTTGATCATGTCGTTAATATCGTCGTTCATGGCCTTGCGCTCGTACGATCCGTGAGTCCTGTCCTTCTTCTTCTGGGTGACAATCAAAATTTTGGCAACAGTGTCATCGTCAAACTCATCGTCATCCTCATCTTCCTCATCGCTGACATAGTACTTTTGCACAGTGCCGCTGCGGCCTGCGCCGACAAGGTTGTCGTCATCGAACTGGAACACCTCGTCATCGTCATCTGCTGCGCTGGGACTGGATGCTGCTGCTTGTGGGGCTGGGTTCGAGGGTACAATGGAAGCACGCTTCTTGATCTTTGACTGCTTGACATGCCAGTCGTCCGAGGCAGGGCTGCCGGAAGTCGGAGGGACAATGCTGACGGGGTGCGGACTCCTGACTGGGGAGACAAAAGATGATCGCGTAGCCTGGAATGGAACAGCGCCATCCTCCTTAGGGAAAATCCATGTCGCCCAATCGCCCTTCTTGCGGATGTTATCGCCGTTCAACTCGATGACTTTAGAATCCTTGATCGAATCCTTGACCAGGGCATGATCTACAGTAAGATTTTTGACACGGTTGAAGTTGGCAACAAGCGACAAGGGAACGTATCCTTGCAAATCCATTTGGGTTCGCATGTAGACGTCCTTGCACAAGTTCTCGACAGAAAAGTAATACTCCCTAGTGATGTTGAGACCGCACATAACACCGATTAATTTTTCAGGGCAAAAGTAGGTCTGCATGTGTCAGTAATATAGCAAAAGTATTTATCATCATCTAGAAACACTTACATTTGCTGAAGAATGAAGGCCTTGAGTGCCTCGGTATCATGGTGAGGAACTCCATGCTGGTAAAGATATGCAACGTTGCCTACAGATGCCCGGTAGTTAGGGCGAGGGCCATTGGACTTGCCGCCACCTATGTTGACCATAGTACTATGTTAATTCTGTGGGATAGTGCAGGACAAACAATCAGTAGTAGAGGAATCATACGCAGAAAGAATTCATGCAAGAGGCGACTTACGACCACGGCCACCATGCTGGCGGTTCTGGTTACGATGGCTAGAGCTGCTCTGAGAAGGTTCACCGTCAAAGATAGAGGGCACAGAGGCACGGCGAGCATGGCCTGGTTGACTGTCGGTGCTTTTAGAAGAGATATTGTGATTATCTTGACCGTTTGCAGCCTTGGCATCAGAGGTCGAGTTCTTTCTGCGGCGGGGCTGGGCATCATGGCTCTTGGAGCCGGGCGCTGGGGTCGAGTGAGTGATGTTGGGAGTATATTGAGTCCATTTGTTCTTGTCCTTCTTGCTGATGGGTGCAGCGGCAATGATGGGTTCCTGCTTGGTCTCCTTCTCGGCCGAGGCGCTTGGATCGGGCCAGACGTTCGTATCGTCTAAGGAAGGGAGGGCGGCCTGCTTGGTTTTGCTCTTTTTCGACTTTTTACTGTCGTCCTTGACATCTAGCGTAACGTAGCGCATGCATTGACAAATAAGCGTCAATAAGCATTGATGACACATAGCATCTCGAAGAGTGATTTACAACCGATCGATCCATTTTATATTCCCATTGCTGTTGATCTGACACCCCAAGGTCCAGTTCGTATAAAACCTCTTTTTTTTTTTTTTTTTTTTCCTTTTTGCAAATCATCATCCTAAGGCCTTCCTGAGCTCAATGTCCCATTGATAACGTTCGACAACAGCGTCGAACAAAGATACTCTCTTGCATAGTAACAGGAACAATCGACAGTTGTCGGTCAATGTTTCAGCTATCGGATTATCGGAATTATCGGAATCCGTTTATGATCCACTGGCATAGATACCCAGGACATTTTTGAAAGGCTTTTTTGGTAGTTGATTTGATATCCAATTGATCTCGGAGAACCGCCGCGGGCCCTTTTCTTTACAAACAGTTACTGATCCGGATCTGTGGCCGATTTTGTTTTTTTGTTTTTTTTTGCAGGGGAATTCAAGAAAAAGTAAGTAAACTTACCCAAGGTGACCTCTTTGATGTTCTCGATGATGGACTCGACACGCTTCTCGGCCTCGACCTCGTCAGAGGGCTTCATGGCTTCCTTGCGGACCTTCCAGAAATTGACAGTAGGCGCAGCAGGAGTCTTTTTCTCCATCGTTGTTGTTTCTGTTGCAACCGAGTCCTGCTGTGCTTGCTGTTGTTGCTCCTGAGACACGACGGTCTGTTGAGAGGTTTGCTCCTCCACCGAATGGTCGCTGCCTTCCACAGGGACGGTTGAGCTGACCATTGCTGATGCGCTGATTTGTTGTGGAAGAAAAGAGAGGAGAGATGGGTTGGTGGCGGTGTTTTCTGAGCGTGATCTTTTTTGTTCCTGAGATCGACAGACAGAGTGAGGAAGGGGGTGAGGTTGATCTGCAAGATCAGTCAAAGCAAAAGAAAGAAAGAAAAGCTAGGTTAGGGGAGATCCTGATCCTTTTGTTGATCTCTTACTCTCACTCTCATTCTCACTCTCTCGCTCCGCTTTTTTTTTTTTTTTTTTGAATCACAGCATAAATAATAGAATAGTAATAATAAATAATAAACAAAAAAAAAGTCAATGGCAAAGGGGACCTACAGCGATATGTGGGAAACTAATAAAAAATTAGGGGAAGGGAGGAGGAAGGAAAGAAAGAGAAGGAAAAAAAAAGGCGGCTGGCGTTCAATTGAAGAGCGGGAGTCTACGAAGGTCAGGCCAGGTATGACGAAGAGGACGGGTACCTGCCTCTATGCCTTTATACCCGTGTATCTGTCTCCGAGCCTATGCACTTCACACGGTCCTCACACGCTGGTCTCTTTAAGGGTCGCCAGTCTCTCTCCTTTTGTTCTTCTTCCTTCCACACACAGTCAGTACTCGCTCAGCACCGGGTGTTCCTTGCCTGATATCATGGGAAATCCATATCCTCTTTTCACGTACAGTACACTGCCCCCAGAATTTATTATATGTACGTGTTAAGGTCAATCCTATGGCATCCCCTCCTGTCCCACTCCCGCCACCAAACAAAAAGGAGAAAGCACAAATCCACTTGCGCGTCCATTGTTGAAGTCCGTGTACTCCTTCCTTTGCTTATTTCATTCCATCTCATTTCATTCCATTTCATCATTCTCTTCCCGGTTTCTTTCTTCACTCAAAGTCGCCAAGTAAGCACATTCCCTCGCATTCATTCATTCCTGCAGAAACGCGCTTCCTCGATCCAACGCGTTATAGCAATACGCTACTAATCCCTTGGCCGTTATCTGGTATAACAACTTCGCCTTCGGACCCACAGGCCGATTAACAGTAACAAGAACGAGGAAATGGCTGATGTACTGGAGGTCAACGACGCGAGTATGCAGGCATTGGCCTCGTATCTCCAAAAGACTCTCGATCCTTCGACTCGCCATGAAGGTATTATATTATATCCGAAATACTTTGCATCCATTTGCTCTCCTCCAAACTGGATACTAGCAAGAAATAAACCTACTATTATGTCTTCCATTGTAGCCGAGCAGTTCCTGAACAAGCTGCAACAGAGCCAAAACTTTGGCCAGTTGGTTCTTCAGCTCGTGGCCACAAAGTCCTTTGACGTCAACATCCGCTTTGCCGCATCACTACTGTTCAAGAATTTCGTCCGTAGAAATTGGATGGTAAGATTCACTGGATCCAATTGCGTCTCCTTTGGATAAAACCCCCATATTCTCTCTCTCTCTCTCTTTTTTTTTTTTTTTTTTTTTTTTTTTTTTTTTTGCTTCGTCTAATAATATGTTTCCTTAATGATAGAACGACGACGATGGCGACAGCAGGATCTCGACCGTGGACAGGGATGCAATCAAGAGTAGGATTGTTGACTTGATGACAATCTCAGAGGCCAGGATTCAGCTCCAGCTCTCGGATGCTGTCACCCAGATTGCTGATAGCGATTTCCCTCAAAAGTGGCAGGGCCTCATTCCAGTATGCAACCTGTATCCCTGCACAATGCATCATTCTTGAAAGAAAATCGCATGCTTCTTGCACTGCAATGCTAAGCAATCTTTTGTGATGCCATGTCACGGAAACAATAGGAACTCGTTAGCAAACTCAACCCCAACGACTTTGTCACCAACAATGGACTCTTGCAAACTGCCCACTCTATCTTTCAAAGGTGACCCTTTGCTTCTCATCTTTGTTACTATTCTCACGGATACACTATCGGTTTGTTTGGTACACTTTACTCACAAATTAAGTCTTGGATCTGTAGATGGCGACCGTTGTACCCATCCGACAACCTGTATACTGAGATCAAGATTGCACTGGAAAGCTTTTGTGAGCCTTACCGGCAGGTGTTCCTGGTGCGTGAACCAGTCTGCACTGGCTATTGCAGCTAAGGAACGTCCCTTTACGTCAGAGCAACCATACTGACTTATATTCACACTACCTTTGATAGGCCACGGATGCCATGATCCAAGCAAATCCGCAAAATGTCCCTCAACTGAAGGTTCTCTTTGAGACCCTTTACCTGCTTACGGAAATCTACCATGACCTGAACTGTCACGATATCCCAGAGTTTTTTGTGACACATCTTCAGGAGTTCTTGGGGCTTCTCCATAAGTACATGATCTATGAGAATCCGCTTCTTGTTGGAGAGGTGAGTCATCAGAGCACTCACCGCATTTCAGGATCTCAAATCGTCATCCTTTTCATATTGTTAATACGCTCTCATACTTTTTTTTCAATCCACTTAGGATGAAGACTCGCCAGGACCTGTCTTGCAGGTCAAGGCATCGATTTGTGAGGTTGTGGAGCTTTACAGCAAGCGCTACGAGGAGGACTTTACTTCCCTTCCAGAGTTTATTCAAACCTCCTGGTCTCTGTTGACAACCTTAGGATTGGAGCCAAGAAATGACTCGGTGTGGATTTTTTTTTCTATCAACAATATTTAAGAGAAGGCGTGTTTAGAAGAGCAAAGAGCTGACCAAGAGACATGTATTGTTCTTCATTTTCAAAAGCTGGTTAGTAAGGCGATGTCATTCTTGACCTCTGTTGTCAAGAACGGACGGCACAGGGATATGTTTAGCTCGAACGACGTACTCTCCCAGCTTTGCGAAAAGGTTATTTTGCCTAACATGGGTCTGAGAGGTGAGCATCATGATAGGAGGATCATGTACAATGTCTATCATTATATTGGCTATATTAATGTAATGTAACTCTTCTCAATTAGAATCTGATGAGGAGTTGTTCGAGGATGAGCCGATTGAATATATTCGGCGTGATTTGGAGGGTTCTGATAGCGAAACTCGTCGTAGAGCAGCAACGGAGTTGGTGCGAGGACTCTTAGATCAATACCCTAAGGAGGTTACAGCCATCATTTCGACTTATATCCAGCATTATCTCCAAAGATATAGTTCGAATGTCGCACAGAACTGGAAGGACAAGGATGCCGCCATGTTTTTGTTGACAAGTATCGCTGCAAAGAGCGTGGGATCGCAGGTATGGACATTTTTTCAGCGCCACCGATAGCCATTCACGATACATAACTAACACGAATGCATCCAATCAATAGTTTGGCGCACGCGAAACAAATGCAGAGGTCAACATCTTGGACTTTTTCGAAAAGAACGTTATTCCGGATCTCACTGCACCTGTTTCAGGAGCCATTCACCCAATTCTGAAAGTCGACGCCATCAAATACCTCTACACGTTCCGAGGACAGTTCTCAAAGGATCAGCACCTCGCGGCTCTTCCTTTGCTTGTCAGGCATCTGGAGAGTACTAATTATGCAGTCTATACCTATGCAGCCATCTGCATAGAGCGCGTCCTGTTCATGCGCGTTTCTGGAAGCACGGGCCCAATGTTGTAAGTGGTTCATTCGTTTAGCAACAAGACAGGAAAGCTGGTACATTGATGAAGGACGTTCCTGTATTAACGTCAGTGGTATATTTCACTACTGCAGGTTTTCTTCTGACGATATTGCGCCTCAGGCCGAGAGTCTTATTTCCAACCTGTTCCACCTTATCGAACTTGGACAGACGCCTGAAAAACTGGCTGAGAACGACTACCTTATGAAGTGTATGTTGATGAAGATTAAGATTGTACTAAATACGGCATTCAAGATCTTTAACCGATTAGACGACTAATCCGTTTTTTTTTTTTTTTTTTTTTTTTTACGTCAATATAGGTGTGATGCGTGTGATTCTGACAGTCCGGGAAAAGATGCTACCTCTGGTCAATCTGTGCCTAGCTCGTCTGACGGCATTTGTCCAGGCAGTGAGCTCGAACCCCAGCAACCCTAAGTTCAACCACTATGTTTTTGAGAGCATTGGCGCGCTGATCAGATTCATCTGTACAGCCCAGCCAGAGGCAGCAGAGCAGTTTGAGAGTCTGCTGTTCCAGCCATTCCAGGTTATTTTACAGCAGGACATTGCAGAATTCACGCCCTATGTGTTCCAGCTGTTATCGCAGTTGTTATCCTTTCATACCCGTCCTGAGCTCTCGCCTGCATATCAGGCTATGTTGCCCCCTCTTGTTCAGCCAACTCTCTGGCAGCAGCAAGGTGAGGATATACGATATGCCATGTAGTGTATAGCAGACTTGCTATTTTGCTAATAGCTATATCGGTATGGCGATGTGTTTAACAATAGGCAATATTCCTGCACTCGTGAAGTTGCTTCAAGCGTATTTGCAAAAGGGGTCGAGCTGGATTATCGCCAATAACCACTTGGAACCCCTCTTAGGAGTGTTCCAGAAGCTGGCGTCTTCCAAGATCAACGACCACCATGCATTCGAGCTCTTGCAGACCATGATCGTTTATGTGCCAATGTAAGTACTGTCCCATGAGTTTTTTCTTGGCGATTTATTGTAGGAGGTGATTATTCTAACACCTAAATGTAATTGTTTTTGTTTCGTGTATAATAAATAATTAATAGGACTGTATTGGGCAATTATATGAAGACGGTGCTGATCATGCTGTTGACGCGTCTGCAGAGCCACAAGACAGACAAGTTCAAAAAGGGGTTTGTGAACTTTTCGTTCTTTTACATGGCGTTAGACAGAGAGGGCACAGGACCGGATGCGTATTGGGCACTATTTGACAGTGTGCAGACGGGCTTGTTTGTGCAGTTTTTGAAGACTGTTTGGTTGACTGAGGCACAGAAGGTGTCTGGACGGATCGAGCGCAAGACATGTGCAGTGGCGATGGTCCGACTGGTGACCGGATCCAAGACTATTACCGAGGGGACTAACTTTGATGCAGCATGGTAAGACTGTTAGGAGGCAAAGGGTGTCGGCATTCTGTGTATCAAAAACTAACACCATTTTGTTCTTTTTTTGGATATGTGCTGTGTGATGATAGGCCAGCGGTGATGACAGCGTTGGTCAAGTTCTTTGAGGCACCGCAGGATGTGAAGGGAGCAGCAGCGGATGCGGCAGAGGATGATGTGCTGTATGCGATTGATATTGAGGAGACAGGGTACCAGGCACAGTTCTCACAGCTTGCGACGACATCGACCACGAAGGTAGACCCGACAGCACCGATAACAGACCCCAAGCAGGCGCTCGTCGAGGGACTCGTGCGGTTCAACCAGGCGTATCCGGGACGTGTAAGTATTATACATAAGCTATTAGATATGAACTAACGTGTTATGAATCATGAAAAAAAAAAATGCTGTGTCTGTTGTTTGTTCAAAGTGTTCACTTTATTAACACTGCTTCTACTTTTTTCAATTGAATTTAAAATTGCTTGTAGTTGCAACATGGGCAGGTCCAGTTGCAGCCAGACACACAGGCACACTTAGCCAATTACTTGGCCACAGCAGGAGTGTCGCTGTAATTCGCTTTTTTTTATCTTCAACCAGCAACATAATCAAGACTTCAGGAATGTTTTGCGAATGGAAACAAGAACAAAATAAAAGCCCAAGTCCATTTGCCAAAAATCACAAACCGACTCAAGGAGGTGCATGCTGTTACGTGTGTCTTTGTGTTCTGTTTCATTTGCTTTGATGGGTTCGGATTGCTTGGCAAGCGCGCATAGATAGCTTGGCAAGCGGGTATGGATACAGGTACTGGAAGGGTACGGAGGACCGGCTGTGTTGTGTGTTGGGGGGCACGGAGGAAAAGCGACCCATTGCGTATCGGACTGAAGTATGAAGCGATCGGCGGCGAATATCTGTGCCGAATCAGTTGGGAAGAAGTTCGCCGCCGAAGCGAATCGGACCCACGGACAGAAAGGAAAATGCGGGGCAATATTTTTTACTCGGCTTCATTTTGTGTCTTCTCATAGATATCGCGCTGTTCACCTTACGCTCTCACTCCCATTCCCGCTCCTACTCAGTCAGTCGCTCAGCCTTGAACACTTCCTCTTCCTTGGGAGCATTCATTCATCTCATCGCCATATTCTCATTACTTTTCTCATTCCAAGCCAGTGCCCTCTCACTTTCTTTTTTTACTACTCAACAACCAACCAACGAACCACCTACCACTTGCACTGGCGCCCTTGCACTTTGCACTGGCGCAAACTGACCTGGCTCACATACACGCACGCTATAGTACAAACACAGAATTGGTACAATGAGTTTCAATGCGAGAAATAGCCCTCCGACTTTGCCGACGACAAAAGCTGCCATCCGCTCTCGGTCACCGCCACTTGCACCCTTACCTTCACTCTCAACAACACTTCCAGGACTGACAGCATTTGATCGGGCAGTCCATGTGGTCAATGTTAGCAACACCACCACACAGGGATACAATGACAGCAGTCAGGCTGGATCATCCAGCGACAGATTTTACTTTTCACCTGAGGAGCAATTATTGGTAAGTGTCAGTTTTATCCACAGGGGACAAAAAACCATACGGAGCACACAAAGATACGGGATGTATTCATGAATTATGTTTTTCTGTCTCAAGCCATTATTGATATGACCTTTTCTCAGCAGGGTTCGCCCCAGCTCCATTGCAACCACCACGGCACTCCGAATATCTCTTTCCTTTTGTCTTTTTGCGCCCAATGATTCCTTGCTGCACGCGTTTGATGCGTTCCCGTTCCTTACTGTTACAATGCCTGTTTCTTCTGCAAAGAGCTTTTATGCGTGGGAATGCAAGATTGGCGTCGTCGTGTTCTCCGCGTACCTCGTAATAGCGTGGGTGAAAGGAATCTCTCATTAGATGAACAATGGTTATCAATGACGCAAAAGGCGTGTTGATTGTATTGTTCATCCATTTCTCTTCAAACAAACAAACAAATAGTAAAAAAAATTCTCGATTGCGATTTCCATGTGAAAAATTAGCTAGAAATGAATAAAAAAAAAAGGGCACACGACCAGACTTGCAAAGAGTCATAGTGGACGTGTGCGTGCATGAACAGGTCTCTTAACTCACCTACACTCGCATCGCATTTCTTTGGGAACATATAGCTGTACGGTGCATACAAGCAGGCAACCAAGGGCGATGTCAAGGGGCACAAGCCCACGTTCTTTGACATTGCAGCCAGGAGCAAATGGCAAGCCTGGTCCAACATGCGCGGCAAGACCCAGGACGAGGCCCAGGACATCTACGTCGATCTTGTTGTCAAGGTAATGAATGCATCGGCACTTTACTTGATATCAATCAGTTTTAGGAAACCAAGGAACCATGGGAAAAAGAACGGTCGTTGATATGTATTGCTGTCTATCCATCTCACTTTCATTGTAGTCGCTGACGAAATCGGGGAGCCATCCGGACCACCATGCACTTGCGGACGAAATCTTGCAGAGACCACTCACATCCCCACTCTTTGATAAGGAACTGCCACCCATCGATGTCGAGACAGGGTCCCCTCCTCCAACATTATCAATCACCAAAGCCCTTGCAACTGCATCGACGCCATCCAACCAACTTCAAGATGGGAGAAAAGGATCGATTAGTCACTCAATTCGGTCTACAGTTACAGGAGGGGTTCATTCAGCAGCACCTTCACTCTACGAACTTGCAAATGAGACATTTCCAGACGCCGAAGTAGAGGATCAAGCCTCTCTCACGAATGCAGATCCTGGGTACCATGATGTTACAAAGACTGTAGCTGAGAAAGAAGTCTTGGATGAGGACGACTATGCGGCAGAAGTTCAGAAGGTTACATCAACTCTGTCGTTACCGAGACCGCCTCTTGGGGATCGACATGACGAAATTGGGAACGATGAAGGCGAAGACGAGGATGAAATATACCAGTCATCAGAAGAGTACGATGAGGACGACATCGATGACAGCATCAGCGATTCCAGCCATGGCTCTGTTCGATCCTTCGATCAACTTGAGCAGCAGACATCTGTCCCTCAGTCGCCCGTCGTTGAGATCTCTCAAAGCGTCGCATCGCCGAGGCAACACGAACATAATGATGATTTCGTGGATGAGGGCGTCTTTGACGAGGAAGAGAAGGACGATCATGAAATTGAAGTTCAAGACCTCCATGGATTTCCGAAGCCAGCAGCCGATCTCGTAGTCAAGGATGGGCCTGAGACGACGGTGGACAAGTCGAATAGCAGTAGGAGTGGATCTGTCTCCTCAGGGTATGGCGGATCCGTGTTCTCGGACAAGGAGGACACAGCACATAACACATTCGATAGGGTACTTCTTGGTCAAGACAAGGCTTCTAATAAGCAACTTGATTTGACATCGCCACCCATCGTACCATACCGGGTGAACATCGTGCACGACGCCAGCATCTCTTCGTTGACACAGCAGGAACTCAGACATGCCCGTATCAAGGATAATACAGACGAGGACAGCCACAATCCGACCATCGCAGAGCCATCCTCTGCCTCAGCATCATCAACGCCCTCAACATCTTCAACATCCCCGCTGCTTTCCATCTCATCAGCAACATCCACTTCGCCAGACCAGCTGGTATGCCCGGTCTCGAAAAAGACGGCCGCATCAGGCGGTGTATGCCCTGCAGCCATGTTTGCACAGGTTCGAGCCAACACTGCCTCTGCCTCCGCTGCTTCTACTGGGTCAGAAAAATCCGATAGCATTCAATCGGGCATCAAGACCGAGGATCAGCAAATTGGCACCACTGGACCCAGCTCACGGAGTTCCAATGAAGCCGAGGAGACTGCACCCTTGAGTCCCACCACGTCCATTCAAAGGCGCGCCATGACGGAGCCAGTACCAGCTGTAGCTGCATCAACAGCAGACGCATCCGCGGCTTCGTCTCCCTCAACCACGACGCGCATCGGTCAGACTATTGCATCACATTTCACGGCGCTCAAAAGCAGTTTGGCAGCCGCGTCTGCGCGTGCAACGACATTGGCGCTCTCTGGCGGCTCTACATCTTCTCCTGATCGATCCGATCCATCGACCTCCGCTAATCCCAACGCAGTCGTGGTCAGAGATCCTGTCACGAATCAGTCCTTTACAGTGCTCTGCCCTCACATGGCATCGACTCAAGTACTCGAGACTGAAATCGTGCGCCTACAGACGGATGTCTCGGTCCTTCACGAAAGACTTGATCTGTTGCAGGAGTCGCTCAAGGTTACATCCCAAACTCGGGAGCAGGAACGGCGTTCGCCTCGTGGGATTCTAAAGTTGGTACTGCGGCAAGGATTGATCAATGCGGTGTTGTTGCTGATTGTGTTTGCGGTGTTGTATAAGCGCAAGTCACCGATCGCGTTTGCGATCTTGGCATATATCGGACAAGGTAGAAAGGAGGGTGAAGCAAGCTGGAGAGCGCTTATGAGATGGAGTGCGGATTTGATTAGGACTGGGCAAAGAAATCAGCAAAACATGCTTAGAGCTGGGCGTAGGAATGGTTACTGGTAATAATAAAGTGTTATCATTAGGGTATGTCTCCATCAATCATTCCATGGCTCGATGGTTCAGTAGTTCATTTTTTTATTGCCTTGCAACGCGCTTGAAAGCACCAAGGCGGACTTTAGAAACGAAGAGAAGAAGCAAGGGCACGCAAAGGAATCCATGGGAGGAAGGGATTTCTAAAACAACCAGCTTGGGAAAAGACGAAAAAACATAAGTCGTGGTGTTGAGGACGTCGAAAGGAGAGAGTAAGCAACTTTCTCGGTCATGACCTCGTCCATGATGGCTTGCTTGAAAAGATACTTCTTTTTGTTCCTCAGGTTCTCACCTATTTCGATTGATGCGTGGGCGGTACTTGACCTGCGCTAGGTGGGCCTTATCGACAGCCAAATCGTAGCTTGTGCGGCAATGGGACTAGTTAATGGCCTTAGGCTACTTGAAAAACTTGAGCGGATTACCAAGCCCAAATTCAATATAAATGTCGCAGATCGTGCTGTGCAACAGCGAGTACACGCAATTCAGACGATGCTTCACCGCGTCGCTCTGGGATTCAGGGATCTTGCGATAGTAGTATTCTGGGTTTGCTCGCATCGCCTTAATACCGATGTTCCCACCGCGAATTTGACGCGTAAGTCGTAAAACGCGTTGCTCTTCAAAGATGTACATCGGCGAGGAGTTATGGGCGGAAAAACGGGTTGTATCCGATCTGGTATGGCAGCGACAGCACTATTCTTGCAATGACGACTATTGAGCGCAAAAATTCATAGGCATTGAGCTGCATCTTTTGTAAATTTATTTAGTGCAAAGTATGACAAAGTATGACTACGCGATAGACTAGGTGTTGCGGTATCAATATAGATCTGGGATTCACTCTGAAGCCATGATCCAACCGACTTATCCGCCCATACTACGAGTAGAAAGAATTGTACAAAAGGGCCATTAAAAGGAACCCACCATCGAAAGGTCATGGGTGTTGAAGAATCACACTGAGAGGTGGAGAAAACATGTTCGTAGGGATATGGCCGCCGCGATCGAATGGTCTAATGATTTAGGCGTTATGGCAGTTGCACTTGCCAGCACAGGTGCAGTTGGCGCTAGTTCTGGACAGATGAATGTAGCGACGAGGATCCGAGGCGGTGAGTAAACGTGCAATTATATGGTATTAAGAATGTAGTCGTAAGTATGCACAGGATGGATGACGAGACCTACTTTGAGTTGCATCCGCATCCTTGCTTCTTGGCACACTTGCAGTCCTTGTCGCACTTGCACTCAGCGCCCGAGGATCCCTCGCACTCACAGCTGGTACATCCGCAGCCGTGGCCCTTGGCACAATCGCATTGGCCGGCGCAGGTGCACTTGGTACCAGACTGCGTCTTGCAGTTGCAAGGAGCAGTTGAGGACGGTGACGATGACGAGGCCTCACTCTTGCCGCACTGGCACTTTGATCCACAGCCTTGAGCATCAATACGGCATGCAGAGGACAGTTTTGGATGGGCAGGAATTGTTTCAGGCGTGGGAACAATGATTTGAAAGAGTTAAATGATGAAATATGACGCGAGCAGAAGGATAAAACAAAGCGAGGGGCAAATATGTAGAATGGAATGATAAAGAGCAGGCGATACGGACAATTGTATACGACGCACGATTACAGAGAAAGGAGCTTGGGGGCGTGAGGAGGTCAATGGACCGAGTATCGTTATAGCGAGAGTAAGAACAGAGGGTCAATGAAGTGCTTACCACAACCAGTGCCGCAGGTGCAAACGCTGTTTCCGCAAGGGTTCATGATGGATGGTGAATGGTGAGTGGTAAATGTGTAGATGTTTGAGAAGAAGTTGTAGGAAAGGAAGAAGGTCGTTGATGGGGCGACAATGCCGGCAATGAAGGGCCTTTTATACAGTCCTCGCCACGTCGACTTGGAGCATCATATTCATAATGACATATGTGTTTTGTGATGGGGTTAATGTAGCATATTGCCACATCGCATTGGATATATGCGCATTGCATGTGAGGGAGACCTTCCCGCCCCTTCTTTGAGTGCTTGTTCTGCTGACCATCCGCGCCGATGAGTCGCTTCGGTTTGTCCTCATAGGAATGGGTGTGCACAAGGGGTATGGCATTTTCCTGACTAGACACCACGAATCAAAACCTCAACCATCCTCATCCACAGTAGCACATGTTTGTTCTTCCTGCCAAAGACTTCAATGGCACTTTATTGACCTGTCCATGTGGCCATGAGAAGTATTACAGCCGCCGATTGATGTAGAGGTACATGAACACGTCCGGTGCGTGCACCGTATGCCCAGCTTCAGGCTGTGTTCCTGCGTTGTCGATCCTTTGCTGCTGCTGGCGCGTCTGCTCAACCTTGACCTCCTCTATCCTTTCCGTCCGCCACAGTCCCTGTCCCAGGCCCTCGGTCCATTCATATTGTCGAAATCGAGAGTACGATATCACACACCATAGCCCGCCCGGCTGCACCACTACCCTTGCGACCTGCTCGCACAGAGTCTTCAGCTTCGTGCACTCGTCGTCGTCTCCACATGAAATGGCATCCGAGGTTGACTTATCGACACAGAGCTGAAACGATCCTTGGGGAAGGGCGGACATGTCCAGACAGTCCATCTCTAGGAACTGAAGAGGGCATTCCCGGGCCGAAGGTGACGAGGGCGACGAGGGCCATCCAATGGCTCGCTCGCATCGCTCTCTCATACGGTTGACGACGGATCCGACAAAATCAACGCTTGTAACATGCTGATATCCAGCTCGATACAGGTCCAGGGGCAAATCCGAGTTGCCACAGCCCAGGTTCAGAATCCTTGCAGAGGGATCTCTTGGAAGTAGGTCAAGGGCCAACAAGTGTGGCCCAAGCACTGTCCATGGCATGAGCCATTCGAAGGATGCTTCGCGATCGAATCGTTGCGACCAGTACTCTTGCTTATCAAAGGGGGTAGCACCGCTGACCATTGTAGAGCTGTGGCGAAGGGTAATACTTGTGGTTCCACACTGGGGTGTATATGTCGCGCGTTTGAAGTTGGCCAAGGTTAAGTCGCTGTGTTGTTCAAAGTCACCTGCAGGTTGCTTCGTAACTTTGCCCCCCCCCCCCCCCCCAAGCACCAGATGCCACTTTTTTATGCCAGGACACGTTTTGTCCCTATCCAAATCACGATCTTACGCGCCAAGATGAGCAGCAAGCAAGACAAGTTCATCAATCCCGACGAAGTGGTTCGGCATAAGGATGGGCGCATTGATCTCTGTATGTTTGCCATTGATGCCGTGGAAATCGTATAGAGGATTTCGTGCTCGGAGACTAACAAGCTTGGTGGAGCCCATAGTCAGTACCATCCTCGGTCGCAAGGACCCCAGTGCCCAAGTGCCAGTGCTCTCAGACACAAATACTACATCATCCTCGGCGTCCGGGCCGCCACTCAGTCTAGGGCAAGGAGCGTTACACGACTTCAAACAATACTCAGCATCGGCGCCGCACTTTTCAACGACAGGACAAACATCAAAAGACGGCGGCCAGAAGCGATCCCGATCCAAGTCGCCCTCACCAATCAACAATACTAACACACTGCAGGGGCATGTGAACAAGGCGAAAAGGAGCAGTAGCAGCGTTGAGAACGATGTAGACGCACCAAAGTCATCTATCAGTAGCATGGTATCACAAAGGGGAGTCGACAGTCAAGGCAGTGAAGGAGAACGATTTGCTCCGGGACGAGCGTTTGAGAGGGTCTTTATCGGTTACTGTGCTAAACCATCGACCATTCCCTCCAGCATCGCATATTGGCACGATGATAAGCACGTCATTTTCAAGGATGCATATCCTAAGGTATTCCTTTATCCAACGCTGAAGGGAAGTTACAGAAAGGGCATGGCATGTGATGATTGATAGCCATCTTATTGTCGATTCATTTGCAGGCAAAAGTGCATTTGCTGGTGGTGCCAAGGAGGGACATTGACAAGGTCACAGAGCTGTCCGGCCCCGAAGGGGTCAACATCGTGGAACAGTTAGTGGAACGTGCGAGCTGGGTATTGGAAAAGTACGACCTCACAAGCTGAATGGAACTGGCCATTGTGCGGCGAAGAAGAGCGACTTATTCTGCATTACTTTGCAATGCAATTCAGGGTCAAGAAGACATCCCCAGTGCTCGAGTTCAGGATGGGATTTCATGTTAGACCAAGTCTCAAGTAATTGCTTCTGTGGCTCATGTTGTTATATCACAGTGTATACAGACTATAACAATACCTTCTGACAACAGTATCTACGTTACGCTCTTAATGATATTAGGCGATTGCATATGCATGTCATCTCACAGGATTTTTGCTCCGAGGCGCTCAAAAAGAAGCACCACTGGAACTCGTTCACCACCGCATTTTTCGTCACACCAGAGCAGGTCATCAGCGCTATTAAGGCCAAGGGGTCGTTTTCACCAACGCCGAAGGAAATGGCCGCTTATGAGGCCCTTTTGAAACTGGATTTGAAGTGCAACCAATGCAAAGAAAGGCTCAAGAATATGCCGGCACTCAAGAAACATCTGCAGGAGCATTTTGATCTCAAGGCCAAGGCCAAGAGCCACCACAGCTAGATCCAAGGTCTGGGGCGGATGATGCATACCCCGCACAAAAAACCGCTTTATTTATCTGCGATCCAGCCGCAATAATGGAAACGCAGCACCTCTGTACGAATAAAACTTTTACATGTGTATCATAGCAGGAATATTAAAGGAGCTGCAAACAGCATTTTCATCTTGTTTTTACTGTTTTACATGTCGACTGCATGAAAAGCGCAGCGTAGATGGGGCTCCTTTCTTAAGAAGATGTCCGGGAGTGGTTGAATTTTGGTAGTGTTTGCATTAGGTACTCCAGATGTCTTGCGTGAATAATGCTCTGACTCTATAAGCGATGAAAAAAAAAAAAAGGAAAAAAAGGAAAAAAAGGAAAAAAGGAAAGTGCATGTCAGTTGTGCGAAAGCTACAATGATTCGCATTACCTGCTATGTCTCTTGGACAAGATATGTCCCCTCAGCCCCCCAAACATACCGTGCGGGCTCCGGAATAAATACGACGCTCGTTGTTTTCGCCATAGATTACAGTCTTGTCCTCGAGTACTTCACCCTCGTGGGTCGAGCATACGGTTCCGATCACACAGTCATCGCCAAGCCATGTCCCGCTTTTGACTTGTGCTATTGCCAACCATGAAAGCAGCGTATGTTCAGTCTACGTTTTAGTCCGCACAAGCAGAGTAGACAATAGACATTATGAACGCATAAACAGAGTCCTTACATCGAACCTCCAGCGTGTTGCGGTTTCCCATCTTCGCACCCTCCATCACTGTTGGAAGTTAATGAGGACTGTCGCTTGTCAGTATCGTTCGTTTTGTTCTTTCATGCCAGGGAGGAGCTGAAAGTTCGCGAGTTATTACCACTTCCGACTTCAAAAACGTTGTTATCGCCAATAATCAGTGCGTCTGGACCTCTATTGGAGAAAATAAGTCGCCATGGATATTGGCCGATGATGTTCTTAAATATGCTGTAGGCCATTTCTATCAATACAGTCTGCATTTGCCTACCTATTGATGATGACCGCATTTTCCTCCACGATATTTCCACTGCCGAATATGATCGATCCTCCTGTCGCCCATACTTTGCATTGTGGGTGGAGTACAGTTCCTGTAGTCGGTATAGAGATGAAGGAAGGCCAGTGTCAATCGAATGGATATCGAGTGCGGTGTCGTGCTGTACCGCGCTTAAAGTCCATAGTCCTTGTTCTGGCTGCATTGGTCGAGATATTTCATGTCCAATGCGGCTTCCTTTCTTTTCCCTCTACGAATTGGGTCTTACCAGCACCTAATAAAGTTGTTAGAGCAGAAGGATATCAGGATACATCTCCATAGCCGCAGGCGGACAGAGGGTAGCAGTGTCCCTCTAGTAAGCTTACCGACAGTGATGTTTCCTCGCAGGTCATTGTCCTGGCAGACCAGTGCCTTGGTGCTAATTGTGAGTCTCGGTCTACAATATCACGATGTCGAAAGAAAACGCGGGCGTCCGTCAGTCCTTTAGTGTCAATAGAAAGTTTCACCCTGAGCATGAGCCATTGCTCCGGCTCCCGCATCTCTGGGCTGCGTATCCTTAACTCTGGGCCACTGGTTGAAGTAGGTTCTGCGTCTTTACCGGGTCATCATCTTGAATGTATTGGGTTTCTTTTGCAGACTGATGGTATATGGCGTTGACTGATGAAGGTTGGGCAGAGGGGATAGAGGAGCGTGATGTTTTGTCGCGTGAAAGTCAGGGCCGCGGTTAAGGGTACTAATTTAATCACCAAAAACGAGCACACTTCTTCACCTTGCTGATCTATCGCAAACGACAACTTCACCCTCGTTCTCATTCGACATCCGGCAAACTGATCGCACAGGACTCACATGGCGCTCCCATTCTGGAAACATCCCGACCACAGGATCCCAACCTTGGGGCTTTATCGCTGCCTCCTTAAGACCTGCCAGGCTTTACCGACCTCGTGCGTGAATCAACCAGGCCGACGGCGCCGCCCCATAGCACGCAAAGGCAATGGCCCGCCAGGTTCTAGCGACGCGTTGCCACAGATTAAGCGGAACTATCTGTTTGCGCTGATCCGCGACCGCTTCAGGTTTAATCGTCATTGCACCAGTCCACGGATGACGGCCGATCTTTTACGGGAAGCGGAAGCGACACTTGCCAAGCTGGAACAAGCCAGAGACGGGAACATGGCGATTAGGAGCGAGCTGCGAGATCTTGTTAATGGACGAACTGGGCGACTCAAAGAAGTCATTAATCATGTAAGAAGGATCTTATGGTTCATCGATTGAAGTAATACAACAAGCACGGGCAACAAGGACTCATTGTACCTGGACGTTGTCTCGCGCTTGCATTCTAGCTGAATGAACTCATCGGCTTTAAAGCTGGCAAAGAAACGCAGAGGTCGCGCTATCTACGTCTGAAGCGCGCACATGAACAGGTCTGGGACACTCGGCCACAGTCCTCAATTGCCAAAGACCCATCATCCTACTATCGGATACCACTCAAGCCCGCACTGTTTGATTTCCCTTCTGAGCTCAATTACTATCCTCCTGCTAAATACCCGATGCAAATGAAGAACCAGCGTGGCAAATTTAAAAACTTTGGTGGCGTGTTTTTGACAGAGGTCACCACCTCAGAAGGCTCAAGGTTTCCGAGGATCAGAGGTGGAACACAACCGGAATGGATCAGTATGATGCTCAAGGCAAGGGTATCGAGGTCTGTCAAACGTGTCTATCAATGGAAGGCGTTAGAAGAGATGAAGCAGATGATGCAGCTCGAAGAGCAGCTGATGAAGCGACTCGGGGTGGATGATGTGGGCTATGGTAAGCAAAATTGCATGGCTGTGCCAGGAAAGCAAGTTTTAATTACTGCCGCTAACTTGGGATGTGCATTACTGTTTGATATAGTCGAGCCTATTGATCAGGCCCTGAAGGAGGTGAGGGAGTCTCATAAGAAACTCAAGTTCGATACAAACTCGCGGAACGTGCTCGATGGATCCTTGGATGACATGCCGACGTGATCTCTCCACAAACAGGACTCGTACAATTATATAATATACCACTCAGAGAATTTGGATTACATGTTTACATCAGATCGAACCCACTTTCATAGGCACGGCGCCTCACATGGACAGCTCATTGCGCAATATAACATGCTAAGTAAACTTCTTGAGCTGCACAGTACAAAGTGTCTAGAGATGCCCTCAATGACGGTTCTCCGGAGGCATGCTGACCACAATATTCTCCAGCTCCATATGCTGTCCTTCGTCATCCATCCGCTTCCTTTCTGTTGCCACCTCCTGTGCATGGTCATTTGCCTCGTCTCTCTCCATAAAGACCTCCTTGACCATATCCAGATACGACTTTGTGGACGGTTGCGACCATTTCATTTCCAACGCCGTGGCCATGTCTCCGAGACAGACGCCGCTCTTGGCGTACATCCTGTACAGTGGTTCGAGCTCCGCATCAATCTTGGGCTGCTCCGGTCGGATTTCAAGGCGGTAGCGCTCCAGAGTCGGGTCCGATTGATAGAATGACTGGTAGTATTGTGTCCAGGTCAGATTTGGGTTCGGGATAGAGAAGAGATCAAAGACAATGTCCAGTGGAGGCGCTGGTCGATCATAAAAGATGACTGTGTGGACAGTCTTGGAGGGTCCCACAGTCCTAAACCACTCTAAGATCTCGGCTTTGGTACCCATGAAGACAAAGGTGGACGTGTGACCGAGGGAGAGCGATATTTTTTCACCAAGCATTGGAGGCGTGACAATCCGTTTGTCGCCAGGGAGTTCGCCTAGATATTTATACGCGGTGAGAAAAGGTGAGCGCGGCTTTTTTTTTTTTTTTTTTTTTTTTTTCAAAAAACTTCTTATGATGCATACCCATAGCATATCCATATGTGAAGGAGCCCATATTCAGGTGTGTATAGATGCCTCTTGATTAGTATTAGTATTGAGTCGAGGGATGCTTGAATGGTTGAATGAAACGAATGATGCAAACGAATCGAGGACGAGTGCGGATAAAAGAACGGAGTGGCACAGCAGACAGTTGCGAACGTCAGGAAACCTAGATTGAGGTTTTATTCGACACTTATGGTGCTGTAAACCCGGCGGACGAGACCTTCCTTCAAATGGCCAGACCGGTGGATATTTTTCCACAAGATTCATAGCATCAACAGAGACGGACCAACTGACGGCCTGGATGGCTGGTCAGTCAATGACAATTGCAATCGATATCCTTTGGCTTTCTTATGGAACACTACTTTCTCTTTCGCCAACGATCTCTTGCAGATGTTCAGATATTATCCGAATAAACATCTATTCACACCGGGAAGACGGTTCAACCAGAATATGTGAGGATATAACTTTTACCAAGCATATGGTGAAAAAGTTTGCTGTAGAGGGACGTTTAGCCTACAGTTATGTCGCGGTTAAGGTACTTCCTCTCAATCTCCCGTAATGGAACCCAGTGAGGAACGGTATGGTTGAAGACCTGAAGAGTGATCCTGCTTTTTTGATTGTTCCGGCCCTCTTGCTTGTCGACGCGTCTAGATATCTCCTTGTTCCTAATCATCACATAATATGGCTCGTGGTAACTTGCTTTAGAAAGTTCAAATGAGTGAATAGGCGTTGGTTAGAGATGGTAATTCTTGTCGTAGATTCTGGATTCCATATGTAAACGAAGTTGAGCTCACTTCGTCCATACCGTTGGCGAATGTCTCGAAACGAATCCCAATTTCCTTGGGCGCAGCGGGAAAGTCATCCATGCGATATTTTGACCACATATCGTCCTCGATCTCGTTCGCATTGAATATCGTAATTCCAGTCAGTCGATACGCCATGATAATTTCTTGCATCTTTTTCTGGCCCTTGTCGTCATTGACAATTGATGGAGGGGACATCAAGGCTTTGTCTAAGTCATAGCGCAGTGGATGGAGAAGGTGGAAGGCATGAGAACTATTTGCATGGTAATTCCAGCGGTCCATATGAGCAAGTCCTGAGAGAACAATTGCTTGATTACCATCAATAACTCCCTGTTCCTCCTCTTCGATCTGCTTCAACAGCTCTTCACGCTTTGCTTCCAGGGTCAGCACTTTGGTTTGGTGGCAAATAAAAGTAGAAGTAAGCTAACACTATTACAAGTCGAGGCCTGAGAGACGAACTGCCGAGCAATGCAAGTCCTTGAACATACGCTCCTGTCGCAGAATCTCGACATCCAGCTGCAGTGAAGATGGGGTTTCGCATGGCATCAAGTCCATGTTCGAAAGGAAGACTAGTTGATATATTTTTAAAGTACCTATTTTCTATTGACGTTATATCCCAGACGCGCTAGGGACAATTGAATCACGTTATCAATCCGGCCCATATAACCAGTCACAAACCACTCATAAACATAAACAGACCGCCAAAAAAAAAAAAAGAATGCCCTTCAAACTTCGAACGTCGCTCCACCTTCCCTATTCTGCTTATAACACATGGCACCAAAATCAAGAGAAAGAGTCCACAGCGATGTCGAATCGAGCGGCGACGAGGGTGCTATCAAGAATCTGTATGTGCGACGTTTTTATTATCAACAGAATGAATACTGCAGTTTTGGACGACTTAACTCTATTGCACACTGACTGACTGGGACTACGAGCAGTTGATGGAAATAGCACATGGAAACTGACAACACGTTTGCAACTCTGCCTTGACGCCGCAATAGGGATTACAAACCACCTAAAGACTTCTCGTTGTACAAGGCCAAGAAACACACGACATCGGTCTTTGACGTTGACGAGACCGCCAAGCACGAGCTCTGGCTGATCCGCGTACCGGAGGGCATTTCCAATGAGGATCTCAGCACTATGTCCCTCACTCTACCTCCAGAATCAACGCCATCATCGTCAGCCTCAAAGGAGACCTTGACATTGGGATCTTTGAAAAAGAAGGAGGCCTTCTCCAACTCCTCTTCTGCCACTACGACAAAATACCAGCTGCAGACCATTTCGCCCGAGTCAGGATTCGCCGGGGAGATGCTTGCCCTCCACGCACTTGTCCCAGACTCATCGAAGGGTGGTCGCCTTGTTCAGGCACCTCTAGGTGTTCGTCGTCATCTCGCATTGCTCGCCCAGCCCTCGATCCCGTCAGGAGCGCCGTTGGCAGAGGAGATTCTGTCTAGGCCCATCCCCAAACGAGAGCAGCCCGATGGACTGAAAATGCGGTTCCAGTTCTCAGGCTCGGAAACACAGGTACCAGGCACCAAGCTGTCAGGGTCCGGCAAGGAGTTTGCAGCGCGTTGGGCCAAGACTTTAGAGAGGAGACGGCGGGAGCAGGAAGAAGAGTTGTTGAGGGTACAGCAGGCAGAGGAAGGCATTGAGACAGAAGCAGAAGTAGAATCTGAGCAAGCTGCAGAGGCTGGCGAGTCTGAGATTGAAACCGAGGAGACTACTGCTATTGATAAGGCAGAAGAAGAGGCAGATGAGGAGGAGCAAGAGGAAGTTAAAGCTGAAGCAGTGCCAGGTAAGAAGCGCAAGGGCGATCACATGGACATGGATAGCGCAGAGGAGAGGAAGATCAAGAAGGAGAGGAAGGACAGGAAGGATAAAAAGGAGAAGAAAGAGAAGAAGGAAAAGAAGGCGAAGAGGGAGACTGAGTAGCAGTACGGGAGCATTCAACATCTACAACCAGCATTTGTACTCATTCACTCAGGAACGTTGCATCCGTCAATAAATGTTTCGACAACCGGCTTTCATTTCTCGGCAACGCGATGCGGTTCCTGCAAACCGTAAGAAAGGCTCCGTCTTGAGGAGGGCGCTTCGCCATGAGACAGACTCCACTGTAAGGCTTATTACAGAATATCCTGCTGAGGAGGACGTCGATACTCTTTCTTCAAAGCACACCTCTTCAATAGGACAATCATCCCTTACGCAGCTACATAGCTTTATTATGGCCCATACACCTGCTGTTAATACTATGCATGGGCTTGAGTGGAGCGCCGGAGGTCAGCTGCATCGTTGCACATGGAGCCTATTATGTCTTGCTCTGTACTTCGGAAGCATCATAGAGGATGAGCCCAGGACTGCTGTCTCCGTTTGCGCTTTTGCCTGTTCGGCGATAGCTGTCTTGTTATTCTTCTATGGTCTGTGATGTCTGTCTTTTTCATTATCGGAGCTGACCGCTGTTGAAGTTATGAATGAATATGTGAATGGATGGGACTGGCTCTGACATGCCTGCCCCGGGACAGACAGGAGACAACACGAAACAAGGGAGGTGGCAAGGCCTATTTTAAAGTTCTATTATTGTCCTGCAACCCAGGGCTGAAACCAAGCAAACTTATTAAACTAAATTTCCCTTGCCTTTTGTGTTTCTTCGCTGGGCTGATTGGCAATTGAAGGGAGGTGATTTTACCTTGAAGCGACCTATCCCTATACTTCCCATCGAGGGAGACAGAAGATGCGCCAAATGGTCATCTCGAGGAGTCACTGCAGCGTGAAGCGCGACAATTCAAAGAAAGAAAGACTCGGATAAGCAAGCATGTCCGTGGATAGATCATTAGTCCTGTCTTCGATCATATCCGGGGATATGCCAGGCTGTCGAACACATCCCGTCCTCTTGTATCTCCGTATCTATTAAGGCTTGCCAAGCAAAAAGGTTGCCGGAACGAAAGAGGCTGGCATTCTTGGCAGTGTATGCGCACGTTGACACCTGTAAAGTTTTTCGCGTCTCTTCACTCCCCATCTCGCAACACACCTTCTTTTCACATTCTCGCTCTTTCCCTATACAGCCATGTTACAATACAAACCTAACTTTTATTCCCAACCCTGAATGGCTGAATGCTCTGCAATCCCGAGCCCAGCATACACAGCATACCCAGCATGCTCAGCAGAGCATCGCTCTGCGTCGGCGGTTCGCGGTAACCAAGACCGACAGCGATACATCTGATGGAGAGGAGAATGCCCACTAGCACTCTGCACGCTAGTACAATTAGGCCTGACCGTCAAAGTGTCTCCAGCTCCTCACTCTTCAAAAGCGCGATACATTGTATCCTCACTCGTCAACCACAGTGCAAAGAACAATATGTCATGCCCACACGCTTTCAGCCTCGCCTCCAATGACTTTTCCTTACGACCCGTCCGCATTTCCGAAAGGAGTCCATCAACATATATCTGTTTTTCGTTTGCCCCAAACCCCACTTCAACGCCACCCGCACCATTAGTTTTTCTCCACAGCATTGACTCGTATTTTCAGACAAGCCAATATTTACTCCTTATACCCGACAGACGACATCACCCTTCGATGTCTCCAGGAGCTCTTCAGGTAAGTGGCAGCCCTAAGTCAGAGGGTGCAGGAGGCGGTGATTTACCGCACTTATAAGAGACGGTGACAGCGGCGCCACTGAAGACATAGCAAGTGCCTCCACCGAAGGAGCGAGCACGAGGAAGCACAAGTGTGGTCAAGTTGAGTGCGGTGCTTCTGTACGGTCTTCAACCAACCTACCTGTACCAATGTCGGTATAGTCTGTCTTTAATTTCGTGTGTCCTGATCACTGCCTTCAAGGTCACACAGCCTTTGTATGTGAGCATCGCGAACCTTGTAGTCATCCCTGTACCATGGTCTCTACCTAAACAACCTCTATTTGCGTCTTACTGCTGCCAATCCTGAGATCTACGCTTCCCTCTCACCTCTCAATCCGCGCTTCTCGCTTCTATATTCTAATTTGTGCCTTGGTCTCCAACACTCCTCGCATCGCAACCGATTACCGATCGGCTTCTACTTGCTTTTTCTTTACGTTTTTCCGTGATCCTCATCCCGAGGGCGCCAGTCATCTTTTTACTGCGTCCTTTTTATGAAAGTCCCTTTTCGCACTCAATGAGCTTGCCCTCCCTATGCTGGACCTGACATACAGCCTGACATGCTTGTTATCACATCGCTCCTTAAAGCATACGTAGATGCACATTATCTATCTTTGAATCTTTCTTTGCACACCACACTCGATTATTCTTCAGCCGATGGCATCCAGATCCCTTCGCTTGACGTCGTGTGGCGGACCAACTCCTCGATCGCTCTCCATATTGTTCGTCTCGAGATTTATCCTGTCCGGCGCTTGTCCTCCTCGTCAGGGAGACGTACCAGAAGCCGCGTAATCACCTTGTAAGCTAGGTTAAACGGTCCTCTTCCAGATACTGCCATCCAGGACAAGCGCGACCCTTAACTCGAGAGATCCACAGGTGTGGCATCCTGGGAATATTTAGTTCATCTGCCTCCTGCTCACATCTTTTCCCGCAATATACTCATGTCATTGTTATAATAGACTTCATGCATTTTCTTTCCCCGTAACTCCTAGCTGTATTGGAGCTGCTTCTTGTTGTACCATCCTCTGCCCTTAATTTAAAGGAGCAATTACCAGCGTTCGTAGCCTTAAAATGCATGGGTCCTAAATATGGATCGTGCATGTCCTACGAGTATATCTGCCCTCCGTCTCCTTGTGTCAGATCTTAATTAATTCCAGCAGGTCGGTCTCTTTTTCAGCAACAGGACAGACGCTTATCTTCTTGACAGGAGAATGAGTTCTTCAATGAACTCTCACGCACATCTGTACAGAACACCTGTCCTCGTCTATTTCGAATGTCCCATGTCCTTTGGTGCCGTTCCATCCTGGCTTCCCATGAGCTGCGCTCTTCTCCCTGATCCTTGGTTGTCTTGGTCACCTTGGTTCCCGCTTTTTGGCTGCTTGCTTGTCTTGGTGTTTTGTTCTTTTATTAAGAATGAAGGAATGAGTCCCCCCTTTGCATCATTCTTTCTTGTGTTGATCAATATCCATCTCCCCATTCCAGTTCCCCCACAGCCTTCGTTGTCACGACCGATTGTCGATCGTCAGTGCTCCCTCCAATCCTAAAAAAAGGTGCGTTTATGTTTATGTGTTACCAATATCTTTAACATGCATATACTGCGTGCTGTGTGTTTGTTTGTGTTTGTACATGTTTGTGTGCTGCAGTTGTGCAGGACATATGCTACAACGTTATCCGTTCGTCAGTATACGCACATCAATAGCAGCAACAACAGCAACGGCAGCAGTAACAGCAACAGCATCAGCAGCGGTATGAGAAGAAGTAGGAGGAGTAGGAAGAGGAGCACGATGAGGAGATGGCAGCTGCCAACTGGATGAGCAAGCATGTGCCTGTTCGTTTGGAATGAAAATAAAGATAAAAATACACTCATCTAGTCCATGGACAGGTTGTCAATGAGAGTGAGTGAATTGACGAGCATAGGATACGGCTGTATTTATTGTATTACATTGTACTCATATTCGAGGGCGAGTAACCTCCCCCTTCCTCCTCTCGCGTGCCCGTCAGTTTCTCTTTCCCTCTGTCTCCGTGTCCGCTCACTCCATCTCCTGCCCTCCTCACGATTCCCATTTTGGGTCTCTTCTTTCCTTAAAAGAGAGACAGAAAAGCATATCTCCTTCGAGCGGGCTATTTCCTCATCCCATCCGCATCCATTCTGACCGCCTCTGCCTTCGCTCTCTCGCGCTTCCTCGCGTCCATCCTCCCGTCGCTCTTGCCTTCTTGATCGTCTCCATTTCTTCTTCTTCTCCTCCTCCTCCTTCTTCTCTTCCTCTTCTTCTTCTTCTTTGTCTCTCATCACCTGCACCTCGACTACAAATCCGTCTCACTCGCTCCTACCATCCCTCTTCGCCCTCGCTTTCTTCTTCCTCATCTCATTGCTGCGTTATATCTCCACCCACCCACCCTCCTTATTGCTACGACCGATTACCTCCAATGTACGAATGGAGCCCAAAGTTCTATGATCGTCTCTGCAGAATACAGCCGACTTGAATTCCCCTCCGCTAACCAAACCACTCTTTTGCCTTTCCGACATACTCGATGAAAAGTTCGCCCAGTCAACTACCATCCTTAGTTTGCACCCCGCCAAAGCCGTCCCGGCATCCTCATTCCAGAATAGCATACCTCTCCTTTATCTGTCCACATCCCAATCGCGCGGCAGCTTTCAACCGCCCAGGCTCGCTTAGCCCTTCGAAAGCACTATCGCCATCAATACACTCCAATCAACAACAGCACCTTTTGCCGATCACAGCTGACGCACTAACACCCTCACTGATTCCTATCCAACGTCTCCACAAACTGTCAGTCGTCCTTGTCTCCTGGACTTCAAGCACTTTTACAAACAAAAAGAAACAACAGGTATAATGACTCTTTCCGTCCTCTCCCTTATTTTTATATGCCTTTCTTTGATAATCTAAAGTCATTCAACGTCGTACACACCATTATCCGGCGTAATGTAATGTGTAAAGGGCTCTACGCGTTTTCTCAAAAGTGGGTTACATAACGCTGTCAGCCCGCTCGCGGGGGCGTATCTAGTTGGAACGACGTCCACTCTCTCTCCACATTCTTCTCCTTTCTCGTTCATTCCTGCTTTCTCCGGTCTTACGAAAGGCATCTCTGGATGGATGTAGCAAGCCGAGGTGACGAATAAGCATGGTTTTCACCATCATCTTCTGCACCTTCGCTCTAGCCCACCTGACTTTAACTTACTCTGCTTTGTCTATTCCTGCTATCCTGTGTATCCCTTCTTGAGCTTGGTCATCCTCTCATTGATTAGTCGCCCTACAAAGCTCAGTCAAATGGGGATACAAAGGGAGAGCAAAAGAAAAAAATCGAGATGGGACCCAGAGATTTGTGAGAGACAGAACCAAGGGAGCGGAAGACGGCACTGATAGCTCTTGCTTTGACTGCGTGGCGCCCCGTCTCCGATCGCATTTGATTTTTTTCTTACATATTCATATGTGCATCCCTTGCCTATCTCTTATTCCCATCCCTGGATGCTTACCTTCATAATGACTTCCTACGCTCATGTCTTTTTGCCTCTCCCCGGTTACGCACGGATTTCATGTGTCCTTACCTTCAGACGTTTTCTTGCCCCCTTTTGAGTGCGTACGCAGATTTTCTTTGCAAGAGCGCTGCTAGTGCTGCCTTGCATTGAGTTTTTTGATGCCATGGTTCAAAGCAGACGACATTTACAGTTTATAGTTCGGCGATCGATGGTTCGTGCGCGACATCCTGTCCACTTTAAATCCGCGCGAGTTAGGCAACCCACAGACCATCCCCATCCTTTTTCTTTACGGAGCGTTATATATTCTGACCAGTTCTCCACTTTTACTAAACCCCACTCGTTCATCGCTTTAGCCACCATGACCGCCATCCCAGACGCAACATTCGACCCCTCATCGGCACAGCGGATGCCTCAGCTGTCCACAGGCCATCTCATCCCAGGAGCGCCCACAGACATGTCCCTCAGATCGCCTCTCACACCACCACCCACACCCCTCATCACCGATAATGGTAGCGCCGGTCAGGACAAACTAACGGTCTCTGCGCGGCAACTTCAGAACCACGTACTCCAGCCCGAATTCCTTTCAGAGTACGTTCTGGGTGATGAGCTCGGATCAGGCGGCTTTGGGTTCGTTGTCTCTGCCACGCGCATGTCCGACTACAAGGAGGTTGCCGTCAAGTTCATCTTCCGCGATAAAGTGCCCGTCCACGGATGGGCCAAGGACCCTGAGCTTGGAGTCATTCCCATGGAGATTTATGTCCTCCGTAATGTACAGCACAGCAACATTATCGGATTTCTGAACGCGTACCAGGACCCAAAGTTCTTTTATCTCGTTATGGAGCTGCATGGCACTCCCTGGTCGGCAAACAACCCTCTTTTGAATAAGAACAACACATCCGTGATTGAGGCCATGGGCAATGCTACATTGAGCCAGCAACGTCTCTCCGGCTCGTCATCGACCTCAAGCTCCGTGTCGTCGTCTTCATTCCAGAGCACATCCACCTCGAGCTCTTCGATAAGTCTCAGCCATTCCAGCAGCGAAAATGAGCTCTATATGGAGCCTCCAAAACCCTCGCTCCTTGTGCGTCGAACATCATGCGATCTGTTTGAATGTATTGAACACCATTCTAAATTTTCAGAGTCCCAGGCTCGCATCATTTTCAAGCAGATTGTCGAGTGTGTCGAGTACCTCAACTCGCGGGGAATCTGCCACAGAGACATCAAGGACGAGAACGTTGTCATTGATAATGATTTCAAAGTCAAGCTGATTGATTTTGGATCCGCTGTTATCATCCCCAGGCCACACGGAAAACTTTTTGATCGTTTCTATGGTACCATCAATTGTAAGTTGCAGGCTTGCTTTACATTTTATTTTTTACTATTGGTTTATTTGGTGGATTTTAACTGCAATCTTTCATGACCCTATATCGTAGATGCGTCGCCCGAGATCCTGAAGGGTGAGAAGTACCGTGCAGAGTCTGCCGAGATTTGGTCATTGGGCATCCTGCTCTACACAATCCTCTACGGTGAAGTTCCGTTCAACGATCCTCTGCAGGCCATTTCGGGTCCATACATTTCCCCCCGCGTCCAATCATCTCCAGAATGCCTGCATCTATTGAACTGGATGCTCGCTAAGAGCCCTGAGCGCCGTGCTACGATCGAAGACGTTGTGGACCATCCCTGGATTGCAGGCTTGACCATGGCAGGCACAGCATAACACGGGCAACTGCAGCTGTAGTTGTAGAACTGTGTCTGCTCACTCCCCACTCTTTGTCACCTATACCACCCACTGTGTACTTGTGCTCTCTTTGTTCCTTTGCTGTTGCCATTGTTATCCTCTGTTCATTAGCGCATTGCTCATTAATACTCATCACTAGACCAAAGCCGAGACTGGAACTCGGACTTTGATAACTACTTGTCCTTTTATTCCTTAATTATTATACCTTCCCTCTATCCAGGAAGCAGAAGTGTGAAAGTAGTACTTCTTTCTGATTCGTCTTTACTTCTGAGTCTCCTTGTGCTTGGCTCCACAATTCTATAATATAATCTAACCACATTCTCCGTAATACCCGCTTCAAAGGACTTGACTGGCTTATGTGGAACTCCTATCAGCCTTGACGTTTATCTTTGTCTCAGCTCCAGGCACAAATAAACAAAACCGAGCATCAGACAGAAAACGGCGCTTGCAGTGTGTGCCATCGTGTATATTGTCGCAATTGTCTATTAGCAAGGACTGGATGCGTTTCTCTACATAGCTTGCTCACTAGTGGATAGGAACCATCCTTGTGTCCACAGTCTATAAGACTCGCGTTGTATCGCTTGTAATCTCCACGCAAGCGCCTGCAGCCTCCTGCCGTGGATCTCTGCTCCTGGTACCCGGGAGTCATCTCTACACTGATCCCGTATGAACTTGGGTACATAAATTTTGGTAAAGACGCGTGAAAGACAAGCCATTCAGTTCGTCCAGAATTGAAATTAGCTCCATGTATGTCATACGGGGCCCATAATCACCATTGCAGCTACGGGTATAGTTGTCAGTCTGGTTGCCGGATATCATGGCTTGACGGCGGGAGGAAAAATTGTGCTGCTTTGCTACCTCTAGTCCTTTATGTCGAATTTGAGTTGATCATTGGCAAGCATATCGAGTAAAGATTCAGGGCACTGGTGATGGTATAGATATGTGGATCACAAAAGAGGGCCATCATTCATCATTTGTAATACTGAATGGTGCCTTCTGAGAATGGACAAAGGTCGAATATAACTTGTTCGATGGTCTAGATTGTTATATTTTTCAAAACTGGTTTTGTGTATATGTACTGTGCTGGATTCTATACATGTGAGGTAAAGGGCGCGACCCTACGCAAGAAGAGGCGTCGAATTTTGAGCCCCAGTGAAGTAATGATGCTGTTGATGCTGCCAATTCTGTTGATGCCGCCGATGTTGTTGATGCTGCCGATGCTGTTGATACGCATTACTGCCCTTTGCAGTCCTCTTCAGAGGCCGCTGCTGCTGCCAGAGCAAACATGGGTCCCAACTGAATCTCTGGCGAGGACATGATCCTTGACGTCCGAGGCGAAGGCGCGAACTCCAGCTCCAGGGGCGCCGACTGTACCACTGTCTTCTCGCCAGGAGAGAATGAACGTGGGGAAACATAAAATGTGCCCGTGGAAAACGTTCTTGTTGGGGTCGGTGGCGATGGTCCCGTTCCTTCTGCAGCCATTGTCGTCGCCGCTACAGTAGTTCCCATGCTCGCAGTTGGAGATGTTGATGTCGAAAGGGGAGCTCCGGATGCAGCGTTGGATCGTCCTGTTTCGCCAAATCGCATTGAGTGCCGCTTCTTCCGCTCAGGGACATCCCACTCTGAAGGCAACCCTGTAAACGAGTTCTGCCGTCCATGCTGACCTGGTCGCTGATCCGTAGACGCTGTTGACGACGATGGCTGTCTCGGAGACGAAGGTAATGAGGCCGACACAGAACTCGGTAAAGAGCGCATGGTAACGATATCGCCGCTGCCGCCACCAACAGAGTCCCGGTTACTCTTCAAGATCTTGAACGGATTCAGGTCTTCAAAGGCCTGGTCGACCTTGGAGCTGCCCGTTGACCAGCGAGCCGAATGGCCTTTTGGCATTCCTGTTATAGATGCCGTGGACGTGTTGGTGAAGGTTGAGCTGCGAGGGATTGCTCCAACTTTATCACTCTCCTCGCTTTGAACATTTGGTTGGTTAGGTTGTTGAGCAGTACCCATTAAATGGGCCTTGAATTGGCTGGGAGACATCATACCGGACGACATCGAGAGCCTCGCAGATTCCCGTTGTGCCCGCGCTGTCGCTGTATCAATCCGAGGACGCTGCTGCTGTTGACCGGACTGGGCATCTCCCTGATTTTCGTGCATTGTCAGTATCTTGAGCGATGACTGGAGCATGCTCTGGCGCCTTCCCTCACGTTCCCGCGCATCATGGCCTTCATCATCAGAATCGTTCAAGTCCTCTGTCGTGTCAACCAGCACATGCGTAGGCGCCTCATCATGAGCTTCAAACCGCATCGAGCCCCTCTGACTTCCTGGGGTGATTCTAAATCCATCATTGATGGACCGATTATCCTTGGGTGTCCTGAATGGGTCCGACTGGAAGCTGGACTTGCTCGTAAAACTCATACCTCTGCCTCTGGTCGATGACCCCCCGACGCTCCTCATGCCCATGCCACCTACAGTCGAGGAAGTCTCACTCGAGATATCGTCCGGATCCAGGATGCCACGGTGACTGCCATACATCGACGGGGTATCGTTCTCTTCGTCGGCTCCAAGACCATGGCGGCTCCGTCGTGTTATAGACTTCTTTTTCGACGATAACCTGCCCATTTTGGGGGCTATTTTTCCTGTAACCCCACCTGCTTTGGCGCCTTTGCTTCTCAGGTCCATCTCATGAGCATTCTCGTCATCATCATCATAAGCAATGTCAAGCGATGACATTTGATCTCCGGAGGGTGTTTGCTCAGGTTTTGGGGCGCTCAGCATTTTGACGCCGTAGATGAGAGCCCCGATACCAATAAGGACTAGGAGAAGAACCCATGGCTCATAGCTGCCGAGCTGGTCGAGATAGATAGCTGAGTTGATGAGTCCAAATGCAGTGTAGAATCCGTAAAAAGTCGGCACCACCAACACAGAGTCGTAAAGCTTCAGTCCTGTGTTCAGACAATAGACCTAGCACGCAAAAACAAAAAGTCGCTGTTTGTGAGGACCACGCGATCATTTAAAAGAGACTATTAAAGGACTGTACAGTATCCTGACTGTCGACTTACCTGAAGGATGGCAGTAAAGACGAGAACAAAGAGAATAAAAAAACTGAGGTTGTCCGTAAATTGGTTCTGGCCAGCCAAGGTCGAAGTAATCAATTTGACACCGCTTTTTGCTAACAACAGTGTCTCGCTCGCTAAGAGTCCTCCGCATGCGGACATAATCATGGCAACAACCTTCTTCAGCCTTAGATCTCTTGCTTCGGCCTCAAGACCCTCGTCTCCATTCAGAGTCAATCCTGAGGCTCTCGCAAAGCGATTCGTGCCCAGCAGCTTCGTCAACTTGGTCTTCATATTCTTCCGGAGCTGGCCCGACTCGTCGTCGAGCGATATAGCCCAATAGGCATACATGCCCAGGGCCAGGAATGCAAAGATGATGGTGTTCAGGATCGAGAAGTAGATGATGAAGACTGTCTTGGCAAACAGTGCCTTTAAATCCGTGAGCGTCAGCGTATCCTCAATGTCGCCTCCAGAGTTCATGCCGCCAAAGATGACGATCCAGACGACCGATAACATGACGACAATTGTTCCGTAGACATCCTTGCGAGTGATTTGAGTGCCGACAAGGATTTTAGCAAAGATGAAGTTGAAGACTAGGGCAATGGAGCCGAGCGGTGCAACCCACTGCGTCTTTAAAAAGTCTATTCAGGACAAAAATTCACATGCACCGGTTAGCAAGTGTCTGATTCAAGCCTTTAAGCCTTTTTTTAATGCGATATCGCCTTCAGCTTGATGTCGAAGGACAACAATCCTGAGGTCGTTATTTTCTTGTTGATCGCTTGCATCGGCTGTTGATGATAAGATAACTCGACATCGATAGTTGCTGAGTCTGTTAACGATCCCAATGGGGTTTCTTGCGTCCTCGATGTTCATATGCGCTTTACAAGGACAGGGTTGGTCCATTTCGATGGCTGATGTAACTTTTTCTCCTTGTCATGGGCCCTACATTGCCCTTCCCTTCATTCTCGTCTCTGCATTGATCTGTGTATCCGGTTCCTTAGAAACTGTTACATAAGACAGAAAAAGGCGATAGAGACAGAGAGAGCGATAGCGTTTCAGAAGAAAACAAAAATATACAGAGCGACTTACTCAGGGCGATTGTGCTTCCGGCGAGTTGACTGGCGATGTAGAGGTATAATCCAATGTGCCACATAGGTCGTCCACACTCGTTGCGTTGTCTCTCCATGGGGAGCGAGCTGTTCCTGACGTGGTCTAGCTTGAGTAGGTTAAGTCCTGCAGCGTTCATGATGGATGCGATAAGCGAAACAGCAAACCCGATGACAAAGTCAAGGAAGGCGCTTCCTGTTACTGCCATGGTGGCTGGCTGTAGGAGGATTTGTATTCAAAGGAGGAAAAGGAGGGGAAGAGAAGGTGGATTTGAGTGCGTAGGATGCGAATGAGAGAGGATGTATGTGTGGAGTGCAGAGCGGAGAAGGTTGAATTTCAGAGAGTGTGTGCGGGTGTGGGTTGGAGAGCGAAGGCGACCTTCCGAATCTGGACCTGGGACATTCCCAGCAGCAACTGCAAGTTGGCACCGGTGTCCTGACGGCGTGGGGGAGAGAGCACGCTGGGGCAAAAGATGGGGAAGAAGGAAGGAAGGAAGGAGATGAGTGTGCTGGGGATGAAGAGAGTCGAAGGATGCTGCTGCTGGATGAAGAAAGCGGTGGAGTGAGGATGGGCAAGAGAAAGATGAAGGAAGGGGATGGAAAGGAGGAGGAGAATGATGAGGCGGCAGGATGAGGAGGAGGAGGCAGGAGGAGAATGATGGATGCGAGATTTTGATTATTTTCATAAGCGTCTGTCTATCTATAGTCTATTTTTACTCCACCCACAGAGTGCACTTGTGCCATCCCACCCCATCCCATCCCAATGCAATTTAGACTGCCGGTCTGTGGTGTAACACAAACAATCAAATAGCAAATTCATTTTAAGCGTGTGTTCACCCCTGTCTCTGGAGCACCCACCACCCCCTATTCCCATCCCATCCCACGTTGTCGCCCACAGAAAGATCTGCCCTGGACTGTGCGCAGGAGAACACGTTCTCTCTTCACCGCACGCGTCGACCTATCAGATTCTTCGGCTACAGATGAGTCGGAACTTCGCCCAATGAGAACCAGCCTGCAAATGAATCCGAAACAGCACTCTGACCACTTTATTTTCCCGTACCCTCCCTTTCCCCTACACACCCTCCACATACGCTGTCGCTGTCGTCATTGCACCGCCCACACTCCCGCCTTCTCCGCCGCTCATCAGCGTACTATTCGCCATCGTGAACTTGACCTGACCCATCTCTGCCCTCATCCCATTCGCCTCTTCCTCTGCCAGCCGCTGCTTCTTCAAACTTGTCGCGATCGGGTATCCGAGCACCAGTAGCACCAGTCCACACATAATCAGCAGCATGCTCGTGATATTCACCACCCCTCGACACGAGCACACTCCCTCAAACCTCGATGGCTCCGGTAAATGCATCAACTTCTCTGAAATGTCCGACTGACTCGATGACTGTCGACCGTGTCGTCTCAGGAACTCAAGTCCAAACAGGTTGCTCGAAGTCAACCTTGACATTAGTCCGCACGGCTCCAGCTGGTGCTGTTCGCGAGCCTCCCGCAGGCCCTTTTCTTCGTTCCCGCTACCGCGCCATCGGTCAAGGGTATCCACGGATTTAACGCCAGCCTTGCGTTGCAAGGCACTCATAGAGGATGACGGCGTGCCATGGCAAACGGCCATTGCCAACGATGCGGTCGATAAACTCGGCATTCCACCTTCCCTAAACCTAAAAGCACCGTCATATCTTGCTTGGGCACGCTCACGCTCGAATTGTCCAATATAGTCCGTGCCCCTTAGAGGGCCCATCAACGAATCCGTGGACATTGTCGTAGTCGATCGATTCAACAACGCATTGCTGCCAGCGATATCTCGCACGTGCTGTGTATCAACCATCGCCGACATTGCTAGAGCACTACCTTGGTTCCCGTAGAATGACATGGTCGGTGGGGGGGCCTTCAGCACCTCGCCAAGCTGCTCATACTGTTGTTGCTGTTGATACGCAGACGATCTGATTGGATGTAGTGTATACATCAAAAACTCTTCATCGCTCTCGTCCCCACAATCCCCAAATATTGCAGCTTCCTGTTCATGGCTCGTCATCAGTGTCAACGACGAAGACACTAAGCTCGGGCAGAAAGTAACCGTTGTCGCCGAAAGACCCGCCTGTTCGTCCATCGGGGGCTGTGGTATCACAATCGTCGGGATCATCACCGGAGTATCCCTTCGCCTGGATCCTGGCGAGAACGATGCCTCGCACAACCCGTGTGCATACCCATCATACCCTGTTGTCTTTGATCGCCGTACATATGCTGTTGGCAAAAACGAAGGTGAGTGCACATTCCTGGGGACAGAGGCTGACCTCGAAAGACCTGCTACTGCTGACGAAATGAGGCCTTGGAACGAAGAAAAGGACAGCGGAATCGCTAAAGACGGACTCGAGGGCGATCTGTATAGCCCAAAGGTTGTTGCGCTCGAACGGCAGTTAGGTCGCTCGTCCTGTCCCACAACTGGATCGTGCGCAGAGGTGTTGTCTCTAACGCATCCATCCACCATCCGGAGCATGGTTTCCTCCGCCAGTTTCTTGCTCTGACTGCTGTCTTCTCGTTGACTGGAAACGAACTCAAACATCATTGGTAGCGCAGAGAGGGGTGTTGTTGTACTCCTCTTCAGCCTGAAGAAGGACGAATCCAGAGATCCTGTGCGCAACAGACCCGTACTTTTCAAAGATTCTCTTGACACAGAATCTGAAACCGGAGATGATGCAAGCGAGAGCGAGGTGAAGTCGCCACCAAGAGAGACAGGTCTTTGGGCTTCGCCCGGGACAGGGACAATATCCGCATAGGCCTTGCGGAAAGTCCCTCGTATAGCAGCAGTACGAGGATGTATCATCCAATCCTCTGTCCTACTTTCGGTTAGTCTCATAAAACCTGCCTGTTCCCTATGGATCAAGGCTGCGTCCCCGTCTTCGCTTCTTCTCCGTCCACCTACTTTCCCCTTCAACGATAGCGCTCCTTGGCGAAAAATCGATGCTGTGCCATCATCGTCATCGTCTGTTCCATAGATAAGCATATCATTGTCTGACTCCCATGGATCGAGTCCCTGTCTCTTTGTTCTGAGTGTTGATCGTGAGGTCCTCTGACGCTGCCGACCATTTCCTTGTCCAGCAGACGTGACGAACGTATTTCTCTTGAGGCTCCAGATATAAGAGGCGTGCGATAAACCACGGAGGTCTCTTTCCATCATGGTATTGGCGTGGTCCACAATTCCGTTGTTGCTTTCGATGTCGATGCCGATGTCAATCTTACTTGTTTGTGAAGTTTTCCGTTGAGACAGCTCCATATAGAGTAGATAGGATCGACAAGAAGGTGCGACTGTTACTCCGGTAGAGTATTGGTCGCAATCCTGCGAGGGTTCGCTCGCTGAGATAACCGAAGGTGCCGGCAAGTGCGATGATACAAGGTTTGGTTTCTGGGTAGATTGACTCATAGTTGACCAGTATCCTCGGTCCTCGATGTGATGTTCAGGGTAGACAGGCGACGGAGGCGTGTATGTGCTGATAGAAACCAAATCTTGGTCATGTTCCAGGCCAAATAACTGCTGCTCATGATGCAGCGACGGCGGCTGGTACGGCGCCGATTGTTGGTTCGGGATCGTGTTTGTGTTTTGGTATGAATTGATTCTCAGCGCTTTGAACTTTTCGGTTCCTGAGTCTTTGTTGGTTGGGTCAAGAACGGCCAACGCGCCCCGTCTCGCCTGTATAACCCGTTCCTCGTCATTATCCTCGCTACTATTGTCATTGCCATCATCATTATCTGTCTCATGCTTCCTGGTGCTCTTCAAGTTAAAGAGAACACGACTTTCCGAGAATGAATTCATGTGAAAAGGTCTGGCTGGCAGTGTGGACTGCCGATGATTCAGAGCGTTGCTCGGGCCCAAGAAAGGATTCGCGACGATTTTAATCTTTTTGTTCTTCTTCATCTTGTCCCTCGGGAGGTGGGTAGCATCGATCGTGCACGCTGACTTGTCTTTGCCCATTTCCCGAAAGCAATAACTGTATAGGGTTAAACTGCAACAAAGAACCATATTAGCAGTGTAAGATGTACTCATAGACGTGGACCTTTCGTTGACAGTGTAGTACATACGTGTTGTACCTGTTGAAATTGTAGATGCCTTGGCTGGCTTAAAGAAAAGTCTTTGCTGCTGTTGTCTGTGAATTTTGATAGAATAGCTGGAGGCGTATGTGCTTGAGGGATATTAATTGCGACAAGGGCCCTAATGCGAGTATGTCTAGTGGTATGGGTGCTGCTCGTGCTAGGTTGGGATGTTTAAGTGAGAATGATATGCAGGGCGAAGTCGATGGATTCAATAACAATTGGCTTCAGATTAATGAGCCAGTGAGGGAGATTCTTCGTTCTTCTTTTTCAAAGACGAAATAGATGGCTCCGATAGAGCAAAATCCAATAGCTGAGATGCTAGGAGGCAATGTAGACGCTGGAATAACAAAAGTGGGAAAAAAGCTACGGCATGTTGCTCAGAGGAATATGCATTCGATTCTGCCCCGTATTTAGGGTCTGTTATAGCAGCAAAAAGTACTGGGTCACCAAGAAAGACGAGTATCGTATCAAGTGGCTCCCTTTCACTTGCAAACGTAACAAGTCGCCTAGAATAGAAACTATTATTCGCGAGCTGATGACAACAGCGACGAAGTCATTTCGTACTTGATCACTGAAAAAGGATCGATTCTACTCCTCACTGGAGCCGGGTGAGTTTCAACACGGCATGTTGATAAGGGAAATGGGGCAAGAGAGCGGCGAAGACGCCCAGTTGGTATCATGGATAGATTAAGCGTTAAGTAGGCATATTAGACTACCGTACTGGAAGTGTTCTCGATTGGCCAGCGCAGGAATTGGAATACAAATTGAAGAAACACGGGGGCGCTCCTTTGCTTCCATTTTGACGACCCAATATGACGCCGGGCAGGATAGCTATGCGATGAATTGGCTGTTGCCCCTTGTAATAGAGAGACAATCTGCATTACACAATGCATATGCAACTGGAATGATATTCTCTGAGACTTTCGTCCCGGTAAATTTATATATACTTAAGGGCACTCCCCAAGGTACCAGCCATATAATAATTGGTTCGTGCGCATTTGTGTAACAACATGCGATGCCATTGAAAAATGCGTCCCATCATAGCTCATGTTTAAAAGATGTCGTTTCTTCAAACCCAGGTTCAATAGTGATGTCTATGAAGATGGATTAGCAGTAATTTTGCCACAATAGCACTAGTTGCAGCAGTAATGCTGGATCAGCAGCGCAAGTCCCTTGGTGAGCAGCGGTTTGGTCATGTACTCGTCCATGCCTGCTTTGATACATGACTGCCAACAACGTTTTTTTTTTTTTAAAAAAAATGAGCCAGAAAGAGAGAGCAATGTCAGAGAGTGTCATTAATGAATGGTTGCAGGGCTGGTTAAGAGTATGAAGCGTACCTCTTTTGTTGATTGTTGAATATCAGCACTGAGTCCGACAATCGGAATACGCAGCAGTTGATCACCATTTTTCTGGTCCTGTGCAAATTCAGCTTCAAATGCGCGCACCTTCCGGGTTGCTGCCAGTCCGTCCATGATAGGCATGTGCTATAGCAGAATCATTGAGTAGCCTCGTAAATATTATGCAGGATATATCCGTCCTCCCCACATGAGTGACAAAACCGTGCCTTGCTTACAAAAAAAAACAGACTCAACAAAACTTACATGGTCAAAGATCGCGATGGCGTAGTGTCCAAGTTCGACAGAAAGCCATTCGTCAACAGCTTCCTGACCATTGTTAGCGATAAAGACATTCATCCCTAACTTAGACAGTTGTCTACAGACGATAAGATACGTTAGCTCCAAATTCATATATTACAAATGAATCGTGTTCAGATAACATGGTACTTACTTCTCCAAAATCTTTTGTGATACAAAATCGTCTTCAGCGACTAAAACGTTCTTTCCGCGACAGCTTTCCCGTTGCTCCGAGGTCAAGAGCAGCGTCAGCGCATCGTTGTTACGGGCACGTCTAGGCATGTTACCATCATGTACCCCGATCAGGGTGCCACTCAGTCCCAGATTCCGCAGAGGTTCCTTCTCCGCGACAGGATCCAAAGAGTCCATTGTCTCATCCAAAAGAGTTGGCAGCTCAGGGTCGCTCAGGGTCGTTTTGTAACGTCTTTTCAGTTCTCCACCCGTCAATATATCCAGAGTTGCTTGATCTCGTCTCCGCTTCAGCGATGAAGACGGCTCGGACGAGGACGAAGTCGACATGGGCGAAGCTGACCGTCTTTGAGGCGATTCAGAGTACGATGAGAATGTAGATGGGGACGATGACGTTGAAAGAGACGTAGCTCTATCTAAGGAGTGTCGCCGTCGTCTATCATTCTCCTGGCCATTATCGTAATCAAAGCTTTGCCCATCTTGTCCAACATGCTCACCATCGCGCACGACATGCCGTCCTACATCCGATGTCACCGAGTTCTTTCTCGTCTGGCCATGCTGATTGAGTGCGTTGTACAGTATCTGTAACAACTTCATCCGTCTCACAGGCTTGATCATCCGGTATACCTGGAATGTAGTGGTTTCCAGCCTTGGAACGCCATTGCTACTCGTGTCAGCTGAATGGGGGATGGGTCGCGCTACTGTAATTTGGCCCCGCGACTTCCGCTTCTTGAACAGCTGCGAAGGTACGCTGGCAGGCTTGTTCGCGATGGTAGCCTCGGAAACGACGGCACTTCCAGCAATGTTAGCTAGGGCAGCGTGGTTCTGCTGGGCACTCATCTCATGAGTGATCCTCTGGACCCGACCCGCGGTCTTCCCTGGTGCACAATCCACCTCCAGAGGGCGGCAGATTCTCCCTCGACCTCCAATGTCAACTTGTGCAGACTCGGGTTCCTCCGACTCCGTGCGCGACTTCCGTGTCGCCGGCGGGAGGATCCATCGAAGAGTTTCAGTCGTAGGAGCCAAGAGCAACACAAATGCAACAGCTGGCGAGGGATAGATGCGGTCAAGCTCCGCAGAGTCCAGGACATGGTCGATCAAGATAAAATCAAACTGTGTCAGGCTATGAATAGTGGATATACCGCCCCACGACATCCCGGCTGCATTTTGATCACGCGAAGCCGCCCCCATATGGTGCTCTGAATTATCGATACTCATGTTGTCAGGCTGGTTTGAACCAATAGATTCCTCGGTCATCATGATCGCTCCACTGGCCAGCGCAGATGCCATAGTATCGTATTCGGCGCAAATGGTCCCCTTGAGCGTCCTGACGATCTGCTGCCGTAGCTGACGGTTCGGTGACAGGATCAAAACGGTCTTTTGCTTGATCGCCTCCAGTCGTGCGGTTAGGATCATACTACACTCCTTGAGTCTCGCAGCTTCCGCTGGACTCTGCTCCTCGTCATACACAGTATCCGTCCTCAGCTTTGCCGTGAAGGCGAACGTTGCGCCTTTGCCTTTCTCGGACTCCACCGTGATCTTGCCCTGCATGTGAGCAATCAGCTGTGAGCAAATTGAGAGTCCAAGACCCGTACCACCATATTTGCGAGTTGTGCCGTTATCCGTTTGTTGGAAGGAGACAAATAACATCTTTTGCTCCTCGGGTGTCATGCCGATTCCCTGATCCTTGACAGTGCAGTGCAACGTAATTTCGTCCCCCAGCTTTAAATCGTCAACTTCAATGTCGTGTTGCTGCCTATGCGTTTTCTTTCCTGCGAGAAGAGCGAGCACGTTCTGTGAGGACTTTTCGTTCTTATATCGAATAATATCTTCACGCCTGATCCTCTCGTGCCAGAACTCAACGACGACGTTGCCTGTGCTTGAGAACTTGATGGCGTTGCCGATAAGATTCATCAAGATCTGCTTTATCCTGTCGGGATCGCCAATTAAGATCAATGGGAGAGCATCGTCAAAAAGGATGATAAGTTCCAGTCCCTTACGGGAGGCGAGAGGAACCAGCAAATCACAAACATCTATAGTGAAAAAAACCACGGGAATGAATAATGACAAGAGTACCATTAGTATGGAAGAAGGAGGAGATAGGCGCAATATTGCGCTCTCGCAACGCTGTGATTACCTCCAAGGATCTCCTCAAAGCAAAGAGGGATGTGCTCCAATGTGACCTTATCCGCCTCCAACTTGCTAAAGTTGAGCAGGTCGTCCACAATCCGGATAAGCATCTCGCAGGAAGCTTTGGCCATATCCACGAATTCAAACTGCTCATGTGACAACCCACTTGAGTCCCGCAACAGAGACAGCATCCCTAAAATCCCAGAAAAGGGTCTACAAAGACAGTACCGATAGAAAAGAGTGAATAAAAATGGGGCTAGTCTTTATAACCCATACATTCCCTGCTCCTAGGTCTAGAGCAAAGACGGGTAATAACTTACGTTCGCAATTCATGGCTCATGTTGGCCAAAAAGTTGGATTTGAGCTGCACGGCGCGTCTCTGATCATCAATATCGATCGTTACCGTAAGCCATTGGATGATCTTATTATCTGGCGGAGACTTGATCGGCAACATCCGCACGATCGCCCAGCGAAACGATCCGTCCTTCAGTTTATAACGACTCTCCCTAAATGTACGGTCAATTGTAAATGAGAAAGACTTGATGGTGGCTGTGGCCATCATACAACTGCAGTCACTACCGTTCACCTCACCATTGACAGGGTACGCCTGCTTGAACGCGCTCATGCCAATGTTGCGCGTATATCGTAACCTCATCCTTGTGCGTCAAGATTTCCCATCCTGAGTCCATAATTTCATCCACAGTGAAGCCCGTCATGTCTCTCCAGCTTGAATTGATGTACTGACAGTTTTCGGCGGTCGCGTCCCAGAGTGCTATGCCGCATGGCATATTCTCTAACAGCCCGTTGAGTTTCGTTTCCGACCGCAGGACCGACTGATAAAGCAAGGCGTTGGTGATCGAGATGCCGAGCTGCTGCACCAGTAGGTTCATGACTAACATCCGCTTGTTCGCAAAAGCACGCTCAGGAAAGTCTTCCATATATAGCACTCCAACCATGCCTGCCTTATGCAGGATAGGGGCGCAGAGAACAGTCTTGAGGTCTGCACGACGCTTCAAATAGTCGTCTGCGCAGAATCGGGGGTCGTCCTTGGCGTTGGTGAGCAGGCATAGCGCTGAGGTATTGACCACATAGTTAATGATTCCGTGGAATAATGAACTACACTTGCTTACTTTCATCGGCGGGTTCACGGCTTCACACCGCCCCATAGCGCCCTGAGAGGCTGCAAGGACAAGATCCTGGTCCTTGGATATCATCACACAACAACGCTTGGCTCCAACGCTCTGGTTGAGTACACCTAAGGACTTGACCAGCAGCAGATCCAGGTCGATCTCACTTGCGATAACTTGCATAGCTTCGATGACAGACGAGAAATCGAGGACATCCAAGTCTGTGCTATCCATCTCCGGAGATTGCGGCGAGGCCAATGAGTTGCTTTGCAGTTGATGAAGTGAACCAGTGGATAGGTTTACAGAAGAAGCACTTCCAGCCAAAACACTCGACACCATGCATGACTCTGCCATAGCTGTCGCGGCCGCCGAGACAGCATCGTTTCCATAGTTACTGGGGCTATACATCGTCTTCGGACTACTACTGAGCCAGGAAGAAGTTCCGTTCGCAGGCGGCAAAGTGGCTGCAATAAGAGTTCCCGATCCTGCTGGTCCACTGGAGGTCAAGGGATAAATTGGTAGGTAGGAATCTGCTTCGTTGGGACGATAGAACAGTCCTCGTGCTGGCACTATAAGTTCGGCGTCTGGCAGGGACCCAAACATCTGGGGATAAACCTTGTGGAACCAGAGAACCTTCCCGCGCGCACCCCAGTTCTGATAGCCCTTGCAAGCGTTCGCCATCAGACATCTTGCACTCGTGACAAGTCCATGCCTAAGATGACACTTGGCTGCCAGCTCGAACGCGAAACACTGGTGCAATGGGAAGTCACCTTCGGTCGCATAAGCAATGGCCTTCTCATACAACAACAGCACACTTTCCAAGTCTCTCGTACCATCCTCAGGCGCCTGGTCTGCAATCTCCGCCTCTAGTAAATGGAACATTGCCGCATGATTTGTTGGATATTTTGCTGCGTGTATCGCCATCTTATCGCGGATTGATAGGAGCCGACTCCGCATTTTCTTCTGAGCCTCCGGGTCTTTCTCATTCCGAAGTAGGTTCACCAGCGTCAACCCAATGACTGTAAAAATCCAGTGTGATATCCAGGACCCATCAAAGTTCATCATCGATTTGGGGTCGTCGTGCCATGTAGTCGTCACCTTGTTGATGTACGCGTAGTGGCCGAACACGAAGGCTGCCACGACCTTGAGCACTAAATACATGTTGTTATTATGGACCATCACCAGAGCCTTGTCTCGTTTTCCATGTATTTTCGATTCGGCGAATTCATTGTCGTCAAAGATCGTCTCCGGGTTGTTTGAGTGTGTTTCTCCTTTCAGGCATTTGATGAGCTGTAGACTCCCGTGTATGACTTCTACGCCATGCGACTTGGGCCCAAATGCGGTGTGCTTGGCGATAAGGTCCATTGTGGCAGCCATACAGTCGCGAAGATGCACTCTTCCTAGCAAGATTCGCATCATCGAGACGTGTATCATTCCCGCTGTATGAAAGAGCCGATCACAAGCCAAGTCCGCATCCTGAAGGATTTCCTCTAGTGCAGGTATTGAGTTAGCGACGTGATCGCCCCATTGTTGGACAGTCAGGTTAAAAAGGAGCTTCACATGGTGATTGTCCTTGCACAGCTTGCAGGCCAATCTAAAGAGATTTGCTAGGTATTAGCAATAGTGTCCAAACCTGACCCTTTGATCTTCACTAAAATCCTTGACTGCAATAAAGTATATCTTACTTCCCGAGCTCGTAGACTTTGTCAAGGCAGCCGTGCCATGTGGCATGCGTGAGAGCAAACGAGACTATCGCGCGCCCAGCACTATTTGTGATACCGTTTTCACATACTAGCTTAATCGCCTGAGCAATGCCGGCAGCCAAGAAAGGAACGTTATTGTAGTACAATGTAGCACTAGTAGCATGAAGGAAAGACATTTTCAATAAATGCTAGGAAAATACATACACAACTTGGAATTTAGCATCCTTTAGAAGTCTCAGGTGAATGGTGCGAGTCGCTTACTTGGCTGTCGATAGCACCTCCATCATAGCAATGATCCTTAAATCTGTGCACTGTTTGGGATATTCAGCCTCCAGCTCTGCCATATGATCCATCAGCATGAAATGTGTCCAGTTGTAGAGCTCTCGAATTTCCTGCTGCGTAGGACAGAACGACACGTCCTTGGACAATCCAAGCTCTTGCAAACATCGGATCGCGAGGATGGTTGCCTGCTCTGGCCGACTATAAGCCCAGACAAACAACTCGATCTGATGCTGATACACGCGCGCGCGGTCAATCGGATCCGTGATCTCGGCTAGCACGCCATCGCCAATCTCCATGGCCCGGTCGAAATTTTCGAGCCATCTTTGAGCTTCGATGCACTGCATATGCAGCTTGAGTGCTTCTTGGTAAAGAGCCAACTTCCCGGACATACTCTCTGCCTCAGGCTTGCTCTCCATGCGCACATTGCTCTGTCCATCGCGAGTATCGTCAGTGCCTGCAGTAGCGTCCTCCTGCTCATATGGATCCCAGCAATTATTGGGTAGAAGCAGCATCGCAGCATCCCAATATTCCATTGCCTTGTCTTGAGCTCCGGTCTTTTGGGACCTTTCGCCTGCCAAAGTGAGAATGGCCCGTAAAATCCGGGCGTCCAGCTCGGCTGGCCGAGTCTGGTCAGCTTCATCCGCCACAGGGACCCAGTACGGCTTTTCCTTTGCCTCACGCTCTTCCAAGCCTGGGGTAATTTTTTTCTTGGCAAGATCAATGCATTGCAACAAATGAGTGGCGGCCCTGAACTCCTGTCCCGGCGATCGAACCAAGATCTTGACCATTTCGTAATGGAGTCGCTCCTTCTCGTCCGTGCCTTCCAACAACCCAAGCGCAACCCTCCGCATGACGTTGTGATGCCATCGCAAGACGTCTGTGATCGAAGTGTAAACGAGAATACCCTCACTCAATGCCGATTGTAATCCAGCCATGGCACTGCTTCCATTGTTCGAGTCAGGCACGATGGTCTCCGGCGCGTAGTTCTGCTGTTCCGGTGGTAGGTTTTGATTTGGTCCGCGTCCTATCCATACATACGCTGTGGAGGCTAGATGTTGCAAGTCGTGTATGGTGAAAACAGAGCCACAAATTGCTGCACAGATGAGTGTCTTCTTGGTATCGCAATCCAGTGCTCTGAACCTACTCTCCAGAAATGCATACTCCTCCCCGGTGAGCTTTCTCACCACGTCTGCCAATGTTTCTGGACACGACTCCCAATCCCAGACTCTTTTGGTGTGGTCGAAATAAATCGTTCGATTCCTGTGCAATTCTAGTACCAACTGCCGAATCGTGAGCCATGATTTTTGGTGGAGTACTATCGCAAGAGGGAGCACATCTGCCACACTGCGATGAAGAAGCACCCCCAAAAACTCTTGAATGGCCTCCAATGTAGGGTTGAGTAGTCGAATGAATCTTACTCCTCCACCTCCGCGTACCACTAGTGGCAGGCGGGCAGTCCTAATAGCTGCCGCCTGAGTCATAGGCGAAGAGGTACTCGCAGTCCGGCTCAGGTCCGATATCTCATGCACCAAAGGGTCATGGTGCATGCTGCTGGACGGTTCATAGCTTCCTGTGTGATAGGCTCCTGTAACATTTCTGCCGCCCAATATCTGCTTTACCTTGATTAAACAGTCGACAGTATCCCGATGTGTCATGATCAATACAATGGGCAGCCGTTTGCTGACGTTGACTAAGGTGGCCAACAAGGCGATCGAGTTTTCGTCTGCGTAATGGATGTCGTCGATCAGCCATGTCATGAAGAAATGCGTCGATATGACCCTGATCAGCTTTAGAATTAAGGCATGGAACCTGGCGATAGAATGTGTCAGTGGAACGTCTTTGCTCTTGGACATCTCCGAGCCTCTGAAGAAGTATTTCAGTTCTGGCACAAGGTCGCAAACAATCCCAATTCCAGAATTGGGACCAAATGCCGTCCGGATCGCAACCACCAAGGACGCCAAAGCTTCTGTATGCTGAGTCAGGAGTTGCTGCAGGACGCTCTGGATGCATGAAATGATGGCAGAGTACGGCTCGGATCCCTCCGCTTCGAAGACACCTCCCGCAAAGAGGCCAGAATTGCGGGCAACCATGGCCATTCCTCTGATAAGGACCGTTCTATATGGAGCATGGAGTTTGGGATAGTTGCGTTAGCACTACTGTTAATGTAATGAAGCCCCATATACATAGTTGGTCACAAATACCTACTTTCCAACGCCAGATGGACCGCTGACAAAGATTGCTCGCACCACAGAATCAGTGGCCTCTGATCCTCTGGGTACAGATTTACCACCATCGAACGGTTTTGGTGTCCTGAGCAGTGTCTTTGATGAAAGAGGGATTTTGGAGCATGCCTGTCTTTGCAGAGAGACGATGTCGTCCTCGAAAACGTAATGGTCCGAGTCATTGAATGTTGTGGGCCTCACATCTACATTGTCGTCTTCCGAGGAACAGGTGTAGGGGCTATCGTTATTGAGTGAATGCTTACAGGCGCTAGCTGCCTGTGAGATGGCGGCGGATATCATCTGCTGCTCGACATGACGCCCAAAGACAGTATTCGGCAGCACGAACTGGCAGGAGATGTCATATTTGCCGAGTGGAAACGATTTGATCTAGAGAAAGAATAGAGATGTATGGGGTTAGAAATGAAGAGACCATAAAGCTGATAAGCCGAATATTGCAAATGATCTTAAACAGCACCTACAGTGCCGGTCCTGTGTAGTTCATTGAGGCACCTAAGAATGTCCTGCTTAAAACCAAATGCATTTTGATATCTCTGGCTTGGTTGCTATTGCATTCAAAGAATAGGAGATAAGAGATTTTTTCTGCAGAGTACGCATAGGGCTACTCCAATGCGGATCATGAAATACTGTTCACCGCAGTACCTTCCGCGTCATCTTTCGTAGTATGTCGTCGATTATCGGGGGCATATCCGGCCTGAACATTCCCAGAGGTGGAAGATCGATAGACAGGACACCTATTTCAATCGCACAAATAGTGAGTATTTTCAGCTTCAGCGGATCTGAGGCAGCATTGATAATGCTAAGGTCCGAGGGATGTTACCTTGCAGGATCTGGACACTGTCGTTCCCTCGGTTCGGAAACTGCATCGTCAGTAGCGAGAACAGAGTTGTACCTAATCCGTAGATATCCGTCCTGTGGTCCATCCAAGTCTCTGCTCGACCTGTCTGCTCCGGTGCCAAGTACTGTAGATGATACTCTAAATAGCCTGGAATCTGCCACTCAAAGATGTTGTTGGGCGCCCTTGCTCTCTCGTGGCTCAGAATCTTGGAGTGCGTAAAGTCGAATAGCCGTAGCCTCGTCTTATTCAGATCTATTTCGGATAGAGATGGGTTGTCGCTCTGTATAACTGACTCAGTATCCTGACCATGTTGTTGTACAGAGCTGTCGACTGCTGTAGAGTCTGCAACGTGATATAACGAAGATGGGTTTGGCTGGGGTATACTGGTGGAGACCTGTTTCTGTCTTCCGTCCGTCTTGGAAAGGACGGGGCCAGTGATGTCTGTGTCAGGAGGCGCCCAATGAAACGCAGTGGGGCAAAGAGCGAGGTGCGCCATGTTCGATCGCTGCAACGCCTCCAATACACACGCGGCCTTTAAGCAAAACACCAGAAATGCATAAACATCAGGAAAAGGAGATCCTACAAGTCGCTTAGCAGGGTGCTCTAGGCTTTGGTGACCATCCGTTTCGTCCAAGCCTAGAAACCGGTGATGATATGAGGAAAGCAAGTTCGGCCCCAGTCGTCGCATGATAAGTAAAGATATTTCAGGTTGCTCCAAGTCCACAAAATCCTCGACGATCCTGTTGAAGTATTTTTCTCCCTCCACGAGTCCTGCTGAAGATATTGTGCTCCCTTCAATCTCTGTCTCTATTGTTGGCGGCTCAGCGCCCTGTGAACGTGGGACGCCTTTCGGATCGAATTCTGAGTCGATAATCTCTAGCCGTTTAAGGATCCGGTGCTCATGCTGTAGCAAGATCCTAGATTGGTGCAACTTTCCAGTGACAGGCAGCTCGTCCGATATCCGTGTGCCCATCATCAAGCCCATGTTTCCTGCCTGTGACCCTCTTCGAAAGTCGTACCCGGCCACCTTAGGTGGTACAAAAGCAGAGCTATTGGTGTGTGAAGGTGCCCTGTATGGATTGTCATGGTGTGACTCTTGTTGAGAGTGGTTTTGCTGCTTCGATGCTGGGTGCATATGAAAAGAGTTCATATGTGTGTAACCGGACGACGATCTACTGGCGCCTGGTCGACGTTGGGTGTTTGGTGTGATAAACTCCTTTTCCCGCTGTGGAAGGGTCTTTAGAAGCGACGATAGAATCGATGGGGGAACCGCGGCCTGTGTAGCGCCTAAGGACAGCACTTTGGCGGGGCCCAAAAGAGTCGAGGTTGTTGCTGGATTCAGTGTTGATCGTGCAGAGGAGTTGGCGATGAAGCTGTCATTCGACGATATACTCGATTCGGTTGATGCGTCAGTCTGAAGGGAGAGGCGCCGATGCCAGCGCAAACTGTAATCTAATTTGGAATCCTGCATGTGCTGATGGCCTGTATCCTCAGTGCTTGGGACTGAGTTGGATCGCCCAGACCGAGAAGGCGCACTTGCGATAGAGCTGGATATTGAGTTGTAGGCAGTTGAAGTATTATCCGCTGGTTCTCCGAACAGGACTCCATTTCCGGTGCTCTGGTTTGCGTTGTTCAATTGTCGTGAAACGTTATGGTTGGTGGGTTGTTGGAGCTCTTGCCGTTGCAGTGTTGGGCCTGGAGAGCTGGTCCTGATAAAGATTGAGGGAGGGGGGTGACTAGGCATCCCTGCAATTGGCGAATGATGTACTTCGGGATATCTGATGGGCGGCTGTAACAACATGGAAGCCAGGGTGCTTTGATTATTGCGCTGTGCTGGCTGGCGCTCATGCGAGGACGAGGACGAGGACGACTTGGACGCTCCTCCATGCGAGGATGCAGTTGATTGAGATTGGTTCATCCTTGAACGCTTCTTGTACTGGATTGCAGCGATGTTCCTTTTTTCTTTATGTCGTTAATGAAGAAGGAAGACGAGTTCGATGAAAGGATTAATTGGATTGTGCTATTTTGGGCGCGTCCCTTGTTAACCTGTCCATTTTCTATACGTTAATAATCATACTTTTCGACCGGTGTATTTTGATATGGCACACTTCACTGTTTGTCGACCGATATTGTTGGCCAGCAGCCACCGAGGGTACGCAGGATTTGATATTAGGTTTTGGGGTTGTGCCTGTATAAAAGGAGGATCGAAGCCAGCGGTCTTTTGTTCCTTGTTCCAGTTGAACAAGAAGACCGTTGTGCTGATCACTCGCTACAGGTACCCTTTTGCTTAGATATATCAATAATGAATTATGGCCCCAGTTGAACAAGAAGACCGTTGTGCTGATCACTCGCTACAGTGTGCGTAGTTGTGCGTTAGACCCTTGTATTCAGTGTGGAACACAAATTATTCGAGCATTCAGATTGGGAGTTTCCTTACTCCATACAACTGTAAAAGAACTATCTCCAAGCGCAACAATATAACTGCAGCCATTAATTCTAATTGATACACGCCAGATAACCGTCAAGTCGCGCCTACCACCGCTTAGAACGCAACTCAAAAGCCCTACCTCGCTGTCAGTCCATCAGCGTACTTGCTCCTATCGTTCAACACTTCTTTTTTCGAATCATTTGCGACTTCGGGAGTAATGGTTCTGGATCCAAGGCGGACGCAAGATCCACAACGGACGCAGCATCCCAGACGCTCAAAATCCGAGGCACATTCGTATCTTTCAAGACTCTAACCCTTGCTAGCACTGAACTTGGCCTTGGGTCTCAGCATACTCTACAGCTAGTACGCAGCCGATTCATGAAGTTGAGCGAGCGCACAGCAGCATGAAGTCGTCGCTGAGCCTGGCATCTTTATTACAAGTATTCGCCGCAAAGAAGGTGTCACAAGAAGCATTGACCACGAGGTACCACAAGTCAGACGTGCAGGGCAATGGACAGACAGATGTCCCTGTCCAAGACTTTGTTCGGTGAAACCCAGTCGCAAACTATCGTTATCTTGGCAGCTTTACCCTGCATCAGATGGGGACCGGAACGGAGAAACTCGTGTTTTACGGAGGCTCTGTCCAAGCGAAGGGCACTCAATCTGAAGAGTCTACTACAGATAGCACGACGAACTCTTTTTTTTTTTTTTTTTTCTGAGTGTAGTTTGTGCGTCTACTCGCCTATTTTGTTCAGCTGTCCATCTATGCTGTGCTTTGGTCGAGAGCGTTACCAAACGATCTTACTGCAAGGTGCTATTGACCACAGTCCTCTGCTCTCTCAACTTGAACACGATGCTGAGTGCGTCTATGACGTTCCTCAACTCGGGAAACCCACTCGCGCTCGATATGTAGTGCTTTTGAACGACGGGTCATATCTCTACGTATGTTTTCTACTTTTAAGCACTAGACTGGTCTGCTGTCGTTTCTAAAAGAACTGTTTGTTGACATGAAGTGCAAGCGCTCTATCAGGTTCATCAAGACAAGATGACTTCTTGAGGCCTATTTGAGCGACGCGGAATTTCACTTGCTTAAAGAGCCACTCCTGTTCCTTACCAATAATAAGAGAACGATTAGCTGAAAGGGTGATAATACTAGGCTACATGAAAACGTTAGCAATCCTTTCATTTCAACGACAGAAGAATGTATGAAAAAACTCTGGGGGAAGATAGAGGTGGCGGAAAGGCAACTTCCGACTCGAACCAGCGATAAACAGGCCCAGAAGACTGAAACAAGACAGAGGAAGATTCTAAGGAGGCTCAAGGAGGGTGGGATCCAATGATGAAGGAAGACGATGGCAGATGGCCAAAGGAATAGAGCAACAGCAGTCTTTGGTAAACACAAAAAAAAAGACGTGTCGAACGATAGAAACAAGTGCGCCGATGGGCTGACAGGGAAGCGGGTTTTATTAGCTGTCAAGCTAAGGTCTTTACTAAAAAGGGTGACAAACTGGAAGTCGAAAAGAAGGATAATAAGAGAATACGAGGCTGGCAGCATTTCTTTTGTAATTTACCAGAATGCGTGCGCAGCGGCGGAAGTGTCTTTAGACTGTCCGAGGCAACAGAACATGCTTCAATGCAAAATATAGCTTTCATCCCTGACCTCGGGTGGCATACAAAAGCCAAGAATGTCCTGCAGGCCCAGGCTCGACAGGCCCAGCACGCCCAGCACGCCTAGCTCGTGCTTTTTTTCTAATCTACTCCTCATCCTAGTGCCGCCAGCGCCACTATCACCGCCAGTCAGTAAGCACTGGAGCCATCTTCAAGCTCTCGACATCCAAGAACGATGCCACGAAGGCCCTCCAAGTGAAGAGGAAATTATGATAAGATGAGGACGAATACGGAAAGGTGCTCTGGTATTTTATTTTATTCTAGTAACATTTCAACTATCGTTGGCGGGTCTATTCCAAAATGAATTTGTAGCTTGGATACGCGTTATTATGCCGCACGCTGGAGTGGCTTTTTTGTGTAAACATATACAGGTTGATCCCTCGGAATCAGCACCTCTTCTCCTTTATTCATTCCACGCATCAACTTTCCGCGCTACACACTCAGGATGTTTACCGCCAGAGGTATGGTCAGCCCACTCGCCCGTTGCGGCTTCTAGCCACTGGAAGAGCCGCGAGTATCCCCGACATCTTTCAGAAGTGACCAGAAACCACGGACACAGCGATTCAATGAACACAGCACTCGAAATCACGAATCAATTGACAGAGTTGCGTGCCATACAGTTTTACTCGCACACTGCTTCCTCAATGTTGCCCCTTTTGGAATCCCTCTGTCAACTACAATTAACTCGCCCGACTTTGTCCGCCCTTGCTCGTCATCATATCTAATTATCGGCATTGCTTTCTATCATGATAGGAGTCACTGTCCGTTCAGGTTGGTCGTTAACTGCCGTGCGTCAATGTAGGCTATTGTTGACATTCGCAATAAGAATCAACTATGGAACAGGATGCTGCAGCGTTTGACCTATGATCTATCTCTCCTTGCACCACCGATGTAGATGCCACGGCGACGCAAATCTCAGCAAAGGCACTTACACCAAAGAACAAGGCAGCAGTGACAGTAGCGGCAGCAGGAAAACGTTTAACAAACTACGGCAAGGAATTCCGTCCCCAAAAGACATTCCTGCATCACACCTACTCCAACATCTTGGAATTGAACCGCATCATGCTGATCTGTCAACACAACAATATGTCTGTTCCCGAGTTGATCCAGCTTCGCACAGAATTGGCGGCTGCAGGTGCTGAGATGACAGTTATTCGTCTGGGAATTTTCTCTGCTGCTTTGAGGGAGACGAGATATGCCAACTTGGCGCCGTTGATCAATGGACCAACCTGTGTAATCAGCTGCAACGTCAGTCCCGAGGACGAGGAAGCCCAGTCAAATGCCAAGAATCCCAGAGGTCTTATAGGAATCAGAAAGATCGTAGAGAAGCACAGCAAGATGATTCTACTCGGAGGAAAGGTCGACGATGCACTCGTTAGTGTCGAGGACATGAGGAAGATGGTCGAGATGCCTGGAATTCAGACCCTGCGGTCCCAGGTGGTCGGCCTGCTGAGCCAGGCTGGTGGAGGACGCTTGGTGCAGCTTTTGAACATGAACCCAACGCTGCTGGTCATGAACCTGGGTGCACACGCCAAATCTGGTAGCGAAGGCGAGGCCAAGGCATAAGGCGATGTGGAAAGAACAAGATAGACACAATACATTCATTTATTTCATTAATTCTTGCCTCAATAGTTTACACGAACATGTCTTTGCTCATGCACAGCTCATAACGGAAACTGGAAAACATGTTTAATGAGTTCTCGATAATGGTTCTCCAGGTAGCCTTACAGCCCGAAAAATGCTCGATTGCACACCTTCTGCAACCTACCCGAGCAAAGCTGCTGTCTTCATAGATCGCATTTCTTCGCCAGTGATTGTGATCATGATATTGCGACTGAATTGCGGCGAGAGAAAATATTCTGCAACTTAGATCTCTTGATCCTCTTGCCAAAAGGGAGAATCTCTCACAGTGCTTGGCTTCAAGAAAGGCTGCGATTTGACCAAGCAACCAGTTCTTTCATCCCTTCAACCTTTTTTTTTTTGACCGCGCCGCTCGGAGCGACTGCTTTTTTGCAGTGCAGCACGTTCCTCACACCACTCCTTTCTCTCTCGCCATCATCTCATCTCTCTTGCTTCCTTCTCTCTTGACTCCTCTCTCTCTCCTCACTTGTCCTCTTCGTACTTTGCCCTCCTGCTCTCTTTCCCCCTGCTCTCTTTTCCCCTGCTCTCGTTCATTCTCTTGTTCGCTCGTTCGCACGCTCAGCTGCTCAACCATTCAGCTGCACATCCATATGACCACTCTCAACCTGTTCTGTATTCTCGGCGGCGAATCCACCTCAAACGTCTTCTCGATCAAGTGCTCGCTCGCAGAGACTGTGGACGACCTCAAATAGCTTATCAAGGCTAAGAAGGAACCCAAGTTTGACGACCTCTCAGACATTTCCGCTGAAAATCCCCCGAAGGAAACAATTCACACCATTGTGTAGCACCCGCCGCCAGGTGAGCATCAACCGTTGGTACTTGGACTCGCCAACACGCACTAAACCTCGCCCATCTAATTTCTTGTGCGCATTCTTTGAATTCTCCCATTACATTCGCCGTCCTCAGTTCTTAGCGATTTGATTTCGATTTGATTTGCTTTCTGTGTTAAGGGGTGTTTTCGACGCGGCGGTATCTTTTTTTTATGTTTTGTGTAACTTGGGAAGTGAAGCGATATCAAATCCAAACCGTTTTACTCTCAGTTCTAAACACTCGATTTCGGGAAGGAGGATGGTTGGCACGTTGCAGTTTTGGTATACATGCTCTACCTTTCACACTCACCTTTCTTTCGCTCTCACCCTTCACTCTCCCTTCATTCGCACCTCACTTCATTCTCCTGATGGCCCGCGGTCGTAATTTAGTTCGTCATCCGAGAACTCTCCGTGAACGAGCAATCGCCACAGCGAAATGGCTTGCGCTTTACGAACTTTTACAAGCTGCCGAGGACGAAACATACGAAATTTCTTTCAGATTTGTCGTCTTTGTTTGGCTCATTCGATACTTCCAAACGGCCCGTTACCTGAATTTAAGATCATCGCTGAGTTTTTACAAGTCCACGGCTCATCGAGACATGGTCTTATCTGTGGGGTCGGATCGCATCTTCAAGAACGCATTCCGTATGACGATGGTTCAGTTTAATTTCGTGGTTGATGCTATCAAGGACCACCCTCAATTCCAAAACAGGGGTAGAAAACCGCAGGCGTCCGTTGCTATTCAGCTCAAGGTCGCACTTCAACGACTTGCCCACGATGGATCCTTGGCCGGATACGAGTCCATTGGCCCTTCCATGGGCGTGTCCGTGGGCACAGCACATGAATACTACCAACGATGTGTTCTGGCGCTGTGCGATAACGTCGAGCAGTTCATCACATGGCCGCACGCTGACAGGAAGACCCAGGTCAAGGCGCATTTTGCTCGAAAGGGCTTTCCTGACGCCGTTGGTATCGTAGATGGGACGATGTTTCCATTCGTCCGTGCGCCGACCTGGAATCGGGATTTATGGGCGACAAGGAAGAAGAACTTTGCCATGGGAGCTACTGGAGTGTGTGACCACCATGGTATCTTCATCGCCTTCACGACTGGTTATTATGGAAGTTGGCATGACTCCACAGCATATAGGACGACCCCACCTTACCAACGAAAAAATCAGAACTTTTCAGATCAGGAGCATTTGCTAGGAGATGCGGCGTATAAGTCATCGCCTACTATGATGACAGGCTACCACAGGATGCAACGACCTATCATCAATGCCCACAGATTCAACAAACGCCTGAACTCTGCTCGAGCAAGGATCGAACACGCGTTTGGAATGCTCAAAGGACGGTTCCCATCTCTCACGAATTTGCGACAGGTTATTCGTCAAGAAGAGGACGTCGACAAAGTGTGCAATCACGTCATGGCATGCGTCGTCGTGCACAATATCCTCACGATGCTTGATAAAGACGATGAAGAGCTAATGGATCTTGACGCGCAGAGAAATTTGGAAGAGTTGAGGCAAGAGCAGGAGCGGCCCGATGTCCAGGTAAACGGAGCGGTAGAAGAGGAAATACCAGCACCAGGAGAGGAAGTAGATGAAGAAATTGACTTTGAGGACTGGAGGGAGGTTGCGCGATATGATGCAGCAATGAAGACTTGGGGAGATATCAAACGAGCACAGCGTAAGGCAATAATGTTTAGCGAGTGAATATTTGAATAAAGAACTTATTGAAGTCTGCTACGGGGAATTGTTGGGTGACCTATTCGGCGACTTGCTCTGGGACCTTGCTCTCACTTTGCTCTGCACCGTGCCTGTGCCATCCAGCTTCATTTCCTGCTCCAATAAAAGTTCTTTATTCTCCTCATTGTTCATCCGTCGCATGTTTTGCCTCCTTTCCTTCAGTGCCATTTCTCTCTCCTCCAATGCGATTTCTCTCTCCATATTCTTCAATCTTATCTCCTCAAGCTCCTGCTCCCTTCTCTTGATATCCAACTGACGTAGTATCGCCTCGTGATCATCCTTGCTCCTCTCTTGAGCGAATCTCTGTTGCTCTAACAAGAGTCTAGCCTCGTCCGTCATGCGTTGTCGTTCAAGCTGTTCGCGCATCAACATCCGTTGCTCTGCGTTGTGTTCGCGCAGAATCTCATTTTTCTGATCAGACTGTTGGCGCAGAAGATCTACAAGCGTCTCCAATCCACCGAGTGCGCCTCCATTACTCTTTGACTTCTGTTGCGAATGCTGCGTCTGTCTCGTCATAGCAATAAGGCCGTCTGGAGGGGTGATATCGCCATCGTCAACGTCCGTCAAGCTATCGTCGTCAACGCCGTACAGGGCGGCAGCTTCAGGGCCAGAGACAGCGTTGGGCTTGGACATCACGGTAGAGAGGTTTTCATCGAAATGACGGGGTTTAATGTTCCCGGTGGTGGGCTTACCGGCGTTGAGCAGGGTGAAGAAGTAATGACAACGGCCGATGGTCTCCTCATTCAGCGTTGGGCCATTAGGTGTATTGCCGTTGCCAGTTGTGTCGTAGCGCTTCAGCTCATTTTTGAAGATCCGGTACATGTTATCGACTTTGTTTTTCATCTGATTTTCTCCCAGTGTCACCGTGCAGTCCTGGGTTGTGAAACGATTGCTGAACTTCTCGGTGATATCTGCGTAAACATCCTTCTTCGAACGTTTGTGCTTCCTGTTTTTGCCTAAGGCTGTTAAGACGGGCCAATTATCGGGATGCGCCATCTGTTCAGCAATAAACGCTTCGTGTGCTATAATGAAAACGAATGCTTGGGCCCTTCCTGTGCCGGGCGTTTGTTGGGAGGAGGTTGCTTCTGGCGAAGGTGAAAGTCGTTTGCGAGGAGCTAAGGATGAGGACGGATCTGAGAAGGCTGCCTTTCGTTTCACAGAGGGGTTCAAAAGCACGGGGAAGGATGTCGAGAACTGAGCAGCGTTTGAGGACATGCGAATGGGGGTGGAGGACATCGACCGCTGTGAAGTATAGGATGAGGAAGAGGAGGCAACGGATGCTGCTGATTGGGCGGAGATTGGGGAGAGTGGAGTCTCACAGTCGGGCACACCCTGGGGCCACGTTGATGACGAGCAAGCATCGAAATTGTAGACAGGGCCCGGCTGGCTACCATGGAGCATGGGATAGGTTAAGGTGGAAACGCGTGTTGATCCACCGTCGATCTAGAATGTAACGAAAGATATTAGTGTCAAGAATACCGCGCAACTTGCAGCATCTCTATTTCAGAGGGAAAAAATTTGTGTATTACCTGCTGCCGCTGCTGTAGCTGAAACTGTTGCTGCTGGCTCGGCCGATGATAGGGCAGCTGTCGTTTTGAAAAAAAAGTGGTGGGATCCTTATTCACGTCTACGGCACGTCGCGGGGTGAATTGTCGATATTGGGATTGTTCAGGTATGGTATTGATAGCTGGCTGCAGACTGCCAGGCGCCTCTTGCTGAACAAGAGGTTGTGTTTGTGCTTGTGGTAGTAGTGAAGGTATGCGTCCAGAATTCTGTATCTCGCCAGAGGAGGGGATGAAGGGAGTTGATGTCTGGCTCGCCTTTTGTCCTTCAGTTTCGATCTCGGATACACAGGGGGGAAGCGAAGAAAGAGGGATAGTCATTTGGGAAGATGAGTGGTGGTGTGAGAGAGAGGAGCGATGAGTTGGAGACGAAGAATGCGTGGTTGATGAAAAGTAAGGTATTATATTTTTTGGCTATGCCAAGATGTATGAAATCACTTTTGAAATCACCGAATTCAAGCTTTCAACATCTGCTTTCACTTCCCAGGTTACACGAAACATTAAAAAAAGATATCGCCGCGTAGAAAACACCCCTTAACACAGAAAGCAAATCAAATCGAAATCAAATCGCTAAGAACTGAGGACGGCGATTGTATCAGCTATTCCTACCTACCCTGTACTCCGCTCTCTAATGAGTGCGGATGACCCAGCATTTATTTTTCTATCTGACATACCACGCCTTAGTCTGTTAAACCCATGTCTCTTTCCCTCTCCTTTACGACAATACAGCGACGCCCATCCCGTGCTGTTCAGTATGCCGATATTGAGCCTGAACTAGCGCTTATGATCGAAGGCGCAAACCGAGTCTACTGCAGACATTTCATGGATGCAAGAGATGTCGAAGTCTACCAAGAGAAGACACTAGGCCCCTTCTACAAGATAGCTCTGCCATGTGGCGCCACAGCAACTGGTATAAGTCTGATGATGTTGGGAAGAGTATTGGACAAGGAGCCAACGTCGGGCAAGAACGAGACATTGCGTGACATTGTTGAGAGCGACCTCGGCAAGATTAGTGGTCATCGCGTGGTGATCCTGATGGGTCCATCAGGTTCAGGAAAGACTGCGATGGTAATCGATCTCGCAAAGACACACTTTGTTATATATTGCGTGCGCTGCGACTCGCGCACTATGTCATCCCCGAACTTCAAGGATCCCAACTTTGCTACGCTTGCGCGGGAAGTCGAAGGGATGTGCGGGAGCCTTCCGAGACCAGAACCGGGATCAGTGAACGACCTGATGGAGAATGATTCAACCCTGAAACGACATGCAGGAGATAGGGTCGAGCTTGAATTCCTGGCAAGACTGCTATTCCTTCAGCTCCTTCTCAACAACAATCGTGATTTCGAGCCTCTTCAGCTCTCCGTGAACAGACTAATGGAGGAACCACGAGAATTGGACGCTCTTCAACAAGCTGCATGCGTATGAGGTGAGGACGATCCGTCTCATGTGCGGTCATGTGTAGGGCAGGCTGGCAGATTATCTTACCCCATGGAGACAAGGGCTAGTGATCGCTCTGGATGAAGCCCAAGTCGCAGGAAGTCGCACCTTGACTGGCAAACTCATCGTACCATCTGCGTTAGATGGCAACCAAGAAATCCTCGACGGAAAAAACCAGGTGCAAGACAGATTTCGCCGGGGGTTTCTCATGCCTCTATGTGCAATGTTGAGCAACATGCGTGCAACGCTGGTGTTGCTTAGAACGGCGTTGTCATTGCAGGATGCTGACCAGGTGTACTCGGCAGTTGGCAAGCAAACGAATTTCACGAAAATAGCGTGCTTCCCTCGTTCGATGAAGGAGACGTGGAAAGCGTGCTACCGGGACTGGTCGATATACCCGACTGTGAACTCCCACCTGCCAAACACGGTGGCGAGATCGACGGAAACGGTGTGGGCGACGGCGTCCGCGATAAGGCTGACCTTGTGGAAGAAGAGGGCGAGCCATCCACTAAAAGGTACAAAAATAGAACGTGAATCGTAGTTCTTACGCATAAATGCATTTCTGTCATTCAAAAAAACACCTACAGATTTCAGGTCATTCTCTAGTCTTTGCGACGACATTTGCACGACTTTGAGTCGATGTTTTTGAAAAGTGTGCAGCATGCCTGACTTATATTTCTTGGTGATAGTCTCGTCCTTCGCTTGCTCCACTGCATCCTTTAGACTGCGCTTCTCAACCCTCTATGCCTTGTCAAGACGCGCCCCAGTCTGCCGAAGAAACTTTTCTTTGCTTCCTTTCAACATCGGTATAACTTTATGAATCATCCCACGCTGTTGTGCCTCGAATAGAAACGAAATAGCCAGCTGCACTGTAATTTCTAGGTTCCGTTTCCATAAAATAGTGTGGATTTATCAGCAGTGCTGTCGTTTCCTTGACAGCGGCCCGTAGACATTCCTCCATGTTCGCTAAAAAAAGTGGAGATGCGTGCAGGGAAAATGTAATTGGGACTTTTGTACTACAATACGTGATATCATCGTCATGCTTGGCCCAGCATGCCATTTATCATCCTTTTCACACACAGTCATACTGGCAGCTGGGGTATCCGAACCTTGAGGAAAATAGGAACACGGGGTCCTTGAAGTCAGAACTGGAAACTAATCGCAATGCCTTGGTAAAAAACTCGAATTGCTTACGTTAGATTACTATGTTAATTAAACATTGAGCGTTAAACAGCAGGCAGGTAGCGAATGGGCGAAGCACTCTTAAAGCGCTGTAAGTTGCTAAAGGGCGCCACCGATGTGTGTTGTCCAACCATTGTGCCCTCACATCACCCACAAGCCCTTGCATAGCGGCCCTGCGGTTGGTTGATGGGGATGTTTGATCCTCACCCGAGTCCACAGCAAGAGCTCTTTATTCCATAGCGAATCCCCCATAATACGAGAGGATGATCCAAATGCAGCAGCATGGGCCACCGCTGAGGCAAGCATATCCGAACCATACTGCGCATACTCCTCAGCCAAGGCCGAGAAATACGCACAGCGCTCGGAGCGAATGGCGGCGTGCTTGAGATACTTGAGACTGATACGGAAGGCTTCAATGGGAGTACCGATTGGCACTGGCAGGCGTGGAACAAAGCGACAGTCCATCTGCAATAGGCTCAAGTCTGGTAGTGTGGTTGAGTATACGTACCTAGAATAATATAAAATTGATTTGAATAACAATTGTGTTTACCAAAGAGTATCCAGGTATGGATTACGTCTTAGATTTATTGGATGAAAGTCTGTCTAGGCGAACTGTTTTTGGATTATTTACTTTCTTGTGGCAAGACCAACACGCCTGTTGGTAGTGTCAAAGATAGAATAGTAGTTCTCCAGGAACTTTTGGCCAATGATTGTTGGATTGTCCGAGGTAGGGCCCCAGCTGCTAATGTAGCTGTAGTGGATACCAGGGTTCCCGCCATGGTTGGCGGTCACGTCAGTGGGGACCAAGTACTGAGCAGGACTCAAGGTGAAATCTCTACCGCCAATGGTGAAGCTAACACCCTTCAAGTTGTGGATCTCGCCGTGGGGGATGATGTAAAGCCCAGTGACTGGATCGTACTCGGCACCCTTGACTTCAGAGTAGATCGCGTCGGCAATTTCATTAGCGACCAAAATAAAGGGCACGCCAGTGTCAACAATAGCGGGGGCAGCGGTGTAGACCTTCTTGTCGCCATACTTGACACCGGAGACATCAATACCCCAGTACTTATTGGCAGCAGAATCCTTGGTGATGGGGACGTAGGTGATCTTTCCCTTGATTTTGTCGTAATCAACACCTCCAAGAGTGACCTCTCCGTTGGCCACCTGAGTGGCGTTGTTGAAGGTGGGTCTGAGGTCGACACCGACAACTTCAATGGGGATCTGGTGAGATCGGTAGAACGAATCCATGGGGGTAGGGACAAGCCTATTGTCATACTCGATATTGAGGTCGGTAGGGCCGAATCCAATGACACCGGCGATCGATTCGGGTAGAGAGGAGTTGCTGGAGATACCGAAAATTTGGTTGACCTCAAGGCCGCCAACATCGATCTTGTCACTAAAGATAGTGAGACTGGCATTGCCAGAATCATTATACTGAAGTGGGACGGTCTTGTTGAGGTTCTTGGCAGTGGATGACTTGGAGACGTCGAAGATTTGATCTCTGACCCAGAGAGTAGAGGAGCCAGTATCGAAGACGACGTGTACATCCTGCTTAGGAGTGCCAATGCTGACGTTGATGAAGTAAAGACTGAGATATCCGTCGACATACTTGGGACTCGTTCCAACCTTAGACCAACGGTGGACATCGGCACGGCGAATATCCTTGAAGGTGGTTGGCTTGTTGGGCTTGTGGAGAGGCAACTTGACAGGGCTAGCAGCAGCAGCAGCAGCAGCAGCGATAGCGCAACAAATGCTCAATAAGAAGGTGGAAACGACTTTAACCATAGTGGAGGGAGCTATGAGGGGTGGAAGGGAACTATGGAGAAGGAACATAATACTGTGGGCGAAAAGGGGTTTTATAAAAAAAATCGTTAACAGACCATATCGGATGTGAATGCCGGAATATCGCTCATAGGTTGATGTTGGAGACAGTTAGAACATCTTGCTAATATCAGCAGCGTGCTTTTCCTCCGTAAGAACGGTTAGAAAACTATGATAATAAGCGGCCTCTATGCCAAGAATTGGGCTAGGGTTTTCGCATCAAAATGTGTACCAAATATATTTATCACGGTGGTACAAAAAAAATAAAAAAATTGTAGTGTTGGATTATGGAGCTCAATTGAACCCTGTTGGTTCAGGCAATGATTGGCTCCTCTGTCACCTTTGGAATCCTCCTAGAAGTGATACTGCGCCGCTTCCTGTGATATAAAAGCGCACGAAACTTGGGCTGTAGTAGAAGGCGCCCTTTGCGTCGGATCACCTTCCGGATGAAGTCGAAATGCTCGTGGCGATCAATGAGTCCTTACTAAAACATCTATCAATCTGTGCTGTACAGTCGAACTCCTATTTTGCAGCTTAAATTGGAGGAGCAGCCATGTATTCAGTCCAATTGAACTGAGTACACATTTGTTCACACGCACTGTCACTTCCCGAGCGCATCCTGTCCTCTACTTCTACCGTACCCAAAACAACGCGCCATGTTCACACAGTCCCAGCTCCTAGTCCAGTAAACAACAAACGTGCTGGCTCTGGAACCTCCGCTTCCAGATTACACAAATCTCGAAAGAAGTACACGCTTTACGATAAGAGTCAAAGTATCGTGCAGATCAACAGCATAACCCATTTGAACCCCATGGCGCCATATCAAGAATGTCGGGCATGCATCCCCATACAGCCGCCCGCATACTACACGGCCGCTTTCGGCAACAAAAGCGATTGCACACACCAGCGGAGATCAATGGTGATTGCGGAAGAGGTCCGCTACGCCTGGTATAAACTGCAGGAGTCTTTGAGTACGGAAATCAATTTCTGATCCTCAGTTGCTCGCTTCTTAGGCATACTCCTAATCCATATATTTTGACAGGCATCAACGTGTCTAATTGTCGTCTGAAAGGAACTGCTGTGGCGATGTGGATCATCCTGAAGAGTTACTTTCATCCCGAGTATCTGCCAAAGCCGATTAGCTTTTCGAATGGCTGGCTTCGAAACTTCAAGAAACAAAAAGGACTCAAGAGACACATCGGCCATGGTGAAAGCGGATCAGTCGACTTAAGTCTCTACCGGCCTCAAATCCAAAACATCCAAATGGATCTCGAGGACTTTTATCCAGACAACATCTACAATTATGATGAAGCAGGTCTCTTTCTAAAGGCTATGTCAAATAAGACCATTGCCGCTGGTCCTATCCGCGGCAAGAAAATTACTCGAATTGCTCGATTATCAGTTCTATTGTGCTGCAATGCCACGGGCACAGACAAGCGCAAGCCATATATTCTTTGTAGGTAGTGAAGCATTATCAAGAACTGCGACAGTCGGGCTGAAAAGGGTTGCTTGTTTATTGATTTTTTTTTTTTTTTTTTTTTTTTTTTTTTTTTTCAAATGCAGCTAAGCACCGTCCAACGGGTTGGCCAAAACGACATTGATGGAAATGGATGCTGAATTTCAAGGAAGCGGCTACATGACACACGACCTGTTCGCCGACTGGCTCTGGGAACTAGACTGGGACATACACAGGAAGAGGCGCAAGATCGCTTTGCTGATCGACAGCGCACCAGGACATGGCAAATGTGAAAATATGGGCCTTCCCAACATCACCATCATCCGGCTACCACCAAATACAACATCCATGACCCAGCCACTCGACGCTGGGATTATCCGGACCTTCAAGGTCTTCTATAGTCAAGGGATGCTTGAGATTGTCTGCAGACGTCGTGTTCAAAAGAGGTCACCTACGGCAACAGTTCCGAATGGGAGGCTCTGGGCATGTCTGGTCAACTCTTGGAAAAAGGTGACTCCTGATTGCATCCGTAATTGTTTCGTCCAGGTTCCAATCCTGTCTGAGTACCAAAGGATTCATTTGAAGTGTAAGACTTGTGGATGAGGAGGAACAACGAGGTGAAAACGAGGGGAGACGAGTGAACAAGGTGAGTGAACAAGACGAATGTGTGAAGACAATAGTTTATTGACTAGACTGTTGTGAGTATATGAACTGGGGTCCAACTACATAGTCAGTCCTTCCTTATATACATCAGACGAATAAAGGTCCTGATTAGTAATCCATGGTTCTAGACGTTTCGGTGCTGCCTTTGCTCATCTTTACATCATGGAGCTTTCTGCGATGAGAGCGACGTTGATCCTTTCTTAGACGCGTCTAGCGTCACATGACAATACTAATCAGAGTTAAACTCTGACATGAAGGCTCTGGGAGTCTCCCGCCTGGGCTGGAGGCAATTGTCCTTTATTCGGATGGATCAGTGAAGAACGCTGGCTCGGACACAGTCAGCCAATCGTTCGGTAGTGTCTATAGATGCGTCGACGGCTCGTTCCAGACGGCTATCTGTGGTACAGCGACGGATTACGCATCATCCACCAAAGCAGAACTGGTGGGTCTGCTCGCGACAATTCTGTGCTGTCCCCGGGATTGCAACGCCATTATTCATATCGACAATAGAGCTGTGGTCCAACAGTTTGCGGCATTAGTCAAGAATCGACATACAGCTACTCCACGACAGCGGTTGAGAGCAGCATATGCCAACTGGTGGGCCGTGATCTACGAGGCGTACGTGCAGCAGGGCAGTAAAGTGAATGTTCAGTGGGTTAAAGGATACAGTGGCGATGCTGGAAATGAGGCCGCTGACGAATTGGCGGACAAGGCACACGACGGCGGGCGACGGCCATGGCAACTGAACACACAGTATTTCACGAGCATGAAGACACATACGACCTTCTGTGGTCAGCCAGCGGAGGACGACATTCGCCAATTGATCAAGCATCAGTCTGCAGCCAGAAACCATCATGCATGGACTTGTCAACAACGAACGAAACAATTTATTCAGCAGTGGGAAGAAGTGGAGTGGCGATCCAGCCTTACTATAATACATGAGAAAAATCCGCCAGGGGGTTTTTTCACCAGCCTTGCGGATTGCAACCATCGGTCCCACAGGATCAAGAAAATCCATGATATGCTGCCAACCATGCAGTATATGCACAGGTGGAAGCCGAAATCTGTATACCACTGACAGATGCCAAGTGTGCCTTACCATGGTGGGGGATACTCAGCACTTCTGGGTCTGCAGAGCCACACAGAACAGACGACAGGAGGAATGGGGAAAGACAATTGATCGGGATTCTAAGTCTTGGACGCACCTTGGCGGATAAGGCGAGGAAAAAGTGGTTGCGCGACATGGAGGAGGCAATCAAGGATGGTCGACAATTCACACGCACCGAACCGAGTTTTACCCCGTGCGAGTTAGACACCCTTTGGTGGAGTCTGCGTGAGATCCGGGGAGTGGAAACGATGGTGGATACGCGGTATGATGACTGGATAAGACTGCTGGAGGAGCGGCGAGACAGGGACAATGGTGACGAGGACTGAGAGAATGTTCACGAGGAAGAAGGAGAAGGAGAAGGAGTGGGCAGTCAAGAAAACGTACAGCAGGCAGCACCGCCTACCAGGCTCTGGACAACGACAGACATATATCATGGGCTCGTACCAAAGTCCCTGACGGATTGTGCGCTGCTCTTTAAGACGTCGAAGAGTATCGCGGCTTACCTGGTTGGACGTTTTGTAGAACGAATTGAGGCTTTTGGCCGAGAGGAGCTATGGAAGGAGCGATGTAGTGCCACAGTAGCATGGGAAAAGTCCGAGGGCATATGCACGAGGATGAAGAAAGCCGGGGTCCAGGTAGGAGGTGAGGCCCAGGGCTTTGTGAGACAACAGCCCCAAGAGGGGGTTACGACAGCGGCGAGGAGGAGAGCAGGCAGCCGCTTGGTGGAACATCTCCAGGGAAAGGTGGTGTTGAACGAGATGGAGAGAGGAAGGAAGATAAAATTCATATTGGCCCGTGATCTTGACTAAGTTAAGAGAGGACCCATCGGACCCGACAGGTTGCGTAGCGGTTTTGGGCCCCAGCTCAAGGATTAGAAACCATGCGACTCAGAATGTACATCATAGGTATTTGGTTCCTCATTTTACATTAGTTTAGTGGGGGCCTCTTGATAGCTATCTTTAGGTAACTATCGGCCGGCTGACAGTCCAAGCCGAAGTTTGGACAATGCAGCCTGTGGCACGCCTGCACGCCTGGGGGGATCTGGCGTCAATAAAAAAAAAAAATGAAGGCTCTGGGAGTCAATACAAAGGCGAATCAAATCAATCGTCTTCAGGAAGACCTCATGGAACAGTATGCATGAAACGAGGAAGACATTGCCCGCCAGAAGGACTTTTCTGTCCTGAATTACCTCAGTATGATCCATAGTGAAGGGTCCTCACAAGCGATCCACGAACCCGCCCTCCAGGTAATGGGTCGCGAGGAATACAAGGAACGTTCCTATCACTCAAGGAGAATGATTTCGTGGATGAGGACAGTTTCGATAATGATATGTTGGATGACGACGATGACTCTGATCCTGATTAAGAGGACATGAAACCAGTTGCCAATGGTCAGGAAACGCAGGTAGTCAAAACCGTTCTTCGCGGCCGCACTATGGATACGATGGTTCCCCTCGAGGATTTCTCTTCACCACTGTCGCATATTTCACCAGAGTTCACTGTATATTTAGTTTAATAAGTGTACTTCCAACTCATTATTATATCTTATACAAATAAATACCCAATCGGTGAAGCTAAAAATCCACATACACATGTACACCGCCATGAATAACGACAACGTCAACCAGGCCCCTCTCGAGACCAATACTCCAATTATACCCCTCATCGATGGCTCAGCCATGGAGGTCGATGAAGAATTTGACAATGGGTCCAGTCCCCCTTCGAGTGACAACGGGCAAAAATCACCTCAAGTAGAGGAGCCCTTGTCCAATGAGGACATGCTAAAGAAATTGCACGAGAAAATGGAGCTCCTTGTCAAGCGCGAGGTCTACCTTGCTCGGCTGTTAATCAATACCGACGAGGACGATGAGAATACCAGTCTCCAAGAGAATTACGACGCCGCAATCAGGCAAATGGCAGCAGTCGATAAGAAACTTGGCATGCTTGTCAGGGCAATGGAGAATGTCGCCTCGTTGAATAGTCCAAGAACGCCTATTGTCCGCGGTGGCCCAAATAATCAATCCCACCAAGGTAACGTTCGGAAATACAATAAGAGTCCATTCGCGTTGAAAATAAACGATGACATGCCACGCTTCAAAGCTGGCGATGACCCCAGAACGTTCCTGGATAATATGAAATCTAAAGTCAGCGCTTATGTTGGTGATGATGTCTTTGCGCAGGTATGTGCACGCTATCTCTTGTACTTGACTCCGAGTGACTATCACAGACAGGCCCTCGAAGAAGAAATCAAGAAAAGAGTCAAAGAGACACTAACTTGGGATAACGTGAAGCTATCTTTCCTCAAATTGCGCTAACAGAACAAGAGCGCATTACTCAAATGATGGACCTGCTGAAATCAGGCAGAAAAAAGGATGAGTCTTATCGTCCATTCGCTATGCGCATCTCTCGCGACATAAGAGTTTATGGGATTAAGGATGACAATGAAGTTGCTCTTTCTCTCTTGTGCGGATCGGTTACGCCCGGCACGCTCAATCTGATGATCATGCGATTGGCCATGGATGACAAGGATGTGACGAGGTTTACATCAATCAATGCTTTCATAAAATACTCAGCATCCTCGTGGGTCCCAATCAACCCCACGATATAATCAATACTGACTCGTCCGCAACAGGTCCAATTCGCCATAGACAAGGTACCTCGAAGCGTTTTACGCACAAGGGTTAATGTTCCATGCAGATGGGAGTGCAACAATCGTCTGCATCTTCCTATGCTCCGAATCAAATCAGCCATACCACTGCACCGCCGTTCACATGCCAGAAATGTGGTCCGAATTATTCGCACAACACTGGCGGGCATCTTGAATACGGCCGTTGCCACCGACGCGGCCATAAAACGGAGGAATGCAAGGGAAAGTATTCTCCAGTACCGATGGTAAGAATGAATCGTACAAAATAAATCAAATCAAACCTCGTGTCAATGCTTTGAATCTGATGGAAACAACAACAGCTGCAAATCAGCTATCTGACCTAGAAAGCTTCTTGTTGTTACTACCTTCACATGCCATCAATTCCACAAGCACCAGCAACCTCGCCGCAAGAACTGAACCCCAACAGAATCGGCGCCATGATGAACATGGGACCCACCATCCGGGCAACAAGATTAGTCAGACGACTTCTCCAAAAATAAAGCTACCATGGTAGCTGAAGACAGCGTTGATACAAAAAATAAAAGAAAGCGCCGGAAAAATATGGTGAAATATTCAGGAACGGAAAAGGAGACTGTCATTCCAAAGAAAAGAAGGTTAGACCTGCTGCATGATTACACGTCGCGCAATGGTCCTGACAATACTGCGCAACCTGAAATCATTTTCGATAAACAACCGTATATCGCGTGAATCCTCTTTAGCGCAGCTTGTAGTTGATGACGATGAACAGTCGCACCAGATGAATTCTTCTTGGCGTGCAGTCAACTCGTACGTTGATGATAGTTTCGCCTATATCGATCTGGAAGAATTATTTCGGCAGGAAAAAGAAGCCGAAAGAATGGAATCCAGAGCCCTTGAATACGAAAAAAATCAGATACGGGTTTCGTCTCTTCAGAAAATAGAAGACAGTTTAATTGAATTAGCAAAATTGAATACAAACAAAGAGCAGGCTGATAGAAGAATACTTGTCTCTGTCACTTTCGAGGATGAAAAATACGATGCGTTACTAGACACAGGCGCAACCGACACCTGCATTCGGCAAGACATTGCCATCAAGCACAATAAACAAACCAATCCCGTTGAAGGTGTCATCACACTGGCTGACGAAAGCCAAACAATCCCTCGAATTGGTCAAACGGAGAACATTGAGTTGCAATATGGTACGCGAATAGTATCAGCACCAATGGAGGTAATTACTCAGTCCTATCCATTCATCATCGGGATGGATCTCTTCCACCAGTTCGGTTTTAGCATCTCTGGTCTCGCCAATCCCGGCAACGATGCGATGCAACTGCCTGAACCGGAAGAAGATAAAAAACCATTTCTTGTTCCTGGTGAGCAACCCGATGAAGAAAAGACTAATGCGTTTTTGGAAATGAAAAAGAAATTTCTATCGAAAATCGAAAAATATCTCGCGGAAAACGCGAACATTCCAAAGACTACTTTCTGTCCCGTACCTGAAATGAAAGTCTATTTACCAATCCCAGAGGGTACAGTGCTATTCAGAAGGCCTCGACCATTCGCCGAAAAGCAAATGAGCATCTTTGAGGACACAATCGAGAAATGGCTACGTGACGATGTGATCACGCTGGCCCCTGTAGGCAATGTACATAACAATACCCTCACACTTGCTGCTAAAAAAGATGAACATGGCAAGAAGACGCTATGGCGAGTCTGCCTTGACCCCAGACCGCTGAACAAGCATCTGCCGGATGATAATTATCCCTTGCCTCTAATCAATGACATAATCACACGTCTAGCGGGTAACTCCATATTCACTACAATTGATCTCTCTCAGGCGTACCATCGTCTCCCAATCCATGAGGATGATCAACCGCTGACTGCGTTCATGCACAATGGCAAACAATACATGTTCAAGAAAGCACCTTTTGGACTGAAGCCGTTGTCCAGTCTTTTTCAGAGGGGAATGTCGAGGATCCTCGGCGATCTTCCATTCGTCTGTAATTTCATTGATGACATTGTGATATTCTCCAAGAATCGAGATGAACATGCCGAGCATGTACGGACCGTAATCAAACGGCTCAATGAAGCCAAATTAATAATCAATCGCGACAAATGCAACTTCTTCAGCACGCAAATCTCGTTGCTGGGTTTCATAATCGGACTACACGGAAAGAGCGTAGATCCAACCAAATTTGCAAATATCAATGAATGGGAACCGCCAAAGACGGCAAAACAGGTCCAGTCATACCTTGGCACGTTTAATTTCTTCAGGGAGTATATTCCCCTGTTCAGTGAAGTCGCAGCACCTTTGGATGCGCTTCGTAGTCGAACTGAGCCATTCACTCTGAATGAGGAACAATTACAATCATTTAATACGCTGAAAAATCTGTTGACACATGCACCAATACTGTCATTCCCTGATTTTAGCAAACCATTTTACGTTGCAACAGATGCCTCAGATGTTGGCATCGGTGCTGTCTTATACCAACTACCTCGCGGTAAGAGCACCCGAAGGATATCAATTATATTTCCTTCATGGCACGCTCTCTACAAGAAAGAGAACGCAAATACAGTGCCACCAAGAAAGAATTGCTTGCAATCGTATTTGCTCTGAATAAATTCCACTACTATCTGTGGGGAAGACATTTTGATCTATACACAGATCACCGTGCATTGACATTCATACATTCTCAGCAGAATCTTAATCCAATGATGACCGCTTGGCAGGATACCATCCTGAATTATTCCTTCACGGTTCATTACCGACCGGGTTTTCTGAATATTCTACCAGACGCTTTGTCACGTCTATTTCCGGTCAAAATTCCAAAGCAGCACTCATCGAATACAGAAGAGACAAAAGAGCTCTTGCCTACATGCATATTCTACAAAATGAAGAAACAGAAAGAGAATTAGTACCTGAAAAAGACAGGGAAGAAACCATGCACAAAGCGCATGCAATGGGTCATCTTGGTACAAATGCTATGGTGAATTCAATCCATCAAGAAGGGAAAACCTGGCCCCACATGGCCAATGACTGTCTGAATTTCATAAAACGGTGTCGAGAATGCCAACGTGTAAATATCGCACGTAAAGGCTATCACCCAATGAAGGCAATTCATGCACACTTACCTGGGGAGCACATCGCCATCGACATTGCAGGCCCTTTCGAAGAGTCTGAAGACAAAAACGTCTATTTGTTGGTTATGGTCGACGTTTGTACTCGGTTTGTATTGCTGGATGCATTACCAGACAAATCTGCATACACAGTCGGAAAGACTTTATTTAAAAGGTTTACTGATATTGGTTTCCCTCGCGTGCTACAATCCGATAACGGAAAAGAATTCGTAAATGAGTTGATCCGTATCATGACCACGCAAATGTACATTGATCATCGATTAATAACACCATATCATCCAAGGGGAAACGGAGTGGCAGAAAATCATGTCAAAACGGCATGCAATATGATTCGCAAAGAAGTCAAAGGAAATCATAAACAATGGGATCGACACATTCCATTCATCCAATTAGCTGCCAATACGCGAACTGTTAGTTTGCACAATTCATCTCCGTTCTCGTTATTCTTCGCGCGCAAAGTTAACGGTTTCTCTAACTATACCAACGAAGAAGGCAGAAATATGAATGAAGAAGAACTGCTTGAACGTCTAAAATATATGACCGAGATCGTCTTCCCCGCCATTAGAAGAAATCTAAGGCGAAACAACAAAAATGATCGAACGATTTAATGCAACAGTGTTGCACAATGAATTCCCAGATGGAGCAAAAGTAATGACTTTGATCCAATTAAAGGAGGCAAGCTTACTCCACGATATGAAGGACCATATACAGTGGTACGACGCACTTCACATGGCTCATATATCCTTAAGGATGGAACAGGAGCTATATTAGGACGTCATTATGCCCCATCTCAGCTCAAGCTTGTGCTGGATGATTTTGAAGACACTGACACCTATGAAGTGGAAAAAATCGTTGACCACAGGGCTAGTACAATCACGCCTAATACGAATGAATATTTGGTCAAATGGAAGGGTTATTCTTCCGATGAAAATACATGGAACCTGAAGATCATTTTATTGAACGACGATGCATCAGTGACTATTGGGCTGAGCATCATGCCGCCAACAAAAATCAAATAGCGAACATACGATGACACGGCAACAGGCACCTCTAGCCGGCCGTCTACGCGGCGCAAACGATCTCAAAGCACACGTTCATAACAAATACAAATATCTTACTGCACAAGAGATAACTAAACGCATGGAAAAAAAAAAAAAAAAAAAAGCACAAGACATATACAATGAGCATTACATTCCAATGGTCTGCGACAAATAGATGGCTAGAATCTTTATTTCATAGCTAACTAGTAATAGTCTGCTTATCAAATGAGGACTATAATGTTAGTCCTGGCCTTTCTACGCCGCTTGCGAGGACGTTGCTCCTTCCTGCTATCGTCCTCCGCTTCAACTTGAACCCCCTGCTCTGCTGTCTTTCGATCCACCTGAGTGCCTTCATCCTTGTAAATTATATCCCGCTCACGTTTCAGGCACTGCGAAGCTCCTCGATTTCCAGCTGAGCTACGATGAGTCGAGCCTCATAATCCTCGTCCGTGCCACCCTGATCCTGTGGCGAATCATCATCATCTTCCTCGTCGGGTTGCGACGCTGGCACAAATTCAGGCTTGCCTAGTGCCACATCCGAGGGAAAAGTCGGAGACCAATATCCTTCGTTCCTTGTGTCAAAGGCACTGTCTCCGCCGACAATACCCCCTCTGACTCCGCCTTCGAAGTGGGTTTCCCCGGTTGCTGATTTCAGCTCCACAGGGCGATTACCCTTAGCTTGACGCAAGCTGATCATAGGCCGACGTTCGGTCATAATGAAAAATACTGTGAAAATTTGTAGGAAAGTGTTTGTGTTGGGCAGGTGAATGAGAAAGAAAGAATGAGGAATCAACCTCGTTCAACCCTCACCTTGAACATCCATCCATCCCTCATTCCCATCCGCATCATCTCATTGGTCCATGGGACATCAGATGATCTTGACTGTATTATGTCACGAAAAAAAAAAAAAAAGAAAATAAAAAAATCCATGCACAATCAACCTAATTTACGCTATTCAAAATCTCTGCAGTACAATAATACGTCACACGCCGAGGATAATTACTTTACAACTAGATGAGCAATTGATTCCAAAGTTTACAGTAATTTTTAATAATGCCGAAGCAATAATTGTGTGAAGTTTGAAAGAGATTGAATGAGAGGATCGTCCATGAGATGATGAGAAGTGAATTTTGTAAAAACGTTGTAGCAGTTTTGAACCTTACTTTACCGCGTTCGAGATTGGCGAGTCGGCGTTAATGGGTGCGGTATGAATACGACAGTGCCGCGCTGCGGGGTCGCTGGACATGCTGGAGTTGTTGGGTGCAATGGGTATGGTCGCGGTAGCGATGGGTATGGTTGTGGTAGCGGTGTGTTTTTTTTTGCTTCTTGAACCTGTCGCGTGCCACGACACGATCGATCGATACTTGGCAAGTGATCGGTCGACTCTTGGCAACGCGTACGACCGTTACACGAAGGCAATGAGAAACATATATATATATCCCGTAGTTCTGTATCTTTTATTCCTTATCCAGCAACTCCAATATATCTACGCTTTCTTGATCCTGTTTCCCAAACTGCATCTCCTCCCCCCTGTTCTGTCCTGCCACGCTTAAGAAGGTCATCTTGACTCTGAATAAGCATAGGTTCGTGACATTGCTAGATCACACAACCTTTACCTTTTTACTATTTTTTTGATTTTGTCCTGCCATGGCCGCTACTCCTGACGCTCTTCAGCTCCTCACCGCCATGGATGCACGCATCACTGCCATTGAAAACGACATTAAGAGTCTCACGACCATCGAACCGTCTCTTCTGTTCCTACACAACCACTTTGAATTCTTCCGAAACCTTGTTAATGGCCTGGATCCGAGACTAGCTATGATTGAGAACGCCGTAACCGTCGGTATCCCCGCCCAAATCCACAAGCAAACCGAGATGGACAAGACCGAGGTGATTACCCAAGCTAGTAATTTGATCCATGTCGCCATCCGCGCGGACTTAGATGAGATCCGCCGATCTGTTGATACTTTCCGCCGCGATGCTGCAGCTAATTGGGCCACCAAGGGGGACGTCGAGACCGCGAAGCTGTCCGCCTCCACCGCGGTCCCACAAGCGTCTTCCAGCAAGCCCAAAGTCCCACCGCCCACCGCATTCTCTGGCAAACGAGAAGAATGTGCAACAGGTACAACTGTTTATTCGAGAATTATGTCATGGTCATAACCATGCTGCGCCTAGTTTCTAGAGCATTCCAACACAACTGTGTCTAGTATATAAGAGCACTTCAAACGTAGGATTAGACAGCAATCAATCATCGAATAAACCTCTGATTCCACCCTAGAACCCCTCCGACTCCTGACTATTTGCAGAATGGAAGACTTTCCTGTCCCACCTATCCCTGTTTTTCACCGCCAACGCAACCCAGTCCCCAAACGACACCGACAAGGTCCTGTTTGCTATCTCCCGCTTGGGAGAAGACTCAGCCTTCAAATACATGGAACAATATATCGCCGACTTCAACAAGCCTCCTGCCGCTCGCCCAATGATTATCTCCAGCTACGATACCTTCACCAAGACTATGTCCGAAAACTTCGGCATCCAGAATGCCCACGTTGTTGCGGAAGTGCAACAGGTTTATGCTCGGTTAAGTGCATTATGATGTCATCAGCGCTTCGCCCATCTTTCTACGACTTTCTAGAACACTGTTGATATCTATCCAGCCAGTTTATACACTACCGAAAATAATGAGTAAATGTTTTGGTATAAGTGCCGATAAAATTTTATGCCTCGATGTCCAAGACCACTAGTGCTGTGCATGTTCGCCAGTAATATCATGGTCCATTCAGCATCGCGTGGAATGACTACCAGGTGTGTCTAATACAGCGAGCCATATATATCTCAAATTAAAAATTATGACGTCATTTACTCATTATTACCCCCATGCACTTTTGAACCTCGTTTTGCTCTTTCTTCTCCACTTCAGCTACCCACACACTCCTACTACCATAATATCGACTACCTTACGCCACGACTTTAAATCCTACATGAAGAAGCTCAATCATAACATTGAACAGGGGATCATTGCTGACCTCCGGTTGAAAATGACCACACGAGCCATTGCCAAGAGACGTGGAGTATCACAGGCCAAGGTCTCTCAGCTCGCGCAGACCATCAAGGAGACCCTTCCGCCGCGAAAATCCGGCCGCCCTGGGAAAGTATCCGAGGCAACCAAACGTTTGATGGTTCGAGAAATCACAAATGGTACACTTCAAACCGCTGTAGACGTGCAGGAACGGCTTAGTAGAGACTTTGCGACGGACTTGACGGCAGCAAGAGTTCGACAGATCTTGAGACAGGAGGGTCTGACCGCCGTGCGCAAACGGCGAAGGCCAAAACTTACCTCCAAGCACAAGGCGGAGCGCATGGATTTCGTGCGAAAGTACGAGCACTGGACAATCGATGATTGGAAACGAGTCGTTTGGTCCGACGAGACTAAGGTCAACCGCATTGGGTCCGATGGAGTCCTGTGGGTCTGGAAAAAGGGAGGTGACAAGTCTCTGGACGATCGGCTTGTCCAGGAGGAGGTCAAGTTCGGCGGCGGTTCCATCATGCTATGGGGGTGCATGACCTGGCATGGTGCTGGATTCATTTCCAGGATCGAGGGGATCATGGACGCCAGTCTCTATGTCGAAATCCTGGAGGAATGTCTCCCACTCACCCAGCGCTGGTACAAGATCAAGCCTAAGGATATGATCTTTCAACAGGACAACGACTCGAAACACACTTCCAGCACTGCGATGAATTTCTTTAAGCAGCACAAGTACAATTTGTTGTTCTGGCCGCCCAACTCTCCTGACCTAAATCCGATAGAGCACCTCTGGGACTACGCGAAACGCCAGTTAGGCGAGTACCCGGTGCCTCCGAAGGGCATGATCGAACTATGGGAAAGATTTCAGGCGGAGTGGAACAAGATTCCCCCTTCTGTCTGCCAAGGCTTGATTGAGAGTATGCCCAGAAGGATCGAAGCTGTTAAGAATGCCAAGGGAGGCCACACTAGGTACTAAGCAGGCCATCAGTAAACTTGATATCGAAGATGAATAAAAAAAAATAAAAACCATGTCCATGGGAGAAATAATGAGTAAATTGAACAGTTTAAACTTAATTCTGTATACAACGCGCAATAATTTTCTCCGCATCTCCCAAATGCTGTAGATTACTTTTCATTGCACAGGCATGTTATCCTGTAACTATCACCAGCTATATAACCCGGGTTCGGAAACAACTGACAAATGTGCTACAAAAGTGAAAATCATTTACTCATTATTTTCGGTAGTGTATGTGAATAAAACTTGACTCGGGACCCCAGCTCGGTAGCTTATGTCCTATAAGCTACCGTACTCGGGACCGAAACATAATGGAATGGACAAGGGTGGACGCGGGCAATCGTCTACTTGAAACGGGCAAGCAACGTTAAACCAGTTATGCTTTCCGTGTGGGGTAATTCTGGAGACGCGACGTGATTTAGGCTCGCGTAGCAGACGCAAGGTAATCACAAGCCACTAGGGTCAATTGAGATGAGCGCAAGTCTGTCCTCAACCTTAATTCGTGACACCTCAGGAGTGACATGGGGATCCTGTCACGAATTAAGGTTGAGGACAGACTTGCGCTCATCTCAATTGACCCTAGTGGCTTGTGATTACCTTGCGTCTGCTACGCGAGCCTAAATCACGTCGCGTCTCCAGAATTACCCCACACGGAAAGCATAACTGGTTTAACGTTGCTTGCCCGTTTCAAGTAGACGATTGCCCGCGTCCACCCTTGTCCATTCCATTATGTTTCGGTCCCGAGTACGGTAGCTTATAGGACATAAGCTACCGAGCTGGGGTCCCGAGTCAAGTTTTATTCACATATAAAAGACATAACTAGCTGCCATAATCAAACCTCAGTCTGCAATAAAATACTTTCCTGCCCTGTACTCACTCTTGCTCTTACATTCTCCACTTGCCTGCCAGTCCAGATCTTGACAGTTGCAGACTCTACAACTTACCTTGCCCTTGATCCTGCTTCACCTTATCCACCATGAACCCTTCCAATCCCACCGAGCAAGAGCTCTACACAATGCACGCCCTAGCCGAACAAGCCAACAATGCCCAGGCCAACCCTGTCCAAGTTCTCCAACACCTCCAGTCGAACATGGTTGCCCTACAAGCCCAAGTCGAGACCATGCAAAATTCGATTCAAGCCCAGGTCAACAACCTCACCAACAACAATGCCCCACTGATGTCCATCCAGTCCGCTATCGAGTCCATCAGCGTCCAGTGCCGCGAAACTATGCAAGCAAATCACACTGTCCTGAACGGTATGAGGTCTGTCCTGAACGGTATGAGGTCTGTCCTGGATGGCCTCGCCCAGCGACCCTCCGCCGCTGGTCCCTCTCGCCCCCGTGTGTCAAGATCTGGACTGGCAGGCAAGTGGAGAATGTAAGAGCAAGAGTGAGTACAGGGCAGGAAAGTATTTTATTGCAGACTGAGGTTTGATTATGGCAGCTAGTTATGTCTTTTATATGTGAATAAAACTTGACTCGGGACCCCAGCTCGTAGCTTATGTCCTATAAGCTCCCGTACTCGGGACCGAAACATAATGGAATGGACAAGGGTGGACGCAGGCAATCGTCTACTTGAAACGGGCAAGCAACGTTAAACCAGTTATGCTTTCCGTGTGGGGTAATTCTGGAGACGCGACGTGATTTGGGCTCGCGTAGCAGACGCAAGGTAATCACAAGCCACTAGGGTCAATTGAGGTGAGCGCAAGTCTGTCCTCAACCTTAATTCGTGACACCGTGCCCCGGTTCCTTTGCCCTTATCCCCCAAGTTCACCGGCAACGACAAGGACATGTCCTTGACGGATTTCAAGGCCAAGCTCATGAACATGATGGCCCGGTTCCCCGAATCCCTCAACGACGACTATGCCAAGGTCCATTATGCCCTCAACTCGTCTGATGGTCCCGCCTTCTCGTACTTCTCGGCCATCCTGAATGGAGACATTGCCGACACGGAAAATATCCTGCATAATTTTGAGGCCTACACCAACTCCCTTGATCGCCTCTTCGGAAATAAGAACAAGATCCACGCCGTTGAAAGCAAGCTCGGTCACCTCCGCCAGACCGGCGATATGGCTGACTACATCCTCCAGTTCCAGACATTGTCCTCTCAAGTCCGCTGGAATGAGGCCGCCCTCGTTGCCAGATTCAAGGATGGACTGTCCGCCTCCGTCAAAAGAGGATTGACCAGTTGCTGGGACACTTTGGTGTCTCTCAGCGACACTCAAGCCAAAGCTCTGGTAGCCTATCAGAATCAAGAGCACATGAATCGTGTCACAGGTCAGCATCATCAGCAACACAATCGTAATCGTCCGCAACCCTACGTCCGTCCCCAAGCCCAGCCTGCAGCGCAGTCTACTGAGAAAGGTGCCGCTAACATGTCCATGGACCTCGACCAGGTCCGCTCCCGCCGCCTGACGCCAGCCGAAAAGAAATACAGTCCACGGAAAAAGTGTTAGCATGTTTTGCTATTTTGGACTTATACTCCTTTATCTCCCTATTACGCTATTACCAAGGACCGAGATGTCTGGTGGACAATGTCGTAATTTACAAGGAGTTTTCTAGAATGTTCCAGGCTTGAATGACCTTCAGCTGAGGAACGAAGGATCTCGAAAGTCATGAGGTGCACTCTAACACTTTTTAAAAAATCCTATAAATTGTGCTCTTCCCTTACGGTCTGCATCCTCACTC